TGAACCAAATTAACCTCTATACCAAAACACTCCGTTCAGTCGCTACAGGACGTTGGAATTGAATTTCCATTCTATATTCCAGTTTTCATATATATTTCAGTTTCTTATTCCATGTAATTTTCATGATTTCAAATCTTGATATATTTCGAATTCCAGATATTAATACCAACTATGTTTTAGATCGACGAAGCGACGTGTTATTAATCGACGAAAAATTTGCACAAAAGAGGAAACCAGACCAGAAACCAACGATCGGTGATAAGTTTCTCATTCCTATTTACGAATTTCGATCAATTCATTTCATTTCGAATATTTCTTCCAAATTTGATATTTAGGTGTAGGATCCTGATGGGTTAGGTATCTACAGTGTTTCTCATTTAGAAGAAAATTGTTGGCTATCTGTTCCGATCATTTTTTGAGTAATAGAAGAATATGTCGCGTTTCAGGCACGGAATTTGATAAAGTTCTCATCTATATTTCAGTTTCTTATTCCATGTAACTTTCATGATCACTATATTTTAGATCAACGAAGCGGAGTGTTATTAATCGATGGAAAAATTGCACAAAAGAGGAAAGTTCAAATATCGATATATTTTGAATTCGAGATATTATTTATACCAACTATGTATTAGATCAACGAAGCGAAGTGTTTTTAATTGACGGAAGAATTGCACAAAAGAGGAAAGTTCAAATCTCGATATATTTTTAATTCGAGATATTGATACCAACTATATTGTAGATCAACGGAGTGACGTGTTATTAATCGACGAAAAATTGCACGAAAGAGGAAACCAGACCAGAAACCAACGACCGGTGATAAGTTTTCCATTACTATTTACGAATTTTATTCAATTCATTTCGAATATTTCTTCCAAATTTATTATTTGTTATGGAAGGCGATATATCATAGAACATTTTTTGATAGTCACCTTTAAGTCTCAATGGTGACACGACAGGTACCCTTACGAGGGGAGAGTATCAACCCTTGGCATCGGTAAACCCTCGTTGCAACCGGGGTAGGTGCCTGATGGGTTAGGTATATACAGTGTTTCTCATTCAGGAGAAAATTGTTGGCTATCTGTTCCGCTCTTTTTTTGAGCATAGAAGAATATGTCGCGTTTCAGCAACGGAATTTGAAAAAGTTTTCATCAATATTTCAGTTTCTTATTCCATGTAACTTTCATGATTTCAAATCTCAATATATTTTGAATTCAATATATTAATACCAACTATGTTTTAGATCAACGAAGCGGAGTGTTATTAATCGATGGAAAAATTGCAGAAAAGAGGAAAGTTCAAATCTCGATATATTTTGAATTCGAGATATTGATACCAACTATATTTTAGATCAACGGAGTGACGTGTTATTAATCGACGAAAAATTGCACGAAAGAAGAAACCAGACCAGAAACCAACGACCGGTGATAAGTTTTTCATTACTATTTACGAATTTTATTCAATTCATTTCGAATATTTCTTCCAAATTTATTATTTGTTATGGAAGGCGATATATCATAGAACATTTTTTGATAGTCACCTTTAAGTCTCAATGGTGACACGACAGGTACCCTTACGAGGGGAGAGTATCAACCCTTGGCATCGGTAAACCCTCGTTGCAACCGGGGTAGGTGCCTGATGGGTTAGGTATATACAGTGTTTCTCATTTAGGAGAAAATTGTTGGCTATCTGTTCCGCTCTTTTTTTGAGCATAGAAGAATATGTCGCGTTTCAGCAACGGAATTCGAAAAAGTTTTCATCAATATTTCAGTTTCTTATTCCATGTAACTTTCATGATTTCAAATCTTAATATATTTTGAATTCAATATATTAATACCAACTATGTTTTAGATCAACGAAGCGGAGTGTTATTAATCGATGGAAAAATTGCACAAAAGAGGAAAGTTCAAATCTCGATATATTTTGAATTCTAGATATTTATACCAACTATGTTTCAGATCCACGAAGCGTTGGTTATTAATCGACGGAAATATTGCACAAAAGAGGAAACCAGAACTTTCATTACTATTTACGAATTTCGATCAATTCATTTCATTTCGAATATTTCTTCCAAATTTAATATTTTGGGGTAGGTTCCTGATGGGTTAGGTATATTGTTTCTCATTTGGGATAAAATTGTTGGCTATCTGTTCCGCTCTTTTTTTGAGCAATAGAAGAATATGTCGCGTTTCAGCTACGGAATTTAAAAAAGTTCTCATTAATGTTTCAGTTTCTTATTCCATGTGACTTTCATGATTTCAAATCTCAATATATTTTGAATTCAAGATATTATTACCAACTATGTTTTAGACCAACGAAGCGAAGTGTTATTAATCGACGAAAAAATTGCACAAAAGAGGAAACCAGACCAGAAACCAAAGACCGGTGATAAGTTTTTCATTACTATATACGAACTTTATTCAATTCATTTCGAATATTTCTTCCAGATTAATTATTTATTATAAAAGGCGATATATCACAGAACAATTTTTGAAAGTCACCTTCAAGTCTCAATGGTGACACGACAGGTATCCTAACGAGGGAAGAGTATCAACCCTTGGCATCGGTGAACCCTCATTGCAACCGGGGTAGACGCCTGATGGGTCAGGTATATACAGTGTTTCTCATTTACAATTCGAGATATTGATACCAAGTATGTTTTAGATCAACGAAGCGACGTGATATCAATCGACGGAAAAATTGCACAAAAGAGGGAACCAGACCAGGAACCAACGACCGGTGATAAATTCCTCATTACGAATTTCGATCAATTCATTTCATTTCGAATATTTCTTTTAAATTCAGGAGAAAATTGGTGGCTATTTGTCCCGTTCATTTATTGAGCAATAGAAGAATATGTCGCGTTTCATCTACGGAATTTGAAGGAGTTCTCATTGTTATTTTAGTTTCTTATTCCATGTAACTTTCATGATTTGAAATCTTAATATATTTTGAATTCGAGATATTGATACCAACTATGTTTTAGATCAACGAAGCGAAGTTTTATTAATCGACGGAAGAATTGCACAAAAGAGGAAAGTTCAAATCTCGATATATTGCGAATTCGAGATATTGATACCAACTATATTTTAGATCAACGGAGTGACGTGTTATTAATCGACAGAAAAATTGCACAAAAAAGGAAACCAGACCAGAAAAAAACGACCGGTGATAAGTTATTCATTACTATTTACGAATTTTATTCAATTCATTTCGAATATTTTTTCCAAATTCATTATTTGTTATGGAAGGCGATATATCATAGAACATTTTTTGATAGTCACCTTTAAGTCTCAATGGTGACACGACAGGTACCCTTACGAGGGGAGAGTATCAACCCTTGGCATCGGTAAACCCTCGTTGCAACCGGGGTAGGTGCCTGATGGGTTAGGTATATACAGTGTTTCTCATTTAGGAGAAAATTGTTGGCTATCTGTTCCGCTCTTTTTTTGAGCATAGAAGAATATGTCGCGTTTCAGCAACGGAATTTGAAAAAGTTTTCATCAATATTTCAGTTTCTTATTCCATGTAACTTTCATGATTTCAAATATTAATATATTTTGAATTCAATATATTAATACCAACTATGTTTTAGATCAACGAAGCGGAGTGTTATTAATCGATGGAAAAATTGCACAAAAGAGGAAAGTTCAAATCTCGATATATTCTGAATTCTAGATATTTATACCAACTATGTTTTAGATCCACGAAGCGACGTGTTATTAATCGACGGAAAAATTGCACAGAAGAGGAAACCAGACCAGAAACCAACGACCAGTGATAAGTTTTTAATTACTATTTACGAATTTTATTCAATTCATTTCAAATATTTCTTCTTGCTGTGATTTTTAGTTTATTTTTTGATTCGCGTAAGGGCTGTTTTAGTTGAAATTCATACTTCATTGAATGTTGCTGTTTTTGTTATAATAATAACAAAATAAAATAAGTATATGCTATCGTTATATTCCTTATCGGATGGCACGCAATTTTCAATGACAATATACAGGGGGTGCCATTTGAAAATAAAAAGTTGGGAAAGCTGCCAAAGAACTATCAAGTGTAATAGATTTTTTATATGTCATGAGCAAGGTACTTCAATGCCATTCAATGCAGTTTTTGAATTTTTCAATCATCTTGTCTTAGTGTAAACGAAAAATTGCCTGTTTCGGGTCAGGAGCTATTTCACTGCTGGAATACTGTTCTTATATTCGGATTGCAGCACCCAAACATACCCTGAAACTCTTGGATTCTGTCTAAAAAAGGGCAATCCGTCTCGTGGGTGATGCCTCGCTCACAAACTCACTCACTTCTCTGGAACACCGTAGAGAAGTTGGCGATCTGGCTCTATTATATAGATATTTTCATTTATAATTCAAAGTTTTTCTGCGAGCACATACGCAAGCGTCTATAAAGTATCACGTGATTCACTGTGACCAATCTGACAATGAGGTTTGGGAATGCTTTCGAGTCTCGGCCTTTTTCATGAAACTATTTGTGAACTGTCAGTGTCCCTATTAAAAAAACAAACACAAATATGGATTTTTCTGATTTTTGAAGATAAAATGTAATAAAGATTAGGTTGTGATATATCAGTGTATTCAGGAAAAAAATTGCAAAAAATTGACGTTGAAATATACATGGTGTTCCTTTTAAAAAAATACCATGTTTGTGCCCAATCTTGAAAACAGAACTTTAAAAAAATATGAATACGCCACTAACTTCAATGTAAAAATATCTATTATAAGCAGTTTTCATTTTTTTCCATCTTATACGGGACCTGAGAAATTATAACATCTCCTAAAGTGAACATTTTCGTTTTCGCCCTGTATTTCAGGAACAAAAGTAGTTGGAATATTTCTGTTTGTGGCTTTAAAAGTTTCACAAAAAAGTGATACAGGGTCGCGAAAACCGCATGTCTCTATCATCAATAATAGCTGAGATACAGTACAGTCTCAACCAAAATGGCACAGAGTGTACATTGAAGAACTCCAGTTTATACATACCATTTTTAAGCACTGTGTGAGACAGCCGGTGTTGATTTCGGCGGCGCTCTTGACATGAGAGTATGTGGGACCGCTGTTAGGTACCACGACAAATATAACGTCGTACTTGCCTTTGCTTCTTTGAAAAAAGGACTTGATGTCATTTTGTCTGTTGCCAATTATCTGCAATGGTTTTTCAGCATCAGTTGTGAATGTCATTCCACAATCCCTGGCATGTCTAACAACCTGAAATTTACAAAAGAAATAGTATAATCACTAGTTTCACCCACATCCAACACAGGGTGGTGTAATTTCGATATAGCGCTTTAGTGTCATGTTTGATCGAAACTGCACTTGAGGTATAGCAACATAATTTCTAAAAGGAAAACAAACGAACGCCAAGTCGGTCGACCACCAATGTGCAAGAAGTACCTGAAAATTACAATATATTCTGAATCTAAAACAATATGGCAGCTGAGAAAAAGACATACATCTTATGATCTCTTATCATTATACATATAAATAAAAATATCAGCTTTACTACTATCACATCATACTTTTTGTATTGTAGAACATTTAATCAGGCTGAAGATGGTCTTTTATAATTCCGAAAAATGTCCCGGAGTGTGAAATATCATTAAAATCTGTGGAGATGACTTCTAGCATTCCTTCCTTTCATCCTTTGAAAATTTCCACTCAATTTTCTACCAGATTAAAAATATCAGGTCACATAATACAGAAAATATCAATCCGGTCTGTAACTATTTTTTATACAGGGTATCCCAATGGAAAACCGAAATACTCCAAGGGTTGGTAGAGCTCATCAAAGTGGTTCTGAATATACCATATTTGTAGGGTCTTTCAAGTTTTATATCCGAGATATAGGGTGATTTATCAATTTTGCTCATTTCTTTCTGAGGACATAACTTACGAACTACCCAGTATATTCTTTTGGAATTTGGTACACAATTTCTTCTTCCATAAAAAGAACAACCTGTATTTCCGAATTTCCAAAAACCGGTTACATATTTGAACGGTGGATGGTGTACTTTTCATTTTCCCGCATGATATTTCACTAATGAATTTCTAAGTTTGAAGCCAAATATTCGAATCCCTTCTAGGGAGTCGTCTATTCCGCAAAGCGTAGTCTCATAACAATATATTTATAAACAGTGTGTCCGTAAAGTATGGAATGAATTCGAAATTCTCATAAACTAAAAACATTTTCGGAAAAATCGGCAACCCGAGTCAGTCAATAGATTATTGAGTAGAATTATTGAATTTTATGGAGTATAGTAACTCAGTTTGAAGTGTTTTTCTAGTTATAGATATAGTTATTGTTATTCTTAATGGTGTATTGTAGTGTTTGAATTTAAATAAATCGTTTTGTTATCTACTAGTTATTATATTATAAAAAAATGAAAATTCTAGTAGTATAAATAAAGTGTGATATGAATAATGTGATCTATGTTGGGACGGCAACTGTTTTCTTGAAGTTAGAAGTCAGAATATGTTATCCTGAAATATGAGTTATCAATTTATTATGGAACATACTAATTCAAAGATATTACATGGTGGCAGCGGTAAACCATTAATGAGACATACAAAATTGAATTGACTGAAAAAATAAAGAAGACTGAAAATGAGTTCCGAATCTGAATCTGGGAGCAGGATGTGTTGTGAAGATAAGGAATGAACAATTGTTAGGGGATGATGATGATAGGAGCAGTGAAGGAAGTTAGGCAGATGATGGAAGAAGAGGAGGAGTGTATAAAGATGATAGAAGCACTAAAGGAGAGGAATCAGGAGTCGATGAGTCAAACGACGACGGCGCTGATAATAGTCATCGATATACTAGGAGTGAAAAAAAATTAACACACCGAATAGATTGGATTTATAAAAAGAGGGACTTGTGATATGAGTACTCTGTACGTTATAATATGATGTATGTTGGGACGGCAACTGTTGTTTGAAGTTATTTATTTATTTATTTATTGAAAATGTTACTTCCAGTCAGAATCAAGTTCTGGTATAAGGAAGTATAGTTAAAAGTCACAATATTAATTATTCCCATAGTGGAAGGAGAAGATGGTGTGCCTACGCGCATATTATGTGACGTCATCTGGGATACCAATATCAGCTGCTAGTCACAGACAGATACCGTTGCCATGAGCGTGCGCAATGAATTCAATCATGTTCATTGAAATTTCTATAAGTTTTTCGAACTGTTTAAAAATAATTCAATTTATATAAACAGGTACCTATTCCTTCGATTTTACTATTTCCACATCTACAATATAATAACAGTTTCACCAAACACAATTATGGATTTTTTTCTGGTTCCAACTCGGATTCCAAGGAAAACGATCCCACTTATTCTGGTTTTATATGACATATCTTGACAAAATACAATGTTTGCCCCTCAGCAACATGTCAAATGACGTAATTCTGGAATGATTAATCCCATCTGAACGATCCACTACTGCATGTGTCGATTCTGACATATTGAAATTCAGCAGTTAACGACGTTGACGTTGCTTCTGCTCCGACATCGACAACAGGAGTATCAATTTTTGCCGTTTTGTTATTCAAATCTTTGCTGCAATTTATATTTTGTGAGAAATTAAGAGTTTTTTTGAATTTATCTTCAATTATTTCTGTCTTGATATTCGGAAGATGTTCTGTAGGAATGGCATCTTGTTTCAAATAATCGTGATTTTTTGGAGGTGTGTAATTCAAGAACCGTACTTTCGCACTTGTTTGGGAACATTTTGCATGAAAATTTTTTGAAGAAATACGTGCTGTAATATGAATGTGATGACGATATGATAGATGAATACTTAGGAATGAGGATATGAGGAATATAAGGTAGGTACCATTATTTGAGTTTATATTCCGTCGGCAGCAAGCTCCCATCGTTTCATTGAGTCTCCATTCTTGGAAAAGCAGAAAAATTCAATATCTGTGCCTTTTGTATGTTAGTTGGAATTTCCATAACCGGAAACGAAACAAGTAGGCATTTCGAAATTATTTCATTCAATTTTAGTGCTCATATAATATCTGAAGTCCGAGACATCAATCACGAAAACAAATAATAACAATGACAGTTATATCCCAGCTGACGTCATGCGCAGAACAGGACGAGTTTGAGCTTTCTGTTGAGCACACCATCTTCTCCTTCCATTATGATTATTCCGAAATGTGAGTTATCAATTTATTATTGAACATACTAATTCAAAGATAATATACTCACCATGTTCGCGAAGTTGCCCAACTCGTCTCCTCTAGGCGCCCTGTCAGCACACACGACCGTCCACTTGTTTATCACTGCCCCGGAGACGAAACGGTCGCCTCTCCAAATCCCTTTGGCCACGGAGACCTTCCTGTTTCCTCCGTAGCCCAAATCTGGCGGTTTCAGAACTCTGGCTTCGAGTTTCTCGAACTCGCTGGCGACGGAAAAGCCGAATTCTCTGACGGTCGCATTGTCGTTATACCTCGCCTGACCCAAAGCCCTTTGATAGAAATTGAAAAAAAAAAAGGGATTATCGATATATTCACTGCTCGTCACCAGAGTAACCTTGGAATCTTCTATATTCCTAGAATGATGGAGAATAAGTAGATGGTGTACTTACTGTACTGTATTGTATTTTCATTAAATCCTTCTTACTATCGATACAATAGAATGGACGAGTCAACACAGGTAATAAAAATACAAGAATACTAAATTATAAATAATACAAAGCTGTAAATAATACAATGGACGAGTCAGAACAGGTAATTAGAAATACTAGAATACTAGATAATGAATGGAATCCTAAACAATTATACGAGTATAAAGTATAAGTAAATAGCTGAAGTACAGCACTAATAGTTTCACATAATTGGACAGGAACCAGCTGATGCGCTTTTGTTTCAGAAATTCTCGATCTCTCCGACCTCTCGAGAAAAATGGTTTCGGCGATCTTTTAATAGATGGCAACATTCAACAATTATGACATCTGTCAATTTTGATATTGCCGCAGATTTTTCGAATTTCGAGTGAAATAAACACACTTTTACATATGTTCCGCGAACCTAAATTGCCATTTGCCATTTTATTTTTAGTCGTCACACTCCTCACAGTACCAAATGCAGAATCACCATCTAGCGGAAAAAAATAGATGTAACGTCTCGCTCGGTGTGACGTAGAGAAATCATAGTGGGCGGTCGAGTGATTTTTCTTAAGATTTCAATACGTAAAAATGGCCGAGTACGCGCCCCATCTACTTATTTCCATCATTATTCCTAGAAAAATATTCAAGGAAGCAAGAGAAAATAAAGGAAAGAAGAAGTAGAAGAATAAGAAAAAATTAAATTGGATTTCAATCTTCCATTCATGATATATGGGATTTTTATTGTTTTCAACATAAACGAAACCACCTGGTTGATTAATCAAACTGGTGACAGAGATGTTATGATTATGAAAATATAAAAATGAAATTTCGGAAAAGAAAATCAGATCATGTCGACTGGAATGCCGGATAATGACTATCAAACATTAAATTATTGAAAGAATCAAGAATTCATAGTAATTAGGTTATACTTTCAGCAGAAGTTTTCAAGTCATAAGTTATTAACTTTTGTTTTAAAAGGCAAGGAAAACCATTCCTTCATATGCCAAGTTCAACCAGTGAGCACAATTAGTTGTAATTTCTCCCACAAATTCTCTGATCAAGTTTGGAAAATTAAACTGATTTTACCATGTGAACATCGGAACATTTCCCGGTTCATAATTTTTCAGATAAGATAAACCACTAATAGCAACTAGCAACTATTGTATGTCCATTCACCTAGGAAATAACGAAAACTCACCTCATTATTTTATCTTTGCGAACAGTCGTATTGGTAGCGGTGTGTCTTATCATTTCTCTTGTCTGGTTTTCGGTCATTTTCCTATTGACCGCTTGGTTCTCCTCTATAGTACAGAACTCCAAAGGCAAGAGCATTTTATCTCTGCGTTCTTTGTTTCCTACCCAAAGAGTTGGTAATTTGGGGTACCTGGAATGAGCGTTAATTTTGTGGTGTACTGGAAACACCCAAAGACATTTGCAACACTTTCCATCATTTTCCAGTAGAACGATTCAAAGTTTTCGAACTCTATACAGGGTGTTTCAAAAAAACCACTTCAAAATAAGTTGGGTTTACTCAGTAAAGAAATCTCGTAACGGCATCCGTTATCACGATACAAGATGTTTAAAATATTATTTTTTTACACATTAAGATTATGTCGTAACTACAGGCAACATTGTAATGATATTTTGTATGGATGTTTCTTGGAATCTATCTATCTAAGCGAAAAACATATTTTTGTCCTTGTCTGGAAAAACATATGATTTGCTTCAAAATCGTTTGTGGTTATGTTTGATTGTCACTGCTTGTCTAGTGTCCGTACTCTAATATAGGTCGCGTGCACGAAGACCGACTCTGGAGGCAAAATATTGAAACACAACCTCATTCTTCTGTGAATTATTGAAACACAACCTCACTTTTTTATTTGGTTACAGAGGAATCAAAAGGTTGAAATAGTTTTTCAATTTTCACAATATTTTGGCATACGAATCGTGTTTCTTGCGTTATTCATTAATTCAAGCATTCATTGTGCTGTTGTACAATGCACAAAAAATGCAGCAAGAGACTAGGGAATATGATTTTTCAGGTAAATAGTAATCTCACATAGTTAGCATTATGAAAAAATGTTGTCATTCCTTATTAAAATTCCTTCTGCCTTCGGCCACTTCTGCAATACAAGCTAATGCTGCTAATAGATTGAAAATGTCTACAACACACACGATCGTCAGCATGTCAGACCAGTCCTACCGATTGATTGCATGAATCCAATCTTCTTGCATTATTCTAGAAATTTCAGGTATATTTCTATTAGCTGATCCTATTGCAGAAGGAATTTCGATGAGAAATCAGAGAAATAACCAAATTTCAAAAATGAAAACTATGTGAGGACTATAGTAGGTACTTACTTTTGAATCATAATGTACCATCCGGATTTCTTCATCTTCCGCTGCAGTTTTTGTGCATTTTACAACAGCTCAATGTGATAGCATTAGCGAATTGATGAATAGCGGAAAAATACGATTCATATGCCAAAATAATTGTGGAAAACTATTTCGATCACTTGTAAACAAATATGTTTTGCCTCCAGGGTCGGTCATCTGACAGTTCTTGCACGCGACCTATACAAAAAATATCAAAACAGCAGTGTTAAGTACATTTAGGAACTCTAGCCGTTACCAGCGTTACTGACAAAAATATTTTGAATTCACAGATTATTGTGATTCATTCTCTGAATTCCACTGGAGTATGGAAAGCATTAAGATAGCGTGCGCTTTTACGAACACCTGCGCATTACAGACTGGTGTGTCTCTGCAATGAGCTCTGTACTGCACATGGGTTCGGAAATACGCCTACCGGTCTGTAAGACGAAAATAAAGAATGGAAAAAATTCAGTACTTCTGCACCAACTAACCTGAGCCTGACTCTATATTTGTCGGCGAAGTATTTTTCGATTGTAACTTCTGGTCCGTCATTCGGTCGGAATTTTTTGACGGCTGCCGGCTCTCCCACCCCATTCACTCTGTACGACCTTCTGGTTGCTCCTGCGTTGGGGATCTCGTAGGTGACTTTCAGCGTCTTTATGAACTTCTCGAATTTTTCGAGCTTGAAAATCACGAAGATGAATTATTATTTCTTCATTCAATTGGAAGAGTTTGAAAGAACAGTTATTCCACGAATTCTTTACTAAATTTTTTTCTATTGGTACACTTTGAGGTCATAAATATGGAAATAACAACTGATAATGTAAAATGGTTGAACATTTGTTACTGATATTTTAATTGACATGGTATATACAGAGTGATTCTTTTGAAAGCGGGCAACAATCATAAATCTTTTTTTATATAGCGATTTTTTTAATATGGAGAGGGAAAAGGTGTATTTTGGAGAACATTCGGAGGCTGAAAAATCCAGGAAAAATCTACGTACGCCACTGGAATCGGCGTCCTCTGGAATAGATCTGTACCAAGTTTCATGAATAAATATTCAACATTAACAATTCTATGAAATTACTGTTTATTATGTATTGAGAAGCTTTTCATGTGTTATCCATTCAATAACAAATTAATAATTAATTACAATTTTATTTAATCGACATTCTCATAAACACATTCCTATAAGACATTCTCCTAAAATAATATTGAATTAGCACACATGAATTGATTTCAGATTATGGATATGCATATTTTTCTTTCTCATATCCTCTTAGGTTTTTAGTTTAGGAGTTTTTTCATGAAACTTGGTACAGATCTATTCCAGAGGACGATTTTTTCAAAAAAAATCGCTTACATGAATTCTGGATTTTTTAGCCTTTGAATGTGATACATTCTGACCATTTATACCAATTCTTGTACCTCTATAGAACGGCGAAGCTTTTGACTTCTTTGTCAATGGAAGTATTTTAAAGACACAAATTTTAAAGTCAGTCGACCACACTTTATATAAAAGATTAAAAAACAGTGACCGGACAATAGTCACATTAAAACCATTAACGATTTAACAAAATCAAAAACGCCATTAGGCCAAGAAGTCAGGTAAAAGAAATATTTCTTTCAAGAAATTTTCTTATTAAATTTGTGCAATGTCATTGGACTAGTCGATATAGTATCTTTGGTTATGATAAAAAACCGATGATATCAAAATCAAGACAAATCCTGCAACCTACTTTACTGTCGAGTCGGATGCATATTTTTATAGAAGCAGAAAAGTAGAACAGGCAGTTAAAATATACTTTTCACTATCAATGCTACTTTACAAATTAACAAATGAATAATTCAAGATTAAACCATTGACCTAAACGAAATGGTAAGTCAAATTGACTTCATCCAACTTTATGCTAATGATAAAAAACATTCAACGAGAAATGACTGAAAATTATCAATCATATCAATAATTCAATAAATAATACCACAGGAATTCTCACTGGATAATTAGTGAATGTTGTTGAAACCACTGGAAACGTATAGCTGGCTCATTTTCAAGTCAATACAGAAAAAAAAGTTTCACATCGTTTTGATACTTTACTCAATATGAGGATTCAATATTAAACGCTACCAAGGAGTAAGTAATCGTTCGTTTTAAGGCTATTGATAGAAAACTGTTCTAACCTGGAATCTTTCCAGTCCTCTGGCTAAGTCTTCCCTAGAAACCGGGCGATAGTCTGATGCGAACAGATCGACTAAGGCATCCATAACGTTCATACTCTTGGGGAACGCCTTGTGGGCTACGTCGACATTTAGGAATGGTTTCCAACCTCTGCAAAAAATTATTAATTGAAAGGTCAACAAACGTTCATTATTTATAGTAAATGTTGGGTTTCATTTATATACCAAGTGACAAAGAAAGCTAAACACACATTTGTATTAAGCAGTGTAAAAAGAGTTTTCTTTTGAGTCCCACATAAGCTGCATTCCCAAACCCTATACCTAATCTATTGATTTATACAGCTACTAATATTAATTGAATATAACAATTGTAATGGAGTTCTACCAGAATATTTCTTTTGAATATTATAATTGTACATTTCATTTTAGAGAGACTGACGAAGGAATTAAATAAATTCCGAAAGCTTTCTCAAAAGTAAAAAGAGTTTTCTTTTGAGTCCCACATCAGCTGCATCCCCACAAACCCTATACCTAATCTATTGATTTATACAGCTACTAATATTAATTGAATATATATATATACTATGAATAATGCGCATGTGCACAATGATGAGAACAAGAATTGAATAACACATCTTATTAAAATAATTGAGTTGAAGGAGATATTGAACAATTCCACAGGGTTATTCTACTTTATTTATGCTTATTCTAAATTTTCTCTTATGCACGGAATGATCAATATGAAATAGGTTTGTATATATACAAGGTGTTTTTGAAATAAGTGCACATATTCAGCACATTAATATGATATAGTCTAAGGAATATTCCGATATCAGATTTTTTCTAATTCTTCTAATAAACGATAAATTTCATCCCAAAAATTTAACAAAATACGAGAAAAAAAATCAAGTACGCCACTTCCCTAAATTTTTTTGTCAGTGTCATTCAATAGTACACGTCGAGTTTTCTCAGTGTTTGAAATATTTGCACTTATTTCAATGCCACCCTGTATATACACGATTGGCGAAAAACAATATTTTCGTTTTCCATTTACAAGGTTCTCGAAAAACTTGACATAATTTGCGAAAAATCGAAATTTACTTTAAAAAAATCCAATTAAAATTTTTTGTTCAACCAATTTTTTTACTTGCCACAAGAATGTTTGTCAATCTAATACGACTAACAGTTTTCTACGAAAAATTTCAAACGATAGGGGAGGGGCAAGAATTTCTCACAAAATTTTTAATAAACATTTTGCCACCATGAAAATGCCGGAATTTCAAGTTTTTTCTTTCACCCTTTCCCGTATACACAAACTATATTTGGCATTTCAATGAATACTTTCACCAGAAATATAAAATACACATTCTTGCCATTAGGTACTACACGCAAGAATACCTGTTCCAGCCCACAGACAAGCTATGTTTGACATTCGAATACAGGGCGTTCGGAGAATATGGACAAAAACACTCTTTTCAATAGCAAAAATGTTTAATAGTCATTCTTGTTTTTACTGCACTATTACCCGTTCTCGCCCACAGACAAGTTATATTTGGCATTCTAATACAGTGGGTTTGGAGACATTGGGCGAACATTATTTTCCGATCGATGGCGTTTTGATTGTAATTTTATAACCAATACAGGGCAATTATTATCATCATACATAGTGATGACTTCATGCAACCCGGTCGCCTACCTGATGGCCGACTGGTAGAATCCATTGTACATCTCCATCCCTTCGCCCAGCTCGATGATCTGCTCCGGCCTGTGGAAGAAACTGCGGCCGACGGCGGTCAGAGACAGCGCTGGAGCGCTGCGCAGCACTATGTCCACCACCTGCAGGGCTTCTCGAGGGGTCTCTCCACGCTGGCTGCAAAACATCTGGACACTTAGAGACTATTGAATAGGAATATTCAGTAGTAGTACTATTAGTACTTCAAAATATTCGAGTTATACATCGATAACTTGTTGCATAATTATTCTGTTAAAGTGACACGATTTGTAATTATGCAGGAAGTTTGAGACCCCAGATATAGCTCACCCCTAGAGGTTACAGATTACCGTACTGTATTGTACTTCTTTTTACAGAGTCCATGCTTGAATAAGATGAGATTTTCCTGAAAACAGTAGGATCTGAATTGATGAAACAAAGTTTGTTGAACCTTAGTATCTTCAAGCAAGAGCATTACATAAACATAATGTGTCGAGATCTCAAAACTATCTCGCGCACCAGTTGCAAACAATTTTTTTTCTACAAACATAAAAAAAATGTTCTAAAATAAGTAATATGTTGAGCTCGATATAAAAAATAGTTGAACTTGAAAAGCCCCAATTATTATTAAATATTTAGAAATAAATATTTTCTAGAATTTTTGCTTGATTGAGGATCATAAAGGTTAAAATAGGAGAGGCTAGAATGGGACATCTAAGGCTACAAAACACGCGCCATAGATCGGGACACGCCAAGATAAAGGAAATAGTGGGAGGAAACATTCTTGAAATGAAACCCCAATATACTGCTTCAACATGAACTTCGAAGTGATCATAAAAGACCGAAGGGAATGGACAGATGACAACATCAAGGGCAAACCTGGAGAGAAGATCTGGTATACAGACGGGTCTAAGACCAAGGAAGGCTCTGGTGCTGGAATTTACAGTGAAGGGAGAAACTCCCAAATGAATTTCCCACTGGGAATAAACACTTCCGTATTTCGAGCGGAAATGTACGCAATCTTGCAATGTGCAAGAACCAACAATATGAGGGAAGTGCACGAATCAAAATATAATAGCCAGGCGTCACTGAAAGCTCTCACGAACCCGAAAGTGACATCCAGGCTGATACAGGAATGCAGAGAAGAACTCAATGTCCTGTCAGAACATAACAAAATAACCCTGTTATGGGTCCCAGGACATTGCGGCATCGTAGGGAACGAAAAAGCTGATGAACTGGCAAGAACCGGCGCATCAACTCTATACATTGGCCCAGAACCCGTACTAGGGGTTACAAAAACAGCTACCCGAGGCTATATACTAAACTGGATCAAGCAAAAACATAAGGAGCAATTGACTGAAGCCCCTCACATGCACCACGGGAAAGTATTCATTAAAGAACCGTCAAAAAATAAATCTGAAGAACTACTCGAGATGAGTAGGAACCAAGTCAGAACAATAACGGGACTTCTCACTGGTCACAGCCCAACAAGAGGACACCTGAATAAAATGGAGAACTTCTCTGCAGATGATGCGGTGAAGGGACAGAAACGGCCAAACACTTATCAATAGAATGCGAGGCATTGGATCGCAAAAGACAAGAAATATTCGGGTAGCCTAAGCTGACTCCCGAAGAATACAACAGTCAGATGAGTGACAAGAGTAACTTTGTTGACTGACATTTCAGCGAAATTGTTAACATTTGATACCAGTTTTCGAAAAATGACATTTTGTATGCATATCATCGAACTTTGAGTGTAGATTGCATACTAAATGTCAAGCGTGTAAGTAAATGATGTATTACACGAGAAATCGGGATTATCACTCGAGTGTAGCTCCAAAACCTCATTTGGAGTATGCATCGGTAATATGGGCACCTCAGACAAATAGTCATAAAGATTTGAAAGAAAATGTGCGAAAACACTTCCTAAGATACTTGTACCTGAAAGATGACAATACTTACCCGCACAGATCTTATAAATCTATTATGATTACATACAACCTACAATCCTTGAATGAAAGAAGAATCCTACGGTCTGTTTATTCATATATTTTATTACCAATAATGTTAGGTACAAAGAGTGTCAAATTGTTTTGTTGTGTTGATTAACTTCATCAAATTCACAAGAACCTAAAATTAATTTAAGAGTATTGAACAGATCATTATTTTTCTTTGATATATACAGCTCCTCACCTCTTAATTTCATGCTAAGGGAATGTGCAACACATTTATTGAGAAATTTGGCAATATTGATTTTTTTAATACTAGTCCTGGAGCAATCAGAAACAATTTGATGAGATGTACCTGGATAATATATTTGTGTAGTAAAAAAAAGGTTCTTATGCTTGTCTTGTTTTTTTATTTTACGATGTAGGTCGTTATTCTCTTTTGTTATATTAGATATTTTAAATAAACATTTTCTCAGTCAGTAAGCTGCCTTACATGTAATTACCCAGTGTGTTTGTAATAAGTTAATAAATAAATAAATGAAAACTGAAACCATAGGTGTGATCGTTGAATTATCGAGTTCGGGAAAAATTTTACACGTTAAAAAAAATGGAAAGAATACTGACCCTTTGCCTCTCAACCCTCTCATGTCCACCTCGTTGGCGAACTTGACTTCCACTTTGTACTCCTTGTCCCTACCGTCTAGCTCCCTATACACGATCGTCGCCGACATAGTCCCATCTATCGGCAACGGCGATGAACTATACAAGTTCTTCCTGCCGTCGAAGGCCGGATATCTATAATATAATGTCACTCTGTATCTTTGCACACATCAACAACTAAACATGGATTTTAATTTCCTTCACATTAGGTTTGTGTTTTCAGATCTAAAGGGAGAAACATAGGCCCATAAAAAATATATATTTTCGAAGTTATCCTAATCATTTGGAAAAAAAATTAACTAGGGTATTTTATGATTGCTTGATATGTTTCGGCGAAATGGTTTCGGGATTTTTGATCTGTTCATGAAATGAAACAGTTTTTTCATGAAATCGATACAGGGGGACAGTCATCACTTCAATTTCTTTGATAGTAAGCAAATATCGATCCACAGGGTGATTCGAGGTACTAAAGAGTCGTAAAATTCAGTCATGCATATTGCGGTTTGACCTTTGAATGCTCTGTATTGACGTAAAATGATTTATCATTCCTGTTATCATTCTTGATTAACTGATGACAAGTTTTCAGAATATTTTCTCCAATATTGAAATTATGCCGTTTAACTTTTTTCTGACTGTCAAATCAGTGTCGTTACATCAGGTACCGAAATATTTTCCATGAGCTATTATGATTTGTGATAAGTGTTTCTCTTGCGTGTATTTCACAAACAGTAGTATAGTGGTGTGCTCTAGTAGAACTATAGTAGAACGAATACTACCTAGTTGGATTTGACAAGACGATGGGATGTCAGATTATTACGCCATCCCACTGTCATTATTACTCTTATTACTCGATTCATCACAATAATGTCTGTCATTAAATGATGAGTTAGCAATGTATGAATGACTCCATAGTTGTAGATGAATATCATTATTTATTACCTCTTCGGGAACTTCTGCTGGCGGAACAGCTCCATCACCTGCCGCAAGTACTTCTTCGGAGTGTCCGGTACGAGGTTGACGTCGTAGTGGTAGGCTATCTCGATGTTGCCCAAGGACAAGCCCAAGTGGTTCGTTTCGATTTTGATGCGGCGCCCCTCAGTGCCCGGTACCACATCTCTGTATTTCAGGGTGTCGGAGCTCTCGGAAATTTGGACTTTTGCTAGTTGCTTGGTCGGCAAGGGATCTTTTTTTTGATAGAAAGAGAACATTCAATCAATCAACCAATCAATCAATCAATTTATTGGTATTAAAATACATACATAGTATTTATACAAGTCAATAATAAGAGTACAGTACATTTAAATTTCTCAACATATATGTCAATGAAATAGAAAATTTACATTCACGAATGTTGATAGAGAGGAGAACCCTCTAACATCATGTCAACTAAATTTTCCACTAACCAGTTCTACCAAATGCTATCGCCTTTGAGCCCAGTCAAAATTCAGGAATTCTTGATAACTATGAGCATGATCAATCAGGATTTCCTTTACATTCGATTTGAATGTTTTTGTCGGAAAATCTCTAACCTCAGTAGGAAGGTGATTGAAAAACTTAACAGCCCAGTAATTTGTGCCATTTTGGCATTTTGTGAGTCTATGATAGGGAATTAAAAGATCAGCTCCATTTCTTGTTGAGTAATGATGAATATCACAGTTTCTAGTATATAAAGATAAATTTGTCCTAATACGCAGTAAGTTTTGTAAAATATATATACAGGGAAGTGTCAAGATTTCCATTGAACTAAAAACATGGCGACAGTCATCTCTATATCGAAGCCCAACTACTATTCTCATAGCTTTTTGTTGTGAAGCAAACAATCTATTGATGTCTGCATGACCCCAGATAATGTTAGCATAGCTAAGGTGTACATGGAAAGTAGCGTGATAGGCAGTCTTGAGTGAGGTGAAAGATACAATACTTCATTATTCCTACACAGTGTTTTTTTTTTTCATTAAAAAACGGTCATTTGCAGCGAACCAAGATTTGGCATTTTGTAGCGCCTAATCACTCATTCATTTCATGTATTTTTTCTTTGGGTGTATGAATAATGGGGAAGTTTTCTGTATTGAGGTTTTTATCTCACTGTGAAGTTTGTAAAAATAGTTATTTATTATACAAGGGAAATAAGTAGTAGATTTTAGCTCCAGGTTGTGTTGTCTCCCGACGCGTAGCGGAGGGAGACAAAAAACCGTGAGCTAAAATCTAATATTTTTCCCGTGTATACTATTTTTTTCTACGGCAGAAGAAAGGACAAATCAATATTGAGAAGATATTACATTATTTTGAAATCTGAAAATTATCAACATGAAATTTTGAGTTTTTAACAGTAATGACACCTGCGTTGCAGGCATCCTTATCATTAATTTGAAGTAATCAAATATCTGATGTCACTTCTGTCAGTCTAATTCTGTGATTTGATTAAAAAAAGTTGCGAATTTAGTGGAGATGAAATGACTTGCAGTTCTCTCTCGGAGACGGTATTATTGACCTATTTTTCGGAACTATAGCACAACAAAAGCTATCAATAGTGTATATATATGTGATATATATCCGGGAAAAAAGTGCTCACTTTTTTCTCACGGGAAAAAAGTAATTTATGAAAAGTGACATTTTATAACCTGTCAACGGAGATGAAAACTTTTTTCCCGTCACAGAAAAAAATAATGTATACGTATTTTTTCTTTTTTTTGTAAGATCAAATTTCACTTCAGAAAAAAATAAATAAAAGAGGAACTCAGCTCCTCCACCATTCCTATGTCTTACTTTCTGAAAATCCACAGTCACACAAAGTTAAAATACGATTCCCTGTGCCAGTACAACGTTGCCGAATCATCAATATGTCTAGATTTCCGGAAATTGTTCATTAAATGCATAATAACTATATCATAACAGAAATGGGATATAATAGGTTATTCAATCCTACTCTGTCAAGTATTGTGAATAATTCCCACAAATCTCTCATTGGCTGAATGAAATATATTATATTTTGCGATAGTATCTATAATTTTGCACCATCATTATATTACAATATGTTATACATAACTTGCCAGTTATGTTTTGCTAATGAATTCGTTCCTTAATAAAACGGATCTATTTTCTAGGAAAGTTGGAGATTATATCTTGCAACAGCGTCTAATACTTCGGGTCCGTCCATACCACTCAAAATACTGACAGGCACAACAAGAGGAAGGAGCCATGGGTGTCAGCTTCATTCTGTTCTGACCGATAACAGTAAATTAGGAAGGATAGTATCATTGAATGTAGTGATTCATTGATTCAATGATATTTTCGTTCAGGATCGAGCTTTATTGGAGATATTTCAATGCATAAATAACAAAACCACAACCTGTCAAAATGAAGCCAACTACCTTCTGCATTCCTGCTCCGAGACCATTTGTGGTTATGTATGTTTTTGTTTACCAGTTTTTCTTCGTCTTCTATTTTTTTCATTCGTTTTTCATTCGTCAACTGTTCGTTAGCTACTCGCTAGCTATATTCTTCACCATCAGCTATTTTCAGACTAGATTCAGAATGTATGTCACAGTTTGTCGCCCCGAAAATTAGAAATGTTATGATGAAATTTTGATGATTCACGGTCGCCAAGGTCATTAGATGACGTTAAAAACTACGGGAAAACATGTCTAACTTCCAATCTACGCCATGATTAAAGATGACCTTGGCGACAGAAAATATTTGAAAAATACTACAAAATCTCTCCACATGAAATTCGTCATCTCACCTTTCTTTGGTGTACCCCTTTGGGGCTGTTTCTTCTCTTGCTGGTCCCCAGAGCTTCCTGGGCGAGATCCCTCAGGCTTTTGGGGGCCCCTTTGAGGCTGTTGCACCACAGCCTGAGCTTCAGCACCATATGATACAGGCCCAGGAACTTGTTGGGGATCCCTTTGTTGTTGGGGAGCAGGACCAAATTGTTGTTGTAAGGCAGGTCCCCCTTGTTGCTGTGGATAAGGTCCTCTTTGTTGCTGGGGAGCAGGCCCCCTCTGTTGCTGTGGAGCAGGCCCCCTCTGTTGCTGGGGAGCAGGCCCCCTCTGTTGCTGTGGAGCAGGCCCCCTCTGTTGATGGGGAGCAGGCCCCCTCTGTTGCTGTGGAGAAGGTCCTCTCTGTTGCTGTGGAGTAGGTCCCCTCTGTTGATGTTGTGGCGAGTATCCCATTTGTTGTTGTGGCGGGTATCCCATTTGCTGTTGTGGTGGGTATCCCATTTGCTGTTGTGGATGGTATCCCATTTGCTGTTGTGGTGGGTATCCCATTTGCTGTTGTGGATGGTATCCCATTTGCTGCTGAGGTACCTGCTGTTGTTGTTGAGGGCCTCGAGCTCCCCAAGGACCTTGTTGTTGTGGGGTGGGAGGCACTTGCTGTTGAGGCGGGGGTACCATTTGCTGCTGGGGTTGAGCCCCCCGAGCTCCCCAAGGACCTTGTTGTTGTGGGGTGGAAGCTACGTGCTGTTGAGGTGGGGGTGCCATTTGCTGTTGACGAGGGGGTGCCATCTGATGCTGTGGGGTTGGTGGACCCTTGAAGTGTACAGTAGTTATTTGTATGCCTAGGCCTGAAATTTACGTTTTGGTGTGCCGAAAGAAAAGTTTTCGACAAGGCAAGATAACCTTGAGGTCGGCAACAAGTTTCGCGGTCTTGGTGTACACACTATTTTTTGTGCAATCGTCAAATTCAGATATTGGTTTACGCACGGCGCTTCATTTACGCCCAGCATTTTCATTAAATGCGCCCGGGCGCATTAATATTCGAAATATTGCATGTTGGAAATTGATAGAAAATACAGTAAGCTGTCCATACCAAATACATGATGAAAGAAAAGATGGCGGGCGGTGCAGGTTGCCCGTCACTTGCTCCTAAAGACAGTGAAAATTTCTACTGTAAACATTGTTTGAAAAAAGTGACAAAAGTTAAGTGCTCTAAATGTGCTGAAATATTCCACCCAGCATGTCTTAAGCAATCCGGGGATCAAAAAAATGCAGAATGCAAGCATGAGGTTGCAAATACTAATAATGATGAGAGTTTTGATGAAAAAACCTACCTTAAAGAAGAAAATAAACTGCTCAAACAGGCAATAGCGGATAAAAGCGTGATAATCGCCGACAACTAACAACTAATTCATCTGTTGCACGAGAAAATCGTATTTCTAGAATCGAGAATAATGTCAACTAAATCCTCACATGTGGAAAAAACTGAATTACCTACAGATAAAGATACGAGAGGTATGACCTCTAAAAAAAGCGAGAACATAAAAACCCAACAAACGGCTTCGTCATCAAGATTGACTACTGCTTTGAATGAAGGGAATTCTAGATTACAGAGTGGCACAATAAAAGTGAACCAAGTAGCTGCTGAAATAGAGAAAATCCAAACTCAAAAAATAGCTAACGACATGATACATTTGAGGGATGATGTCAATAAAAATATATATATTATATATCGGCTATATAATATATATCACTGATATCATTTGAACAGTGGCTGGATACTCACACTGCCTCTGTTGGACTGAATTACAAAATTTTCAACTTTTCCAAGGTACTAGGGAACTTTTCAATTTTTCAGTAATATTTTACCAACTTTTCAAGTGAACTTTTTATCAGTTGCAACACCACAGTACATACATGAACCTTATTTTGAGAACATGTGTTTTGTTACTTGAACTTAGATATCAAATTAAAAAAAAATTAGGTGGCCATTTGGTTGGGTCAATAAAGAACATTTATAATTATTATTTTTTTTATCGATTGGAGCGCACGAAAGGGAATCCCTATAATGTTCAAAGAACATCGTGCGTTCCTAGGGAGGATAGGGACAGGAGGTAGGTATTGGAATTTTACTTACTTGTGGTATACCTGGAGGAGGCCCAGTTCCAGTTGAAGGCTTACTCTGGGAAACAGCATCAGTTTTCTTTTTCTTCTTTCCTCCACCTCCTGTGGTGACAAATTTATTGACTGGCAATAATTTTGAATGCTTTCTTTTAATGAATAATGATTGAATATGTAGAAAACAATAACTTCTGGAAAAATCTTCAGATTCCTTAATTTTTACAGGAAGATGAGTTAATGAAAAAAATATTAGATAAGATAGTTCAAGTAGATCGGAATTTTGGTTCAAGTGTTGGGTATTTATTAGAGAATTCTTTGTAGTAACCACACATTTTCGTCATGATAATGCAATACTGCTAATTGCCATTCTTTTTTTATCATTAGATATTTTATATGCTTATGATTATACCTTAATAACAAATTAAATACAGGAAAATCGGAAAGAAGTAAATTTTTTTGCCGATTTTTCACATAATTATTTGAATTTTAGAACATGATCAGCTGACAGCAATTAGCAATCAAAGAGATATATTGCAAATATGTAAAGCAAGAACTCACTATGACTCATCTTTCACCATAATTATGGGTGTACTGAACACTACACAAGGAAGATAATATTAACCAAGTCATTGTGGCCATCATCAGCTAGTGATGGATAAAAAAATGTAAAAAATATCAACAGGATTTTAATGTCTTGTTGATCTTCATAAATTAAATGTTCATTATGATATGTCATTGAGTATTAAGAGTTTTCAATAAAAGAATAAAAAGCACTAGTTGCTTTACAATGTATACCCAAGAAGGGCAAAAAAGGAAGGCGCATTTTTGAACTTTTCAGAGAAATATCTTCATCAAAGGTTGATTCCTTCACAATTAGATTTCAAAATGTTTATATTTTTATTTGATAGAATCCAGGAGAGAAAATCCCAGATAATCTAGCAGAATGTATGAAAAACAATTACAAATTTCCCTTTCAAATTTGATAGTGGACATAAAATGTACTTTACCTTGGCTAGGGGTTGGCTGTGGTGGCTCCTGAGGAGGGGATACCTGCTGGCTTGGTTGAGGTTGATGAGATCCACCTGGTTGCTGTTGGGCAGCAGGAGCTGACCCTGAGGCTGCCTCTTCTTGTGATTTTCCCTTTCCTATTATTCAACATTTTTCAAAATCAAGATAATGATATGTCAAGAAGACTGGAGTAAGAAGTAGAACCAATGTCAAAACAACACAGGACTTTGAATGGGTTTGTTAAGCTACCTATATGCAATCTAAAATTTCATATATAGGTATTCCTGGGCCTGCCTAATAATTCAGCACAAGAACTGTCTTGTGAATTTTTGATTCATCAATCAGAAGAATTGGAAATCTAAATATAAGTTCTAAATATAAGTTCTAAATATAAGTATACATTATTATTCCAGATATGTAGACAGTGATTGAGGGTTGAATTTGAAAAATATAGTGAAATAGGTCATCGACTTTATCAGTCCTTGGTATATTTTTGCTCTTGTGGAGTCCTGGGAGTGCCTGGGATTCACACATCGTTAGGAATGACGTCACAACACAAAAAATCATAGTGTTTAGGTCTTCAGGTGAAACATTTCTAAATTCTCTTACCTTTCTTTTTTCCCATCTTTGAAAACAATTATCTGTATCAGTTGTTGAGAAAGTTCTTCACGATTGATGATTAATCGAAACCAACTGTGAAAAAATATTTATTTCTTCAACAACAGCAGTATATACTTTTCTTGAGTTTACTTTTCCACGTATGTTATCTACAAATTCAACTGTACTGAACTGAATACAAATCAATGTAGAAAATCGGTAATTCTACAAAAATCTACTGGAATTCACTTCTCACTATATTCGATAGAAATAAAAATTGCTCAGCTCAGAAATCAGAAGTATAATGAAGAATGTGAAAAGTCAAAAGTGAAATTGGTGATTGGTGAATGCGAATGATAGGTTGCGGCGTTGCCAGTTTTAGTAAACTTTTAACTTTACTGCGTACTGCCCGTACTGGACTGCCTAGGATTGTACCAGATTCACGAACAGCGTACTAGATCATGATGACCAGGGATATCATCACCGCGGGACAATGATGATCGTGGGATAATCCGAAACTATGTATCATAGATATATGTCTATTTTATTTATAGTTGCCGACGTAGGGAAAAAATAATACGACAATATGGCTACTAATTTCAAATTTTATAGATTCCAAAAGCAGCGCGAGCAGTCACTTCAAATGGTGCGAGAGATGCTCCAAGCTCCAATAGACTGTAAGAGGTCTGTTCGTTTGTATTGCTGAACTTGCTAAAGTTGATTTGTTTTCCTATAGTTGTCTCTGTTTATGGCATGATGTAAACAGAGATGTCATAGAAATCAAAATTCGTAGAATAGTACTAGATTTGATTTCTTAGATCATACAGGCAATGACGGCTAAATGGACTGTCTGACGAGTACTACATGACTGTCCAATCACTCAGTTCAGTGTATTCTCCACCAGAGGGGTTTACTTGCCGTCCTTTGCGGAGAAGTCATTTGTTTAGCTCTCATTCGGTTGTTTTCCAATAACTTAGGTTATATTGGATTATTATTATTATTATCAAGTGTCAAAACTTTGTCACTGTCAGGTCCCTGATGTGTTCTGTTGAATATCGATAAATTCCTTTACTTTTTCGGATTTTCATTCAATCAAGCATTTTTCTTTGTGTTTAGTTCTGGTAGTTTATTTCTTCAGGTTTGCTAGTTGTGTCTTCATCATGTATGTACAACAGCCTTGTAGCGTATGAAATGAAATGTATGAATAATCGTATCAAATATCGGGTTTGCTTTTTCGAATCTCATACCCAGTGATAAACTCCACAGCAAGAATGGTCGAATTTTATTTTGGAAGGCATTGGTAAGAATATGGTTTTTCATGTACACTTTTCTTTTGATTTTCAATTTCAGCCTCGATTCTACCATTAGAACACTAGTGTTAATTCTGGTGTTGAAGTTTGTGTCAATGATTTTGGAAAACACTATAGAGTGATGATCAATAGCACTACATATGGCGACTTATCAGGATGGGGACATACATTCAGAAAGGATCGCTTACCATAATTATTTTCAAGGTATGTTTTAGTCTGCATTGTTGTTGCTTACCTAGGTAGGGTAGGTGTAGTATTGTTGAAAACTGTTTCATGTGTTCAAACTTAGATTACCATATACCTACAGGATGGGCATCCCAAAAAGCAACACCAAGAATGGGAGAGGAATGGAATTTAAGGTATGCTCTTTGAATCCCAGAGAATCATCAGTCTAGGCCAACATCTGGAGTTTTTTCGAGTGCCATAACTACAATTTGAGGTATTTTGTGTTCCTGCTTCCTGGCAAATATCACAGAATAATGATACTATCAGAGATTTTCAAAAATGTTTTTCACTGCTGTGATGATTTTGTCACAAAAAATTTAAATTAATTATTTGGCCTAAGTTTATGTATTATGTATGCCCATCTATCAATGAGATCCTATATAGCTTTCTTGTTTTCTTGATAGAAGTATGAGATGGTATGTGAAATAAGGTAAAATGTTGTCACTGATACTAGCCCACTAACTATAGTTTCCCCAAGTAGATCTAAGAAGATGAAAAGAGTGCAAACTCAACTTTTGAATGCATATAACTATTTCTATTTCCACAAAGTTTTGAAAATGGTTGAAAATATGGATTGATAGATAGATATAGATGATATGTATAGAAAGCATTTATTCAAGTAATATAATAATTTTATTCCATAGACAGTCACCATAATAAACAATTTCCTTTTCCATCAAATTAGCTGATGATGAGCTTATATTTGAACTTAAAACATGCTTCTTCACTGCTGATTTCTGAACAGATAATAGAAATTGTAGGATACACAATAATATATCATCTTCCTCTTTTATTTCCAGTGTCCAAAGGATCTCCAGGTAACCTAGCTTCATCCTCCAAAGTCAAGATCCCATATCCAAGCCGTTTTATATTCATTGTGTTGCCATCCCCAGAACCTATAAAGAAATGTTGCATTTAATGATTTTGAAGATGACATAGTTCTATCAATTTTGCAATACAATTTATCTGTATATCTGATATGAAATATATAAGTATGAAATGATAAATTGATATTTAATTTGCTATTCATGGAGATACCTGATATTGTAGTTAGAATGCCTGATTATTTTTCTGCACCCTCACCTAATTAAACAATTGTTCACAAAGCTCACCTTATATAGTGAATATTCTGGTTATGCATAGATAGCATCATCAGAATTGAATGTCTCCAGTCATCATTCAATCAAACCTCATGAAGAGCTGCTTCAACATTGTGTTGAGAAAATTCAGTATCTTCCTGAAAATACAAATTAAGAAATATCACTTGAGATCACAGATTTTGTGAAACAATATTAAATGTTGCAGTACATTTCACTTTGAGAATACAGCAGTATCTGGTTATTAGGGCTACCATGGCTCTTATTAGGCAGTTAAAAATTCAATCAATGAAATAATTGAACATGTCCTTACCTATTCACGAATTGACGAAGATGATTTCCACTTGAATGGCATTATTATTTATGCATATAATAGCGTTATTTGGCATGAACACTCCTAAACACTTCATTTTGTTGGCTTTTTCACAGTTTTACTTGGTATCTCGAACAAAGCTCTTCAATCTCGAGTGACAATGAGTGACAGGCTGACAGTGAGAAAATTTGTCAACAAATAATGCAGGATCATGAATGCAGGTTATGTTGAATAGCTCATTTGACACAGGAAATAGATGACGCCACTTGCCGTCCCATCAAAATTTCATTACAGGGCGATTTGGCGATTTTCGCTGAATGAACAGTCATGTATAACCCGTCAGACAGTCCATTTAGCCGTCATTGATACAGGTATGATCTAAGGAACTTACTTCACACTTTCTGCGCTGAATTCTAACAACCATGACTTTCCGTATGTACGTAATTTTGAACCAATCAGAACGAATCTATCTATGACGGTCAATTCGAAACTCTTATCTTTAATATTACGTTATTTCAAGTTGAGGAAGCATCATTTTGAAAATATTAATAATAAAATATTTTCAGGGGAACCCATGTTCTTTTTGTTTTTGAGTTTTCTGCCCTTTGAAATGAACTGTTTTTTATTTGCTGCTGATGGTTGATTATTAATTTTTGCAGTAGCTAGGTATTCTCCGAAATGTTTATATTGTAGATTCTCTTTCCATTAGGAATTTTGGTTCGTTCAAATGATGAGAATAACCCACCCATAATTAATTGTTTTTTTTTATGGGGATGTGGGGGTTATAATTTTCTGTGGCAATCAAACAATATTTTCTTCCTGTTCCCCCATTATCAATCTCGTTGTAAACTTAAAAAAATAAAATAAATGTCTGTTATTCAGCCATATATTATTTATAGACTCATTGAAGTCCGATATTTGAAACTTTTGACAAAATTATATCAGCACTAAAGCTTTGAAAGTCCTGATTCTGTGGTCCTGAATCATTATTGTGCATAGGTACGACCTCTCTATATATAAAACAGTTGAATAAAAAACTTTATTTTATTATGTTTTTTTAATCACTCTTAAGAAATAAACAAAAACAATAAGTGAGCATTAATCTTTCTCAAAATTGTCCTATATGTCGTCGTCAGCTTAAGCGCTATATAATTATTATGTGAAAATAAGAGGTAGCTTGAAGAAGGGATATTTAATAAACAAGTTCAACCACCCTGTAATGTCATTAGATGACGATGCTATGACATTCAAAATTACAGGAAAACATGAAACATCCTCTAACTCCTGGCGATTGAAAGTTAGATGTTTTCCCGTAGTTTTTATGTCATCGAACGTCATCTAATGATCCTGGCCTCCGTGAATAGTAACTACATACAATCTGTGTTACATACCAAGGCACAGAACTTACAGAAGACATTTTTAAAAGCCAAGCTGTAATAAGGATTAAGCGAGGCGACAATAAGAGCCTTTTGTATATATACAGGGTGTTTCAAAAAAACCTGACCCCCTTACTAGGGTAGGTAGAACACTGCAAAATAACGGCATCCGTTATCAAAGATACGACATTTTTTCACTGAGCAAACCCAACTTATTTTGCAGTGTTCTACCTCCCCTAGCAAGGGGGTTAGGTTTTTTTAAAACACCCTGTATATTAGTTTTTCCACTACTTACTATTAGAATATATTATGTTCCTAATATGATGTGGTCTTATGCCCAATAATCTTCACTTTTTCGTGGAGAGTAAATATTGCTAGTAGAGTCGTTGACAGCTGTCAGATGAGCGACATTTCACTTGATAATAGGCCTTTTTATTTAGATGACAAATGACTATCTCTGTCTACATTTCGCATCCAACGACATTGGCGGCCATTTTCACCGAAACATTTGCACCACACCCCTCAGTAACGAATAAGTAACGTTTTCTCGAATTAAATTATTATAATACGAACATACTATGTTGTTATTGTTGTTTTCTCAATGAGGAATGCCCATTATGGTTGACACTGTTGACATTTGGCAGACCGACAATAACGTCAATAAAAACCGCCATATCCGAAATGGCCAATCAGAATTTTGTTTGGGAACTATGACGAATGAGACTTCACCTTCCCATTACCCAATCAAATTTTGGATCTAAAAACGAGCGCATGCGTCTTGAAAATATATCTAAATGAAAAGGCCTATTTAAGCATTTTAGAGAGGATAGATCATGTTGATAGTTTTTATTTTCAACTATAGTAGGATAGTTAGTAGATTTATATACTATGAGTCACTAATGAAAGATATTATTCTCGAGGAATTGATCTATCATCATTATTCCTGCCAGGATTAATGTATGGTATTTTGTACTGCAAAAAACAGATTCACATTCGATTGGTCGTATATATTTTTTATTATTGACCTGCAGTTGTAAAGAAAAACGATTTTTCAGGTCAATAATGGTGTTCTAGAGCTAGTAGTGGAAAAAATAAATATAAGACCCTGATAGGCGAGTCTTCTATACTGCCAAGAGTACCCACTTATTTTTAACACTAAATAAAAAGTGAAATCACAACGGATCATAAATCCAACAAGGCAGGCTTTGTTTCTTTTGCACATTTCAAAATCGACTGCATAAGTTTGACAAATCCAGTGTCTTTGGGCTTCTCTAGTCCTCTGAGAAGCCTATTCTTCATAACTGCGATGAACTCTTTGTTGCTCAATTGGCCGTCCACTGAAAAAATTCAGTGTTTTACATCTCAGTAAAATTACAAAAATAATTTTCTTCAAATGTCAGTTCTAGTCCAAGAGCCAGCTGCAATTTTCGACCGTCATCTGATAACGAAATGATATATACAGGGTGTCCGAAAATTAGGCGCAAAAAATCAAGGGGGTGATTCTACATGATGAAAGAAGAAATCCATTTTATATGTATGTTGGTCCGGAAATGCATAGTTTTCAACATACAGTGTATTAAACTTTAGAAAAAAAAAACGGTTTTTATGAATATCTCAAATGTCCTTCCACCGATTTTCTTGAATTTTGGCAATACTATTTTTTGTCATGAGGGGCTGATATACTCATAATTCAATTGGAATTATAGAATCCAGTGGCGTCCTAGGGGCAACCTACCGAATATTATTGTTAATAAAATGTGCGCCACACGAAATATTCGGAAATATTGACGCTCTGCCACTAACTTAGATCAGTTTGAATCACAACACATTTGGAAATATGTCTGTGCCTTGGATTTGACTCAGATTAGGAGGTGGCACAGGTAAGTTTTTGAGATCCTCCATTCAATTGGTATAGGATGGCATAATTCTTATCTCGTTATAAAATTGCGAAATTGAGCTCTTTTCTACCTTGAACGAGAGAGAAAACTTCTCTCCTCCTCCAACTTTCTCTTCTGTGCTACCAACGTGGCCGCATTGAAATATAGAGAGATCCAATAAATCTTTCCTTGTCTAACGTCTACTCTGCGCCACTGAACTATTGTTCGATGTTATGATGATGTGACATGTCTGTCATAAATGTCATTGAGTGATAACCTTTCGAATTTTTTAAATGAAATTTCGAAATGATTTCGAATTATAGTATACTTATTTTGACATCATTTGTTAATATCGTTGAATTTGACTCTGCTGACAGATGACGACCGGGGGGGGGGGTCTTGTGATACATCATTTTGAAGTCCTGACAAATAATTAACAACCCTAGAACATGGAGTCAATTTCTTTACCTACTACAAAATGGCGGAACATTTGATAATTGCCTGAATACATGGAAGTTTACTTCTCAATTTGGAGAAACAAGCTGAGTTCAGCCTATCCGATATTTCATGTCGAACACTTTCGAACACAGTTACGTCGATATTTCTACAAATATTTATCATCCAATACCCAATATTGAAGCAGGTGCAGTTTCGCACACATTTTGCTTCAAATAGCCCCATAAAGCAACGTCTAAAGGTGTTAAATCTGGCGAGCGGACTGGCCATTTCATAGGACTTCGACGGTCAATCCAACGACCGGGCAAAGTATTATCCAAATGATTCTAACTTTTCTGGCTGTGTTCCATCTTGTTGGAATACAACTATTAAATGTACCACCATTCGTCATCTTGAAATTTTCATCTGTCAATTTTACTCCAAAATATAGTATCACGTTCAAAAAATAAAAGGGGGAAAGGGACATTAGAGAAATGCACTGTATATGTCAGTTGATATTTAGAATTCCAGAAAATTGTGTATTCTCAATGCTTTTAGGTGATTTTAATGAATAAAACTCACAGTTCTCATCGAAAATGGTGAAAACTACGTTGATGACATGATCGCTAAGCTCCACATGCGCAACAGTTTTGGCCACATGTTTCAGAGTTTGTTGATCAATCGAGGCACCAGCTATATGGTAGAAAGTCAACGCAGTATCAACATCGTTGATATTATTCAGAAAATGGAAGAAATTCATGTAGTCCTCTTTGGAAATTCCTTTTCCATGGTCTCTGAAACTGAAGCCAAAATAAGACAAACAAAAATAATTTGGAATGTTAATGAGGAAAAACTAGTTGTGAACAGAACTTCATCATACGTTTTCTTCACTCGCTTCAACATCCTAGCCTTTTTCTTTTGGGGATACCCTGCATAGGCCAGTAAGAGCTCAGTGAATTCAGCTTCGCTGATATTTCCATTTTCGTCTGGATTTTTCCGGCGGAACTCGAGACTCAATATTTCTCTTTGAAGCTTCTCTTGGAAGTCGAGGAATTTTTCTATGGTAAGTTTTTGTTTCAGGTTAGGTCCAAAGAAATAAGTAGTTAATGCCGAATTCACACCCTAAAAAAAATTATCCTCTATATGAATTCTAAATATTTTAGAGAGAAATGGAATTCTAGCAGATTTTCTGTGACAGAGTATACATTCTTCAACAGGATGTATAAGCAAAAATAGTTTTGATAAATTTTGCAAAATTACAAAATTCAAAGACCCACCGATTAAATTGATCCTGTTAAGGCTCTGGTCACAGAAATAGTTATATGATACCTAATTGATGAAAATTTGTGCATATGTGATTTCTACACCCCTTTGAAAAATATGCATCATCTTTGAAAACACCCTGTATACTAAATAATTTGACATGAATATCAAATTCATTTCATTCAAATTATGGTCCTCGTAAAATTAATTGTCATCATGTCCTACTCTAACTGTTAACCTATATCTTTAAAAATTTTGTATTTTCCAAAAATATCAGATTATGTTCCAGGTAAGGTAAAACTTAGAAATAAATCATGTCAATTAGGTACCTTGAAAGTATTTCCAGTATTCGCATGGTCTCGGTGTCTAGATCCTATGCTAGTTTGCTGTCTGATAAGAGTAGCAACTTTCTCAAATTCTTCACAATCCACATCTCCATCTCCATTCAAGTCAAACATTCGAAAAGCAATCTCGAAATGTCTACGAGAAGCTTGAAAGTAAAGTAATTATAAGAATGTTCATTAAATGAACCAGAATAGTATGAACGGTAATATTCCGAAAGTGATATCTCTTTCACATACAGGGTGTTATTTAAGTATATGGCCAAACTTCAAGAGGTGACTTCTTTAGTGATTCCAAGTCGAAAAGTTCATATGAACATAGCTCCGGAAATAAATAATTTTGAATATACAGGGTGTCAAACTTTTTTGAGTAATGTGAGTATGGACTACTACAGAAGAAAAAAAAATGTGAGTTTTATGTAAACCTAGTTATAGCTTAATACATTTTTCACTACTACAAATATCACTGCAATAGTTCAACCGAATCGGATTGAAGATTTTTGCGATATTTTTTCTTTGAACGGTGTACTTCTAGACCTATGTTTACATGAACTTTTCAATCCATCAACCCATGAAGTTTGGCCACATACAGGAATAACACCCTGTATACATATTATTTATTTCTACTCATTTGAACAAAATTAAATATTTCCTCTAAGATATTTCCTCTTGATATTTACAAAATGACAGAATTGATACTGTGTTGAATATATGAATATTTTTTCTACCAAATAAATTATTTGTAAATGTATACTTACTTGACAATACAGTCAAAAGGAATATGTAATCTGAAAAAGTGATCAATCCAGAACTTCCTAATCTGTAGAATATGCTGTCTTCATCTAGAGTGAGTTCTAGTTTTTGCTGAACTGTCTGATCAAAAATAAACATAGAACTGAGCAAGATTAGTCAGTAGGTATATTGAAAAAATATTTTTATTACACTTCTTTGAAATCAACTTGTTTTCATATACAGGGTGTTTCAAAAAAACCTAACTCCCTAAATAGGGTAGGTAGAACACAGCAAAATAAGTTGGGTTAACTCAGTAAAGAAATTTCGTAACAGCATCCGTTATCAAGATACAAGGTGTTGAAAAAATAATTTTTTTACACATTTTTCAAGATTATGTCGAAACTACTGGCAACATTGTGATGAAATTTTGTATGGATGTTTCTTGAAATCTAACACATCTCATGCATTTGTTTTTATATCTGACTCTCATAGAGGGCGCTAGTTACACGGTTCGTATCGAGTAGTTTTGAACATAACTTTTTTGAGGTTAGATTTTTCAATCCAAATTTGATATGAACTTGAACATCATTCAATTCCACACCAAAAAGGTACTCTTGGTAAAACTCAATACTGTGTTCCGTTTTCGGAATATTTCGATTTGAAAATGATGAAGTGATAACTGTTGCTGATATAAAGCTATGTATTAGAGTGAGTATTATGAAAAATTATCACCTATTTATTGAAAACCGAAAACAACAATACATTTCTGATGCTAGACTTATCGATTCAACAATGAATCACAAGAATAACATCGAAACAGATTTGACTAAGAACATGGATTACACAGTTTTGTTGTATCTTGAGCAGAAAGTTTATGCTACATAGGTAAATTCACGTCAAGAGTTGTAAGACATAATTGAACATCACTTAAATGACCTAACAGCTGATTCTCAACTGTTTGAAAGAATAATACATTCTCAAGAAAAGAATATAGAATCGATGTATTCGTCGAAACGTAGGACATTTTGAACACTTACTCTAACTAATTCAATATTTCATGTTTCTAGTCAAATATCTTTTAATTTTCTACTTATGATTCTTTGTTTCATCAATGACTTCAGTACAAGAATGATTTTATTGTTTTTGAATCTGAAAAAATAGGTAATTGAACTCAATAAAATTTTATACCAGCATCAGCTATTACTCCATTATTTTCAAATCGAAATATTCCGAAAATGGAACATTGTATCGAGTTTCACCAGGGGTACCTTTTTGGTGTAAAATTGAATTATGTTCAAGTTCATATCATATTTGGATTGAAAAATCTAACCTCAAAAGAGTTATGTTATAAACTACTCGGTACGAACCGTGTAACTAGCGCCCTCTATGAGAGTCAGATATGAAAACAAATCCATGTGATGTGTCAGATTTCAAGGAACACCCACACAAAATTTCATTACAATGTTGCCAGTAGTTTCGACATAATCGTGAAAAATGTGTAAAAAAATAATTTTTTCAACACCTTGTATCTTGAAAACGGATGCCGTTACAACATTTTTTCACTGAGCAAACCCAACTTATTTTGCAGTGTTCTACCTACCCTAGCAAGGGGGTCAGGTTTTTTTGAAACACCCTGTATATTGGTAATATTGTAAGATAGTCTTTTTCCGGCTATCGCACGGAAACAGCGCACTGAAAAACTTTGAGAATAAACATGGAATCGATCGAATCATACATGCCAAACACTGTATAAAATCCCGAAATTCCCGATAATCTACAGCAAGATGCATAAGTGACAACTATGAAAATTAATATGTTTTAAGTTTTTTTTGGTGTCTTTTTTATGTAATTTTATTATTATATTTTCATTTTCATCGAAGTGTAATAAAAAATATCATTCATTACTCGTCCAGAAATTATTTTTCCGTGCTTGCATGTCTTGTCAAACGCGCACGAAAAAACACCTATTTCCAGACATGTATACCATAAAAACAAGTTATTTTCCGAAATATTAAGGATACTCAAGTGAATCTTTCAATATTGAATGAAGGAAACTTCTGAATATTAAATACTGAACAATTTGAAAAAACTGATGACCATCAAAAAATTTCCAGCATTCAACATCAAAGTTACAGTTGATATTCTACGTAGAGGTATTCTACTGAAATATTTTCAGCAAAGGATGCAGAAGTATCAAGAATAGTAGGTTCCTATTCAATTAATACTATTGATAAAATGCTATCGAATATCATGTTTTTTTGCATTCTCATAACACTGGACAAGCTTCTCTAGTGAGTACATAAATAAATGAAATCTCTGGAGCTATTTGGATAAATCCAGTTTCAAATCACAAGCAAAGCTAATCGAAAAATGTGTTCATGCTCCTTACAAAAATAGGAATAACATAGATGAAAACATGCAAAACGTCATTCCACAGATAGGATAGTTACCTGTAAGCCGTGCTGAAATTAATAGATATTTATTTACAAGATCAGAAGTAATCAGTAGGTGATAATTTAGTGATAATATAGGTAGTTAGGTACCAGAGAAGATTGAAATATGAATACAAAAATATTAGTATAGTGAGGATTGAATGTGATGTTTGAAAAATTGAGTCAACTTGAAAATTTGCTCACCTTTGGGTCATATCTTTTGTATTGGTCTAGTCCCAACCCTAAAAAATAAATTATCATTAGATAAGAATGCCTTTCAATGATTCAATTTTGTGATTCATTTGAAACATAATCATCCATTGACTATAGGTACTTATTATACAATAATAATGTACAGGATTTCCGAAATTTGGGATATTTCACTGATTTTGACATTTTCAAAGCAAGCAAAGCATGAGCATTGCACGAGCTTGTTGTTAAAAAAAGCATTATCTTCAAGCAGCCCAAAATGAATATGAGTACAGTATTTTGAGTTCAATTTTTTTTCTCTTCATTTTTAGTTTAGCAGTATCAGCAGTTAATACTGTGCAATTCAAAAAGCAGTGCATAGATGTTTTCAAACAATTAATAATAGTGAATGAGATGTTTATAATGGGGGAGACCACGGATTTTTGGAAACGACATTATCGTGAACTCCATACTGAAAAACTACCAGTGAATTAATTTTGAATTTTTTCATTCATCCTAAGACGATGAAAAAAATAAATCAGAATATGCCCATTTCAAACCACACAATTTCTGTGCCATTTGAAATTTTGTCAATTCATTGGTGTGACTGGTGCGACGTCTTAGTCCCAACACGCCTATCGTCCTTGAACTCACCAATCACACTGCAACACTACAGAATGACGAGGTATCAGAGAGAGATAGCGACAGTGCGGGACTAATACGTCACGGCTCCACCATCATATTTAGCTTTTCGAAATAACGAATGAAATATATGCTGATTCCAAAACGATATAGATTCGATTCCCTTCAACTTCAACTCATAATATTGATTGTAGACCAAACGTAAATCATGATTCGTCGATTGAAAGAGGTTTGCACGGATTTCTTTCCTCAGTGGTCTTCCCCATTCCTATATAAACATCTCAATAGTGAAAAACCCCACTCTTATGAAAACAAATCCTCATCCACTGGTTGGTACTTAGTTGGTACTAGAATGCCTCGAATCTTATTACACGCCCTTTGAAGAATGTGGACATGCTTGTCATCACTGACATTTCTGAATTGTCATCATTCTCAGATTTGAAACGTCACTGAAAATTGAATAGGCGTCCCGCGGTAATGTTTTCGAATATGTCCTGTTCAGTAACGGATTGCGAAAAATTCTAAGAGTAATAATAATAATAATAATGTGTCTTTATTCATCATCAATAAAGAAATTACGCAACCAATTTAGAAATAAAATTCAAAAAGATGATGAAATGGAGGGGTTAAGTTATCAAAGCTGCTTTTCAACACAACCAAAAATAGATAATGATCATAAACATGTATATCATACAAACAGTTAATGGTAGGTAATGAGATTGAAATGAGTAGAATATTGATGGTAATAATATGGTAATAATACTGATGAAAACAATGATGATAATAATAATAAGTGATAATAATGAGTTGACAATATTGATGATAATAAAGAAACAAATAATGCATAATATGTCGGCGTCGATTAGTGAAATCCGTCATTCCCTGAAATACCTAGGCATTTCACGTATTGTCGGCAAACAGCGTAACAGCATAACTTACATTTTCAGCCGTTACTGTGTTTGCCGGAGGGTTGAGGAAACAAAATATCCTTTCTGCATATGCATAAGAAGGGAGACTATTTTTCCGCCTAAATGAACCTTCTTCCTGGAAAGTATATTTTTCAGAAAATTACTTGAGAGAACAGAAGAGAATACTGCTTCTAAACAACCTAAGCTGACTCAGCCTAATTGACCCTTCCTTCCGTCATTACAGAGAATGGCTGAAACTATTAGGCAAACGGTGTAAGAAATTTAGAGTTACGCTGTTTGGCGGCAATACGTGAAATGACTAGGTATTCCAGAGAATTGCGGATTTCACTGTTTGACGCCGTATGTATGTATTATGTTAAGGGGGAACAACTGAGAAGCTGCTTAAATAATATCCACGTCTCAATATCAAGTTTATATTCTAGCACAATAACACCTTTACAGGTCTCTAGTCTCAACTCTACTGCTCATCCTAACTATTCCTTGTCACCCTCTCTTATCTAGCTTATGTAACTCCTTAATCATGCATTCAATATCTCTTAGTCATAAAACCAGCACCCGTCGATATTCTAAACATAATACGGGGTGATGGTACTGAATCACACAACATATATAATAATAATGATAATATAATAATAATGATAATATAATACTATAGTGATTAATGTAATTTGGTGGGTATCTCTGGAGTGTTTCTAACAATTATGTTAGATATCGTCATGCCTGGAGAGAAACTAGCCATTCTATCATTCCCTAGTAAGAAACAATGCTTTCAATCTCTTCTTGAGATTTCTCAAAGTGAATTCTTTTAGTTCCGAGGGAAGGGTATTATATAATTTAGAAGCATTATATGAGAAGCAACGGGTGACTAGTGCTGTGTTGTGTTTGGGAATGAGTAGAATATGTTTGTTATGGTTACCATTAATCTTTGAGTTATCCAAAGACGGGAAGACATTTCAAGTTTTCTGTGTTCCTTAAAGCTTCAAATTCCAATATTCATTTCATGGAAATACATTCAATGATGTAGATATAACTACAAAATGAGCTTTATGTGCCTTTGGTGTTACATGTCTGTACTCGATCAATGAAGGGGTACAGAAAAATGACATTCCATCACTAATTTATAAAACATATTTGTATGAATGATAGAATGATGGACGTCGTAAGATATGGTGTAATTACTGATGCGCTTTTGTTTCAGAAATTTTACTCGACCTCTCGAGAGCAGCGAGAGCAATGGTTCCGTTGATCTTCTAATAGATGGCGACATACCACAATTAAGATTTTTGTCAGTTTTGAAATTGTCGCAGATTTTTCGAATTCAGAGTTGTTTAATCCCACTGTTACATATGTTCCGCGTACCTAAAATGGCATTTGCCATTTTATTTCCACTGGTCACAGCAGCAATAGCAGCATCACCATCTAGCGGGAAAATGTAGAACCAACGTCTCGCTCGTTGTGACGTAGAGAAATCATAGTAGGCCGGTCGAGTGATTCTTCTGAAATTTTCATTATTTAATAATGGCCGAAAACGCACACCATATCTTACTTCCATCATTTTTGTATCTCATGTTTTTTGTTCAGCTGTTTGATAACATAACACGTGTGTCCACATTCTTTAAAGGGCCTGAAATGAGATGTTCGCGGCACTCTAGTTGGTACAAAATGGTCAAAAATGAAAAGATTATATTCAATACATTTTTCAATGGTGATAAATAAAATAGTATCTATAAATGCAAATTGAAAAAAAAACAAATCATGAAATAAACAGACAAACCTGCTATTTACAATTCAAAATATTTACAGGACCATGAAATATAAAAATTGTATATAATTTCAAAATATAGAATTATAATTTGATTGTAATCTTCTCAAAACATATAAGAAAATACTACTACTACTATTATTGAAAAAATTCCAAAGAATCCAATTTATGATTCTTGTCTCAAATTCCAGATCATAAAACCAATAACTTGCTAACATTAAAGAATGGTCCTGTATGTACATGAGATTACAAGCTGAAAGGAAAAAACCAGACACCATAATATGGAAAAAAAGTATCTCCAAATATGGTCTTGGTTGTAAGTCAGACTAACCGTCAGGTTGTTTTAGACCAGGAGTCATCGATCTTAAAAAATCATCAGGAGTCATGAAAATGTCGTGCTGATCCGACGATGAACCTTGAACTTGCAGAGTAGCAAAGTAACGGAACACTTTGTCTGGTGTTGAGTAGTGTCTTATGCGATTTTCATATTCTATTATCTGCGTTCACATGCACATAAAAATGTTCAATTAATATGCAGACAAGAGACATTCAACTATCGCCAGTGGCAGACGAAACACGCAACAAATGCATCACCTTCATAGTCTTTATGAACATGAAGAATAATCGCAGGGTATCATATAAAGTTATAGTCATGTTGTAGCCATCTAGTGGCAAAGCTCTAAGGTAGGATACAGAGATCGCGACACACACTGTATGGCGCTGCCATCTATAGTCACATGTACAGACTCCTACGTCTATTCGCGGGAATCAATGTTACCAGGTGGCGCTCGATTTTCATCGTTTCATGTCAAAGCCACGTCAAAACTGGGGGAAAACAAACTCAATCCTCACTCAATTGACTCAATCCCATTAGGGCCATTAGCTTGTGTACTGTGTACTGATAAGAGTGATGTTTTTAAATGTCTTGACATTAATTGTCAATATTCGATCGAAAACGCTAATAATGCCTGTTGTAGATGTTCTTTTGGCAGATATTTTGCTCTATTTTGATGGAAAAAGCCGACCAGTAGTGGAAGGAGAAGCAGTTCTCCGTGCTAATCATGTGATTTTGCGTGAGGCAGAAGACTTCAACAAAAGGCACATTTTTGCACTTTGTCTACAAACTTCGGCGATGAAGTCTTCCCCACATGAAGTAAAATTGAAGTTGGGGTCCAGATGAACTCCTGTAGAACAATGGATTTGTATTTGTTCATGCAAAGCAGGACAATTTGGGTATTGTAAACATGTTGTAGCTGTTCTTTTATATGTCAATTGATTTGCTCGTCATAATTAGTTTGAATTGTTCGAACTATCTCCAATCTTTCACCCGTTCACTGTTCACTAAGCTAATGAAAATGTAATAATGTTAAAAAATTAACCAACTCAACCATCATCAATACCAACAGTGCCAACACTTTATGTCATTGACAAGTTTGACTACAGCTACAAGCTGAATGCAATGTAGTCCATGCACTTTATCCATAGACGGCATAGACGGCATAGACAACAGTTTGTTTTCCCCCAGTTTGAAGTTCGTATTATGTAACCTAGATGTTGCCCACTTCGTGAATCTCGCGAATACGCAACAGAGTGGTACTACAAGTGAACCACTCTGCTGACAGATGGCACTCCCTGTATCCTACCTTAGAGCTTTGGCACTAGATGGCTACAACATGACTATAACTTCATGTTATACCCTGCGTCTTCGAAATGGGTGATATACCCGAAGCGTACAGTTGTCCCAGTTGTCAGCAGACCGAGAGCGGCTGATGAGACCTGGTAGGTCGAAACAGTACTGTCTCGCTCTTGCCGATAATTGGGGCAACTCTGTTCGTCCTGGTTCTCTTAGTTAAGAGATCTAGCAGATGAAGAATAATAATTACAAGCCATATAATTGAAAATAATGATAGCACTCTTGCATAAAACTCCAAATGGCAGAGTTCAATTTATGGTTGAAAACATCAGCAATTGTTCTTCCACCTAACCAACAAAGAATAGTGTTCTAATTATAATGATATGTCTCATGTTTCTTCTGTCACTAACTATTTCTGATCAAAACAGCCTCGACCAGGGACCAGGGCCTTATTTTAATCATGTTCATTCTTGAGTCATTCAAGATAACATTTAAAACTTTATATTGAGTCAATCTGGATATTTTTCAAATTTTTATAGCTAAAAATACTTTTGCTGATACCATTTTGTTAATCTGGTAATTTTTTGATTTTTAATTTCATATTATACAGACAGGGCTCCCCATTTGATACAAAACACCTTGAATTACTCTTGAGAGAATTTCTTACTGAAGAATTTTTATATCACAAGAAAGCCAAAGATTTCAACTAAAATGCAGTTTTTCAAAAAATTAATAATGATTTTCAAGATCAAGGTCTCTCTTTCAAGGTTTATACATTATTATTCATGTACAAGTAAAAAATAGTAGATTGTTTTATTAGGATCACAAGTGACATTTTGTTTGACAAGTGAATTTTGCGATTGCAAATTTGCGATTCAAACAAAGTCGGTTTCGATCCGTATGAAACATGCTATTTTTTCTGCAACCGGAAGAATTCACTAAAATTAATATGTGAAGTAACCACCAATGTGACCTACTTGATAGACTATTAATTCATTAGAATATTGGTGGACGATGACTTTACTTCGTTACAATTTGTGTAGAAGTGCATCATCACATACTACAGGCACGAATTCAATACTATACCCGAAACGTGGTTGCAATAAATAATAAATAATCCGTGTGGTGAAAATATTTCACCTGCATTTACAGATCAGATCAGGTTTATTCAATTTCCAAGGATGTTCGAATTGTAGTTTCAATATGAATACAACCACGGAGTGACCCATTTGTGTATTCTATTGAATCGATGAATTCATTTGGACCAGGTGTCTGCCCTAATAGAAAATACCGCCCCAGTGCCAGGTAGAGGAAAAAGAAGTGTAAAATGTTAGGTTAGTGAGCATATCAATCAACAACAATAATGACGATTATTTATTTATCTAAATATTCCACTGTGTTTGGCTCGGTAATCAAAATAAAGGTAAACAATATCGTTGTGTGAGACAAAAAAGTATTGCTGGCCGCAATTATACAAAAACAAGTTATCCAATCAATCAGATCCCCAGAATGAATGAAATACGGATCAAGCAAGTATGTGAATCTTGAAGGCTTTCCTGATGATTAACTATAATATGGTGTATTTATATCTCCAGCATGGGTATGACTTTTGTGTCAGTTGCAGAAAAAATACTTCTCATCTATGATGTACAGGGCTAGTTTTATTAATGTGAAGCCCTCTTAATCTTTTTTTCCGCCCATCAAAAAAGATTTGATAAAGATTTTATACAATTATTTCCCATATATATTCCAATCATAGTGACAGTGTTGCAATATCTCTTCAAATATACAGGGAATTCAGAAAATATATATACTTTTTGAATGGAAAGTGCTGTATATTTTGATAGATATGAATCCCTTATATCATATATTTGAAATCAGGATGGATTGAGGAATCCAAATCTATCAAAATATACGGCGCATTTGAAAATGAAAAAAATATATTTTTCTGTATACCCTCTATATTTGAAGAGATATTGCATCATTGTCATCATAGTATAGAATCAGCTTCAATTTTTTTTTTAACGAGTATGAAACAAAAAAGATGAAGGTGGGTTCACATTAATAAAACTAGCCCTGTACATACAATTGAGTGAGCAATAGAAATAATGAGATGTTCATTTTATTTATCTAGTCACTGTGTTCAAATCATAGGAAAGCATTAATATTCTTAGCTGTCTTACTGAACTTTGGATTAGCTTCTCTGATTTTGAGAACATCTATTTAGTTTCAAAGACTCATGACTGTTTTAACAGGGTTTCTCTATTTTCTGAAAATATGAAATACTGTTATTTGGTATCTGATCTGACATCACTGTAAACTGTAAATATCCAGTGACCTAAAGAAGAGCTCTCCCTGAATAATGAACAGCCAGTAATCATGGCTGTTTTGATCAACTCTAATACCAAACTGAAATTCAGTAGATACTGATATCTTGATTAAGTCCATATTTTAATTTAAATAATTTTGCTTCTCAAACATGTATATTGACAATTATGCATATTTCTTGCATTCTTTTCTATTAGCTGCAAGTATATTATACCACAAAAGGAATGAAACAATTTGATGAGTTTATTGTTCTGTAGAACAACAGGGATATTATAACTGACTCATAAATGCTGAACTTGAATACATAATTGGAAAATGCCATGAGATTTTTCAGTTTGAAGTGAATTTATCAGGATATTTGTTTATTGTAGATGAATTGAGTGATCAGTTTGATTATAGCCTTATTCCACACCTCAGATGCTCAATGTTAGTAGGATCCAACACCAAGCAGAATCACAAAGCACCCAAGTTTATTTACCATCAGGCTGTTTCATCCCTGGGGTAATGGCCCTTAAAAAGTCATCTGGGGTCATGTACACTTCTGTCACATCATTGAAAATAAGTTTCACTGTGGCAAAGTACCTAAATATCTTATCAGGTGTGGAGTAAGACCTCATACGATTCTCATATTCTATTATCTAAAGTTCATGTGGAAAAAATAATTAATTATGAAGGACAAACAAGAAAATTGTTCAGCCAAAAGTCAGGAGAACCATCTTACTTTTCTATCTCTGAACCCAATTTTTTCCCTTCTATGTTTCTTCCTCTTTGTTTCTTCATCTGAACATTCTTCCATGTTATTGTCCACATTCATCCTTTCTTCAAGGGTCTCACTTTCTGCTTTTACAGACAATAATTGCTTTATCCTGTAATGTGTGCAATATTCAATCATAATCATTTATGTCTGTGATAAAAACTATAAGAACATTTATCCAGTATCCCACATAGCACATGTATGTTTCATGTATGTCCATTGGATGTACAGCATTGACCTCATGGACCTACACTTAGGTCCATGAAGGTCCATTGGATGTAGTACAAGGATATTTCATACGCCCATTCATCTGGTTACTGGCTCGGTTACTGGTCACGTCCATAAAAGACCGGAATATGTCAAATAAATACAGATACAGTAGATATAACATCTTATGTATGTACGTCAAGGATGTCCAATGGACATACATAAAGAACTTCATTGATGTGCATCACTCACCATTTGTAGTTAATTGATGGAATAATGAAGAAAAAGAGCAAGAAAGAGTACCAAATTTTTGAGAATCTCGCCTCTGGCTCTTGTTTGTGTCCGAAATTCTTATAGAAACGTTTTTGGGCAAGATCGACTTCTTTAATTTGCAGAAATGTTATTGCTGGAGCGTTTCGGAATGCCAATGTGTTGTGGAATCTAATTCCAAGCAAACCACAACGCGCAATTTTTAAGTAATTCATTTTTTGAATTTGGAATTTTTGAACAATTTTCTCATATTCTCATATCATTTACAGACATTTGCAGCTGATATCTGTCATCTGTCACTGTCAGTCACAGTGCCATTCTGTCATCGTCATTTTGACTTTCTTCTGTTCCTAGCCCCCTAATGTTCCTCTCTCTTGCTATCTGGTACACTTATCATTTAATGTATTTAGCCTACTTGATTTGGTCTTGGTCCTTTCTGTGAGTCTTCACTAGGATTTTCAGAATCACCTATGCTGCTATTCTGCACTCCAGTACAGACTCTGCAGGATATGTATAATTCCATATTCATAGAATGTAAGGAAATCAGTATTCTGCCAGTGCGATTTCAATATATTTCTATAAAATGACATTACATAGTATGTAACATTCTTATGGACCCGATTTTCACACTGTAATTGTTAAATTACTTATGTAGGTAATAATATGGATGTTATAAGAAATCCTTGTATGCTCTAATCTCCTATGCATCTCCTTTCAAGTCGATTAGAAGGAGAGTGTCCCAAAATGACTGAAAGTTGTATGTATGTACATTAGTAGTAAAGTATAAGGCATAAGTTGCATGGTGGGGCATAAAATTCTTCTTCTCTCACTATGAAGACATCATATGGGTTTGACATTTGGTTTTAGAGGGGAAAGGGGCAATGGTAAAACTTCAAAAATCATTATTGCAGAAATTTGGAGTGTGAATGGTAATTGAAATAATTTATTTTTTGATACTCTTATTGGTGATTCTGATTATTTTTGATCGAAGCTACCACGCTGTTGTTTCCAGTTGCAGGAAATTCTTTAACATGGATCCTGAGGATGCAAAATTTATGCGAACGTGAGTAATCTTTCATATTTCTCTTAATGTTTTCTGTTTCATAATGTTACCTCGGAGTTACAGTGAACGTAAACCAGGTTCTATCGATGTCCATCCCAATGTTGATGCAATCATTCTAAATTATGATTTGGACATACAAATATTGGCATCCAAGGATAGTGTAATTTATGAGGAAAAAAAGGCAACCCACTACCTACATCCTTTTGTTTATATGTTAATGGTACAATTTTCAGGGTCTGAAAAAGATTATAGAGTTGCCAATGATTAATAGTCGTACTGATTGCCATGTTTTGTCAAAAGAAGTTGTCAGTCAATGTGATCTCATCCACCACTCACGACTTGCAGAAGTGGAGCAAATAATATATTATTTGAAGAAAAGGAAGCTTCAAACTGGCGTGAAAGGGGGCTCTGCCTTGCTGTTGGATGCAGGCCAAAATTCAACAGACAAAAATGAAGCAAACTACAACAGTTTGTCTGACTACATTGATTTGCTGTATGAGGGTATGACTGAAAAAATCAAAGGGGCACAGCTGATTCAGTTATTGGCTAGAGACCCCCAAAATTTAGAAGCACTTGCTAAAAATGGTAATGTATAAGTATTGATTGATATAAACTTTCATTACTGTTCAGATTCATGGTTAAGGTTCATGCTCAGGTAATTTATATATAAGTATTTCTCATTTATTTCAGAAATTCTGATAAGTGCACTTGGCCGTGTATTGAGAGAAGATTGGAAAAGGAGTATTGCTTTGAGCACTCATCTAGTTTTCACATTTTTTTGTTTTTCAATGTATTCCTGCTTCCATGATGTCATTTTGAAGTGTAAGGTGAGTTATATATAGTGATTTGTATAATTCATTTTATAAAGTTGTTCAGGGACATAATTATTCATTTGAAATATAATTGAGGAGCTACTGAAAAAGTCAGTCATTCAAATAATTCAATTCATCTGGAGGTTCTCAATTTGATTCACCATTTCCAAGAGCAAGATATCAATAATGATTCTGCTCAGTATATCTATATATCCAATCCATTGTGAAATATGTGAATAGGACAATGAATACAGAACCAAGTACAGAATATTCAACCTTGTGATCATAGTTAAAACATTTAATCATAAATATCCAATTCATCTTGCTTCCATGTATGGAGGTATATATGAATCAGCAGTACAATGAGGAATACATTGAATAAGGAAAACCTCATGATTAGTAATGTCAACAGTATTAATTATAATGTATTATTCTCTTATCAATGCTTATCCAAACAAATGTGGAAAATACCTTTCCATATAAGGTAGAATCAACATTTCCTAAGGAAATAAAAGAAAACAAAATCACAAATATTTTATATTTGATATTGAAAGATTGCCAATTTACAGAAAATGAATATCCAACAAGGATATTCTTGAAAATTTCCTCCCTTACTACTACTGAAACTGACAAGAAGTGTTTTTTATGCTCTATCAATATCCAACACCTTGTGAAAAATGTGTCCTTTCAGAACCAACATTTCTTTGGGAAAAGGGTTAATTGCACACGTTTGTAAGAAAATATCAGGAAAATAACTTCTTGGACCACTATACCTATACCCTCATTATTATATTTGATTAGGAACATATCTTTTTTTCTATTGATGTGAACCATTTACTGACGCCACTGTGTATGCTCCCTTGATGTTAATTGACGTAAAGATGACAAATACGTCGCTAACGAAATTTTCAAAACGGGTTTCTTTATTTTATCTGGAGCAAAAAAAGTATGAGAACTTGCTGACCCACGCTATATTTGTAATTTTTCTCTAGATACTCCCTGATTTACTTGAATATCTTGAAATTTCATTGAGCGGTTCTCTATAGTAGTTGTTAAACAGGCTATTTTATAATGAGCACTTATAATGAATACTTTGGCGGTAGATTCCTGGATCGAAAATAAGAGGAAGAGCTTGATTGAACACGGGTCGAAAAATGACTCCTTGTCATCATCAATCAGGACGCCCAATTCACCTATTCATATGTTTCCTGGAAAATTTTCAGTTCTGAAGAATTAAATTTTGTCGCACTTTTTACGGAAGCACCCCCGTATCTTACGTAATTGACTTTATCTCTGGACTTTCCCTTCCTCCTGCAAATTTCAGATCCCTATCTCAATAATTACGTGAGATACGGGGGTGCTTCCATGAGAAGTGAGGCAAAATTGAATTTTTCTGAACTGAAAATTTTCTAGGAAAACTATGAATAGTTAGTGAATTGGGCGTCCTGATTCCGAATCCGAAGTGATTTTCAACCTATTTTGACTCCTAATATAATTTTCCGGAAATTGGCGAGCAGTGAATTTCACTGAAGATGACCCCACTTGGTCATAGAGTGCATTTTTGGTATATGTCTCGCTCCAGCAGATCAGGATCCTAACCCAACGATTACGTAAGATACAGGGGTGTTTCCATTAGAAGTGGGTGACATTGTATCAGTAGCGCATCTAGGATTTAGTTCTGGGAGGGGTAAATGTCCAATAATCAGGTAGATACTTCGTGGGTCATCTCACGTAATGACGTATCTCATAAAAATCGGAATCTGATATACTTCGTCAAATGATTTATATTCTTGTACTTTATGATCTCACAAAGTGGCGTAAATCAATATTCAATGGTTTTCGTGCAATTGAAAATCTAATACCCAGCCTATCTCAAATTATTGGACTACCGAATCTCACGAAGTGACCTAACTATAGCAGTTACGTCAGTACGTGAGATATATTTTCATTATGTGTTGAAAATGTCGAAAGTGACGTATCTCACATCAGGGTTGTCGCGGAAATCAAAATATCTTGGGTGACGTATATCAAGGTACTGAAAGGAGGATTGTACAAGTGGAATGAATTTCTGTGTTTTTATCAATAAAAATGAATATTCAGATCTGTTATTCATTTGAATTCACTCGATATCCATGGGTGTATCTGAGGCTCCATTAACAAACATGATCTCACGTAGTGAGTGGGGATGCTTTTTCGAAATCTCACCATATCATGACAACTAGTTCCAGTTCATCCACTGATAGATGAAAAAATAATGATCTTTCATGAACAACCCTCTGAGTTATGAGCTAATTAAGATGTTGAAAATCTTTGAACTGCTCTGCTGTGAAATTAGGAAAACTGAGATACTACGTCACTACGTGAGATGACTGTCGATTTGATATGTGATATATTCACATAAAATATATAGGGAACAGAAACCTATCATTGAGTATAGAAACTAAAAATAAAAAACGAATAAAAAAATCAAGAACATAAAAAAAAATGTCATCAACATTTGAACAAAAATAAAACAAGAATAAAATACAAAAATAACAAAAAACATCTCAAAATATAACAAAAAACTCTTTGGAAAGAGGAGATTACAAAATAAAGTCTAGTCTTCTATTTTTTTTGGTAGCATATCGATTAATAACATCTTCGACATCTACCTGAATCTCTCTATGTATGCATAGCATTGCCAAACCTGAAAGCCTTTCTTGCAGCATGGTTGAGCGTAGCCAAGTTTTCAACCGTTTAAGGCAGGAAAAACTTCTTTCCGCAGAAGCCACACTAACAGGCAAGGTAACAAAATGAAATATTTGTAGGCATTGTTTAATAATGGGAAACATAACGGATTTCCACAACTGAAACTCAGAATTTAGTTTTATGAAAGTTATATCATTGCTCATATTCTCATGCAACCTATTGATGTAGTCTGTTATTGTTTGAAGTGATTTAGTAAGTGCATCGGGACTTCTTGAACAAAAAATTGAATAAAAAAATATATTGAACTCAAAAGTATTCAGTCCCTCTTCATCAAACCTAAGACGAAAGTCGTTCGTAACATGATTCAACAAAGGTATGTACAAGTTGAGCCTGTAGTAAGTTTCAACATTTTCTGCTTGTATATTACTACGATATACTTGTCGTTTTATTATTCTTGGACTATGAATATCTATCTCCATTTTTTCATGAATATCACAAACCAATTCAAAAATAGCTTTAAATTGACGCTCAGCATTGCTTCGTTTTTCTTCCAAAACCAAAATTACATTTTCTATAACTTTACCAGCATATTGTCTGTCCATTGATTTTGTTTGTAAAATCTTACTTACATTAACTGTTAAAGCCAAAATTTCACTCGAGCTATAAAGAGAAACAATAAATTCTGTAGAAGTAATTCCAGTTTTGAGAATCTCAGCTTTAGACGATGAATCGCGGTCTTTCCAAGTTGAAATGATTCTGAGCAAATCAACAATGCTTTCGAAGCAATTTTTAAATTGCAGCACTGATTCGTGCCTATTTACCCATCTAGTATCACAAAGAGTTTTGAGTTGAGTATTACCTAATTCTTGGCTGAGAAGGAAATTTCTTTTAGCCGATGCCCTGATACCCCCCGTGTCCTGGGGGGGGTAATTAACCCCTTTACCCCCCCCCCCTTGGATGCGCGCCTGCATTGTATATATATTTTATAAAAATAGATCTACTATATGTCAAAGCAATTGCGCTGATCAATAGATATTGGCGTCGCAGAGCGGGGCCAATTAGCGATTACGAACAATAATAAGAGGACATATGGAAGACGGTCAGGACTCAGTGTTGCCAGGTGTGGCGATTTATCGCATTTACAGCAACTTTTTTTGGTGATATGCGACATTAAATCGAATTTGGCGACTAACAGGAGATTTATTGGCGACATGTGCATGATAATACGACAATCATTGGTAACATTCGCAATCAAGTTTTTTGAATAGGCAAAATGTCAGGATTTACTACGGAAACGGAATGGCTCAATGTCGGATCATCTTCATCTATGTTTTCTGAATTTCACATTTTTGAATGTTTGCCTACCCTAACATGAATAGCATTGCACGCCACTGTAAATAGTAAACTATCTTTCAATAAATGTTTTCGAGAACGTATTTTCTCAGAATCAGGTATCAGTTGCCTCAGTCTCCGTCGGGCTTTTGGTATTTTCTTTTCACTATGGCGAGATGAGGTTTCTACGTCATAAGAGGGTCTGTTTTCAGAAGGGACTATTATTTATGTCCAAAAATGAAACATTCCAGTTAATTTTTCGATAGAATTATGTCGTCAATCATTATTTCTGTATAAAAGGATCATTATAAACATGGTTTGAGTTAAAAGTTCTACTAAGGTGTACACGCCCATTCACACACAATTTATATACAGATACATGAAAATATAACAGAACCACATAGTACACAGAATATTCAGTCTGTAACCCTTCCTAGCAACACAAAGTATATGAAGATATATGAAATGAATTTCATCGATTGAAATATTCGTCGATACCTACTATGAAAACAACGGTTAATCAGAAATTCTTTGAGTTTAATTTTGAAATGACTTTCTCGTCTTCGTACATTTTTTATTTCGTCAGATAAGTGATTGTATCGAATTTAGCTCCCTTATAAGATGGACAATTTTCATACAGACGAGTTGAATGTTTCTGAAGTCAATTCACCGTGCCTGGTAGGATACGTATGAAAGTCACAGTTTCGATCATAATTCTGCATTTGTTTCCTGAATAATAAAATACATTTGTAAATATTAATACAAGGTACACATACGATACTGCCAAGGTATTGCATGTCCCCTCTATAATTTTAGGTAGGTTCCATCTGCATGGACATCCTGGACTATGAACTACGTCGCTACGACAAGTGGAAAGCGGATTTCGAAGGCTCCGAAGCTCCCTCCGACACCCCCATAGTCCCGGCGGCCCGCAAACCTTGCCCCAGCAGCGCCAGCATGTCCGAGATTCCCCGGAGTCGCATCCCGGAGCCGGTTCGTCCGAAGTCTGGCAACTTTTCCGACACCAACATCACTCAGATAATGGAGGGGAGCATCTACGAGGATCTGACCAACTCTATGGAGTGCATTGACGATAAAAAACTCACAGATGAGCAGAAGCTGAAAAGATTTCGCACACTTGTGAAGAAGCAAGAGCACTTGCTGCGGGTTGCTTTCTATTTGCTGTTGAATATCTCCGAGGATGAAACGGTGGAGGAGAAGATGTCCAAGAGGAACATCATCGGGCTGTTGGGCAAAGCTTTAGATAGGGAGAACGAGGATTTGTTGATTCTGGTCGCGACTTTCCTGAAAAAATTGTCGATAATGCAGTGCAACAAGGAAGCCATGATGGGTAGTTCGAATGTTGTCGAGAAGCTGCCGAGGTTGTTGGAGTCGAATAGTGCTGATTTGGTGCATTTGACGCTGAAGCTGCTTTTCAACTTGTCATTCGACGGTGCGGTCAGAGCGAAAATTGTCCAAGTGGGAATGTTGCCCAAAATTAGGAGTCTCCTGAGTGAGTTTTGGTTCATAGATTATATTCACTGTGTACCTACCAATGTCAAAATAAAAAAAAACGATTGGAAAGCATAATATATCAATGGATATGATCTAATTTTTGTAATTCTCACTTGCAAGCTTTGAAATTCCCTAGTAATTTTGCATATTCTTTTTAGGCGATGATAAACATCAAGAAGTTGTTCTCAAAATCCTGTACCACTTGAGTTATGAAGATGAGATCAAGCACCAATTCATGGATTGCATCGGATTGGTAAATTATTCCTACTTACCTTTATTATTTCTTCATTCATTATTGCTCTATTTTTTCGTTTCAACCATGTGATGAAATTCGACATAATAGGCTACTGATCTGGTATTGAGTTTCTCACATTCCAGAATTACACTGTGATATTACAGACCTCAAAAGATTTTTCATACCATTTGAATGTGTTTTTATTGCAAATAATGAACCAATGCGCTGTTAGTTGTTGAAAATTACGGCTTGATTCGAACAGACCATGATATTTCGCCTGCCGATATCGATGTTGATGACGTAATTTGTTAATATTGCTATGCTAACCACGCCCAGACTCGGCCAACACGTTGCCTAGTCGCAGCATTTCATGAATACCTAACATCTACCAGACCTAAAATCATGTGCTATGTAAACAAACATTCGGTAAATATCTTTTGGTACCTCGACAGCTGTGCCAGATGCAAGCATTAATATAAACTATTATCTAGACCGCTAATTCCAAAAGGAAAAAGGCCATGTCATTGTATTCAATCATGCCGGCTCGTTTGAATTATTCGAATGAAGATTACTTAAATCTTTTTCTTATTTATGGTGAATGTAATAGGGTTATCTCAATAACATGATATATTTGCTATTCGGTATCGGCAGTAGTAGAAGCCCTCACAAAATACTGTTTAACGAATTATAATAATTATATATTGTTTCCAACGCAACTGCGGGCGCCATGGCCAACCAAGAATAAGTAAACTCAAGAATACGAGATTTTCTGGAACTGAGACATGTTAATTCGCCAATATTTCGAAACTATTTCACTCACCGCCGAGTCGTGTAGTAGTTAGTAGTTAGAGTGACAAATTTCAACCGCTTCAACTGTAACTTACTTTGCAATTTTTTGACCTTGAAACCGTCTAGAACATTATTGAAAAATAATGGAATTGAAAGCTATGGTAGTGTGAAGATCAAGAATAGGAAATATAATCAGAAAGAAAAAAAAAACAATCCACTAGCCTGTTATAATATAGAAATGTTTCATCCACCTTTATTAATGGTATTTCTCTCAAGAATCGTGTATGTTCATTTGTAGATCACAGACATGCTGGTTCTGAATGTTGGTAGTGAAAGTGACAAAGCCATGGTGGCATTATGCATTAATCTCGCCACTGATCCGTCCAACGCCCAGCATATCATCAAGAAAAATAGGCTGCAGTCTTTGATGATGCGAGCTTTCACTTACCAGGACGCCATGTTGATGAAAATGCTGAGGAATATCTCTGATTATCCAGCTTCTGCACCGTCATTTATTGTGAGTCAACAAAATTTCATAAAATTCGAAGACTTTTTCATTGCATTTAGAAATATTTTCGATAATATACAGTTTTGTCTCATATAGGAATTTGTTGGAGATATTGCAAAAGCGGTAGTAGAATCAAGAGATGAAGACTTCATTAGAGAATGTATCGGCATTCTAAGCAATATATACTTGCCTGATCTTGATTGGGCTGAAATTTTCAAGCATTTTGACATGGTGAAATGGGTGAAAAACATCATATCTAGTAATAATGCCGATGCTGAATTGATCTTACATGTAAGTCAATTGATTTTCACAAAGACAAATACAAATATGTATTGATATTTTATGTATTGATATTTTAGGTTGTAGTTCTGTTAGGTACGGCAGCCTCGGATGAAGGTTGTGCAAAATTATTTTGCGAAACGAATATTTTGGGACTTCTAATTGATTTACTGAAAACGCATCAGGAAGATGATGAAATCGTCCTACAGATTGTGTACATATTTTATGTTACTTTAGCGCATGGGTCTAATATTGAATATATTGTCGGTAAAACAGGTAAGATATCGATAATAGCCTTGATCATATACACCTTTTGTCATAGAAAATAGTTATTCTATCAAAAATCGGAATTTTAAAATTGTGCTCCATGAAGAAATTGGGATGTTATCAAATTATTCAAATCCCTACATCTACCTAACAAATTACACATTGTATTTTCGTCAAAGAACACATAGTTTTGGTATCAAGTAAACAAATATAGAAAAATTGAAATTTTTTCCAGTAAAAAATGTTCACAAAGAAGGACCCTTATAACAAATTATCCGATTTCTCTGACATTGACATTGGAAATTCTGTAACACTGTCACAAAATAGTTACATTCATTTTGTGGTACTGGTACTATCCAGAGTCACGTGACGTCACTCATATCAAAAAGTCGATTTTGAACAAATTTATCGAAGATTTTCCGAACAATCTCACCTTAAAAAAATCTGCCTCGATATTGATATTTAGAAGAGTAATTTGTGATTTGTGAGTAATTGTAATCGATATCCAATTTTCAATATTGCACAGCCCTAGAGTCCAATATCTATCAAGCATCGAACATATTGGTATTGGTCCTTCGAGCCGGATATGTATCCAAATCAACCTTCAAGACTGACAAGTTCTTTAGAAATGATACAGGACAGCACACAAGACTACCTGGAGTAACATTTAATACCAAGCAACTGAAGCTTTCAAAGGTAGGAACAAGCAGTTCAATCGAACATATTATTCAAAATGTTGGATGCTTGATAGATAGTGGACTGTATAATATATGATGATGAAATGAGGACTGATATAAGGATTGCAATTCAAATTGCGATCTTTCTTTATTAATTTTTTGATAAAATCTTGTGTTTCAACAACACGTCGTCATGTTAACAACAAACGAAAATTTCTCATAGTATATAGGGTAATACACGTACCAAATTATTATATAGGGTCATACTAGTACTAAACACATTCGATATGAACCGAGCAGGCATCTCGGTTTGAGCTAGGGTCCCTTGATGTATACTGACGCATTTGTCATTTGTGACTTTGGTTTCGTGTATTGGTGTCCCTGACATGACATTGCTGTCAAGTTACATTCATGGGCGTCAAAAGAGATCTTACAAAATTTTAATTTCATAGTTTTTCTTAGTACGACATTATTCAATTCTGTTTTGAAAGGATGGTAAAATGTGCTGCGTTAGGCTGTATCAATCAGTTGGATGGCAAATTTGAATTTGTCAGATTTCCATCAAATTCAAATGAAATTAGAACATGGAAAGTGAAGTGACCAAATGGGGAAAATTGGTAAATACATCAGCAAAATATTCGGGGTGAAACTAATACGAAATCGCATATTATACTTTCTCATTGTGCCTATAATTATCCACTTAGTTTAAATAAGTACATGAAATTGTTCACCATTTCTCAACCATAAGGCTCAGTCTAAAATCAGAATTCATTCATTGATAGGTACTGCCTATGAGCAGTCCCATTTGGTAAAACGTATTGAACTTTCAGAAAAATTTGCTCACTGCCTCACAAAGATTATGCTGGAGTTGAAAAATCAAAAACTCGAGAATTATCATCATCATTTGGATATAATATGTAGAGTTGAATGAGAAATTACATGTGAAAATTACGTATGATACGCCAATGTCCTCAATATAACCTAAAAAACAACAAATGTCATAAATATAGTGTTTATCCCCAGAAATGAATAAAGATGGAACTATATAACTCTTTCACAAATACTTTAGAGTGAGAGGAGACGAGGATCTGTCCGTACCCTGTTGAGATGACAAATACGTCAATTTACATCAAGGGACCCTAGTTTGAGCAAAACTTATTTATTTTCCGTAGAAGCCCCCGCTTACCTCATCGATCTCCTCCAAGACAACAACAAGCTGATACGGAAGCTGAGCAACACGTGCCTCAACATGATCGCCGACCACAACAGAACGTGGGCGGAGCGGATCCGGATCGAGAAGTTCCGCAACCACAACGCCCAATGGCTGGCGCTGGTCGATTCGCAACAGCTGGCTCTCGAAGACGAAGAAGACGGAGAGGAGGACGAGCTGCCGCCCTACTTGAACACCGAGTATCTCAGTACGGCAGTAGTGCCGCCATTATCAGGTGAGGGATCATTCGCGATAGAAAATAACACGTCGCCCTACCTGACGGCAGCAATTTGAACACTTCTGAGCCGTTTGTTTGGATGATATGATCATGCCGCTATGACAGCTTTCAAGAACTCCGATAGGTGGCGTACGCTTATTGTCTAACGCGAATAGGGGGAACTGCGAAGCTCTGAAAGAACCACTTCTTCTTTTTTTTTTCGAAAACTCGAGAACTCGGGATATCGACGTTATTATTCTGGCTATATTCCGAATTCAACTGGTCAGTACTGTCAGTAGGTCTACTGACTGCTGAAAATCAGTGTTGCGAAATATAAAATGAAAAATACAGTGCTGTAATTCGGAACACGATTTCACGGTTTTCATCTGTAATCAGCAGCAGTTGATCAGCTGGTGGAATTTGAATATCATTCTCTCAGCGTCAATTATTTGAATAATGGGGAAGTTTCCTTCCGATGAATTTTCATAAAATGAGTTCGGAACTCTCCAGTTTTATGTCCACGCTGTACAGAATGCCGACCGATAAAGTCCAAGTCGTTTTCATTTTCAAACTAAAGCAATTTCTAATTTTCGGGGCGGCAAACTGTGACGTACATTCTGAATCTAGTCTGAAAATAGCTGATAATGAAGAATATAGCTAGAGAATAGCTAACGAATCAAAAACGAATGAAAAATATAGAAGTAAAACTTTTAAACAAAAACACACACATAACCACAAATGCACTCGGAGCAGGAATGCAGAGGGTAGTTGGCTTCATTCTCACAGGTTATGGTTCTGTTATTTGTGCATTGAAATATCTTGAATAGAGCTCGATCCTAAACGAAAATATTATTGAATCAATGAATCACTATCGGCTACATGCAATGATACTATCCTTCCTAATTTACTGTTATCGGTCAGAACTGAATGAAGCCGACACCCATGGCTCCTTCCTCTTGTTGTGCCTGTCAGTATTTTGAGTGGTGTGGACGGACTGGAAGTATTAGGCACTGTTGCAAGATATAATCTGCAACTTTCCTAGAAAATAGATCCGTTTCATTAAGGAACGAATTCATTAACAAAAAAATGACTGACAAGTCATGAATAACATATTGTTATATAACAATAGAGACAAATCATAGATACCATCGTAAAATATTATAATTAATCTTAATTAGTAATCAACTTCATTCAGCCAATGAGAAATTTATGGGAATTAGTATTAATACTTGACAAAGTAGGATTGAAGGACCTATTATATCCCATTGCTAATATAATATAGTTATTATGCATTCAAGGAACAATTTCCAGAAATCTAGACATATTGATGATGTCGGCAACGTCGTACTGGCACAGGGAATCCTATTTTAACTCTGTGTGAATGTGGATTTTCAGAAAGTCATAGGAATGGTGGAGGAGCAAAGTTCCTCTTCTATTTATTTTAAATCATTAAATTATAGAAGATAACTTTTTGATGACAACATTTGATAGATTTTATGGAATTTATAGAATGAAGTTGATAAATTCATACTATATAATCATAATTCTTCAAAATCAGATTAGATTAGAATACTCTTTTTTCAAATTCCATTTATTCCTATACTTACCATTTCTTTGATTTCTTTTAATATACAGGGGACATCAAAGTAGTCTGGCTTACATGTTCGGCCATTTTCTGAAAAACTAATTTTCTTAACACCATTTTCTGAAAAATCAATAACGAGAAACTTCTCATATGCTGATTATTTGTCTCAAATATTACTATATCATGATTTCCCAATATTATCTTTATTCAGTATACTAATTTTGAAATTCTAGATCTTGTTACAGACCTACATGATGCCCCAGATGCTGAGATAATTTCTGATAAAGAATTGAACTTCGATTATTTCGATGGTAACCATCAAAATGAGTGAGTTTTTGATGACTGTGTATCCCATATTCAGTTTGATTTCATGTGATTTTGTTTTTCAGACTGGAAGCAACGGAATTTGAGGATCTATGAGAAAAGATGCGAATGTGGAGAATGAATTGAACTTGTCCTGGCTTGTAGCACAACTATTTATACAATGATAATTATTTAGGAAAGATCTACCTACTGCAACATATTCTAGTCATTTTTCTGTTAGCTATAAGTTTTTATTTGAATAAAGTATGTCTACTTTTCATACATTTTTGGGTGCTACAATTTATGTAGTAAATTTTTAGAAGTTCTAAATGGAAAAGCACATGGAACCTTTTCGGTAATTTTGCACTTATCATGCGATGGGTTCTTTTTCGAACATTTTTTTTGGTACTTACGTATTTTTGTCTGAAAAACACGAATTTGATAATGAAAATGTGAACAAACCATTATTTATTGAGATTTTTCACTATAAAGTTACAAATTTCACCTTCTTTTCCGCCTGTCTTTGGGGCGCATTTAGAACAATTTGCCCTTCTTATGATTTTCTTGTGATTTATCCATGTTTAGTGAAAAAGAAGGAAGAATATCATTTGAAATAATGGCGTGTGTGATTCATTCCAAAGCAATCTATTGACATTTGACATCTCCTATTTGGATTACCCATCGATTAAATGGCGGTCATCTGGTATGCTTGCTCACTAAATAGGAAAAACTCACCATAAAAATCATATTTCCTGTTGAATTTTCAAGCTTAAAATGTGTCATTGAAGTACATCATGAGTATATGAAGTGTCCAATGACAAAATAAAAAGAGCAAGTACCTGTAAATGCATCCAACGCAAGGGGGAAAATAAGGCAAAATTTCGAACTTTTTCTTGAAATATCTCGATAAATAGTGGTTTGTTCACATTTTCAATATCAAATTCGTGTTTTTCAGACAAAAATACGTAAGTACCAAAAAAAATTTCGAAAAAAAAACCATCGCATGATAAGTGCAAAATTACCGAATTTTCTTTTCTTGGAGAATAACGATTGTTTGGTAGTTTGAAATATTGCTAATATTCAATCAATTTTTACATGATTTTATTGATATGAACTTTTATGCGGATTTCACACAATAATCCCACTAAACATTGTAATTTACAACAATTTGCAGCAAGTATGATAGTCTTTTACAATTAAAATCTTTCTTCGCGAGTTAAATGAGAATTTACTGTAAATTTGGTTATTTGCAACTTCCATTCGAAAATTGCCTGTAAGATGATTTTTAGAAAGTTTTCAAAAATGAGCTTATTGTAACTTGAAAAAAATGAACTTACCACCACCTCGATATGAGAGTTGGCGATAAACTTTCAATATGTAACTTCACTGGTGAAAGTTTATAGTAAAATCATTTTTATCAATTTACCACAAGTAACACTCTACAAATTTATCATAAGTTTCCATTAAGCTTATATGTATCACGTGATACAATTCGGATGCATGCGCAAGCGCAATGATTGTCTCTTTGTTCTCCTTCTTCACCTCTCTGCCATCTTGTTTTGTCTTTGCCAGTGAGTTGTGATGAGTTTTGGTGTTGGTGCGCTGTGTGATTATTTCTTATTTTCTTAACAAATTACCTATCGAATGTTCGGAATTCAATAACCCTTCTAAAGAAGATCATAGTTAAGCAGAAATGGCGGTAAGTGAATCATATTTCATTATCTTAATCATCGTGACTCTTTCATGAACCAGAAATAATTTAAGACTTGATACAGGTGGAAGAAAAATTGTGAAATATCAATAGACGTAATTACGATATATGATTATAACCGCCATGGAAACTTTTCCTATGAATATTTTCATCGTGCTTCCTTCTAACCAACCATTATAACACAATTTTGTAAACAAACATCTCAGATATAGGTACCTAACCTGTAAATGCTAAACAGAGATTGTCAAACATGTTTCAACATTCATGATGCTCTTTTGTTTTCATTTTCTACCTCCATGTTTTTGATGGTAGGTATAGGCACAGATTGAGGTTTGTTAATCTGTGGTATAGGTATTCATATTTAATATTACTGACTTTATAAAAGCTTGTTTCAAATACCTACCTCCACTTATCTCGAAAACCGTGAGGTTTTTACTGAGGTCAAGTTGTTGTTTTCTGATAGGTTGGGAACTTGTCTATTATGACCCAAGCATGGTTTACTGGATACTCTATATATACAGGGTGGACCATTTTAATATATTATGGATATAATAGTTCTTTCCGGAAGCCGCTAACAAAAAAATGGGTTTGACAAAAGTTGAAGGGTTCAATGGGGGCCAAAGAATGGCCCTACTCACAACCCACCTCAGGGCACCCATACGGCCCTGGGATATGAAATTTTTTTTCCATGGGAACCGAGATGGGAACCCAATTTTTTCACAACAGATTCTTGTTCTACGGAGAAAATAAAATAAAATGTTTAGCAAATTTTTATTTGCACCCCTTAAAGAGCCCCAAATTTCTAATTTTGGTATTTGAGTTGGAGAAAACAAAGAATCTTACTTCATTCATGTAATTCGTTAACCAGATTGAGGGTTTGCTTAAAAACATAAAGTAGTGCCAAAGTAGATTAGCAGGAAGGCCTAATTTTCTCCAACTCATATACCAAAATTAGAAATTTGGTGCCCAAATAAAAATTTGCTAGACATTTTTTTTTCACCGTAAACAAGAATGCGTTGTGAAAAAGTAGGGTTCCCATTGAAAAAAAATTCATCTCCGTATGCGGGCCTGGGGGGGGGGGGGGGGGGTTGTGAGTAGATCTATTATTTAGTTTCCATTGAACCCTTCAACTTTTGTGGAAACCATTTTTTTGTTAGCGGCTTCCGGAAAGAACTATATTATCCATAATAGATTAAAATGGTCCACCCTGTGTATGAATATAACAATTCTGAAACATTGAGAAAAAAATAGGTAATTTTTTTCACAATCATTCCAGCTGATATCTATTTATTTCTTTTCAGAATCTGTTCGTGCATCATTTCCCAACATGGATGATAGCTTTTTGAGAAGATAGTGATGATTTGATTCTATTATGCTAAAACGAGATTTATTAGAAAAATTTATAACTGAAAAAGCCTTTATCCTCCATACTCATAAAACTAATGTTTTAGTTTCTACTAGAATTTTTAATAATTTGTTATGAATAATCGTTATTTTTATTTGTAAAGATCATATAAAATTGAATAAAAATATATCAAAAAATGTATTCCTTCAATAGTGGTATTATCATCTCTTATCTCGAATTGTATTAATTTCGTTCTAATAATATGATTGGTAGAAACAATTATTTTCATGTGGAAATACTTTTGATACTGACAAAAGCCCGTGTATAATGTCATCAAATTTGATCAAATTATTTGATATAATGCCATATTCTTCAATTCATCCGAATGAAACATTGTCGAATGTTTTTCAAGAATGAGATGAAAATGGCGTCACTTCAAACAAATTTGATGAAATTGTTGGCCTTTTTTATCAGTATCAAAAATATTTTCAAATTTTGCACCAGCCTACCAAAGTGTAATTTCAATGCAAATTCAGAATTAGCTCTTCTATAACTCATTATCCACTCGCCCTGATTTTGTCGTAAGTATTATTGGTATTTACAACACAATATAAAACAATTAACCTGCGAGTTTACCATCAGCTCAAGATACAATTTTCGTAAAAATCGCAGAGAGTTCTCAAGTGACAGCTATAATTTTTTGCAAGTTTACTGCAAATTATCTGAGAATTCGCAAAATAATCATTTAGAGTAAACTCACTGGAACTTCGGTATGAGCTGACATTCAATTTTCTGAAAACTTCCATCATGTAAGTTTCCATTGTGAATTCCGTAGGAGGAAGATGCCATCTCTGAGTTAACTTGCTGCAAATTGAATGTGTAATTTACACTCGCAAAAATGTACTTGCTGGAAATTTGCAGTAAATTGAAATTGTTTAGTGGGATCACAATTTATGAGGGTAATCGCTTGCCTGAACTTGCGACTAGAGCTTAGCCATAGCACCAGTGCGAGAATATTGCGCCTGGTGCGCAGGTCGCTGGGCGCGAGAAACAGAAAATTTCGTTGCTTGCTCGCTCGCTCGCCGAGCGCGAGAAGGGTTGCGGCCGTGCGGCGCGGGACAAATATTGGAGCGAAACAATAAAGATCATCATTGGTAAAAGAATACCCAATACCCTTAATTGGCGGCGAATCATGTATCACGGGAAGGAGATTTGTTGGTTGCCATTCGAACTGTTTCCAGAATATGTACTCATTTATCGTTTGACCTGCAAGTCTAGCGTTTCACACGTTAAAAATGCAATCGAACCTCGAATCGAACTGTTGTGCAGAATGTTCGAAAACATTCAGTTCTTTTCAAAATCTCAGAACTCAAGATCGCTGCGATATTATTTTTGCAAGGGAAGGGGGAATTTTTGTGGAATTATATAATTATATATGTATATACCCAGATAGCACACACAAGTACCTTCTCAGAATATTATACGAATATTTTCTAGGAACGGTCTATGGATATACAAAGAGGGCTGTTCTAGATATTCTGAGAATGTTACTGGTAGGTATATTTATAGTAATAAAATTTAAAAAAGCTTGCTCCGGTGCGGGCTTGCGAACCTACATAGTTATTTACCTGTCACCTTAACCACTGAGCTACAGACCTTTTTAATGAATGATATGAATGGGAAGATCTCAACACTTAGTGGCATACAACCATTATAATAATGGGTTTGGTAAGGGGAACACTTTGTATATCAATACATGAATAATAACATCAATTTCATAATTTGATACGATTCTGTATATTCTCAGAATATTCGAAAAGAATATTCTTGTGTATCTATGTCAAATTGAATGTTCATAGAATATTCGTTGCAGGATGAAAATATTTTATGATCATTTTAAGGACATTATGTTAGAATATTCTGAAATAAGTATATTTTAACATTGTCATTCTAGAATATTCCATTTCAGAAGCTCATTGGAACATATTTTCAGAATATCATTAGTATATTCGCAAAGTATTCCATGAATGTTCACAATATTCTGAAAATATTATTTAATGAACATTCTGGAATATTATATCCCAGGAGCTTCTAGGAATGTACTTTCATGTAATACTATCAGAATATTCGCATGGAACATTCCATAAATATTCGCAACATACTGAGAACTTTCTATGCATATTCTTCAGAATATTATTCTAGAAGATGACATTTTCGCAGCTTGTAAGAATATTCTGAGAATATTCGTGCTATCTGGGGATATATATATATGTAATAATTATGAACAGTACAGTGTTAATTCAATTTGAATAAATTGATTTGAGGTGTGTCACGATTCTAGGGATCACCCTGTAACATGGTATCAACTAGGAAAGCAGTTGTCTAATGTATCATTTCACAACAATGACTTATTTGTTTTTGTTTCGCTGCAATTTCTCGCGCCCAGCGAGCAGCGAGCGACACGCAATATCATTTCACAATGACTTACCTATTTATTTTTGTTTCGCTGCAATTTCTCGCGCCCAGCGACCTGCGCACCAGGCGCAATATTCTCGCACTGGTGCTATGGCTAAGCTCTAGTGAACTTGCGCTCCTATAATCAGAAATCAGTCACCCTGACTGATCTCTGGTATAATTAAATCAAGAATAAAATATACAGCAGGACTTTTTTCAGAACATTTCCATGTTTTTTATATGCGAGCGCACAGCAGACAACCCTTGTTGAAGAGTTAATAATCCTTGGGATCCAACAACTACTATTCATTTGAACTTCTGGCAAATTATGTGGAAACGAGAAGAATTACCCATTCTGGTATTATGCTCTTAAAGCACGTAGCTAAGTTCTATTATGACTAATGGTTGATGGTATCCTACGAAAACAGAAGAAGACACTGACTTTTGACGTCCACTTTTTTTCGGTATTTTGCAATATTTTATATTTTGCATTTGATTGAAGTTGCAAGAATTATAAAGAAAAGATAAGTGAGAGGGGAAGGGAGGGACACGTTTGCTGTTTTCTTTTTATCTTGAAAGATGTAAGCAATTTTTTTCATGTGATTGCAACATATTACCAAATTAACCCCACTCAATACATAAATTCTAGTTAATGTATGCCCCCCTTTTCTGGGGTTATACATACCTCTACAAAGCTTGGAATGGATTTATCACCATCACTTCTAGTTCAGAAGGACCTTCATAATATCCAATGACCATCATTAAAACTGTGACAAGCCACAATGTCCTTCCAAGATAGTCAAGATAAAGACCAATATCACAACAGTTATCCATCTGGATACTATGAGAACTCTAGGAGCTCATATCACACACCAAAAAACTCTGGATATGGTAATCAGAGTGCAAATACGAGGTTTTCAACATTAGAACCAACTGCTCAGGAGTTTTATCCAGGTAATGTTGCAAATTCTCAAAGTGGGGCCATCAAGAAAAAATCTCACAGAAATCCCGGGAGAGGAGGTAAAGGAAGATATGGAACTGGAAGGACATTCACTGGACACAGAAGTGACTATAATGATTATAGCAATGCCTACCATGGAGATGATGAATATGTGAACAATTCTCCAAGAAGTTACCCTAAAGAGGGTTATAGAGACAACACCCAAAGGAATGCTGAATCATCTTATGGGTATAATGATGGTCATAGATCTGGTTACAATACATCATCCTACACTGGTAATGATGAAATCTACAAACCACAAAACCAAAGCTATAGGCCACAATCACAACCTAACAACTACAGCAGTAGAAGAAATGACTTTGAAAATGCACAGTCATTGCATAACAGGGAGTTTCCTGAAGAAAGTTCTGGTGATATTCATGATTCAAATGGAGGCAAAAACTACAGTTCTCAAAACTATAGGAGACAGGATAGAAAAAAAATCTATGAAAAACCAGGGAGAAATGACTGTGATGAATATTATTATAGCAATGATAATAAAGGGAGAAATAATGATTCAGAATATCAAAATTATGATATTACCTCAAATGGTTATGAAAATTCACATGAGGAGTACAAAGATTTTCCAGAAGATACCCATTCAGTAGGTGCAAGAAATGGTGTATCTAATCCAAATAGGGCAAAAAGTTACAATTCAACAAACTACAGGAGACATGATGGGCAATATTATGAAAAACCAATGAAACATAACTATGGTAAATATAATGATGGCAAGCAGAGAAGTAATGATTCAAGAGATCAGAGATACAATAAACCTGGTTCTAGTGATTCTAGTAAGTTCTATAATAGAGACACACCTTTAGATATTGGTTTAGTTGAAGCTAGAAGTAATGTATCTAATCCAAATTGGGCTAAAAACTACAATTCCCAGAATTACAGAAGAAATGATAGAAATTATCATGAAAAACCTGCCCAAGAAGAGTATAACTATGATGATGATAGGAAGAAAAATAATGAAAAATATGATGATGGTGGTTCAAAAACAAGAAACAACTATGATAAATACAACAGTCATAGTAATAATGAATCAAAAAATAAAAAGGTTGATGACAATGGCTCAAGGTCCAGAGACTTTAATGATTATTCTGAGACAAACAAAATGAAGAAGTCTTATGATTATAGAAGGACTGATGTCAATAAATCATATGATAATAGGTACCAGAAATATGACCAGGATGGTCAACCATTTGATTGGAGGAAATCAAATAATGCTAGTAAGAGCAATAAATCTGCTAACAATTACAACAAAAAAAGTAAGTTGAATTCCAGTTCTTCCTATTATGTTTGTGTTTTGATTAAGTTTCTTAAATAAATAAATGGTTTGGTTGAACATTGAACCATCTGAATTCTATGATGTAATATATACTTGGCTTTACAATATTAAAATTTGAAATTTCATTATAGCATTAAAATATTATTATTAATTCAAATGATAAATGATCCTTCCTAACAAAATCTATAACATATACAACTGCAACTATATTGTCAAGATTTTTTTAGTGATGAGAGTTCACCATATGGAACAAACACATTGGAATTCTCAGTAAAAACTGAACTCATCAATAAGAATTTTATTCAAAATGAAAAACAAAAAAAAACATTTGAAGAACATTTATTTTACCTCCCACTAATTCAAAATTGCAATATTCAATATACATTTGGACAGTTGCTAGACATCTAATGTTGACACCACTAACAACTTTCCAAAATCAGTTTATACAAACTGAATAACTTACTGGATTCAACTTTGAATATGATTTTCTTCTCCATTTTTTGTCATTTCCAATGTTACCAACATAAAATTTCCATTATTTAACATTGGAACACTGAAGACAAGGACTACAGGTGGGGAAGCTTTTTTTTTTCTCTCTCTCAACACTAGCTGGTCTGCTCTATTACACAATTTAATAGCATGTATATTTCAATCCATCATAATGGTATCAACATTCATTATTCTCTTCTCACTACCCACTAGCATGAAAACCATAAAAGAAGTTATAAGATTCAAAAACTAAAATAAATTTAGTATATCTAACATATCAGCTCCTTGCATTAATTTTAACTATTCTCTATTTTAACAGAAATAATGTAGGGGTAGAATACTAAAAAGATTTCTGCTATAACTTTATTCTTATTGTATTCAAATTGATAATCTCTAACCAAATATGAAATAAGATATGGGGTATCCTATCAAAAAAACTGCCAATTGTATTTTTTATAAGAATATGGGTTGTCTTATTCAATACATGGGATTATTAAATTTATTCAATCTGGTTCACATAAACTACATCCTACTGATATGGAATTTGTTTGTTTTGTATCCAGTCTTCATAGAGAATTTAAATTAAGCTCAGTTATATATTCATTTAATTCTAAAAATAGATTTGTTGATTTTATTAATTACTAGCTGTACCCTACCTTATTGCTTTACTACTTACTAAAATAAATTTGAAGGAAATACAGTACACAAATATTGAATTTATTTCGAGTCATTTTATTCATTAAAGCTGCCTGGCAAACGTTGTTTTGCCATGTACATTATTTCTAAAAAATATTTTTCCAGTTGAATATTCAACAACACACTTATTATTTTATTTTCTACTTCTCTTTGGTTTTACTAACCATAAAAGCATGTTTTCTTAGTTTCTCAAACTACTATTTATTTTCTACTTCTCTTCAGCTGGGTAATCTATCTCTTTAGTTTTCTAAACTAATATTTATTTTCTACTTCTTTTTAGTATTGCTATCTATGAAAGTGTGTTTCATTAGTTTTTCAAAACACTATTTATTACATAGCTCGTTCGACATATTGGATCCGCCATCTTGAATTTTCTAATTATGACAAGGACATCATAATCTTCGACCCCAAAAACCCCCAGATACCAATTTTGAATAGAATCGGATCATAATTTCAAAACTCGTTCGCGATATTGGATCCGCCATCTTCAATTTTTCACGACCCCAAAAACCCCCAGATACCAATTTTGAATATAATCAAAAGACTCGTCCGCCATATTGGATCCGCCATCTTGAATTTCTTAATTACTCCTCTAATAGGAACCTTCTCCTGATAATAACAAACAAACCAAAAAAATATTTAGTGAAAGCCGTTTACGATTCTATAAAGGACATACAGACAAACATTCATTTTTATAGAGAGAGAGAAAATATGTATTAGGGATCTCGTTAGGGATATACCCCAAAAGGCCATTGACCGAAGTTTTTCAGCACAGTTTACAAAATATAATATACAAAGTAGGAACATTAATAATAATAATAGTTCATTAATGATTCAAAAAAAAAAAGAAAAAAGAAAGAGAAGAAAAAGTTTATTGCTTGCTATCCTGTTTGCTGCAGTTGGATCAGTCCTTGAGAAATAGTTATTTCTGGAAATTTTCTTTCACTGGGATATTGTAGGCGGACTTCGCAAATCTTGTGCTGAGTCTGTGTAGTCGTTGGAGGATGGGTTCTACTTTAGTTGAATTGTATAGTAGGGTATTGGAAGGGTTATGTAAGGGATTATTAGGGTGTCCGATTTCAGTAATGGCTCTTGAACAACTTCTTTCTGAAACTTCGATGTGATTCAGGGTAGTTTTTCTTCATGTGCTGATTAAACGTACGACCTGTCTGACCGATATATATACCTTAGGACAACATCCATAGTTGAGTTTGTATGCCCCTGATTTTTCGAATTTAGAAGTTTTGTCTTTTTTATTCTTGATAATCCGGTACCACGTATTTTAATGTAGATATTGTACCTATAATTTCCGAAAATGGAGGTTTATCGTACCTGTCCACAAGGAACTAATCCTTCAGGTTGGGAAAGTAGGATAAAAAGCAAGCCAAGGTTAGTTTAGTTCATCGTACCAGTATATCACCTGATGAAGCTACTGTGTTTGCGAAACATATCGTGTGCTTGAGAATTTTGTTGAAATCTTATCGTTTATGAAGTTTTTACAGCTGTAACCATAGTTGGAGTTTGTCCATGAGTCCCAGAATATTTTTGTCATGTGCAATAATTGTATCATCATCAGCAAACTAGAGTATGTAATTATTCTCGTTCAGTGGTAGCTGATTGCCGATATCATAGCAATCATTTTTATATATAAAGATAGATAGAAGATTTCTATAGTTAATTGAAAAACATCACAATGTGATAAGTCACCAATATTTCACGTTTCCAGTGGACGCAGCCTCACAGAGAGAAAGGCTAGAAGAGATGCTCAACCACCGAGCTCTCGAATGCCTAGTTTGCTGCGAAAAAATCAAAAACTCCGACCGCGTCTGGTCCTGCATGCTCTGCTACAACATCCTCCATCTCCACTGCGTCGCCTCGTGGGCCAAATCCTCCAAAATCGGAGAAAACTGGCGATGCCCCGCCTGCCAGAACGTCTGCAACGAGGCCCCCAGAAAGTACAAATGCTACTGTGGCAAAACAGCGGATCCCAAACCCGACCCAGGCACCATCCCGCATGGCTGCGGAGAAATGTGCCTGCGAAAAGGCAGAAACTGCGAGCACAAATGCACGCTGCTGTGCCATCCGGGCCCCTGTCCTGATTGCGTCATCATGGTGGGCAAGGAGTGCGGCTGCGGGGCTACCAAGCCGGTCGTCAAGTGCAGCACTGATGTCGAGATCGTGTGCGAGGGGCCCTGCGGCAAGCTGCTGGAATGCGGCCTTCACAACTGCAAGCTGACCTGCCATTCGGGCGATTGCGGGCTGTGCGACAAAATGATCATCCAGGAGTGCTACTGCGGGAAGGAGGGCAGGAAGGTCCCGTGTCATTCCAAGCAACAGGGTAATTTCAATAAGCTTCCTTAACACATTTACTGACACAAGACACAAGGCATGTGCCTTACCATTTTAGCCATTTGAGCTTCAAGAAACACTATTTTGTGCCTTAGATCAGTCAACTCATTAATATTTCCTGGTAGGGTCTGCACATGTTGACTATAGATGGCAGCGTCATACAGTGTATGTCGCCATCTTCATGGTCCTACCTTAGAACTATGCCACTAGATGGCGATAACATGACTATATCATCATGTAAATGGGTGATACACCCGAAGCATAGAGTTGTCCCAGACCGAGAGCGGCTGATGAGGCCTGGTGGGCGAAACAGCAGCTCTGTTCATCCTGGATTTCTTAGTTATGAGATCTAGTTCAATGTATATACAAGGTATCCTTGAAATAAGTGCACATATTCGGCACATTAATATGATACAGTCTAAAGAATATTCCCATGATATCAGATTTTTCTTCTAATTAACGGGAAATATCATCCCAAAAATTGAACAAAATACGAGAAAAAAGTCAAGTAGGCCACTTTAAAACAATTTAAATGTGATTGTGCCTACCGCATGGAAATTTGAACAGAGGTGACGTCAGATTTGCTGCAGTGTAGAACTTTGGGTGGAAAAAGGAGTCTAACCTCAAATTTTTTTGTGATCCCTAAATTTTTTTTATTAGTGCCATTGGATAGTACACGTCACTCAGTGTTCGAAATATTTGCACTTATTTCAATGCCACCCTGTATATTAGCATCGGATATCAATCTTCCTGGTACCCCAAGGACTCAAATTCACGAAAATCCCCAAAAAACATGCATAGTAATTTTTTTTCAGCGTTTTCTGTAAATATATTTACATAAGTTCAATAAATGAATGATCCATTCCCATAAAACTACTTGAATATGCCCTGTAAATTCGAATTTGTTAGCAAGTCCGAATCATCATTGAATCAATTAGTCTGAACATTTTAGTGAGAACTGAAGATAATGTGACAATACTTGATTATCCATTGTATATATCTGTATAACTATTAATGTTCACCCTATATATACATAGTTGGTGATGATGTCATGAATACTGTAGAATTTTGTTATACAATTGGGAAATTAATAATGAACCTTCAATTCAATATCAGACTGAAATATCAAAAATATGTAATTTCGTTATTAAACTATTACACTAGTTGTATCAAGTGGCAAAATCCTACACGATCCGGCTCGAAGGACCATCTTTTTATCAAAAAAACTCGTAGTACTGTTTTGATCATATACCTATTTTACTTTAGGTAGGGTCCAGTATGAATGTGGGGATATCTGCGGGAAGATGTTGGCTTGTGGGAATCACAAGTGTCAGTCATTGTGTCACGAGGGACCTTGTGGGACCTGTGTGAGGGACGTCAAGGTGGTTCATTCTTGTCCTTGTGGAAAGAATGGGCTCAAGGAAGAAAGAACGTCATGTTTGGACCCGATACCATGCTGTGATAAGGTAAAATTTCATTTTTTTAGCTTTATTGAAAAAAATAGGATTATAAAGTCAGAACATGCCGAATTGATTTCTCCAAAAGTAGCGACTGCTTAGGCTATCGATTTCTGAAGGAAGAAGGATGCTTGAAATCATCATACTCAAGGGGGTGGGGAGAAATGAAGAGTTCAGTCCAGTCTACAAGTCATATAGACCTTCCTACCAATGGGAAAGTTTCATATATTGAGCGTTTTATTTCAATAGGCAATAGTCTCTTATTCATCAATCTGCTGACGTCATTGGCAATAATCCATAACCAAGTTTTAGAAATTAAGAAATTTTGCATATTATGTATTGATTGCATTGAAACTTTATTTAACTATTGGCTGATTCCTGATAAAATAACTAATCAAGACGAAACAGATAAATATTTCAATAATCCAAAAAGAGTTGAATCTTGAAATGAAAAGAATCAAAATGAAATTCTAACTTGAAGGAATCCTGAGTGGATTTTCATTGTTTCCAGAGATTAGTAAATTATACCTGACAACCGCGCCCAAAACCAGTTTTACACCAAACCATGCTGATAGCTGCGTATTTATTGAGCTTATGTTTATATTGTCTATTGTTGATGGTTTTTCACTTTCCTCCCAATTCACGTCTAGTGCCTATTATATAATTATTGTTATATTCTCACTAGTTCATTGTGATCTAGTTGCTGTGATTCAAGTTGACTTTTCCATAGACTAATTAGATCGTCAGGATTCAATATTCTTCAATCCATTCATTTTTCAGCATACCATGAGTTGAGCCTTCTAAAGAAGTTTGATTTTTCCTTTCGACTTTTCAGTTCGGGCTTATTTGGAGATTAGTATCTCACTAAGTGACGGCTCGTCAAGGGTGGCAGGGTTGGCCGGGTCGTACCAGAAAATTTGAGCAAAAAAGCTGAACTATTTGAAGAATAAAATAATGTTTCGAAACTGTTTTCAATATTTCTTCGTTTATTATGAACTGATACATTTGGGTAAGCCAATAAATGAGCGATCCGAATATACGTACAATCTACCAGCCGTATAGTGTGCCCCGTATACCGACCTAATTAATGCACGGATCGTTTTCGTTTTAGCAATATACTGTATTTATTATCATTATTTCCATACTTATTTGTATAGGTAGTATTATCTGATGGTAAGCCATTTATAATCATTTCATTAAAACCAAGAAATTAAGTTGAAGAAATAGTTACTAGAGCAACATCTACCCTGCCCGACCCAGGTTGAGGGCACGAGCTGTCACTTTCTCAAAGTCAAACTTATATATAACTTATTTCCGCCAAAATACGTCTTGATTGCTCTAGTTTAATTTGCAGAAGCATAAAACTAATCAGTGAGAAACTAATTTGAAATTGAAAATTCATCCGAAGGAAACTTCCCCATTATGTAACCCTTTTCCAAATAGAACATTGTCTATTCGTCATGTGCCGGCTTGTTATAAGTCATTACCGAAGTTATGACACCCAGTATACATGTCATTTACAGCTATGTGGTAAACCACTCAAATGTGGTCAGCCTAGTTCCCCGCACAAATGCGAACGATACTGCCATGAAGGAGAATGTCCGCCATGTCCTTTAACGACTTTAGTGAGATGTCGTTGCGGTCATATGGACAAGGAGATACCTTGTCAACAGTTGACAACCAAAGCCGACGATGCCAGATGTGAAAAGAAATGTACCAAGGTGAGTGGATCGTGCAACTTGTCTGTTTCATGTTCTTATAATATAATGATAATGTATTCATTCTTTAGGGGAAGTATATGGCAAAGCCTCTTTTATTGCATTTTGTTTCATCTCGTCAAGATGTGACGGAAGTATGTCCGGAATAACGGTAGCAAAAAAAAACGTTGTGCCAAGGATTTGACTCAGATTGAGGGGTGGCACATATAGAATTTGTTTTTTACCCTACAATTGATATTGGATGGCATAATTGTTATCTCGTTTCAGTTTCAGTTTTTACACGCCTTTGTGACATAATTATGTCATTTCGTGATCAGATGACGGTCGAAATGTTGTAGCCGGTTCTCCTACTACTAGAAGTTCATATTGATTGTCTTTATGACCCCAAGAATCATATCTGTTTATGATAGGGATACATGAACAAATATCTAAAAAATCTATGATGAAAAGTTGGGTAATGAATTCCACTCATTGGAAACGAATTCTTTAAAATTATTCCATTGTGAAATACAGATTATGTTTCTAATATATACTCAGTAGGAACAGTGAACATCACAAAATAAGTTGCAAAATGCATATTCCTCTTGTCAGAAAACCAAGAAATACAAGATTTCATGTTCATGCTGTTAAAACTAACAAAGTTATTGTGCAATTTTGAAATAAAATCTTCCCCTAGAACGCGATGTATCTCCTGAACAAGCAACATTCTCATCAGACATATTGGGCTAAATCTCATTATTTTTATGTTCACTATCTGTAGTTCAGATTTCCCAATCTTAATGAATCACCCTGTATAGCCCCTGACTACCACCGATATGGCAATACCAAACTTGAAAGATGCATTGGAATTGGCAAGTATACAATAATATATACGTCCTTGTCTCCATTATGTTCTAGTGCCTGAATAGCAAAGATTGTGGAAGCTAAAACTTCTTCCATAAATTATCTATATTTCCAGTATTTTTGCAGTTTCTTAGTTTGACAAACCATTTTTCATCTATTTATTCGTGGTTATGTCTGACTTCCATTAATCATTCCAGAATTACGTCATTTGACAGGTTGCTGAGGGCAAACATCATGAATCATGAATGTATCTTGTCAAGATTTGTCATATGAAACCAGAATTAGTGGGATCGTTTTCCTTGGAATACGACTTGGAACCAGACAGAATTTCATGATTTTGTTTGGTGAAATTGTTATTATATTGTGGATATGGCAGGGATGGCCAGAGCTATGCTCATCAAAGGTAACCTAACAGATAGTTTGTGTGCCCCTCAAGAAACCATGTCAAAATCACGTGTTTTGGAATGGTCAATTGCTTGTTAAAGTATTCGTACTCTAAATGTACAAAACTACAAAACAAACGTACATTGTACATCTGTTCTCGCAGAAACGGCTCTGTGGGAAGCACAAGTGCAACCAGCGCTGCTGCATCGAGATCGAGCACGCGTGCCCTTTGCCCTGCAATCGGCAGCTGTCGTGCGGCAACCACCGGTGCGACCGCTGTTGCCACTCGGGTCGGTGTCCGCCCTGCGCAGAGGCCAGTTTCGAGGAGCTGCGCTGCGAGTGTGGCGCCGCCGTAGTGTTCCCGCCCGTGGCGTGCGGTACGAGGCCGCCCGCGTGCTCTGAGGAGTGCTCGAGGGGCAGGCAGTGCGGGCATGCGGCGAACCATGCGTGCCACGTGGGCGGGTGTCCGCCGTGCACGGTGCTCTGCAAGAGGTACGTTGTATTTGGACGATCTGTATGAACAATGTGTCACCGTATCTCAGCCAATCAATAATTTAATAAATTGTCATTTTTGTATGAGATTCATTACTCGTATTAGCTTCATTATTAATGAAATCAACAAGAAAATACAACACAGAGTTACTCAATCCACATATCACAGATTTATTCAGTATTCCTTAATTACTCGTGCTAATTAATTCGAACTTTTCTTTCCCTCGTGGTGTATTTTGTACACCACTATAAAGACTTGTTTTTAGGTGAAACAAAAACGCAATTTTTTTGTTGGCGGAAATTTAGAATAAACATTGAAAATATAGTGTCTATACATGTTAAACATATTGAAAACCTGACAAACAGAAAAAACACAAAATCCATTTCAAAGAGCCTTCAACCTTCTTCTGCTTCCTCCTCGTGGCGTGTATTTTGGCAAGTTTGACATTTTATTACAGCTGTGGTATTTTCTGTGCATACAAAATTTTGACACGATAAACACCTCATTGTAGTCACTCTGTTTTTAGTGCGTCCACATAATACACAACTAACGTGTTTGTATACAGTATTGGATACTTACATAATTTACCCTATTTCCCGCGCGGTGTATTCTATGCACTAGAGTCCCTGTATGTATTTGACACTTTTGCTGTAATAAGAGTACGGACACTATGACAAGCAGTGACAGAAGGCATAACCCTAAAAATTTGAAATTACATGAACAATTTGGCGGGCACTGACAGTTCAAGAACGTACATGACATTAAATTATTTGAAAATTCAGGTTTTCAAAAATTGAAATGTCATTTACATTCTGCCCATCAGAACTGGCTACTGAAACCTGACTCTATCTGTTGAAAAACTAGTGCATCCTAAAATCAAATAAATTGAAGTACATATACCCTTTGTTAAGTATATCGAGAAATACTTTCAACAAATTGATTTACAAACTAAGACCCCTTTTCGCCAGTGAGATGAGACGCCACTTCTTTATGAAAATAAAGACAGAGAAAGATATATGGATGTACCCTTCACCGCGGCAGTAGAGGATAGAAGATCCGAAGTGCATGGAAAAGCATATCCATGTCTTTGTTCAAAAGTCATTTTGAGAATTTGGGGTTATGCCTTCCGTCACTGCTTGTCATAGTGTCCGTACTCTTATTACAACAAAACTTACAAATATATACAGGGAATTATACATACAGGGACTCTACTATGCACCAACGGGCACCAACGTGACAACTCGTCAAAATTTACGTACAAACACACACACCTAACTGATTCACCACATCCCAGAACATAAAAAAAATGCTGAGAACTGACAAGAAAACGCCTACAATTCGTGTGCCGTGTTGTCACGTTTACCAGTTCGAATGTCCCGAGGAATGTCCTCTAGTGTGAATTAATATTATTATTTACACAAATGTATTATAAGCATTAAGTCACATTACATGAGCAAACATTTTGAGACAATTGTATTAGGAATATTACCAATACACAATTGAGAATTCATGAATAATTGAATAACTAATATTTCTGAATTTCCCAATCGTTTTTCAACATATGGCAACTGTGGTATTATCTGCCCCTACTTACGAAATCCTGACGTCAGTTTTTACTCTTGGCACCTCTTGGTAAATTTCTAGCCGTTTGAAAATTACCATGACATTATTGATGATTCTAGCACCTTAAAATCAACCAAAGAATTCAATTCCCTAAAAAGTGATATACGGTTACCACCAATAAAACAAGGCCAGCAGACTCTGACGTAAACAGCTCGTGACGTCGCATACTCAGGCCATCTTCTAAGGCATTCGCGTCGATCGATCGTCAGTTTGTTTTTGTTTAAGAACGGTGGCGTAGGTAAATCACGTGTGCTCGAATTCTCTTGTTGTTTATTCATCAAAATAATTGGCGGAGAAATTACTATTTTGTGAAATATTTCGTGTTGTGATAGGCGAAATAACAATGCCTTACAAGTGTTGTGTTGTGTCCAAAAGTTCATGCTTTTAGTTTCCCGTTGGACAAGGAACTATCGAAAAAGTGGGTACATGCAATTCACCGCAAGGATTTTACGACTCCATCTAAGTACAGTAAAGTATGTGAATTACATTTTACTAAAGATGATATTATTACTTCATCTACTGCAACCGATTCAAAAACTGGCAAAACTGTAACAATAGATTTGAAAATTCCTAGGCTCAAACGAGATGTTATTCCCACTCAATTTCCCAACTGTCCATCTTATTTATCGAAAGATGAAAAATTACGCACAAGTCGGATGAAAAACTTGAGATACTAGAGACTAAAAATTTGGTACAAGCACTTACCAAAAGTAAAACTAAATTCGAAAATTACCAAAAATCATTTTGCTACACAGAATTTCAAGAATTTCTAGTTGTATTAGAGTCCTTTCAGTTGCCCGAAAAGTGGTTCAAAATTATCGATTTGCAAAAAGTCACATTATTCAAATTGTCTTATTCTCCAGGGCCCGTAATTACATATTCGGTTGTGATTGATTTTGTTTTGAATGTGGAATCATTTTTGTATGACCTAGCGATACAAACATCTCTAAAAGCCAATCTGAAAACACCTTTTATCTCTAATAATATCAATCAAATCAAGGAATTACTAATTGAAATAGATGAAAACGAGATACATAATTCTGGAAAATGTCTTGATAATCAGAAAAAGAGAGTTTTGAAACATATTTCGAATGCATTGGACTCTTTGGTTTCTGACTCGGTTTCAGATCTTGATGAAGATTCCGAAAACACTTCAGCTTTATTGTTCCTCTCTGAGCAAATTAAATTACAACAACCTGCAAAGAACGATATCGTTATTCGAATAATACTATAATTTTAGCCTCTATAATTCATACAATAAGTCCACATGCTTATAAATTTTTAAGACATTTTGGAGTACTCATATTACCTCATTCAGGTACAGTCAAATCGATATGTAGTTCGTTGTTAACAGATCCTACATTCGAAGAAAGACAAATGTCGTTATCTCATGCAGAAAATGTATTTAAGTTATTAGGTGAGCGTGAAAAATCTGTCATTTTAATGATGGATGAAGTTCATATAAAGCCATATTTAGATTACAAGGCAGGCAATATTGTAGGAACGGCATTTAATAATTCATGTTTAGCAAATTCCGCATTTGTCTTCATGATAGCAAGCGTTATGTCAAATGTGAAAGAAGTTGTTCATATAAGTCCAACATAAAAAATAGATCACCTCATGATTTTTTCTTCAATAAAGAGAGTCATAAATAGATCAATCTCACGATAAGTTTATGTTCTGCGGGCCCTGTATAAGTAGGTGTGAAGTTTACCTTCACCACAATTTTTGCCAATATATTTAATTCGAATGGGTTGCTGTAGGTGGATATTTGTGTTTTATCCTGGTTTTTGCTATGAAACTTCGTTTTTCCATAATAAAATCGAATGGGATGCGAAGAAGGGCTCAGTTGACGGCTGGCATCCTCTTTCAACCGGAAGCCCTTCAAAAAAAAAGCAAAATCGGCTCAATAATGATCTAAAACTAAAATCGAAATACGCGGTCGCCTTATAGCGCTATAAGCGCTTGTCGTTTCGAGCCGCTGGTTAGGCCTGACTAAGTGACGTCACCCACGGAGCATGCAGGCCTTGTTTTATCGGTGGTAACGCCTCGGTCGGTAGCCTATTGCGTATCCAATAGAGCTCTTCAATTATTCCTCATGCTCCAGATGGTGCTACGGCCGCCACGAGCAGCGCTCCGCCATCCCGTGCCACCAGGAGAACTTCAGCTGCGGCCTGCCCTGCGGTCGCGACCTGCCCTGCCGTCGGCACAAGTGCCCGAAGCCGTGCCACGACGGGGCCTGCCCGACGCCCTGCAAGCTGCCCTGCCCGGTGACGAGGCCGTTGTGCGGCCACCCTTGCGGCCGCCCGTGCCACGAGCCGCCCTGCCCGGAGACCAGCTGCAGGCACACGGTGCAGGTGACGTGCGCGTGTGGGCTGCAAAAGGCGACCAAGGCGTGTGTCGAGGTAGGATATTTTACTATGATTTTGTACAGTGTGTCCAGTTTTCGATGCTTTTGCCTGATATCTCAGTTATCTTTGGAGATAGAACCTTGCGGTTTTCGCGGTCCTGTGCCACTTTTTTGTGAAACTCAAGGTGGCCTAATCAGATTTTGCAAGACTGTTTCCGTTTATGAGATACAGGTCGATTTTGAAAATGTATACTATTTGGACCCCCTCCATATCCACGAAGTTTCTCAACAAAAATGTCAAATCAAAATCTTATCGCATAGAGAATTCCACGCATAATCCAGTGGCGCACTCAAATTTTTTTTTCGGGGTATGGTTTTGGAGATATGACTCAAACTTATGATTTTTTAAATGGAACACCCTGTATTTCATAAGCTCATCAAATTCCTTATTTTTTTGTCTTCAAAATGATGTATAACGAATGAATATAAAATTTTCAAAATTGCTCAAAATCACTAAAATATTGAATTTTGATAGTTGGTTATGGATTTTTCTTATAAAAAACGTTCCAATTGAAGAAATATTTCTTCAAATTTTTCCATGGAGAGGTCAAAACCAATATCAACACTTATTAATTAACAAAACACTAAACTTGGGTACCTGATAGCGACAAATAAATAGTAATAAAAAGTTTATAATGTAGAATAAGCACCTGATTAAATATTAACTAGAACAATTGAATTCCGGAATTATTCAGTAAGTTATTCATTGGCATGTTCAAATTGATATCCATATTCCCCAACATACAGTTGACAAACTTCCTTAATACTTCTTAATACAGTGAGTGGCCCAACATACTTGAAGAACTTTGTGCAACAACAGAGGCAGTTTTCCAAGAATTACAAAGACATCTTTCAATGATTAATATGTATTGAGAAAGTTTGTGATGGAAAATGGACATCAATTTGAACAATTCAATGAATAAATCACTGAATAATTTCGAAATTCATTTGTTTTAGTAAATATTCAATCAGGTTCTTATTCTACATTATAAACTTTTTATTACTATATATTTGTGAATATCAGGTATCTAAGTTTTGTGTATTGCAAGTTAATTAGTGTTGAAATTGTTATTTCCCCCTTCATGGAACAATCAAAGGAAATATTCCTTCAATTGTAAATTTCTTTATATGAAATTCCCTCGAAAAACCCATAGCCCACTATTAAAATTCAATGTTTTAGTGATTTTTTAACATTTTTGAAAATGTTATATTCATACATCATATATCATTTCAAAGGGAAGAAAATAAGGAATTTAATGAGCTTGTGAAATACAGGGTGTTCAATTTAAAAAATCATAAGTTTGAGTCGTATCTTCAAAACCACACCCCGAAAAAAAAACTTTTGTGCGCCACTGGATTCTGCATAAAATTCTCTATGGGTTGAGATTTTAATTTGACATTTTCGCTGATAAACTTCGTAGATATAGAGGGGGTCCAAAAAGTATAAATTTCCAAAATCGCCCTGTATCTCATAAACGGAAACAGTCCTGCAAAATCTGATCAGGCCATCTTCAGTTTCACGAAAAAGTAGCACAGGACCGCGAAAACCGCAAGGTTCTATCTCCAAAGATAACTGAGATATCATGCAAAAGCATCGAAAACTGGACACACTGTACAAATATTGTAAAAGCCTTTATTTCTGGGGACATTACTTTGGCGCCTGTTCGGACAGAGACTATTCTAGTATTTGACGGGAGGGGGGTCTCGGACGCCAGATTGTTTATAATAATGATAATAATAATAATGTATTTATTCCTTTCACTGATCATACAAAAAATGATATAGGAATCGTCAAAAAAAAAGTTAATACATTGACATGAAGATAAAATGGGTCAAACATTCAGAACAATCAAAAACAATGGTTGGAGGCAAACATTTAAAATTCAATCACTTTAAAAATACAATCACCTCACTTCAGATTTTTGTCTCCAGAAATTCCTTCACAGAATAAAAACTTCTTTCCAGCAAAGATAATCCTTCACTTTAATTTTGATATTTCCTTTATATCTGAGGGCAGGGAATCAAAGAACCTCGGACCTGTTGTGAAGTGTGACTTTTGAAAAATCTGGGTGCGGTGTTGTCTCAATCTCAGTAAATTACCGCTCCTTGTAGGATAAGAATGATAATTTCCATTTGTTTCGAACTTAGATTCGTGTTTTTTCACGTAAATGTATATAGAGGGTAGTGTTAGAATTTTGTTTTTTGGAAATAGATCTACATGATTCGGTATATTTCAGACCATATATGGAGTCGAATTATGCGTTTCTGACCAATAAAAGCCCGATCAATCGTAGTACCATTACCCCACACGAGAATATTGTAGGAAAGTACTGAATTCACCATTGCATAATAAACCATCGACAAGAATATTCACATCCAGAACTTTTTTGAGCTGCAGTAGAGCATAAAAACTACTATTGATTTTTTTTACATACATAGTTGATATGATGTTTCCATTTCAATTTGGTGTCTATATATACACCTAAAAACTTTGTTGTTTCCGAAGGGTGTACAGTAATATTATTAATATTCACACACATTTATGAGGTGGTTCACTCCACCTGCTCTGTACAAAGCGGGAGGAAATGGATACCTTTTCTCCTTTGATATATAAATAGCTATTACATCACTCTATTTGACTTTACTTCACTAGATTTCTTGTGCAGTGTAATTCGTTTTCTAGTCAAGATTGAACTATCATGTCGAAAAATTGAAACCAGTGTGTAGTGAAATGGTGATGTAGTAGGAATCTTTATTCAAATTGAACTCCGCCATTTTCTTCTGAATAATTTCAGAACAATTTTAGAAATTGCAATGTGTCAGGACGTTAATTATTATTAGTACTAAACTGTGCAAATCCTGAAATTAAAACTCTATAAAAAGCTTAATTACTGTGAATCATTGATATCAAATCTCAATTCACTCTATTTCAACTTGCAAACAAGGCATAGGGGGAATATTAACACTGAAAAATGCATTTAATATCAAGAAACCAAAGAATCACAAATAGATACCTTTCACTTTTTACTTAGATAAAAATTTAACCAAAAACAAATCATTAACTTTTGTTAATTCTTCACTCATTTCTCAGTTTTCTATTTATTATGACTTAACGATGATTTCATCACAGATGTAACTTAACATCAAATGTTTTTTTTTTTCAAGGTGGAAGGTGAATTCAAGAATTTGCAGATGTCTCAAATCAAGGACAAAATGGGAGTGCTATCTAACAATCAGTCGGTGGATATTTCGGATATTTTAAACACCCCAAAGAGGCCTACCACTCTCAAAATGTAAGTAATATTTGGAACAGAAATATTGTTTGGGAGCTTGGAAAATTATCATTTACAAGAGTCAGAAATTTTAAATAACTTGAATGTACAATGGGTTGCGTGCAAGAACTGTCAGATGACGGACCCTGCTGGAGGTGAAACATTGAAACACAACCTCACTTTTCTTATTTGTTTACAGGTGATTGAAATAGTTCTTTACAATCATTTTGGCATAGGAATCGTGTTTTTCGGCTATTCATTAATTGGCACATGCCATCACATTGTGCTGTTGTACAATGCATGAAAAATGCATCGAGAGACGAAAGAATCCGGTTGGTACATTATGATTCAAAAGTAAGTACCTACTATAGTCACTCACATACAGTTTTCATTTTGAATTTTAGTAATTTCTCTGATTTCTCATCGGAATTCCTTCTGCAATTGGAGCTAATAGAAATACTCGTGAAATTTCTAAAAGAATGCAAGAAGATTGCATGAATCCATGCAATCAAACGGGAGGACTGGTCTGACATGTTGACAAAATATGATCGTGTGTGTTGTAGATATTTTCAATCTATTAGCAGTATTAGCTTGTATTGCAGAAGTGTGAGAAGTGACAGAAGGAATTTTAATAAGAAATGACAAAATTTTATAAAGAAAACTATGTGAGATTACTACTTACCTGAAAAATCATATTCCTTCGTCTCTCTCTGCATTTTTTGTGTATAGTAAAACAGCACAATGAGAAGGCATGCTTGAATTAATGAATAGCGCAAAAAACACGATTCGAATGCCAAAATCTTTTGATTCCTCTGTAAACAAATAAAAAAAGTGAGGTTGTGTTTCAATGTTTTACAGGGGGGTACCCATTTGTTTTCTAAAGGGGTCAATGAAATTTCTCAGCCGGAATCGTAGGGAAGCATGAAAGTACTTGCTATCTCTGCTTACTTTTCTTTTTGTCTGACTCGATATTTTTGTTCCAAAGACTGGATTGCACAGAGGAGTGCAAAGTCCTAGAGCGCAACCGACGACTGGCCATAGGGCTCCAAATCCGCAACCCTGACCTCAGCCAAAAGCTCACGCCCAAATACTCCGACTTTATGCGCCAGTGGGCGAAAAAGGACCCGCACTTCTGTCAGCGCGTCCACGACAAACTGACCGACCTCGTCCAACTGGCCAAAAGCAGCAAGCAGAAGAGCCGCGCCTACTCGTTCGAATCGATGAACAGGTTTGTTGATCCACCCCACTTTCTTCACAGTAACTGCCACATTCCAATAATAGCTATTTGTGTATTTAGAGCGCAAAGTGATAGATTGCCGCTCGATAAAGAAAGTTACCGCGCGATGCGGAGCGGAGCGCGGTAATCTTTGTAGAGCGGCAATGACACTTTGTGCTCGAAATATACACAAGATTTTTTCTTCAAACGCAGCTTTTGGAAATAACTGCCCTGAAAGTATGAGCGATTGAAATAGTTCTTATCCATATTATTCTATATGTCCAAAAAAATAACAAAAAACTTAGTTTAGAGTTTGAATATAAAGTATAATTTACCTTTTTCAACAGATATTCTTCATCGAGAGCTTCTTGTAGAGAGTTGTTGGTATTTATCTTCAGCGGTGAATGTTTTGGATTTTTTTCGCTTTATATCCAATAGATTGTTTCTTGAGAAATGCGATAAGTTTCGGATACTTATTGATTCCGATATTATTTTCAACATTCAAGCATGTATACGTACCATCGAATATATAGACCAATGAGTTGATGACTTCAAAGTCTTAGATTTTTCACCAAAATAAGCCAGTAAAACGTTTTCTGAATACTCATTCACCTTCTTGGAGGGGCACCAATTTATGAATGTATTATATTGTAATTCATATTTCTTTCTTGATTTCTCCGTTGAGAGCGACTTTTGCGCTTTTTGCTATATCAGGAGGTGTGTTTGATGATTCACTGTAACTATTAAGCATCATGAAAGAATTGGGGATTTTCAAGAATAGATAAGTATACGTTACAGAGATGTGCGAGCGTTTTTTCAATATTTCCGCTCACGAGCGCAAATGCTGCTGGGAAAACGTCAACTTTGTGTTAGAATTTGAAAGCGTCAAAGGCTACTTTGTTAAGTGTTTGTAGAAAAATAGTTATTTATTTACGAGGGAAAAAAGTTGTAGATTTTAGCTCCAGGTTGTGTTGTCTCCCGACGCGTAGCGGAGGGAGACAACATACCGTGAGCTAAAATCTAATATTTTTCCCGTGTATAATACACTATTTTTTTCTGTGACAGAAGAAAGCACGAATCAATATTGAGAAGATATTACATTATTTTGATATCTGAAAATTATCGACGTGAAATTTCAAGTTTTTAACAGAAGGGACACCGCGTTGTAGGCATCTTTTTGATTCATTTGAAGTAATCAAATATCTGATGTTACTTCTGTCAGTCTAATTTTGTGATTTTATTTCAAGAAATTGCGAATTCAGTGGTTATTTAGCAATATACGTACGTAAGGGCGAAGTCGAATGGAAGATAAAAGGACTTGCAGTTCTTTCTCGGAGACGGTATTATTGACTCATTTCTCGGAACTATAGCACAACAAAAGCCATCAACAGTGTATATATATATGTGATATATATCCGGGAAAGAAGTACTCACTTTTTTCCCACGGGAAAAAAGTAATTTATGAAAAGTGACATTTTATAACCTGCCAATGCCAATAGGGATGAAATGCCAAACTTTTTTCCCGTCACAGAAAAAAATATAAATTGACTCCTTGGGCCACAGGCTGACAATTGTTCATTATTGTTTCGAAATCATAAAAATGATTTATTACTTGTTTTCTAGAGTGAATCACTTGTGTCTCACGTGGCCTGGCTAACCAAAATTACATAGCCGGTCGCATGATTCGTGAATCATGCGTTCAAAACAAAACCTGTCTGATGTCGTTTATCGTCATTTTCATGCCATAAGCGTTACAGCATTTTTGAGTGAGTTATAAAATTTGAGTATTAGCGACTTTTATCGACTCAGACTACATTTTTTAGTATATTTTTTTCTTTGTGATGTGAAATTAGATTCTTTTCAATGAAATATGAGTTCAATTTCATACAAACATTTATTTCACAAAGAAGTTGTGGATATTTCATATATTTATTATGGATTATTTTTATGACAATACTTTTTGAAATATCTTAATCAATAATCTTATGTCAAATTCTCCCATTTGACTTTAATAGACAAATATAGGGTGAACATTCTCCAAGTTGACACTCTGCAAAAAGCTTTGTCATCTTGTCTTCGTCAGATATTTGATACATTTTGATCAATTGGGATTTTAGTATTGCGTAGGAATCTGATCTATCTGATGGAATTCGAAAGAGATTGGAATTTTCTTTGGCTATAGTGCAATCTAATACAGATAGAACTCTCCAAAATTTAACTTTTTCAGAGGTTATTCCAGACAGATCAAAAATTGTTTCAACAGCACTGAACCACAGCTCTGGTTCATGTTTCCAGAATGCTGGTAAAATAATTGACTTGGGTTGACTTATTTCTTTCTCACTATTTGCTATATTCGGCATTGCATTGCTAGGAGCTGGAGGTTGCGATTGTGTTGGTTTTTTTTCCAAAGATTCGACTGGTATACTCCTCAATTCAAGGATATCATGTATCTTTTCAAATTTTTAATCGTTTTGGTCCAGCTTTTCCATCAATCGGGTACACAAATACTCCAAATTTTTGATTTTGCTGTCAAAATCTACATCGTTTCTTGTTTCTGATGTTGTTTCTTCAGTAGAATCAATAGCTTCGAGAACTACTGAGAAATCAAAATCAGCAGGGTTGGTATCTCCAAATTGTTTGATGATTTCTCCCTCTAAAATGAGCCTCATAACACCAACTGTTCCTCTAGTACTAACACCAAAGTGCTGAAGTACCTTTACAATCTGATCTTTGGTGAGATTATTCAGTAGAATTGCCATTTCTCAAGGTTGTTTCAAACGTCGGGGTCACCAATGTGGATATTTCGTATATTTATTATCGATTATTTTTATGACAATACTTTTTGAAATATCTTAATCAATAATCTTATGTCAAATTCTCCCATTTGACTTGAATAGACAAATATAGGGTGAACATTATTATCACCACAAAGTGAAAGAACATTTATGAATTGATTATGGCCAAGAGCTGCCTCACAATATTGATGAATTACAATAACAACAGTCAATTGGTATTGGTAGGTTGGATGGTGACAGATGCGCTGCGACCTAATTAGATCTATTGTGCCCCATCTGCTTCGGCTATATCAAGGATTTCTAGTTCATAGCAGCCCCTCGAGATTCAATTCCTTCAGGAATTTGAGGATTTTGAGGGGGTCTAGCTGTGGTATTTCTTCCACAGTCAGCTGGTGTTTTCCCAGTATGTTCAATCTTTTGTGATGTACAGCGTCACACTCCATCAGTATGTGTTTTCATTTTGAATTATACTAGTTTTGAAAGATTTGGGAATGATGTTTAAAAAAATTCGAGCTAACTCAAATTTGATTACTTTTTTACAATCTTAACAGTTATTAGCACTGCTCGGTATAGGGTTGACAGAACAGTATCAGTCCCTCTGAAACCTTCCACCTTTATTAACACGTTAACACTATGTATTCTCTTCAACGCTTCAAATAAGAATGAATCAACCTAAATGCCTCCTGATCGGATACAGTCATTTGTAGGTAGGTGACTAAACCTTATGTAACCACTAACTGTAGCTCTGTACTTTTAATGGTACATGGCGTCCGGCATCTGGCTAGTCGCTAACACAGTGATATTATAAAATGCACTATATTTTCGTACACCTAAACTATCGATGATATTTTCAATTTCTGAAATAAGTATTTCTTGGAATAAGCAAAGATGAATAAGGAACATAGATAGAACACAGTGTCTGAACATGCCATAGCTAGGAAAGTGGTTGTTTTTCTCCCGAAATCTACCATTGTTCAATTTATGAACATTGTGTGGATATGACTTTGAGCTGTTTGTATTCATTATTAATGAAATGGTTATTTATTTCATTAATAATTTCAAGGAAGTCTTTGATTTTTACATTATTCATAGAAATTCGATATGTTCACACAGGGACAAGCGCCATCTAGTGCACGAGTACTGCGAGCATTTCGGGGTAGATTTTTCGACTATTCAATCTCTTATAATGAATTAGTGGAAAATATGGGTTTTTTGCGGAAACTGCGAAATTCGCAATTTTCAACTGTTATGCCATACAATTTCATAAGCAAACCTCACATTTGGATTATGCACCTTAGAAAATGATGGATGGAAAAAATCAAAACTACCTCACAACTTACCCTCGAGAGGCCTTTTCGAGAATAAATAGCCAGTGTATGTATATATGTGGAAACATTTGGAAACTATTAATAGACTTGAAAATTTGATATTCCTTGCGCTGGGACTGCTAAATTGGGTCGAAAAATCATAGATATGAAACATTTTATTGGTACTTATCATTCCGGGGATCACACAGGGATAAGAGCCATCTCGCTTTAAGAATTTTCATTCTGTCAGGAATTATACTAGTTTTGAAAGATTTGGGAATGCTGTTTAAAAAAATTCGAGCTAACTCAAATTTGATTACTTTTACAATCTTAACAGTGATATTATAAAATTCACTATATTTTCGTACACCTAAACTATCAATGATATTTTCAATTTATGAAATAGGTATTTCGTGGAATAAGCAAAGATGAATTAGGAACATAGATAGAACACTAATTTAAGTCTTTCACAGTGTCTGAACATAGAGTAGTTTTTGATAGAACATGTTGACCTACATTAATGAAATGGTTATTCATTTCATTAAGGTACACCGGGGTAAGTGTAAATTTGGGGCAAGTGAAACCCATGCTGATTATCATTACATTTTTGACCGTAAGGTGGTTATGTCTATCGCATAATGAACCTATTCATATCCCCTGAATGCTCATTGATATAACAAGCTACCAACCCAAGAATTACGGTTCGACCTTGCCGATTATTCGAATAATGTCCATTTACGTCGCATACCGAGCTAGCACGTGTTCGTTGTTGGTGTACGTGAGCTTCAAAAATTTGTGAATACCTTACTAATTTCAAGGAAGCCTTCGATTTTTACATTATTCATAGATATTCGATATGTTGACACAGGGACAAGCGCCATCTAGTGCACGAGTACTGCGAGCATTTCGGGGTAGACAGCGCCGCCTACGATGCGGAACCGAACAGGAACATTGTGGCGACCGCCCTTAAAGACAAGTCCTGGCTGCCCAGCATGAGTCTTTTGGAGTTTCTGCAGAGAGAGAACGGGCAAAGGAAGGTGCCAGGGCCGGTGTCTGTTTTGGGGAAGAGCGCTGCTGGGAAGCAGGAGACGGTGTCTCTGAGGCTGCCAGGGAAGGTGCTCAGGCCTAGTAGTCCGCCAGTGGAGTGTTTCGAGCCTTTTCCATAGTTATTTTTTTCTTTTTTACGATGAGTCACTTTATAGAACTGTTATTATGTTTTAATTGGGTAAATACATTTTTTCGGAATAACTTCGCTCTTTTACAAGTCTACATTTATCGAAAACTGGAACCTTCGGACGATAATACACTACACACTGTTTCACCACTAACCAAACCGATTAGAAAAGTCGTTTCATTTTCCATTGTCTCTCGGAATTAGGGCTTTTGATCTTTATCATTATAAGTATCTTTTCGGTTGAGTAACCGACAAACATTATGACTTGACTCCTATGTATGATTGCCTTCGGACATTTCATTATACAAGGAAAGACAATGCCAGAGGACGAACGGGGAAATATGGAGTCTGTATAGTACCATCCTGCCAGCGATGCTTGGATTCTGCCGCCTGGTGTGTGATGAGAACTCGACCTCCCTGACGATTCATCGAGGAATGACCCGTTAGCTCAATTGGCAGAGCGTTGGGCATGTAATCCAGAGGTTGTGAGTTCGACTCTCACACGGGGCGGTGGAGTTTTTTCATTTTCCATTGTCACTCGAAATTAGGGCTTTCCATCTTTATCATTATAGTATATACACACACTGGCACAATTAGGGGAACGGACAAAATTTACACTAAGTTTGACATCAATTTTCCTTCGGACCGATCGCTCGATTCAAATTTTTTTCTTCACGAAATGTAGCTCCATTCTTCACGAATACATCTGAGAAATAATTACCTTCAAAAGATGAGTCTTTCCTTCATATACAGAGCTGTAAAGAAAGTACGGATTTTTCGGTATTTTTTTAGACATCCTGTGAACCACTAATAATTGAAACGATTTCTCAACACCAAATTGGAGCCCAATCTATTCCGAATATTTTCGTTTTTTATTCATCTTGATATCTCAATTATTCAAGAAAATACAGAGTTTCAAAGGAAAGGTGGATATTGGTATCAATTTTACTGCCATAGGACACAGAAGCAGTAAAATCAAATTGTTCATTTTGTTCACCTCGGCGATATAGTCTTTCCCTGCCATCTATTGAATTGGTGCAGATGCGGCTCTCATATGTCAAAAGAACATTGGCCCACTGGTCATTTTCAATCAATGCTACAGCCCTCGCCACATCAGTAGGAGTCAAATCTCTCACGTATTTTCATTAATCAAATTTATGAATGGTGAATCGCTTGACTTTGACAATAATTAATGACATTAACAAAAGAGCCACCGTTGATTAACAAAAATAGCATTTCACCAAAAGAACATTGGAGCAACTTTTATCACCCCTGCATATTCATGAGAGTATTCGTCTATGTGTCTTTAAACAGTAAACCGATAGGTAAAACTGTGAACAATTCTCATCTTGAAGTAAAAATCCTCACAGAAACAAGTTGAAAAACGACACGTTCTCCCCAGTTCGAGTTTCGAGGTGGTAAAATTAATACCAATATCCACCTCTTTTTTGAAACTATATTTTCTTGGATAATTGGGATATCAAGATGAATAAAAAACGAAAATATTCGGGATAGATTGGGCTATAATTTGGTGTTGGAAAATCGTTTCAATTATCAGTGGTTCACTCCACAGGATGTCTCAAAGACTACCGAAAAATCCGTACTTTCTTTACACCCCTGTATATGGTATAAAGACGAATCGTTTGGAGGTGGTTATTTCTCAGATGTATTCGTGTAGAATGAAGCTACAATTCGTGAAAAACAAATTTGAATCGAGTGCTCGGTTCGAGAGAAAATTGATGTCAAACTTAGTGTAAATTTTACCCGTTCCCCTAATTGTGCCAGTGTGTGTATATACCTATAGTATATTAGTAGCCCACTAGGATAGATAATTTAGTTTCAATCTTGTCCTGAAGATGCTAGCATAGTTAGCTAAACACATGTTTGTGATATGGATTTTCTCAAGAAATCAGTGGTCTAGAAAAAACTTCTTCAAGTCCTGGCTGCCAAGCATGTGTCTTTTGCTTTTGGAGATTTTCAGAGGGAGAATGGGCAGAAAAAGGTGCCAGGGCTGGTTTTGGGGAAGAGCACTGCTGGGGAGCAGGAAACTGTATCTCTGAGGCTGCCAGGGAAGGTGCTGAGACCTAGAGTAGTCAGCCAATGGAGTGTTTCGAATCTTTTCCATAAAGCGAATTCCATTAGTAAAACTGGCTCGCACTGAGTGCATATTTTATATTGGTTCGAAACCAGTGCACCACCAGTTTTGCACCCGCACTACGTTAGTTCTCTCCAAAATGTGAACTGGTGCATTCCCAATGGAATACGAAATAATATAATAAAATGTTATTGTTGGAGGTTAAATCGGATAAATTGGTTCGTCATTGTTTATAACTTGTCCGTATCCTGAAATTCTTTCTCGACTTCAATTAAAAAAGGAATAGATGTTTCATGGAAATGATTCTGAGCAGTTATTTTTCAATAAGAACCTCTTCATCATTGAATTTTAGTGCAAAACACTCAACAAAACTTGATGATGATGATTCGATTACCACTTAATTTTGGTTTCCAAACTATGCAAATTCAATGTTTCCGCCATTTTCAAAACTGCACCTACTTCGGACCTATTAGAGCTCGTGCGAGAATTGTTGCACTGAGCTCTGAACTATGTGAACCAGTTTTCCAATGGAATTCAAAACCCGACACCAGTTTTACCAATGGAATACAAAATATGCACTTAGTGCGACCAAGTTTTACCAATGCAATTCGCTATAATAGTTGTTTGTCAGGACAAGTCACTTCATAGAACTTATGTTTCAATTGGGTAAATACATTTTTCTGCAACCGACACAAAAGTCGTTTCTATTACTGACACAAAAATAGGTATGTTGCTAGGCAACATATTTAGTTCCTAGGAGCTAAAGTTGAATTTTAGTTCCTAGGAGCTAAAGTTGAACTTTAGCTCCTAGGAACTAAAAAGGATGTACTGGACGTCATCGAGAATGAACAACATTGTGACGGTTGGTTATTTGGGTTGAGACGCATACCTGATTTGTTTCCGAATTCAGCAGATTTGGCATTTCATACCCATGCTGGAGATATAAATACACCTTATTATAATAGTTTGGTATTGGAATTATAAACATCTCAGTTAAGTATTCTTGTTTTGATCAGGGAAGCCTTCAAGATTCAAATACTTGCTTGATCTGTATTTTATTCTCGGGATGGATAACTTGTTTTTGAATCACGGCAAGCAATCGGTTTTTTGTCTCAAACAACGATGTTGTTTAGCTTCATTTGATTATCAAGTCAAACACAGTGTAGTATGGAGATGAATAAATAATCACTATTATCATTGTTGATATGTTCACTAACCTAACATTTTCCACGTATTGTTCCTATAGCTGGCACTGGCGCGGTATTTGCCATTAGAGCGCCTGGTCCATACACAAATATGTCACTCTGTGGTTGAATTTATATTGAAACTACAATTCGAACATCCTAGAAAACCTAACCTGCTGTTAATGCAGGTAGAATATTGTCACTACATGGATTATTTGTCAATATTTGTTGCATTGCATACATATGGCACGGCATTGGTGGTTACTTCACATGTTCATTTGAGTTAATTGTTTCGGTTGCAGAAAAAATAGCATGTTTCATTCGGATCAAAAGTGACTTTGTTCGACTCGCAAATTTTGCTTTCGCTCGGCTTCGCTGAACGCTCCGCCTCGCAAATGCAAAATTCGCTTGTCAAACAAAGTGTCACTTTTGATTCTAATAAAACAATCTACTATTGCTCAGAATAGTTTCGCTCTTTTGGTTGCTACGTCTATAGAAACGGGAAATTTAAAATACTCCAAATGGTCCTAGAAACGGCCATGATGCAATTCTCTAAGATCGACCAGAATGGTTTCTCTCCCGATAAATTGGAACAAAAGTTATGATTTTGCTTCCACATTTCATCGAATGTGGGAATCAACTGACAGAGTATGGAAAATTGAGTACCTATATTTCGAAAACTGCTCATCTCAATTTTAGCCGATTTCAACTCGTTTTTTTATAAGGGCCTTAAAAAGATATCAACAACTTTTTTATCTTCTCCAGGTCAAACTCTATACGAAACGAGAATGAAATTGTTGAAAACTTTTCGACTGGAACCAAATTCTTGAAATATCTTACGTTACCATTATGAAGAAGAACAACAATGTAAAATCAAAAAATATATGAAATTGAAGTTATATACAATACAGAGGACAGCTGTTCAAGTCCTCATAAACTGCTTCAAAACCCAGTTCAGTGTGACATAACATCCATGGCAGATCAATCCCAGCATCTCCAAATTCTCCACTATTCTCCTTCTCCATCGATCTTCCAAGCAAAAAACCTCCTGGTACTCAAAGTGCCTTGATGAATTCGACTTTTCCAATGTCATCAAGGCACTTCCCTCCTCGTTTTCACTCGCAGTAGTGGTTCAGCGTCAGTCGAGCAGTGATGTTCATGGCTTGCAGCTCAGTCAGCAGCAACTTACAGGCATACGGCATAGTTATACTGGAAACTTCGGCTGAAGTCTTGCAACTGTTGCACCAGCCGCAATAGCCAAGTCTGCCGCATTTGTTGCAAACGTCCACTTCGCACTGGTCACTGGACACCATCAATCTTTCCACCAACATCATACTAAAAAAAAATAATTGAAGGTTATAAAAGCAAACTGAACAAACTAACTATAGGCAACAAGTGAACTGCAAATGGCAAATTTTTGCCCGAAAATACATTGATTGATGAATACTTAATCAGTCAGACTCTGTGAGCCTCTTTGGATGCTTCAAATGGGCAGACTAGTACACAGTTATTTTTTTCTGATCTTATTCGCCCTAATGCTTTCAATTTCATTATTTGTCACAAATTCTCTGAAAGGTTTTGAGTCAGCAAATTCACAAATGAAGTCATTCAAACGGTCAAAACATTTGCCACTCATAATGGGGAAGACCACTGATTTTTTAAAACGACATTATCGTGAACTCTATACTGAAAAACTACCAGTGAATTAATTTTGAATTTTTTCATTCATGCTAAGACGATGAAAAAAATAAATTAGTATATGTCCATTTCAAAACACACAATTCCTGCGCCATTTGAAATTTCATCAATTCATTGGTGTGACTGGTGCGACGTCTTAGTGCCAACACGCCTATTGTCCTTGAACCGACCAATTACACTGCAACACTGCAGAATGACGAGGTATCAGAGAGAGATAGCTACAGTTCGGGACTAATACGTCACGACTCCACCATCATATTTGGCTGTTTGAAATATCGAATGAAATATGCTGATTTCAAAACGATATAGTTTCGATTCCCTTCAACTTCAACTCATAATATTGATTGTACATAAAATGTAAATCAGGATTCGTCGATTGAAAGAGGTTTGCAGGGATTTCTTCCCTCAGTGGTCTTCCCCATTACTGTCGTCACAATTCATTCAGTGAAACACGTAGTTCATTGTCGTTCTGAAAGAAATCCTAGTCAGTAGGCTAGACATTGTCTGTTCAGTGAAAGAAAAAAGCTAAATTCGCCCTTACTGATAACATTTTCAGTAAGCTAGTGACCTATATTATGAACTAAGTTATTGATTTGTTATCCTAACCCTCGAAATGTTTCGTATTCCTGTAAAGATCCACCTTCCTGTCAAGTTTGTAATAAAAAATGTCTATAGTTTTGGTGGAGTTGACTGACTGATTTTCTTCCTGCCCTATTATCTTCACTGCAAGATGGATCGACTCAGATAATTGAAGATCTGAGTATTCGCATTTTTATGGTGTACTTGGCAACGGTGGAGGGTTACTTTCGAGGACACGAAACGCTTTTACATCTATTAATTGGGTTCCCCGACCTCGGAAGCGAGCTACAGCCCGAGGACAGATTCGTGACACAATATTGTTCTGTGCGTTTCTTCGTCCACCGTGTATCTGGAGCTACCGTTATCAATGCTCGAAAGATTCCATCGAATATGAAGAGCAAAGGAAGGAGCGTTTCAATTCCATTTATTCAATGAAAACAATTTTACAATACAAGGTGTATAATCAAAAATCTTCTAAAGGGGACATTGGTCCTGATAAAAATGTAAAACATACAATACAATACATATTATGTTGAATGATTTCAAGTACTTGGCTAGCCAGCGTAGCCTCGTGGTTGAAGCGTCAGTATTCTATCCACGTTGGATTGCCGGTAGGTGGGTTCGATTTCCACCACGACCACACATTTTTTTCTGATGGTCTAAAAAAGTGTTTGGGATCACACGTTAAAAGGTAAGACGCTCGTCATTCCTTGCTCGCACAAGTCTCTTGAAGACTTTTGAAAGTTGCTCGTAAGGGGGCAACCGAATGATGGATAAGAACAATTTTAGAACAACTTACACAAATAAGGAAAGCAGGATACATAAAGAAGAGATTGCTGTTCATGCAATGATAACGTTCTCGATTCATTGATATTATTGGAATTCAAGTAGGAACTGGAAACAGTAGAAACTCATCAGTGCAGTGATAAAACATGACTGTTCGCAAATTATCGAAACGGTGGCATGTAAGATAAGAATAAAAATGTAGGAACTGCTTATTTACCGTTATATTGTGTAAAATAACTTACTATCTTTATCAATTCATTATGGAATAAAAAGAAAAAACTCTTACCTGATGTTGGAAGTCATTGCTTGTTGCCTCAAATTAAAGTTATCATTGAAAAAGGAGTGTTGAAGAATTCACATACCTCCACCTCTTGAGGAAATGCAACATGAAACACCAAAATCGAACAAATAATAGACAAACAAGTAACGAACTTGAATTAAAAGGCCGACAAATTTTGGGTAAATGAACAGACAACATTATCATACATCTCGACTAGGTACTAACCAGGTCTTCATTTAGAGCGACAATGACTGGACATCTAAATCTAATTTTTTTTTAACTTGGTGAGTAATAACTGAAAAATACTGGATAATTTTATTATTGAGCAACCAATCTTCAGGTATAAAGCAGCTGTTGAATACTACACTCAGATTGAAAATCACTTGAGAATCGTTAAAAACTCGAGTGTTGCTACGTAATTTTTTTTTTCAAGATCTTCACATATTCATGTTTATATGAGTCACAGCAGTTTTCAGTTTATATACCAGTGTTGAATATTAGGTACCTTGCGCCATAACCTATCAAACAATCTCGTTCCATTTCCCCCAGACGAAGACCGCCATCTCTACTTCTACCTTCTGTCGGTTGTCTTGTCAGAACTGCTCTTGGACCGCGACCTCTGAAAATAATTTGAATATAAAATATACTGAAAGCAATGTCAATATTTTCTAACGTGCTAGCGTTTAAAAGGGAATTTGCAAAACACTTCAATAAGTGATATACTAATAAAAATATATTCGAAAAAAATCTACGTAATACCTAGCGTGAATTTTGTCTTGAACCATATGCTTCAGTTTCTGATAGTAGACTGGTCCAGAGTAGATATAAGCTTCCAACGGTTCTCCAGTAATACCCGAATAAAAAAAATCTTTTCCTTGATAGTTGAAACCGTGTTTCACCAATTCTTCGCTCACATCCTCTACTTTGGATCCACCGAAGGCAGTACCATAATGAAATTTTCCTAAAATAGCACAGATGAACTGTGGAATGAAGATATATTTTTTTCTAATAGTTCACCTTCAGTTAGTCCTGCTTTCCCCGCCAATAATTCTATCAACTTTCCAACTGTCATTCTTGAAGGATATCCATGGGGGTTCATGATGATATCTGGACATATACCATATTCATTGAAAGGCATGTCCTCCTGTTCTACAACTAAACCTAAAAACAACACGAGGAACAGAATTTTATCATTGAACAACCATTTAAAAAATGTATCAATAGCACAGTTTAGAGGTTCTGTGGAAAACACAATCCGGTATACCAACTATTTTGGAAATTCTCTATTCAAGAACAAGAGAAGTTCAAAATAAATAAAAAGGAATTGAAAAATAAAAGTAAAACTACTTGAATCTGGGAAGATACTGACAATAATTTTCAAAATGAACAAAAATTATCAATTATCAAAGTTCTTTGTTACCTACTCAATGATCATCATGGTATTTTTTCCGAATTGAATATTCATTCGGTTGGTACATTATGATCTAGTAGTGTAAGATTGAAAGAGGAATCAACAGAACAGTGCTATACACAGTATGCTGTCACCTACAGCCGAAAGTTTTATCTGACCCAAAATAATTCTTGAATCTCTATATTTCTTCCATGTGCGCATCATCTCAACAAGATTGAAATCAAAATTGAAAAAAGGTTCCAATCTTCGATGAAGTGGAAAGCTTACCAACGACTCCTTTTTGCCCGTGCCTCGAGCTGAATTTGTCCCCGATTTCGGGCCTCCTAGTCTGGCGGAGCAGCACCTTCAGCAGAGTGGTATCCTCCTCGTTGGTACTTATCAAAACCTTCTCGACATAACTCGGCTCATCATTCCTGTACGCCACTGGCTGCTCCCTGTATTCCATTGAAGTGGTTGTACTTCCCGGTACCGAAGACATCTTTGGTATGGATTTGTTGATAAGTACCTTTAAAGAATCAAACTGAACGCTAGATCGTCATTTTCTCTAATATGAGCATTGCAAGGTATGGGTTTGAACATCAGATCAACAAGGAACCCTAGATAGGCCCGAAGCTCCAATATTTAGATGCGAAGATAACATCGGGTTTCTGCCGTGCTAGAGATAATACTCAATTCGATGATTGGTATTACTATCAGCAATAACCTTTCTTGGGAAAATCACGTGAGATCAATTGCTAAAAGTGCATCCCAAAAACTTGGTTTTCTGTTTCGGGCCAGGAGCTATTTCACTTCCAGTCAGCTGCTTATGATCTATAAGGCACAGATCCGACCTCTCCTGGAATACTGTTTCCATATTTGGAGTGCAGCTGCAGCACCCAAACATACCCTGAAACTGTTGGATTCTGTCCAAAAAAGGGCAATTCGTCTCGTGGGTGATGCCTCGCTCACAAACTCACTCACTTCTCTGGAACACCGTAGAAAAGTTGGCGATCTGGCTCTATTTTATTGATATTTTCATGGACGATTCTCTTCTGAAATATCAACAATTGTTCCTCACTTGGCAGTCCCTGCGAGATTATCCCGTCGAGTTGAGGCTTCGCATAGCTATTTCATTAACTTCTGTTCGTTTTTTTGTAAGTAACCAATTTATTAATTTTTAAAATGAATTTTCTTGATCCTCTCCAATCATTCACATGTTTGAAGTGATTTTCCAGACATTTTAAAGGTATGATCCTCTTTCAAAATGCGGGGTAAAGCAGATCACACTTTGGAATTTTTTTAAAAATCGTTCATGATAGTTAATTTTTGTATTTTTCACTAGGCTCTAGAGGAAGGATATACGAATCTTATATATTTTTTCACACTCTCAAGGAATGTACTTTGGTTTCTCCCCAGTTGACGATAACAAGAAAATAAAATAAGAAATAAGTTGATAATGCTTTCTGGAAGAGGTAACGTCGATTTCAAATTTGAAAACGCCAACACATAGGAAAGGAAAAGGGGCCACAGCTTCTCACAATGAAATCCTTCATATCTATGAATTCCTAGAATCCATACAAAGGGTTTGACACGAAAATATGCAAATGATTATTTATTTTTAATCAAAATGTAATTCTATCAATTGATTTTCGATCATTTGATTGGTTTAGACTTCGAATGTTATCACATTTTTGGTAAGAGCTGAACCTGACTGGAAGGCGATGAAAAAAGCTGAAGAAATTGTCAGAGCAACGGTCCAACAAGATTGTTATAAAAATCGAATCTTGATATGACATATTTGAATCGTTGTAAAAATAAAAAAGTTTAAATAATATCGTAAATACTTGTGTTTTCCCCGCAAGGGTTGGTCCTTCGAACATATTGAACCATCCAACGAATCCTCGAACGAAATAACATGATTTTTCGATCACCTCATTTTCAGATCAATAGATTGTTGATCTAATGATTTCGATCACATTTCCGGCAACCGTACCAAATGTATTCTCCCCATTTTTACCTGCCTATTGGTGACCAATTCTCCCGGTGACACGATCCCGTCTCCGTCCAGCGAGCTATGCTTGAAGATCGGCTGGCCGGTGGTGAGGTCTATCGTGGGGCCTTGGATACGGTCGAACGTCTGGTTGGGGTAGCGCTTCATCAGGCACTTGCTGTTCTTGTACACCAGGCAGCGGCCGAAGCCCCTGTCTATCGAAGCCTTGTTGACGATCAGCGCGTCCTCTATGTCGTAGCCGCTGTAGCTCATCACTGCTATGGTGGCGTTTTGACCTGGCGGATTTTTGAAGTGATAACTTCTACAGGGTGTTCCGTTGGTAAACGGAAATACTTTAGCGATGGATAGAGGTGACCAAGGTGGTTCTGAATATACCATATATGTTGGGTCTTACATATTTTATTATCGAGATATAGGGTGTTTTATCAATTCTGGTAATTTTTTCGAAGGCTCATGGGATACGACTTGTATATCCGTCAGAAAAAAAATCCAAGCCCGGATTAACAAAAATTCAACATATTATTGGGTCCTCGAGAAAACACCCTTTATGTTTGAATTTACAAAATCTTCTTACATACAGTATGATGCAAATGTATGGAATAAATTCATTTCAAAACAAGACGACTTCCGAGAAAAATCCAAAAAGTAGAGTTCAGAACTTTTTTTATTATGTATTTTTTCAACTAGACGACCCTTCGATGTTCAATTCTCAGTAGGAGACCTCTGCAAGATTCAGTTAACCAAATGATAATCCATTTTAATTGCAATATTCTTATGCAAAATTTTGACTGTTGGATAGACGATCAGTAGACCTTTCAAACGAGGTGTCACATGACCCCTACTTGTATTTGAAAAAATCGTCCATTACGTCATTACTTCTACACCAGTGACGTAACATCTCTCATATGAATGTCATGAGATGAGGCTTCAAATATTAATACTCACGTTTTTTTGGAATTTCTTCAAATGTCGCCCATTTCTGAAATAATGAATTTATTCCATACATTTGCATCATACTGTATATCTGAAGAGAGCACAAAATGTGGAATGGAATTGTGTACTTTTTATGTTTCCGCATGCTACTTTAATTCTGAATTTCTGAAGCTGCAATGAACGATTTGTGAATTTCAATAGCTAAAAACGGAATATTTTCAGTTTTTCATATCAAATTATGAAAATTTTGCAATTTTACAACTCATTTTATTCCATTTAATAGTCGTTGTCTGCATGTGATTTTTGAATCTATAAGGACGGAAAGTGAAGGATGGAAACAGCCATATTGGTTTGACAAGTTTCGTATTATTTTTTCCCTTCGTCGGCATCAACGCCTATTTGTCGATTTCATTACCTATAGAGACAGAAAATGGAACCGCTTTGAGGACAGCTATGATTCATATATGAGTAGTAGATATATGGTTCAAAATAAGCCATACACCCTCTTGCGAATATTCAAGTAAGTAAATTATTGTTTACATTCAAGTTTTCATGCATTTTATCGAAAGTATAGTGGTCATTTTGATATTTTTGGAGTTTGAATTCTTCAGTAGAGTATCTTAAATCATTAGATAATGATAATTTCATAATTGAAAGATTTTCTCTCAACTCAGAGATTTAATTCAGTCGCAAACGTGAGAAGTGACATTAGAAATAAAAAAAATTGAATCGTCAATCAGAAACAAAGCACATATGTTATTTTTTTTAATATTCATCATACAGGATGTGGAGACATTGTGAATTGAGAAAACCTAATCATGAATCTGTAAAAATAACAAGTTTCCATCGTTCAAGTTTGAATCCCTTGATTGGGTGACAGTATTGAAAAGGAATATTCTCAGATATAATTATGAACATAAAAAAATAAAAATGGATATATATATATATATATAAAGAAATACATTGAGAATTCGCATTCTCTAGGTGCAGAAAATATCAATTCTTTCTCGGTTCATTCAACAGGAAGTAGTTGTTTGAAAAAATAACTATTTTTCTGACCTGCTGGCAGTTTGTCAAAATGCGTGAGTTCAATGGATTTCGTTTTCACCATGGGAGCCTGGGGATATACAATATTGTATAACAGAGTGTCCATTCTATTTTTCTGGTTGTAGCCAATGGTACCTGAAAACACAACAAGGATCATAATAAATAATATTCACTATTCACATTTTGAAATAGTATATTGTTCCACTATACATTCATTCCTTTCGACCTATAAAAAATGTCGACTCCTTCAAGATTTTCCTTATTTATTTATACAGTACTTTTCTTTAATGTCCCCCTTTTTTTTTGAACGGGTCAACTGAGAAAAATTCAACTTGTGATAATGCAATTGATGCATATGAATTCTATATTTTGGAGTGAAATTGACAGATGAAAATTTCATGATGGCGACTGGGTGCCATCTGGGAAAATAAAATTAAGCTCCTGATGAATACTCACAATCCTAGAACATAAAGTAAATATCTACACCTACTACAATATGGCGGAACATTGAATACATCGACGTTTAACTTTGTAGTAGGCAAAAAGGCTAAATAGGGATTTACTCCAGCGTCATAGGGACGTATCAGATTGTGAAGATAAGATGCGAAAATGAAAAAAAGTTTATATGATATATGACCTTTCACTGGTGGGGAGAGCGTAAAAAAAACAGTCACAGAAATACTCCTGTTAGCATCTAGCAACTAGATGCGCTACTGCTCAGTGGAATGTGCTTAGATCAGAGCCTATGACAGACGTGTGTGAAGACTGGCTCATATTAGGTTTGTTCGCGTTCGAAAAATAAACAGTCCGAAACCATCAGAAGCATGCGCAATTCCACGGAACTTGATAAATTCGTACTGTTCTGGGAAATTGCGCATGCTCCTGATGGTTTCAGACTGTTTATATTTTGAACGCGAACAAGCCTAATATTCGGCTGGCAGCCGAGTTGTGAGCAAGTGTAACCCTTGTCCATGTCATTTGTGCTCGTGTTTATTGAATTATGACCATAATATAACAACTCCATTGCATCAGATATTAATAGTGTATGCGCTCCACGTGTTTCTGATAACCGAAAAATATTAATCTGCCGGTTTGCATGGTGGGGGTGGGGGTGGGGATGGCTGTACGAAGGGATAAAGAATAGGTAAAAAAAAATTATTCGAGGTCGTCAGATATTGAGAAGGGACGTTAAGTGAACCCTGCCCTCAAGTAACTTCTATTCAAAAGACTGGCGATTTGGACGCGACCAAAATTCATGATCAATTTTTGAAAACGAAAAAAAAAATCGTGACCTTGAAATACTCGATTATTATACAGACGCTTCATCTTAATGTCCTTTTCGTATCGACCCATAATCTGGCAATTATTATGTAAACGAATCACCTTAATCTGACGGTTGGATTTTATTTTGTTAACTGAATGTAATAAGTAAAATATAAAATATATAGGGTGGGTCAGTTTTTTGTAGCAGGACTTCAACAGCTCGAAGAATTCACAATACAGGGTAGAGCAATATAGTGTGGCAGATTGAGATAACGGCTTTGCTGTTTGAGATAGATGAACAAAAATGCATGAGATGGTCTATTCTCATGACCAGTACATTTCTGAAATATTTTGCGTTATACACGGTTATTCAAAAATGAGTGGCGTATCATAGTTATACTTTTTCTTATAGCACACCTTGGATTTCATTGCATTTTCAGATTCCTCCTTAGAGCTGATTGATAACAATATACGAAGTGATACTTTTCAGTTTCCTACATTAAAATTACATACTATTACATTGTTCCCAGTGGCAGCAAGTACCACACTTTAATTGATGATTTTCGCTACTTCGGCTTGTGCAAATCGGCAGATTATGTAATTTCCGTGGCCCGTGACTAATTGTCTTCAAATAAGAAAAAAATTGACCGCGCTCGAGAATGTACAGGGACCGTTTTTTCGCAACTTTATGGCTCTCCCATTTCCTTATGTCCTTAATGCACACTTTTCTGCATGTAATTAACGTACCATGTCTCAATCTGACGCGCTGGAGTATTTCTGACGATCGATTTTTTTTTTAATAATCTGATCGGGTGCCCTAAACTTTCGACACCATATAAAGGGCCATGGTATGGTGGGAGTACTTCACAAGGTCCAAGGATACCTCCCTTATGTTAATCTTCCGCGCCCGAGTAAATCCCGAAATCCCTGCTTGGGCTTTCCCATTATTGTAATTTGAGGAAATAAGCTGAGCTTCGCTAGACGCTCCGCCTCACAAATGCAAAATTCGCTTGTCAAAGAAAGTGTCACTTTTGATCCTAATCACGATAGGTCGCGTCATGATGAAAATAGACTGGTGTAACCACTTGTCAATTGTTTCTTTCCAAAACGTGTAGACCGCGAAACACCGTAGCAAGGCCGCACCGGATTGACTGTAGATGGCGTAGGGAACATCGTGCCACATATACTTCACAGATATAATGAAAATTTCACGTCTTTTTCATTAAATCAATCACTTTTTCTCAATGTTTTTAAATTACGAATCAATATACGTAAATGTAAACAACAAAACAAAATAACCATTGTTTAGCAAGATCACTTCGGGAACAGCGCCATCTAGTGTTAGTTTTGCGCGGCCTTACTACGGTGATAGAATTCGACATAATCAAGTAGGCCAGAGGTCTACAAAAATGTCTAGGGTTTTGTAGGAGGGAGCTATTTCACCATACATATATCCACCTTTGGTCGCGTGCAAGAACTGTCAGATGACCGACGTTGGAGGCAAAACATTGAAACACAACGTCACTTTTCTTATTTGTTTACAAGTGATCGAAATAGTTTTCCACAATTATTTTGGCATATGAATCGTATTTTTCCGCTATTCATCAATTCGCTCATGCCATCACATTGTGCTGTTGTAAAATGCACAAAAACTGCAGCGGAAGATGAAGGAATCCGGATGGTACATTATGATTTAAAAGTAAGTACCTACTATAGTCACTCACATATAGTTTTCATTTTTGAAATTTGGTTATTTCTCTGATTTCTCATCGGAATTCCTTCTGCAATAGGAGCTAATAGAAATATACCTGAAATTTCTAGAATAATGCAAGAAGATTGGATTCATGCAATCAATCGGGAGAACTGGTCTGACATGCTGACGATCGTGTGTGTTGTAGACATTTTCAATCTATTAGTGATTAGTAGTATTAGCTTGTATTGCAGAAGTGGCAGAAGGCAGAAGGAATTTTAATAAGGAATGACAACATTTCATAATGATAACTATGTGAGATTACTATTTACCTGAAAAATCATATTCCCTAGTCTCTTGCTGCATTTTTTGTGCATTGTACAACAGCACAATGCGAAGGCATGTTTGAATTAATGAATAACGCAAGAAACACGATTCGTATGCCAAAATATTGTGAAAAACTATTTCAACCTTTTGATTCCTCTGTAAACAAATAAAAAAGTGAGGTTGTGTAACAATAATTCACAAGAGAGTGAGGTTTTGTTTCAATATTTTGCCTCCAGGGTCGGTCATCATGCACGCGACCTATAAAACAATCTACTATTATTAGAGTATTCTGAATATATGATCATCTTGAAATTGTATCGACCATTTGAGTACTCACCCATGGCTTGTTTACCCATAGCACATTGATAGGTATTCCTAGGCGACTGATTATGATGCGGATAAGGCACCAGCCCTGCGCAAACCCCCAGCAAAGTGAAAGTCGCTATTTCCAAATGCGTGGTCTGCATGGTGATGTCCCTCTCATAACAAGCGATATAACTGTCGTTTTCCTCATTCACGTCCAGGAATTCCAGTAGACCGTCTTGCAAAAAGTCCTCGAAGACTCTTATGCCCTTCTCGAGCTCGTAAATATGCTTTTCGGTGATGAGAGGGTAGCCGTTGCGGACTATTATGTAAGGTCTGCATAGTCTGCCGCTGTCAGAGCTAATGTAAACGCATTTGTGCAAGTGGTTAGGGTAGATTGAGACGTAGCCAGATATGTAGCCCTTGCTACGGGTCAGTCGGAACACCTTGATGAGTTTTTTGTAGTTATTCGTTATTCCTAGTATATTACCTAACATATACAAAAAAATCAGAATAGCAAACATATTTACAGGGTGTATCTGAATAACACCGAAAAAATTCAAGGGGTGATTCCTTGTGATATTTTAGGATAACATTTTGAAATCCTGATAATATGTTATGATGAATATATGCTACAAAATACATTGATGACCCATCATACTTTCACAAAATATAGTTGTCGTTGATTTGTTTAAATTCAATACATATAAATACAGCATGTCTCAGTTCAAACGGGTCTCCTCTATAATGTCATATATGAGCATACTAGGGTCCCTTGATGGAAATTGACGTTAAAGTCATCTTAACAACAACGGACAGATCATTTCCGCATTATTTTTTGATGATTTAAAGACTCAATTTTGTCTACTAGCATCCCTGACATTGCTATCACGTCACATCCATGGGCGCTACAGAAAATCATTCAAAATTTCAATAATAGGTATGTACAGGCCACAGGGTATTTATTTGTTGAGGAATATCATATGGCGGACGAGTTTTGTAATTATGATCCGATTCTATTCAAAATTGGAAGGCATCTGGGGTTTTCCGGGGTTGGAGATAATGATTGTTTCGTCAAACTTGGAAAATTCAAGATGACGGATCCAATATATACCAAAAGAAATGTCTAATTATGCTCAGCTGCTCAGCTTGAAATCAGAATTCATTCAGTCAATTCAGTCAACCCTGGTATACAGTCTAAGAACAGTCTCTTTCGGTGAAATATATTAAGCTTTCAGTACAATTCATATGTTCCCTACCTCGCAAAGATTATGCTGGAGTAGTAAACTCTAAAACTAGAGGAATGCTCATCTATATATTAGTATAGTTGAATAAACTCATCCATGGTTTTACCAAAGTATTTAATACTGTCAAAATAATTTGATGTCAATTATGACAATGACTGCAACTACTATGATGTTACTGAACAAAAATAGTTTTTATTACATACCTTTTAACCCTTTAGTGCCAGACCTCAGTAAAATCAATATATCATCAAATTTGACAGATTTTTCAATTCCTATATGTTCAACTAAGACCTATGAATTTTTTCAATTTTTTCCGTTGAAAAAATAACATTTTCGAAATTTTGGACGCAAAAGTACCGTCAGGAATAGGCAAAAAAGCTATTTCAAGCACAACATATAGAAAATTCATTTTAAATTTGATGGTATTCCATGAAACAATTTTTTTTCTACTACTCATTAGGTATTTGAACATGTACATGTACATTTGCTGAGGTCTGGATTGCCTAAATTTCGAACTGCATGCATTTCGCATCTCCCACGATCTTTCTCATAAATAACCCAATCAGAGCGCCTAGGTTTCCGAGCATTTTGGCTGTTGGAGTTTTTTTAGCATATTTTCGAATTGGTCATGGATGTTATCGTCGTCATCTTCTTCTAAATCAGTCAAAATGCTATTATCTAGGGGTAAATCTTCTAGTAGAATTGTATCCGCAAGTTCAAGCAACTCTCTATCGGTCAGGGCTGAATCGTACACCCTTCTGATTTTTATATAGTTCCTGACGGTACTTTCGGTCAGATGAAAAAAACGATATACTTTCACAAAAATAATTGCGATTTGCAGTGATAAATTTTTTATGATCACCTTGAGTATGGAACGATTTTTATTGAAAATAAACGTATCACAATTCGCAGGAAACACCACTCCATGACACGTTGTGAATAACTGCCCGAACTGCGGAAATGGCCGACGATCGGATACTCACGAATTATCTAATTGGTGGTTGTGATGTTCTCTTGCATACCATCAGGACTGAATCTGCTCCAAACTATATAATATATTTCAAAATGAAGACAGAAATGGAAGAAACTCGAAAGTACCGTCAGGCACTAAAGGGATATGTTAAAGTTGAAGGGAATCAGATCTATGGCGTTTTAAAATCAACATATTCCATTGGATATTTCAAAAAGCCAGATATGAAGTAGATTCCTGATGTATTATTCCCGAACTTTGGCTATCTCTCTGATTCCTTGCCATTTTGCAGTGTGATTGGTTAGCTCAAGGACAATACATCACACGAGTCACACCAATGAATTGACACCATTTCAAATGACCCAGGAAATGTGTTTTGAAATGAAGATATTTCAATTTATTTTTTATCAACCAACTATGAATGAAAAAATTCGAAGTTATATTTACTGGTACTGTTTTGCTATAGAGTTCATGATGATGTCATTTAAAAAAATCAGTGGTCTCCCCCATTGTCAATAGGACTCTATTATTTTACTATGGAATATATTTTCCAATGATTGATTGATTGATATCCCAGAAGATACAATTAGGAGTCAATTAATCTTCATTAGTTTTTCAGTGCTGCAAAGGATGGCAACTTTGTTGTCAAAATACATGTTCATACACTACTGAGTAACATTGTGGTATTTCTGGTATATTCTCTTGTACTTGGACCTAAACTTGTGAAATGAGCATTCAAAAAACTATGATTTTTTCAAATCACATGAAATGTTTTCTTGCTTACCATTGAGAAATATTAAATAAGCTGATGGAGAATGAATAGCAAAACTAGCCACCATATTGATATCTTGTACCCCTGAGTTTTTTGCCAAACGAATTAAAGGATATTCATCTACTTCTGTTGTTATGTGTGTCATAAGAGCCAAATTCTTCACCAAACCACAAGCCTACAAAACAATTTTTCAGAAAACAATCATTATTTTTCTCAATAACCAACCTCTCCTTCTGGAGTATCACTAGGACATAACATACCCCACTGACTAGGTTGCAAAGATCTAGGTCCTGAGACTTTCCTAGTCTTTTCAAATTGAGAATCAACTCTTGTCATCATGCCTAGAGCAGATATATAGCTGAGTCTTGACAAAACTTGTGTCACACCAGATCTTTCCATTCTGAATCTTTTAATAGTCCAGTTTCCCTAAAAACATAAACTTTCCAGTGTATTCACAGTTTTGGAATATCAAACAACAATATGAAGCAGACTGAGAGCAAATTATATCAAATAGAAGATAAGTAAATTGGTACCTACTGTGGATATGGCAAAGACAAGACAATTTGTAATCAAATCAGATCTCATATATTTCACAATATCAAACTGTGATGCCCTTATTTTTGGTATGTTTTTTTCTGCAATGGCTTTCAGATCCCAATTGAACCTTTTGAAGATATCTTCAAACATAAGAGAGATGAGAGATCCAGCCAATTCCAACCTCTTATTACCATAATAATCTCTGTCATCAAGAAATTTCTTATCAGTTTGTCCTTCAATCACCCTTTTCACCTGAAGATGAGAAGTTAACACACATTTTCAGGATATCAATTTTTAGTGCATACCATGAGGCCTAGATAAATTGCTTTTAATCTGAAATTGTAACCTTCAGCAGGTACATGTGCCAAAACTGTAGTCATCAATAGATCCCTAGCTTCATCTGAAGGTGTTTTTACTTTAGAAGCAGAAACAGCATATCTTTTAGCTAAGAGTTTATTGCCTAAGTAAACTAATGCAGCATCTTGGGTGTAGATTTTTGCATTATGGCATTCTTCTAGAGTAGGGATGAGTTTTTGAACTTCTGGTATCCCTATCAATTCACAAATTTCTTGATCATTGATGATGTTGAGGGCTTTGAAAATTATAGAAACTGGAATTGGCTGGAAAAGTTGTATTGAATTTGTTTATTATAAGAAGGCACCTATAAAACTCAACTTACATCTGTGAAAACATTGTGTCCCATAAAATACTTGTTTCCTTTAACAAAAATGCTTGTTCTTGATTTCTTCTCATGTGTTGAACTTACAACTTGACACTGCACCCCATATTTGCCTTCTTCCACAATCATTCTGTTTTTCATCAACTGCTCTTGAATCAAAATCACTTTTTCAGTCCCCTTCACAACAAAATATCCCCCAGGATCTAATGGACATTCATTCATTTTAGCAAGTTCAAATTCAGATTTATTGCTTAGTACACAATTTGAAGATCTCAGCATTATAGGCATCCTGCAAAAGCAAAAAGTATAGGTATTGCACAATTACATTTGAAAATTGTCACCTTCCTATAAGGAGTCCTTTTTTGGCCACTCTTTGTGTACCTCTTGTGTATTCAATGTCAACAGATATTGGGGCTGAATAGGTCATGTCTCTCAAACGACATTCATGAGGGGTTGTAGGTTTACTGATGTTGAAACCTTCATCTACATCAGGAGTTCCCACATGAACATTTGTATATCTGAACAGTTTTAGTATTTGTATTTAATAATAACAAACAGGTTTCTGATATCAACTCACCTGACATAGAAAAGTGGATCTGCATCACAAGTAACTTTATCATTTGCTTCTACAATTTTCTTGATATCAACATTTATAAAGTAATTAAAAGAGTCAATGTGCTGTTTAACTAATCCCTTTATCTTCAGAAAGGCAGGCACCAGCTTCCATTTTTCCTGTAACAGATGATACTAGATAATATGGTTCTATGAATGAGTGAGAACTACGAGAATTGACTTACCTCTATTTCTTTCACAGGTTGGTGATAAAATTTAGAATCACCAAATATTTCTGATACGAATTTCTCATTCATTACTTCAGAATTCATTATGAAAAAACAAAGTGTTATGTAGCAAATGAATGTTGAAAATAATAGAGGTTAGAACAAAACAGTGTCAGGAAGGTGAGGTTAAAATCTTCTTCTCAAAATTAAATACCCTCTTGCATTTGTGACTATGGCCTCTCACATGATTTTTTATACGAGGTGATTCCGATAATAACTATTGGAAACAGTGAAAACAACACCCTATTTGTATAACGCTGAAAATGGTATTTTCTGTTGGTGTGGTGGCAAAATTTTGCTTAGTACATGTTTATTGTTATTAATCAATTCGTTGAAGAATATCAAAATCTATAGCACATTTACATAGCCATCACTTTTTCCCTGCTATTCAATGAAATTTTCAGATTCACTATACCCGCGACGTTTCGTCTTTACGTCACCATATCATCAACTATATTTTTTCTTAAGGACGCCATATTGGATTTTCATTAATAATAATATTATTTTATTATTATTATTTCATTAATAAAATATGAATAGTTGGTGAATTGGGCGTCCTGATTCCGAATCTGAAGTGATTTTCGACCTATTTTGACTCCTAATATCATTTTCCGGAAATTGGGGTGGTTCTATGGGCGTTAGCGAGCAGTATATATCACTGAGGATGACCCCACTTGGTCATAAAGTGCATTATTGGTATATCTCTCTCGCTCCAGCAAATTTCGGGATCCTTACCCGACCATTACGTAAGATACAGGGGTGTTTCCATTAGAAGTAGGTCACACTGTATAGTCACGACATAAATGCACAACTTTGCCCTAATGTAACTATATTCAAATCTCCTAGTTTCCGAGATCCTATAATATGGTGGCCTTCCAATTTTAATTACCCAGTATATGACGAGAAGTTCATATAAACATAGCACCGGAAATGCATATATAGCTCTTAACGTACCGGATGAAAATCGGTTTTTGTGTAAATATAATGTTGGAAAAATTTCTCACCAATTTTTATGCATTATACAGGGTGATTGGTTCGCACCGACGTATATCTGATGAAAGGGGGTTGATACTTCCGAATGAAGGGGTAATAGGTAAGAACATTGTGAACATAATTAACCATGTATACTATAATACAAAGAGTAACGAATTTCGAGATATCGTTGTTTTTTTGAATTCATTGATGTTAAAATGAAAATTTCAATACAAATTTCATCGATATTGGACACAGATATAAATTTGACATAAACTATTTTGGCTCTTTCGAATTTGAAAAACGGTATACTATAACATCCAACTCCGAATGTATAAGCATTGATTTCTCGAAAATTGTATAATAGTTCAAATGGTAAAATATGTTCAGAATCAACATAGCCTACCAACGTCCTTCCAGATAAACGTCGGTGAACCACACACCCTGTATATGAACAAAAAAATTAACGTCCTGTACCTGAAAAAGAGCAAATTCACGAGTGAATCGTTAAAAACGTTCAATGTTTAGTTTTGTGTATTTGTCATCATTATTCTGAAAACATTCAAAATTCTAAAAATCATTTCATTATCAATATATTTCAGTTATTTCGGCAACAGGTATATCAGAATTTATTGAAAAGCACATTTTTGCATCTTTCTCACATTTCAAAATATGTACAAGATATTTAAATCCTCTGAAAAAAATTCAATCTCCTAATAAGATAACCTTATCAACACTAGAACCTAGTCGCTCCATCATGTAAAATATACAAAAATAAATATAGTAAATTTCAAAACTTAATAAAATATATCCGCTATCAACCTAATACTTAGTCAACGTCGACCAACGACAACAAGCGTCGAGCTATACCAGCTAATCTTTGAAACCTCAAGGAAAATATCTTTTCTGCATGAAAAACCTTACTTGAGTGACAGAAATTAAAAAAAAATTGATGCCTCGTAGGGGTTTGAACTCCAGTCACCGTCGTGGAAGTCACAGATCACTGAGCTATGGCTCCACTCGCAGCTTCTCAATATGAAGAACGAAGAAATATCATGTGTTGTGGGTGAGGTCACTTGACCTCCATGTTCCAAAGATTCCCTGGCATTGCTAGACTTGAATCAAACGACAATCTTCACCCCTCCACCCGCATCAACCCCGCCTGGCTATTCGTGCCAAGACTGGACCCGTCTAGCGAGTCCAGATCCAGCGCACTCTCGATCATCGTAGTGTCCTGCAACAGCCGCAGCCGGCTCACGCTAAACAGGCTGTTCTCCTTCTCCTGCGCAGTCATATCATTGTCCAGCTGCGCCTTAGCCAAAATGAGGCTCTCGCGCAGGATCACCGGCTCAAGATGGAGGTCCGTCACGGTCAAGGTCGCCTCTCTGGGGCGCTCTTCCTTACCGGCAGCGTCGATGCTGTCCGCATAACTGTGCGATTTGTTGAATTGGCCCAGAACGGTGGGGGTGATGTTGTTGTAGACGGGCGAGTGGTTTAGGCTGGGGTGTGATTTGTATTGCGCAGAATCCTCGTGGGGCTTCGATAGTGGTAGGGCGGCAGGGGCGATGGCTAGCGGTTGTTCGCTGGTCACCAAATGAGTCACGCTACCTGCGTTGCTTTCTGAAATGGAATGCGTTTAGATTCGGGTTTCTGTGGTGATTCGCGATGACAAATAACACGTTAGCAGTATCTTACGGTAATAACTAGAAGAGTTCCTAAATGTACTTGACACTGCTGTTTTGACGTTTTTTGTATATTAGAGTACGGACACTATGACAAGCACTGACAATCAGACATAACCACAAATAAATTGATGGAAACAGCGGGAACTGACAGTACACGGACGTACATGACATAAATTTCAAAGGTTTGACAAATTGATATCGACCTCCATTGAGGTCCTACAGCCTTATCATTCAATATTTCGAGAAGAAATAATTTTTTAATCAATTTATCGTATCCTTTTACCCACTCGAGGAGACGCTATGCACTCTCATACAAAAAACAGAGACAGAGAAAGATATATGGATGTATTCTTCCCAGGACTTGTGGAGGAAGGAAGATGCGAGGATCCTTTATCTGAGCGAAAAACACATTCTTGTCGTTGTCTGGCAAAACATATGATTTGCTTCGAAATCGTTTGTGGTTATGTTTGATTGTCACTGCTTGTCTAGTGTCCGTACTCTAATATACAAAAATCGTCAAAACAGCAGTGTCAAGTACTTTTAGGAACTCTAATAACTAGGAACTCTTCAAGTGGGCGATTTTTATGTTTTGGTTGCACTTAATAGCACTCCTTCTGAGCTGAAGTCTCATGGATTGTCCACATAGATGTAGATAATGATTATTCAGAATATCATTAGTTGTTTCATCTTCTGGGGCGAAGCAAATTGAAAAGATTGTAGACAAATCTAAATTATGAGAAAACGTTTACATTCACACTAGTTTTAACAATGAACACTGATCATAATTGCAAAACCATCGAACAAAAACAAAACCTAACTGCAAACAAAGATGAATCATACCACTTAGAAAGTTTCCACATATCACCGTTAGATAGCGTATAAGTACTTATTTTTAATTGCGAATTGTGGACAAGTGTATGGGGTGCATGATAGTGATTTTACGCACATTTTATGAAACTTGAAGCAGATTCATTCTGGTTAGGCTAACGCATAATTCAAATTTAGGTGATGGTATGTCGAAATAGTGAGGGGGTGTTATTTAATTTAGCATAGGGAGTCTGTCATCTACTTGTTTTGCAATTCATTGTGGAGGACTCATCTCCAGAATGCATAAATTCGCAATAGAAAATATCACGTCGCCTTACCTGACGGCAACATTTGAACTCTTCTGAGCGGTTTCTTTCGATGGATGTGATCAATGAACACAAACAAAAAACAATTGTGAACCAATGAAAACAAAGTAATAAACAGGCCACTTTGAAAGCTTTCAAAAACTCCGATAGGTGGCGTACGCTTATTTTCAATGGCGAATTGAGACACGCTTATCTCTCAACTTATCTCTCGCTAGCTGATCCCATGTTCTGATTATGTTTATCACATTCTATTGTTTTTTTTTGTTTCATAATTCAAATGGGGATTGTCAAGTTCAAACAAGGTCTTGATATCTGCATTTTAAATTCGTAGATATTCTGCTTAATGACTAATTTTGGTTTCACCAGAAGTGAGATCAAATTTAAATTTTTTACATTTTCGCATGAGATTTACTATGTAGATACATTCATAGGTCAAACAAAACCTGTGAATATTAATTCAAAAAATTTCAATCAATAAATGCTAAATTAGACGGATTCTCAACCACTCCAAATTCAATGATCATTCAGTAATAGAATTAGCATATAAAAAACAATATACTACAAACATGAAGAAACTAATAAAGCTGTAGTCATTAGGCTCATTTGAACCCTCAATTTGAAGGGTATTTTTCAAATATGTGTGTAATAATCTACTAAAGGGATTTGGTAGTCATAAAGAGCGAGTTTTTGGACTCCTAAGAAATTATATTATAGCGTAAGAAATGTGTGTGAACATTTTTCAATTTGATATTTTCGTTTTTTCCAGCCAAGAAGAAGAGAAAGAAGTAACAGCCAGCCAACACTTGACAAGACATGCAAAATGTTAAACTTACCAGCAACAAAAAACCAGAAAACCTCCACCAAGGCAATGGATGCAAGAACAAGAAAAGACCATTGCAAAATACAATAAAAACATAATTACAAACGCAGAAGTCTCAGAATCTCATACAATAAAAAAATGTCAATTTCTACAACACTGATACAGTAATGAATAGAGAAGAGTTGGAATTTCAGTTCATTGAATTCTTTGACTAATGACTCGGACCTTTGACGTTCTTGGAAACCATCTAAAATGTATTTCCTTCGATAGCCTGTCGACATAACAGAAAAATAGTGAATCTGAATCTTTTTAACGTTATTATTTAATCATATATATAAAATATTTTCTACCAGTTAAAATTTTAGTACACATCGAATGTATATATTATACAGTATACTGCTTTACCACAAAACAAACCGATATTTCAACGATACTAACATAGCGAAATAGGTGTCAATGCGTTAAAAAACCGGTTTGTTAGTGGTGAAACAGGTAGTGTGATTATCATACCAAAGGTTCCAGTCTTCGATATATATGTATATCATATTGTATTGCCATACATAGATTACAGTATGCAAAGTTTTTGCTATAGCGTCCTTATACATTATGAAATCACAACAAAACAGCCAAAATTGTGCAAAACCGTTTTCCTCCAAATTATGATTGGAGATTCAGCGAAGTCATCAGAAAAAATATATGTTTCTGACAAAAATGTTTCTTTTTTTAATTAACTAGGCCCTTAATTGATGAAAATGCATAGTAAATATAAAAAACTTCACAATTTTTTTTGTTTTCTTAGTTTCTTAGAAAGTTGCCAGACGCAAGAAGCTTCAGTAGATGTCAATATCCAAGTATTTATATTTTTTCATTCGGTAAGAAAAATAATTTTAGATTTCGAATCAATTACAATTTAATATTCTGTAGCTGATCAATTTGAAATAATAATCTGAACTGGGGTTATACGAAGTTTATACTGAAGGATTTTGAAACTTTTCACTAATGTTTCTGAGGTTATTGATATTTCAGTGTATCATGAGGCTATCCATACAATTAGAATATCTGATCAATATTAGAGAAAACAAAAACATGACTCTATATTCACTATTTTTGAAATGAAATCGAAGCCTTTTGATGACTTGTCATTATGGAAAACGCGAAACCAACTGAAAAGTATTGTATAAAGACATTAGCGCCCGTATTCTTGCAAATGCATAGTTATAATCATTATAATTATTTTTCTTCAGTCTAAATGTATAACGCGGTCAGAGGCACTTAATGAAAAATATATGAACAATGCATTTGAGCTCCTCTATCACCAATGAGAGAAATCAAAATACTCATGTGTGCTGTCTCTTTCTATAATGCTACCAACATAACCGCATCAAAACTTTTGGAAAGCTCACAATACAATTTTTTTTTGTTCTATCCGTCATTCGGTTGCCTCCTTACGAGCAACCCTCAGAAGTCTTCTAGAGACTTGTGCGAGCAAGGAAAATTTTCTGCAGTCGGAAATTTGCTTCTACAACGCGTGTATATGGCCCCAAATCAAAAACTGGTGGATTATTGAAAAATAAAGAGGAATAATGGGGAAGTTTCCTTTTGACGAATATGTTTTCGCAATCTAGAATGCCCACTGAAATGATTGAAATTATAATTATTTTCGAACAGGCGGCATACGATGCCGTAATCAATGAATCTATCATGAATTTAGTTAAGTTTTACTTTTCTTATTTGAACATCCGAACAAAAACGAAAGGAAAATCAGAAGAAGTCGAATGCATAATCTTCTGGGTGAGGAATATAAACAATGGAATGATTTCCATTACCTATAATAATCACAAATAATAAATAAATCAACATGAAACTAAACGAGCGCATTATTACTGAAAGAAAGATAACGATGAGGACATAACCTCAATAAATACGTAGCAAAATTTGGTTCAAGCCGGTTTCAGGTAAAAATGTGGGCGCGATGCTAAGTTAATTTACTCTCGGAAACAATGAAAATAATTGTCTGCAAAATCATTTAAGTAATAATTTTAGTGTAATTCTATTAATTACAAGATTCATCATTGAGTATTGCAGCTATTATGGTGAAGGAGTTGAAACTAATGGGCGAGTGGACTGATCATAATTTATTGGCATTCAATTACTTCACTGTGTCGTCAGGAACCTACATTAATTTTTGCAACACTTCGCACACGTTGTTCAAAATAATAAGTCTACGCGTTGAATTTCAGAGCTCATTTCAAACGTAATGTCATGGCCGCCATTTTGCGATACGTCGAATAAATGGTAACGTCAGTTTTTATGCTGTTTTGTTATTGGTCAGATGTTGAGAGTCCTGTCGTTGAATAAAACATGATAGGAGGATCTCATGACATTATAATTCATTCTCGACTTTTTAGTGCAACCAGCATGTCCAAATATTTCTTATTCTCCATAACAAAATATTATGTGAATGAGGGAGCCTTGTCAACTTTGTGCTGAATGCTGAGAACTGACAAGACCACGTCCACAAGTCGTGTGCGGGGTTGTCACGTTCACCGATTCGAATGTCGTCTAGTGTGAATTAATATAATTATAGTATCAATTAACCACAAATCATCAGGAGACATTTTGAGACAATGGAATTTTTATTGCTAGTTAGGAATATTACCAATACTCAATCGAGAATTTATACTATGGTCTGACCCTACTGACGAAATCGTGGCATCAGTTTTTACGGTAAATTTCTAGATGTTTGAAAATTACCGTGGCATTATTGGTGATTTTTGCACATAAAAATCTACCGATAAATTCTTGAAAAATATGAAATTGAAAGGTATTTGAGTGATGATTCTAATCAAGAAATAAAAAAAAAATAGTCCACTCCCCTATTCTTTGATTTTATCTGAAGTCAATAATGAGCCTATGAAAAAAATACCTATTTGAGGGTTTTTCATAAATTCGTGGGAAATATTTTTCACAAAATGTGGAATATAAAATTTCATGAAGAAACATTCAGCTAATCAGCCACTTATGAAACCACTAAAATGGCCCTTTAACAAAGAGGCCAATGAAGTCATATTTTCCAGGACATTGTCTACTATCCTGATTCCAGCATTAACAAGACTGTTGATGTTAGATAAAAACTATGTCAATTATACACCCATCAATGGGAACTATTGTGTTTTTTCAGAAAAGTAAAACGCCACTGAAACGAAAATTGAAACACTTCACATTCTTTCCCTGTTCTGATACGGTTACATTGGAAGCAACGCTCAAACATATTCCTACAGGGTGTTTCAAAAAAACCTAACCCCCTTGCTAGGGTAGGTAGAACATTGCAAAATAAGTTGGGTTTGCTCTGTGAAAAAATGTCGTAACGGCATCCGTTTTCATGATACAAGGTGTTGAAAAAAATATTTTTTTACACATTTTTCACGATTATTCCGAAACTACTGGCAACATTGTGATGAAATTTTGTATGAATGTTTCTTGAAATCTGACACATCGCATGAATTTGTTTTTATATCTGACTCTCATAGAGGGCGCTAGTTACACGGTTCGTACCGAGTAGTTTTGAACATAACTTTTTTGAGATTAGATTTTTCAATTCAAATATGATATGAACTTGAACATCATTCAATTTTACACCAAAAAGGTACTCCTGGTGAAACTCGATACCATGTTCCGTTTTCGGAATATTTCGATTTGAAAATAATGGAGTAGTAATGATGCTGGTATAAAATGAATTTTATTGAGTTCAATTACCTATTTATTCTGGTTCAAAAACAATAAAATTATTCTTGTGCTGAAGTTATTGATGGAACAAAGAATGATAAGTAGAAAATTAAGAGATATTTGACTAGAAACATGAAATATTGAATCAGTTAGAGTAAGTCTTTAAAATGTCCTACGTTTCGAGGAATACACGATTCTATATTCTTTTTTTAAGAATGTATTATTCTTCTGAACAGTTGAGGATCAGCTGTTAGGTCATTTAAGTGATGTTCAATTATGTCTCACAACTCTTGACGTGAATTTACCTATTTAGCATAGACTTTCTGCTCAAGATACAACAAAACTCTGTAATCCATGTTCTTAGTCAAATCTGTTTCGATGTTATTCTTGTGATTCATTGTTGAATCAATGAGTTCTGCATCAGAAATGTATTGTTGTTTTCGGTTTTCAATAAATAGGTGATAATTTTTCATAATACTCACTCTAATACATCTTTATACCAGCAACAGTTACCACTTCATCATTTTCAATTCGAAATATTCCGGAAACTGAACACTGTATCGAGTTTTACCAAGAGTACCTTTTTGGTGTGAAATTGCATGATGTTCAAGTTCACATCAAATTTGGATTGAAGAATCTAACCTCAAAAAAGTTATGTTCAAAACTATTCGGTACGAACCGTGTAACTAGCGCCCTCTATGAGAGTGAGATATAGAAACAGATGCATGCGATGTGTGAGATTCCAAGAAACATCCATACAAAATTTCATCACAATGTTGCCAGTAGTTTCAACATAATCGTAAAAAATGTGTAAAAAAATATTTTTTCAACACCTTGTATCTTGAAAACGGATGGCGTTACGACATTTTTTTACTGAGCAAACCCAACTTATTTTGCAATGTTCTACCTACCCTAGCAAGGGGGTTAGGTTTTTTTGAAACACCCTGTATATCTGGATTGGGATAGAAAATAGCTCAACGCGACAAACCGACGACACGTCAGTTGAAATGATCCTGTATATACATCCTACTGAATTCCGGCCTGGGAAAGCTCCCGACCCTCAAATTAGCCGTCAAGAACCGATCGCTACTAGTCCTAACCACAAACTGCTCATCGACAGCATGATAATTCTCGTAGACGCAACTGCTCCTCGGCCTCGACTGACGCGGAGGCCTGGGATCTTCGAGGGGCACCCCGAAGGTAGCAGTGTACCTCTTTTCCGATGGGGTGTAAGGACGCGCCCTGGACTCGTATTCGTAAAGGATAGGAGGGGGCGGAGGGGTTCTGTGAAGGTTAGGAAATTGTTCGGGGGCGTTTTTCAGCTGGGGCAAGGACCGACTGGTTGTGACCGATTTGGGGGACGTTTGGGTGCTCTGGTAATGGGTCAGATGGGGGTTTCGAGAGGGGATTACCCTTTGGGTGGCACAGTTGTTGGACGGTATGATTTGCTGGGCGCGGTACAGGTGTTTTTTGAAGGGGCTGTACATACCGGTCGTTTCTGTCGTTTGGCGGTAGATTCCTGGCATTTCTGTGCTGTTGGTGGTTACTTGTTGGGGGCCATTCTGGAAAACGGAACGAATGCAAGTAGTGAAAGGACACCGTAGTGTTTTATAGGAAATGTGGTTGTCGGTGAAAATCGCTAAATTTTTTGTCAGTTGTAGGTGAGGTCAGTTTTTATATTCATACTATAGCTCTAGAGAATATTTTATTAGTTGAATACTTATCAACACACTTTTATTATTGTATTCTCTACTTCTAGTTTGGCTATCCATAAAAGTGTGTATCTTCAGTTTTTTAAACTACTATTCATTACAAACCTCATATCGTTAGCTGTATTGAATCCGCCATCTAGAATTTCCCAATTTTGACGAAAAAATCATAATCTCCGAACATGAAAACCCCCAGATATGAAGTTTGAATAGAATCAGATCATAAATTACAAAACTCGTCCGCTATATTGGGTACGCCATTTTGAATTTTTCAATTTTGGCAAAAAAATCATGATTTCCAACACCGCAAACCCCCAGATGAATAGAATGATCATAATTACTAAACTTCTGCCATATTGAATCCGACATTTTGAATTTCCTGATTTAGACGGAAGAATCATAATCTCCGACTCCGAAAACCCCCAGATACCAATTTTGAATAGAATCCGATCATCATTACAAAACTCGTCTGTCATATTATTGATGCCGGATCTGGAATTCCTCAAATTTAACGAAAGTATCAAATCTCCGACCTCGAAAACCTCCAAACACAAATTTTGAATCGATTCTGATCATAAATTACAAGACTCTTCGATATATTGGATCCGCCACAACGAATTTCCTAGTTTTGACGAAAGAAACATGACTTCTGACCTCGAGAACCTCCAGATACCAGATTTGAATAGAATCGGATAATAATTACAAAACTCGTCTGCCATATTGAATCCGCTATCTTGAATCACCTAATTTTGACGAAGGAATAATAATCTCCGACCCTGACAACCCCCAGATACCAATTTTGAATAAGAATCGGTTCATAATTACAAAACTCTTCAGCCATATTGGATCCGCCATCTTGAATTTCCCAATTTTGACATATAAATCATGATCTCCGATTCCGAAAAACTTGTCCACCATATTGGATCCGCCATCTTGAATATAATTTTGACGGAAGAATCATAATCTCCGGTCCCGAAAACCCTCAGATTCCAATTTTGAAAAGAATCGGATCATAATTACAAAACTCGTCCGCCATATTGGATCCGCCATCTTGAGTTTTCAATTTGAAAAACCGATTCTCAGACCTACCAAATATGCACAAAAATGTTCACAAGAATCCGTCAAGTCGTTTCGGAGGGCAAATTATGAATAAAGTGGTAGATATAGACATTTTCTTCACACTTCCTTGTGAAAAAGAGTAGGTAATAATAGTTCAAACACTCACTTTAGGTCTAGCAAGTACACAAAAGTGCAATGTTTTTCAAAGAAAAATGTTTGTCGTATTCTCTACAAGAAACATCAATCAAGAAATATTTTTATTTTTTTACATAGGAATTTATAAAGGATGTCGTTTGAGGATGAAAAAGGTTTCAATGGTATTTTCATAGGATGGCTCATAATAACCAATAGGCAAGTGAAAATGGGTGTGTCAAAATTCCATAACCTCACAGATAAGAAAGATGAATTGTATGATTATTGATTTTTGAAACAGCTGAGTTTGAGAATCATTTTCAGTTGAACTTGAAAAAAAAAAGATTCTTTTTGAGTGTGAGTCTTATTTTACTGTCTTCTTTATTTTATTTTGTCAAATATATTCATGTATTCACCATGTTCCCTGCTATAAACAAATGTTGTTTCTTGGGAATAATAAAGTTGATTGATTGATTGTCATACTAACCTGTGGATGGAATCCAAAATTTTTCATTGGCAATGTTGGTTCGTTTGAGATAGGTCTAGTGTTCTCATAGCGATAATCATCAGTTACTAATCCTCTCCTAAGAAAAAATAAAAACAATCAATGAATTCATCAGTTATTCCAAGATCTATGATTATGAAAACAGAAACAAACTGCCGTGCAAGAAAAAAACGCCACCAAAAACATTCATCTCATTATTACAACCTCTATACATTGAAATTAAAAATCAATGGAAAATGTTGACAAAATAATTGTTAAATGAATTCAACAGTATGAAAAACTTCAGAACCGGATAAGCAGTGATAAAGTTGACTTGGACAACAGCTTCAATTATCAACTATCATTGAAGAATTATCAATATGATCAGACTAGTTGGCCATAGATGATAAATCACTGTACACAACACTCATCAACAATATTTTTGATAAAAAAATAACTACAACTAACCTGTCAATCAATGATGGCGTAACAGGTCCACACAGTATATGGAAACAATTCAAGCACACATTTCCTCTAGAATAAGGATTGAAGTTTTCCTGTCCTCTTTTACTAGTAAAAGATCCTTTGATCTGGAAATAAATACCACCAAAAATAATATTGAACTGGTATTTCATCAATTAATATTCAATGATTTCATTGAATTTGTAAAAACTTCACAAACGATAAGATTTCCACAAAATTCTCAAACACACAACATGTTTCGCTAACACAGTAGCTTTGTTAGGTGATATACTGGCACAATGAACTAAACTAACGTTGGCTTGCTTAACTTTTATATATCTTACTTTCCCAACCTGAAGGATTAGTTACCTGTGGACAGGTATGATAAACCTCCATTTTCGGAAATTAGGCACAATATCTACATTAAATTACCGTATACCAGATTAACTTCTAAGAGTTGATAGCAAATACATATTATTATTTACTAAGAAATAAACAAATTCAACAGTGGTGAACTAGCTAATACAGTAGCTTCTTCAGGTGATATACTGGCACAATGAACTAAACTAACGTTGGCTTGTGTAACTTTTATATATCTTACTTTCCCAACCTGAAGGATTAGTTACCTGTGGACAGGTGCGATATACCTCCATTTTCGGAAATTAGGCACAATATCTACATTAAATTACGGTATACCGGATTAACTTCTAAGAGTTGATAGCAAATACATATTGTTACTTACTAAGAAAACAAATTCAACAGTGGTGAACTATTGAGGTCTAATTGATCATTAAGTAAAATGTCAAAATTTTTGAGTTTGTTGATTTCTAATGATTCAAAATGATTGAGTTTCAGTCCTTTATTTTCTACGTGCAGAATTTCGAAATTATCATCAAAACTATGGTTTTCTTCTAATATATGGTTGGCGTATGTTGAATTTGTTTTCTTTTTCATAAAAGTCATCTTATGTTCATGAATGCGCTGATTAAACGTACGGCTTGTCTGACCAATATATACCTTAGGACAAGATCCACATTTGAGTTTGTAAACCCCTGATTTTTCAAATTCAAAAAATTCATTGAAATTGTTGGTTTGCTTGATTCATTCATTTTGAACGGTGCAGCCTATCAAGCAGAAGGATAGTTATTTATTATACAAGGGAAAAAAATAGTAGATTTTAGCTTCAGGTTGTGAGCTAAAATGTAAAAGGACAAATCAATAATGAGAAGATATTACATTATATTTAAATCAGAAAATTATCAACGTGAAATTTTTAACAGGAATTTCACCTGCATTGCAGGCATCTTTATCATTCTTTTGAAGTAATCAAATATCTGTCAGTCTAATTCTGTAATTTGATTTTGATTAATTGCAAACATAGTGGTAGTTTAGTAATTTAAGTGAGCACAAAGTGGAATGGAAGATAAAAGGAGCAGTTCATTCTCAGAGACGGTGTTATTGACTTATTTTTCAGAACTAGAACAAAAAAAGCCATAAATTTTTTTTGAAAAGTGATATTTATCCCTTATAGGAAAAAGAAATAGAATAAACCAAAACGTATATACAGGGTGTTTAAAAAAACTGACCCCCTTGCTAGATTGGCTAGAACACTGCAAAATAAGTTGGGGTTACTCAGTAAAAAAATGTCGTAATGGCATCCGTTTTCAAGATACAAGGTGTTGAAAAAATGTTTTTTACATACTTTTTATGATGAAATTTTGTATGGATGTGTAAATTTGTTCAACTCCATGTATCTTGAAGACAGATGCTGTTATGAAATTTTTTTACTGAGAAAACCCAACTTATTTTGAAGTGTGCTACCAACCCTAGCAAGGAGGTCAGCTTTTTTTGAAGCATGCTGTATATTACAGTACATGAGAATTAAGATGACTCAGCAAAGCCTACCATTATTATTTTGAATCAACCTGATTTCAGTTCCTTTAATACTTATATAATACATCAGTGGCGGCTCCTCAGAGGAGGCAACGGAGGCTGAGCCTCCTCAGAGATTTTCCTTAAACTAATATTATCTATACTTTCTCATTAAATGGACACCAAAATACATGGATTTTGATTTTATTTCCTGTTTTTAGTTAAATATTTTTGAATTGGCAACAGTGCTTGCGCACGCATCACACGTTGAAGTCTGCAAATGCAAAATATTCAATTGCGGACAATCCAGCGCGAGTGCATTGTTTGTTTATGTTAGGTTAATGGTTAGGGGCTCTATAAATTTCTGAAAAATGAGTGTTTTGAACGATTGCCATTTAGTGGAATACTTTTTGGTGAACCCATTCAGTGGTTTGTCTTATGAAGATAAATTGATTGTGAAAAAGAAAGTCCGACACCGGAATAAAAAAATCTGATTGTAACATGTAACAAACAAAATCGTTCGTTCAATTCTGATAATTATAAAAAATCTGAGGTAAGGAATAAGCTATTTTGTTCAACCAATAAGTCATCATGTTGGGGGCAATTAGGATATAATGATTTGAAAAATTTGCCTTGCTGATTGGATAGACACTGCAAATCACAGGAACACATCTCTTCAAGTATTAAGTTCAAATTAACTGGTAAACAGAATGTCATTAAAGCTATTGATTTGGGTGAGTAGAGAGTTGTTTTTCACAATAAATATCATATCATTTAGCCTCCTCTGTCATGAAAGTCACGAGCCGCCACTGTAATACATATTATCTATAAAAAGTTATTGAAACCATGAACAAAACTGTTTTACTCACATCTTCATTTGTAGTTTGATTGCTAGTTGTCAGATAGGTATGAAACCCAGCCAGCCCTAGGATGCTCCAGACACTGAAAAAACAGATAACTGCAACTATGACACTTGGAGGAGATTCCTTAACAGCATCTAGAAATTGACGATCATCCTTGGTCACTAAAAAATGCATGAAACATCAACAAATATCAACAATAAAAATATTTCATGATATAACCAACTCCATTCTTATGTAATCAAATGCATTTCAACAAATTCTATTTAATGTCATTGAAGATCATTGCCAAAATACTGTAGGACAAATCAAAACATGAAGGCTAACTATCAATGTTACATAAACACTTGATCTGTTGATAAGTTATGAATGTAGTTTTACTGTAAACAATATTCAGCTACAATACATTTTTTGCAGCAAATCCAAAATATTTATGAAAAACCCAATATAGTCTTGTCAACAGGTTTTTTCCCTGAAATGCCTGTAAGATAATGTGTTCACAGTTTCATTCAACATAGCTACACTGTATGAGTTATTTAGGCAGTGTCACAATTATCTCATGAGCAATATTAAATCATTATATATTTTTTTAAATGACTATTTCCTGAGTTTATTCCAATATTTTATGTTCAACTATGTTGATAGTAACCGTGACATAACTCCCTAATGAGACACATAATTATCATTTGTAGTAATTAGTGTACCTACCATCAGTCCTCTAAGTTATAGCAAAATTCAACCTATAATAATCAGTAATCTATATAACATATCTAGAGACAAAGAAAGCTATTATTGAGAATAAGAATAACCTATTTGAATGATGCCTCATTAAAAAATATAAAAAGGGGAAACTTCAACAACAAAAATTGAGCACTGAGGGATCTCAGTTTCACTGAATTCAGTATTCACACTTTGGAACTTACTCAATATTAAATGAGCAACTGCACATGCAAATATAAAAACTGCCAAAAATGCCAAGGAAATTATGAACATGTAAAAGAACCTATAGTTTCTTCTTCCAACACAGTTTCCAACCTGAAATTAAACAAACATTAACAAACAATTATCAAAATAGAAATAATAAACATATGTACCCAAGGACAGTGGTGATCAAACCGTTCCACACAGTTGTCACAAATACTGCAATGTGATGCTCTAGGAGGCCTGAAAATTTTGCAAGTAAAGCAATATTTCAACTTAATTGTCTGCCCCTTCACCAAAACCTCTTTTGTACGTGGAGGAGGTCTATAAGTAGGACTGTTTGCAGAATTTGTTACTTCTGAAAGAAGAATAAGTACATCAATGTGATGGTATGAATCACCAAGCATTTGCTTTACCAATTTGTTTTTCCACATATTGTGCTTCTTCTAGGGTGGCCCTTGGAATTATTCCAGGATCTGAAAGACTTGTTCTCAACAAGGAAGACATGGTGAATATGAACAACATTCCCCCAATAATTGGGATGGCTATGGTGACATTTTCTGCCAGATATTTACAGCTATAAAAAAGGAGTATCAGCTAAAGAAATGGGTTCAGGGGGTACTCTTACTCAAATATGAAGAACAGCATACTAGTTACAGTTATGAGGCAGACAGTTAACAAAAACACTCCAGAATTTGGGGCAGTCATTAATTTACCATTACAATAAAACCTATTTCTACCTTGGAATACTTCCCATTTTCTTGTGATTCTCTCTCTATCCATATCTGTGATGATATTCTGCCTATCTGCAAATTATCTAAGAAATAAAATATTTCCTAACCACACCAACTTGATAAGTGTATTAATGAGTACTTACGAACTAAACAAAATGTTACAGCACTGATTTAACTCATATTTTATGTGTAGTCCTTTTCATATTTAGTGAGTAATGATCCCATTCTTATATTGTATCAAATCGAGTGGTTTTAGATATATTAAACATTACTAATGTTCGCAATATTTCAAAGGTTAGTCGAATATATCAATGAATAATCACTTATTATCAATTAATCTCATTAGTGTCACAGTCAGTAGCTGGCCGCAGTCTTTGAATATTTCTATTATTTTCTCAAGAAATTAGGAAATATTTTTTACAGACGAAAATAATCACGAATTGTCATTCATTAGTGACAAGAAGAAATTGACATCAGTTTTTTGGCAAGACAGGTGTTTGTCTATTGAGTAGTTTGCCAAGGTCGTAACTCGTCAAATAGCTAATTGCCCATCATGAGGCAATTGAGAAACAAGAAGAATGAGAAGAGAGAAAATAACCACCAATGGAATATGGAATGGATCCATGGATCCTACAAATGAAACTGCCGAAAATTCTCTGGTTTCGAAGTATGACAAAGAATTCAGAATAAAAGGTATGTTAATGCTCTGAAAACTAGAACATGCCAAGGTTCAATTTCACAATTTTAGCTGCAATGTTCCTAACTGGAGTATCTGGAATATCAGCTATAATAGGTTTTGGAGCCACAGTAGCTTCCGCTAAAAAACAGGATCCAAAGTACTTTGGCAAAGGCATGATAGCAACCAGAGAATTACCGGAAACTGGAGCAAGCTTAGCTTTAAGAGCATTGGGATGGGGCACACTCTATGCATTTGTTGGTTGTGGTGTACTGTTCTATGGTATCTGGAAATTATCTGGGGCACAAGATGTAAGAGATATATCACAAATCCTTATTTGTTATCAAGATTGTACTGGATTTCAGATGAAGGAGTTTCGTTACAAAGTAGGGTCATTACTGCCTAGGATTCCTAAAAATGATCCACCAAAAAGCAGAACTGAGTTTAGTGGTTTGAATGACCTTTTGAGTTACTTAAGCACCAGAAAGGGGGAAAATGATGATTGAGAAAATAATTCCAGTCTTTGTTGTGTATTATATAGGCTAGAATGCTAGTTGAATTTTAGCACTAGTTCTTTTCTATTTGGAAAACAAAATAAGTATAACTCTAAGAGTTGCAAGAAAAAACATTTATGAAATATTTATGATTTTTATTTTCTATGACTAAAGATATTCAATTATAAGAATTGGCTTTATGTTTTGGTAAGAAATGAAAATTTTCAGGCACTGGGCCCAAAAGCATTTCACTTATCTTTATCCAATCTGAAGCTGCTGGAGAAGCCATCAGAGTTTCTAATTCATCCCTCCCCTTATAGGACGGGGGTCTTTCATTGATTTTCTGTGGTGGCTTCTCCAATATCCCAACTGGAATGTACCTATAAAGGAATGATAACCATTCTAGCAGGAATCGTCTAGTATTTTCAATGCCTATGTTGTCTGAGCCCCAGTGTTCCAAACCATAATTTGTGTACTTTTTGAGTATATCAAATCTCTCTGAACTTGATATATCCAAGAGCTTCCCTTCTTTGATCTCAGTAAAGATCCAAGGCTTTATAAGAGCTCCCCTGCCTATCATGACACCTGATATCTCAGGAGCTACCTCTCTAGCTTTTTGGTAGTCTTCAAAGCTGAGGATATCTCCATTTCCTATGACTGGTAGAGGTGAAGCAGCCACAGCTACAGTTCTTATGTAATCCCAGTTTGAGGATTTAGTGTAGCGCTGCTCTCTGGATCTTCCATGAATTGTGAGCAGGCTAGCTCCACAATCCCTCACCATTGGAGCCTTAAATGTTAAATGAAATGAGCAGGGTTGCGATGCGGAATATAATAAAATGTACTAAATTGCGACGTGAAATTGTAATAGATGACAGTGAATAGTAATAGATTGAAAAATGACGAAAAAGAAAAAATAGTTATGCGCATGCGCTTCGAACATCTTATCTCCACTATTTTCAGTAGCAAAGTGGTTAATGATCATGCATTAGGTGAAATTTCCATAAATCCACTAAAACCACCGACATAAATTACTAACTAGATCGCTAATGCCATAAGATCAAAGCTCATTCATTCATGAGATCTCTAATGAGATCGAACTTGGTTCCTGGTTCAATATGGATCGTGCGCAATATGGACCTGTCATTATATCGTCACTCTTACTTATGTTTGCGAATACCATATCAAACACCAAGAGACATGACTCACATGACTCCATATGCCATGAACGACAGTTTGAGAATTCCTGCGCATTGAGCAGAAACGTTTCCAGGCGAGGAATTTAAACAAGATTTTTGGTTTGCTGGGATATGACTTATAGTCTAGTAATTATGTCAGTTGTGCTTGTGACGTCAGAAGCCCAAATAAACCTCTTTTATCCGCTCCGTCGACCGTCATTTCAAGCGCTACCTCATTGGCGGTAGTCAAGGTCATCATCTAACGTCGCGATGACATGAAAACTACGGGATAACATTCCTAACTCCTGACATAGCCACCTTACTCCAAGCTCAGATTCTGAGATTACACATGTTTTCATGTAGTTTTTATGTCATCACGACATCAGACGTCAGATGATGACCTTGGCTACCGCGAATTCAGTGTGTTCTTATGCTGTTCTTCTTTTTAATGAAGGGTGCTAGAATGTAATAGATCTATTACTATTGTAATAGCAATGGAAACCCTGGAAATGAGTTTTAAATAGTAGACCTTATACATATATTGTATACCAACAATAGGATGTCTCTATCCATACATTGGGGTAGTATGTACTTGATAATGGGTATTTATATTTATTCTAGATAATCTTTACTCTGAACTGAGAAGATTTTATTCAACTTTTTTACTTACCAGTTTATGAGCTATATTATCATTACTATACACCCCCATCCTCATTTTCACAGTTAATGGTATACTCAGGATATCTGTCAAATTTTTTATACAGGATTCAAACACCCTAGTCCTCCTCATCATTCCACATCCCCCTCCATTGGTATAGACCAACTCAATGGGACAACCCACATTCAAGTCAATGAAATCAATATCAGCTTCTTTTTGCAACATTTCCCCACATTTGGTGAGGAAATGAGGATTATTGGCACAGAGTTGCACTCCAAAAATATCCTCACTCTTGTGCCTTTTAACAAGAGCCCATTCATGTGAGGCACCCTGAAGCAAGGTGGTACACATTGCCATCTCTCCACAAGTTATGTCAGCTCCATATTCCTTGCATATTCTTCTGAATGGTAAATTTCCAACTGTGGTGAGAGGACTCAAAAATAATTTGTTTGTGAAATCAATTTTTTTCTTTTCTTTTGCTTTCAGCTTTATGATGTCTTCATCAGTTACTGATCCAACAAGTTTTACATCTTTACTAACTTCCTCTTTCTTTCTGATGCAATCATTGTATTTAATCAGTGATTCTGAGAGATCAAAGTTATAGGTTCTCTTTCTCAATGCTGTCTGCACTTCAAATTGAAGTTGATTGGTAGTGTAGGGTGCATTCACTGCATACTGCTTGAATTTTTCTTGGTCAACAATGTTCTTACCATCTGGACTAATGTGGCTGCCCCCAAATCTGCATGCCAAACCTCTACTGCATTTGCCTGATATATCAAAGTTGTAGCAATTTTCACCAAGATCTTTAGGTTTACTTTTCAAATATTCATCAACATCATGTAAAAAACTACATTTGTTTCTAGTGCACTTAGGTATTTCTTCATCTGGCTCAATGTTGATTAAGCAAATGCATAATTCTTTTGAAAAGTCTCTCCGAAAAGTAGGGCCTCTGGACTTGTTCTGGCCCCTAAGGGCTTTCTTTTCTTTTTTGGAGAGTTTCTGTTTCTTAACATGAGGTTCTAGATTGTCAGCTATTCCCTCGGATTCTAATTTGCGCTTGTCTTTGTCCGAGACGTGGTCAAGATTTAATTCTCGATGTACGTCAAGCTGCACAAACCTGAAATATTTTGAACCTTGTCATGCACATGCAACTTGTGGGGACAGTTATTGAGTTAATATATCACTATCACTTACTCAGGTTTGAGAATACATACACCCGATGTAGTAGACATTCTTTATAAATGTCGACCAGGAAAAAATTAGAAAAATATTGAGTGAAAATCTAATATGATCATAATGAAATCATTCACTTTTTGGAAGTTTGAACTTTGAAGTTTGTTTGAACCTTAGGGCTATGTTCTTCCTTCTTCATTTCTTTCTGTCTACTTTTCGTCGTGCTCAAACCATACATAGGCATGTTCAAGAATCTAAAAAAAAAGAAGAAATTGACATAAGGCTGAGCCAAGACCAGATCGCAGATCTGTCAATAGGCCTTTTCATCTAGATATATTTTTAAGACGCATGCGCTCGTTTTTAGATCCAAAATTCCATTGGGTAATGTGAAGGTGAAGCCTCATTGGCTATAGATTGCCAACAGTGTCAATCACCATGGGCATTCGTCAACAATAACAACTTAGTATTTTTGTTTTCACATTCCTGGATTCCTGGTGTGTATTAATTGTAATAATAATTTAATTTCAAAAAACGTTACTTATTCGTTACTGAGGAGTGTGGTACTGTGCTCTAAGTGTTTTGGTGAAAATGGCCGTCACTGTCGTTGGATGCGAGATGTAAACAGAGATAGTCATTTCATCATTTGTCATCTAAATGAAAAGGCATATTAGACCACTGAAGCACATTAATATGATACAGTCTAAGGAATATTCCCATAATATTTTTTTCTAATTCTCATAATTAACGAGAAATTTCATCCCCAAAACTGAACAAAATACCAGAAAAAAATCGAGTACGCCACTTCAAAACAATATTCAAATGATTTAACTCAGTGTGATCGTGCCTACCGCATGGAAGTTTGAACAGAGATGACGTCAGATTAGCTACAGTGTAGAACTTTGGGTGGAGAAAGGGGTCTAACTTCAAATTTTATTTCGATCCCTAATTTTTTTTCATTAGTGCCATTCGATAGTACACGTAGAGCTTTCTCAGTGTTTGAAATATTTGCACTTATTTCAATGCCACCCTGTACATAGATTCCATCCAGAGGACACCATAGAAAAGTCGGCGACCTTTCACTTTTTTATAGATACTTCCACGGGAAATGTTTTTCTGCTATCATATACATGCTAGCTATACCAGTCAGACGAACTTGACAGTCCCAGTCAGCACATCATTTCGTTGTCAACCTTGAAATATGTAGAACAACACTTTACCAAAACTTGGTCTTCTGTATAAGGGCAAAGCTTTGGAATTTGTTGCCAACGTATTCCCAAGAACTTATTGTAACCTGCAAATAAAGTTTTAAAAAATCAAAACCTACCTCCTCTTCCTATCCTCCCTATATGTATACCTATATATATGCATGATATGTTCTTGGAACATTATCAGTGCCCTACAAGTGATAGAAAAAGAAACAACTCAAGGGAGTGAGATATGATAATACTAGACTCACTTGTTTATACCAAATAAGTACTTTTTTATCTCTTGGAGCGCACAAAAGGAAATTCCTATAATGTTTGAAGAACATCGTTCGTACCTAGGGAGGATAACGTAGGTACAGGTTTTCATTGGCCAAAATCAGTTTCATGATATACATATAAATGTGTAAAAATAAACAAATATTGATAAATATAGGTGTTAAAATGAACAATATATTGATAAATCTGTAGCAGATATTTAATTCGCGTACTTGTAATACTGGAGAAGAAAAAGTACTACTTTTATATACAATAAATACAATACTTACATATTTTGATGCATTGGCATTTCATAAATAGGGTACAGTAAAATAAAAAATATTTCATTTTTTCTGATAAAAAAACTATGTACATTTGAGTACTCCTATCACATAACTGGGATAAATGCATGATGATAAATTATTAAAATGTACAGAGTGCTCCTATATCCTTAAGGCTTCCTCTACGAGATTGGCCAGTTCTTTGAGATGCTGATTCTTGCTACCTGTTGCTGTACTGGCAGCAACAGCCCTTCCAATGTAACTGAAAAAAAAAAATAATACTCGAGAAGGATGTTATTAAATGTCTGAAATGATAAAAAATGTCATTTTATTCTTGAAAAAAATATAGGGCGTTGAAATATTTTTTCCGTCGCCTTCATATTCACAAGCTATAATAATTAATATACAGGGTGAGTCATATAACCATTGGAGCATATGCTAAGGGTGGATTGTTTAGACCAAAATATGGCGATAGGACCGAATATGCCTAAATAAAATATTGCTTTCCGAATAAAATGTCGATTACAAAATGAATCAAAATGTCAGATGAAACCATAGGAAAGAGGCAGAATAGCAAAGATATGTTTTTTCTCTCACCTGACAACTCTAGTATCAGGTGCCTCAGTTTGTTCCTTTGGTGGAGGTTGTGATTTTTTACCACCGAACAAACTACCAAACCAATTTCCTGTTTGTTTATCAGATGCTCTAAAAAAATTCATCCGCAAATCAGTTGATGAAAATTATTTTTCCATTATGGACAAAACATAATTTGAATTATTTCGAAGTTAGATCAGAAATAATGTGGAAAGAGAAAATTCATATCTTCCATTCACAATTGTTTTTGTACTGAACTTTGTGTTCACTTACCGAATATCTCGTTGACCAGACAAAAGGGTTTCAAATCTTGGCTGCACATATGTCCAAGGACCCTGGTTTTTGTGTTCTTCTTGCAACCAGGAAATATTGGCGTTGGGATATTTCGCGCATTCTTTCTTAATCAAATCCATAGGAAAAGGAGTGAGCTGAGAATATATAAAATAAATATCTCATTCAAAAACTGTAGAGTTATTTAGTTTCAAGAGATTTCTAGTATTTTTTACCTGTTCAACACGAGTCAATGCGATCTTGGACTCCAAGCCTTTATCTCTAATCTCCTTCAAGATGTCATAATAGACTTTGCCGCTGCAAAACAGCAATTTCTGTACTCCTTGGGGATTTTGACTGGCAGGGCCACCGTCAGGAATAATTCTTTGGAACTCGGTACCTGTTAACATAGAAAGATTTTTTTTATAAAGTATAACAACGTCAATGTCTTGTTTTCATGTCGTATTCATTGACATTGACATTTTCTGCTATTCGTTGGCAGGTGTTACTCAGTTACTGTCAAGTTCAGTGTCATTTGTCGAATGAACTTTATTTGGAATGATTTGAATCAACATGAAAGTGAGACAAAATGCCAGCCCGCATGTGATTACTAGATGATCACCAATTAGCTTTCTTGAATGTGATATTTTTTCTAAAAAAAAATATCCTTACTACATAAGAATTTGACCTCTCTAAGCATAAATGTATAATATATCTCAAATATATGGAAGGGAAATATCCTGTCGGCATAAGGAGCCTACTTTTTCTAAACAATCTAACCTAACTCTGCCTGAATGAATGAACCTTCTTCCTAGGTAGTATATTTATATATTCCTAGCGAGAGCGAATGAGAGTTGGGTGATTTATGGTATGGCTGTTAAATTATACTGCTACCACAGAAAATAATTTCACCATTTCTGCGAATAGTGCAAACATGTATTTTTAGTGTAGGTGTAAGGGTGATTTGTGAAATTGAACATCAAAAAGAAAAGGGAGTAGGGGTGTACACACGATCCACAGTACAGACCAAACACGAAAAATGTATATGAATGATTTTTAATTTATACTTCGTCGAAAAAATAAGTCTACTAACGGAAGACCTTTTAATTTACTTTGCAAGTTTTCATTTCTCACCCTGTAGTGTTTCAATTATTTTTTTTAATCGAAAATATTTGTTCCATAATTTTCATAAATTATTCAGGAGATCGAAAACGAACGGAAGCATACGAAAACCTTTCATGAATAATCCTAGATTTCTGGTGACACTGTATACTGAATTAATTTCACCGCATTATTTCCAGACTAAAAAATGATAAAATCGTAATTAAAACAGGTTAAAATAGGTGGATTTGTAATTTCAATTTACTGTCTTTGAAATAATAATCAAATATGAACTAAAGTCGTGGGATGTTGTCGGATTTTCTCTATATGTATTATATTTTCTGACAGAAAATGTGATTCGACAGCGAGTGAAAAAAGAAATCATGAATTTCATTTTCAAAGTATTTCCAAAGTAAGAACTGTCCACGAAATCCTGATATGCACAAACTAATCAATAAAAAAAACCCATAAGATGCGTTTTTCAACGGTGACACTGTATATTAAATTTCTTTTCACGCCACCCCGTATACGTACCTACTATCGATATCGGATTTTATTCATACTTATTCGGGAATTAATCGGTTGAAAGGATGACGTAACAAATTAGTCATTAGAATGATTAATCGAACCACTCAGCAGTCTCGTTCTAGATACCGTCGGGTACGGTCGATTCAAGTGATATAAAAAAAGAACTCGAATTATTTAAGAGTGGAAAATCAGTACATATTCGGTTTTGTGATTGTGTATTTTCATTTGAGTGTGTGAAAGTTGTATTTTTTCAAGTTGGTAAGTGTTTTTGTATATCATCACGTGGTTGTTATTTTGATTCAGTATATTTCCATGTAACAAGGAAAAAATTTGAAAATCGGTTCCTTCACTTATAGCTGTTGACACAGACACATATATGGTATGCCCCCTTTTCTCCTTTGTTTTTCTAGCTATATTTCTGAAATTCGGGACATCGAATATGCTCACTAGATGGTACCATTTTAGGATTTTTTTTCATCTTTCGGTCTCTATTAGGCGAAAGTTTATTATGAAACGAATATTACACTTTAACCTATGGAATGGAACACCCTTTATTTTATTCCATAATCGGTTAGGTATTATAAGGAATCAACGATACCGGGCTTGATAGGGTTATTTCAAATGATTACGAAAATAATCGCGTTCAAAAGTTCCGTATTATGCTCAATGCGTGTGACAGAGAAAGAGGTTTAGATATGGCGCCGTCCGTCGTCACACCCATTTGAAAATCGAAAGTTGATATCATTTCCAGGAAAATGTTGAAAAACAAAGGAGGAAAAGATGGATATTTATGCATTTTATTAAGATTTTGAAGTCTCGTATTCATTTAGGATTGAATAATTTGCTTTGTTAACTTATACAGAGGTACTAAAAGTAGGTATGTACATACATTGAAATGAGTTGCATAAATATTCGCCATTTTGTAGAGTCTCATTTATAGATATACAAATCAATTCGAAAGGTATACCACAACACATAGTATCGAAATTCAAAATGTCAATGAGAATGTATACTTAGGTACTTATAGCCATATATAGGGTGTAATTCAATTGATGGCTAAAAATGAAGGACATATGGTTCATTAGCTCATTACAAGAAGAAAAGTTCATATGAACATATGCCTCTTAACTTTCGAGCTATAGGGTGTTGAAATTTTAAGAAACCAGTGGCATCCGTGTGGAATATATTCAGGAGATTTAAGAAAAAATGGTACGCCCTTGCTTGTCCCAAAAAGAAAAATCATTTTTGAAATGGACACCCTATATTCCATTTTTCTAATCGGTAGAGCTAATTCCTCTGATTTCAAACACATACAGCATGTTATTGAAGTAGATATGTGGCCAAACTTCAAGGGGTTATTCTCGAAGACAAAAAATTCCTATGATCATAGTTCCAAAAATGCATAATTTTCATGATAATCAATATAATTCATATCCATAGCATTGTAACCTCTGATGGCAGTTGAAAAAAAATTAGTATCATTCCCCAGATAGCACAAATTCCTTTTGAGGCCCTTCTGAGGCGTTCACAATAATGTCCTCAGGACGTCGAGAGCGAGCCAGAGGACATTTTTAAGACGTCCTCCTGTTACCATTCTCTACATACTAATAACGTCTCAGAACATCCCTATAAAATCTTTTGAGACAACCTCAGGACATCATAGTAACAACTTGAGGCGGTTTTTGATGATGTTTCAAGGAGGTTCAAGATTTATGGGAGGATATTATTCGTATACAGAATGAGTCACTAGTGTGTTCTCCTCCGATATTAGCCAAACCGTCAGATATATAAAATAAAAATTCAAGTACAACAGTAATAGGGTTTCATAAGAACAATCACCTGAAGTTGTTTTCATATCTATAGATAGGGTGTTCGAATTCCAAGATATCGGTTGATGATTGGTTTTTTTCAATGGAACACCTTGTATCTTATTACATTTTTGAGTTTTCCCTGAAGAGTTGATTTCATCAATGCATCACACTTGGTGTTTAGTGGGAATTATTACAGAGATATGTTGACAATCGAGATTTTTCAAATGTAGGATTTTTTGTGTCGAAACTCGAAACTATTCATTAATGGTCAAAACGGCTCACATGTCCCTGTCTTAACTTTTGATTAGCTATCTACTGATATTTATTCGGAACAGATACAATAAGCTGATCAGTATTCTGAATGTTGAACCACCCTCTATTTGTTCCGATTGAATGTCATTGGATAGTAAATCAAAAGTTCATAAGGAAATGTGAGCCGTTTTGACCAATATTGAATAGTTTCCACAAAAAAAATCCTAAAATTGAAAAATCTTGTTTTTGAACACCCTATATCTCTGTAATCATTCCCGCTAGACCCAAAGTTTGATACATTGATGAAATCAGCTCTTCAGGGAGAACCTAAAAATGCAATAGTATTCAGGGTGACCCATTTGAAAAAAAATCAATCATCAGTCAATATATCTTGGAATTCAAACACCCTATACAGATACGAAAACAATTTAATGTGAAAGTTCTCATGAAACCCTATTACTGTTGTACTTGAATTTTCTCTATTTATCTGATGGTTTGGCTAATATACAAGGATAACACACTATTGACTCACCTTGTATTATGCAAATGATAATTTCTTCAAAATAATATGGATCTCATGATATTTGCAAAATTTCCCTCTATTTATAATAGGTTCAAATGAAAAACCAAATGAAAAACTTACATTCTATTATTTATAACTTATTATTCTGAAAAATTTCAATTTCCTTTTTGAAGAAATGTATTTCAGCTTCTTGTTGAGCACTACTAGAAGTTATTGCCTATTGGTAGTTATATTTCTCCATGTTGTTTTTGATTTCTGAACTCTGGACATTCCTGATGCAGAATCAACTGGAAGTTGAAGCCTTCATGCAATATTTTATAGATTCTGAAGAAGCAAAACTATCTGAAAAAACAATGTATTAATATTTCATGTCCAGTACTTACTATCAATGATATGATTTATGTAGTAAGGTACCAACCATTATTGAATCTACTGGAAGTTCAAGTCTGCATTATGTACAATCTTTCATAATTTCCAAAGAAGCCAAAATATCTTGGAATAAAATATCTCTGCTCTGATGATATCATCATTTTGTGTTATCAATAACCTCCTGAAACAAATAATGTACCTATTAATATTTCATGTTCCAGTACCTACTATATCAATGATTTGATTTAGGTACACCTACCTTTATTGAATATACTGAAAGTGCAAACATGCATACAATCTCACATAGATTTCGAAGAAGCCAAAATATCTTGGAATGAAACATCTTTGCTCTGATGACATCATCAATCTTGTGTTCTCAATAACTTCATCTGAAACAAATAATTAACCTATTAATATTTCATGTCCAGTACCTACTATATCAATGATATGATTCAGGTACCTACCTTTATTGAATTCATACTGAATGTGCAAGCTTCCATACAATATTTTATAGATTCTGAAGAAGCAAAGATATCTTGGAATAAAACATGTTTGCTATGATGATATCATCAAGTTTGTGTTGTCAATAACCTCCTGAAACAATAAATAATGTATATGAATGTATCCTTGGAAATATTAGTGGGATGCAGTCTGGACCAATGGATTAATTAAATTTCTTCGTTATTTGTCGAGCTTTCGAAAATTTTTATTTTCTTTATCAAGACTAACTGAAAACATCGAATGGAACAATATATAAATGTACATCAATTGAAATTGGTATACTTACAAACATGAAATTCTATATATATATTGTTCCATTCGATGTTTTCAGTTAGTCTTGATAAAGAAAATAAAAATTTTCGAAAGCTCGACAAATAACGAAGAAATTTAATTAATCCATTGGTCCAGACTGCATCCCACTAATATTTCCAAGAATATTATTATAGAACAGTCACGAAAGCTTCCCCTTATGAATGTATCAATATTTCATGTCCGGTACTATCAAAGATTCTATTTAGTATTTACTCACCTTTGTTTCTTGCTACCTGAGAGAAATGTCATCAACAGAGATTATCATCCTTTTGTTATTGTTATCTTTTAATTCTGTGCAATAAGTTCTTCTCGCAATCAATTTGTGAAATAGAAATTTGATGAATGCATGATGGAGGTATTCAATGAATACTCTAATAATTTTGATATAATCATTAATATTATGATGTATCTTGAACAAATCATGACTATCATGAGACATAACCTCAATTCTAGTTCTTCTTTTTCTTCCTTGTGTCTTCGATGACACGTTCTTCATGGAATGTCATCTGAAGACGTCCGTAGGCACGAAATTCTTTACATCCTCAGGCTGTCACTGAAAGAACTCATTTAGGACAATTACAGCGCTAAATTTACGCCTGATGATGTTCTTAGGTTGTGGAAAATAGAACGTCCTCTCCAGGCGTTTGGCGACACATTGAGGATGACCTTAGGCGAGTGTGTGCTATCTGGGTCCATATTCGTCCTAATGTCAATTTGACATTTCGTATGGACACTATGTAGTGACCATCATAGTGATACTCAAAATATAAGTAAAATGTATTTCTGCAATTTCTTTTCAATAACGATTTTCAGTTTATATTTCTGACATATGATGAACACTCATTTCAATGATATTCATATATTGATATATATTCATAGTGTCGATATAGAAAAACTATCATTTTGCCTCGCATTTTGCTGAATAACAGTATTTTTGTGGAGGACATTGTTCATGTAGACAGTGTGATTTGATTCGATCTGTCCTACTGATATATTTCTGTATACTGTGCCCGTCTAAAGTCCGTTCCCCCCTGCTAATTTTTTATCCACTTGGTCTATCACAACGAAATTTGGAGAGCTCCAATGGGGAATGATGGCTCTGCTTCATAATAGAACACGTATATTATTCCATTTTAGAAATATTTTCATGATTTTTAACAGTTCCAATTAATACACTTTACTCCTGAATTCGATAGTTATCAAACAAAAACTGACATTTTGGTCATTTAAAACCCAACCAAGAACTGGAATGTTGTCTTCAATCAAGTTTGTTTTGAAAAAAATCTTTGTCGAAAACTCGAATAATGCTTTTAATCAGGAAGGCGATAAATCATAGAACATTTTTCGATAATCATGTCTCAATGGCAATTCGACAGGTACCCTTACGAGGAAATTTCAATATAATTCGAATTCGAGATATAATACCGACTATGTTTTAGATCGAAGAAGCGACCTATTATTAATCGATGGAGAAATTGGTCAGAAGAGGGAACCATTCCTATCAGGAACTATATTCAATTCATTTTGGATATTTATCCAAATTTTAAATTTGTTATGGAAGGCGATATATCATAGAACATTTTTCGATAGCCATATTTATGTCTCGATGGAGACACGACAGATACCCTTACGAGGGGAGAGTATCAACCCTTGGCATCGGTAAACCCTCGTTGCAACCGGGGTAGGCGCCTGATGGGTTAGGTATATAAAGTGTTTCTCATTAAGGAGAAAATTGTTGGCTATCTGTTCCGCTCATTTTTTGAGTAATAGAATAATATGTCGCGTTTCAGAAACGAAACTTGAAGTGGTTTATATATATAATAACTTTCATTATCTCAATTTTCAATATATTTGAAATTCGAGATATAATAATACCAACTATGTTTTAGGCCGAAAAAGCGACGTATTATTATTCGACGAAAAAAATGAACAGAAGAGGAAACCAGGCTAAGACGAATTGTATTCAATTCATTTCAATTTCAATTCTCAATTTATTTTGAAATCGAGATCTAATACCAACTATGTTTCAGATCGCCGAAGCGACGTGTTATTATTCGACGGAAAAAATGCACAGAAGAGGAAACCAGACAAGAAACCAGCTATAAATGATAAGTATTCCATTCTTATTACGAATGATGTTCAATTCATTTCGAATATTTGTTCAAAATTTTATATTCGTTATGGAAGGCGATATATCATTCAAAATTTTTCGATAGTCACCTTTATGTCTCGATGGAGACGCGACAGGTACCCTTACGAGGGGAGAGTATCAACCCTTGGCATCGGTAAACCCTCGTTGCAACCGGGGTAGGCGCCTGATGGGTTAGGTATATACAGTGTTTCTCATTAGGAGAAAATTGTTGGCTATCTGTTCCGCTCATTTTTTGAGCAATAAAAGAATATGTCGCGTTTCAGCAACGGAAATTGAAGGGGTTTTTATATAAAATAACTTTCATCTTCTCAATTGTCAATATATTCGGAATTCGAGATATAATAATACCAACTATGTTTTAGGTCTAAAAAGCGACGTATTATAATTCGACGAAAAAATTGCACAGAAGAGGAAACCAGGAAAGCAACCAGCGATGAAGAATAAGTTTTTCATCCCTATTACGAATCATATTCAATTCATTACGAATTCAATTCTCAATATATGTATTTTGAAATCGAGACTATTACCAAATATGTTTCAGATTGACGAATCGACGTGCTATATTATTCGACGGAAAAATTGCACAGAAGAGGAAACCAGACAAGAAACCAGCGACCAATGATAAGTATCTCATTCATTAACTATTCATATTTTTCCTGAAAGATATCTCGGAAACAATGAAAGATACGAAAATAGTATATTGTTTAACGAGCACGAAATGATAGTGATTTTCTGCGAGAAATTAGCATTCCGGTCGAGTTATACACTATACATTTTCTACAGCTGTAACAAATAACGACATTTTTGATTTCTTCGTCTTGTAGCCATCTGATTTCCTCTTGAGTAATGCTCATCTATTAGACAGAGCTGTCATTGCTGGAAATTTGACATTCTCTAGGCGATGAGATTGAACTGATACCACCATTGCTAGCCAGCGCTTGGGATTTCGTTTTAAAATTATTGACAGTGAGTTGATGATCGCAACATTTATATTGTGATCTGGGCTAATTTTTTTCGCCGGTCATCTTCTACGTGCCGGAATATACCTTGGTAACTTTTAGGCTTTTTCAGTAGTTTCTCATACCAATACCAGTACCAAACATATTAGTACCCAACTTGTGTTTCAGGATTCCTATTTCAATAATCATGGGACTAGACAATTGAATTACTTGATAGCAAATACATTCAAGTCAAACATTGGCAAACAATCTGTTTTTCACAATGGAATAATTTTATACAATTCATTACCGAATGAGTTGAAAAATATACATGATGCAAGAAGGTTTAAAATCAATCTTAAGAAATACTTGCTCAGGACAATTTGAAAGAAAAATATGTGGCATGATTTGATTACTTAGGAATGAAATATAACTTTAATCTTATAAGACACAATATTAATTCGTTTCCACTGAGTGGAATTCATTATAGTTAACCCTTTATTATTTTTTTATATGTATTTATGTATCCCTATCATAAACAGAAATGTTTCTTGGGGTAATAAAGACAATCAATCAATCAATAAACACTTTCATTATGTGCCCGACTCCGAAAGCCCATTGACGAATTGCTTAGCTCATAACATGTTTGTTTTGCTATAGTAACGCTACCTAAAGCTTTTCATCTTGCTAATTTTTATGTCTGATGATGGCCGTTGCGCCGGAACCGGTATCATGTATCAACTGATCCATTCATATACAGTGTGGTCGACCGACTTTGAGCTAGTTGTTTTCTTCTAAATAACTTTGGACCACCCACCTCAAGATATGGACGATTTTCAATGTTTAGTTTTATTATCATTATCTCTGACAAAATCGAACGTCTTACCATCGATCATGTCGTCGAAGGAGCTCCTGGCCTCCGGATGACGCAGCAGACTCTTCGGCGTCATCAGGATGAGCGGCTTGCGGAACGGCAGCGCTATCTGGCGGCGCAGAATATGGAACACGTTGGCAGGGGTGGTGCAATTCGCAACTATCCAATTGATGTCGTGCAGCTGACGCACCGCGAAGTCGTCGGATTCGGGGGGGAAGTAGTCAGGGTCGTCGGAGGACATTTGCAGGAAGCGTTCGAGGCGAGCGCTCGAGTGCTCAGGGCCTTGGCCTGTGAAAGTAATAGTCGTTGTATTCACTGCACTAGATCTCATAACTAGGAGATTTTTGTTCACCAATAATGAAATGATTTGGGAAAATTTGATATTCAATGTAATAAAATATGTTATTATTTATTAGTATAGTTAGGTAAAGTAAGAGTTTCTAAATGTACTTGACACTGCTGTTTTGACGTTTTTTGTATATTAAAGTACGGACACTATGACAAACACTGACAATCAGACATAATCACAAATAAATTGATGAAAAAAGCGGGAACTGGCAGTACATGGACGTACATGACATAAATTTCAAAGGTTTGACAAATTGAGAGAATTAGGAGAAAGATGCAAGTTTGTGCAGTTTCCAACTGTGAGAACACACGGGAAATCAATTCACTCTATTCGAATTTCCATCGGCTAACGAAATTCTACAAAAATGGAAACAGAATATATGATGCGGTCGGCATGGAATATAGGTTCAGGCCACAAAATTTGCGAGGTATTCAAATTTCTTGGTAGGATATAGAACATTTTTCAACGCATTTTTATCAGGTGCACTTCAGAAAGGAAGATTTGATGTTGAAGCATACAGGATGGTATTGGGAGAAAGAGCCGAACCCACAATTTATCAACTGAGCGAGTATCGAAAAGAACCTTATTCCAATTTATTACCAACAAGAAACGAAAAACTTGCAGATAATGAAATTCATTTCGAACATATTTTGAAAGCAAAAGACTTGAGAATCGAATTTTTAGAGCAGGAATATTCAAAAATCCAAGGTTCACGAGTGGAAGAGATTGAGGAATTCAGGAAACGAATGGAAGGAAAAAATAAAGAGTTGAAAAATGAGTTGAAGCAAAAAGATTTAGATACAAAAGTCAGAGTAAGCGAATTTCAGAATTATTACCTAAAAATCATTTCAGATTTGAAACAAAATCAGCAAATATTTTTAGAGAAATAGAAGAAAATTGAACAAGCAAATATCCAGACAATTCTGAGCAAAATTCATAGTTTCGATGAACAATACTATGAAACACTTTTGCATTGGAAAAACCGAATTGAAGATTTGAATAACAAATTGCATAATATTAGTAAAAATGTTGCTCTATATGAGCATGATTCATGTTAATTTATTAATTACTTATTACCTACCACTCCTGTATAAGTGATATTGTTCCATACGAAATAAAAGAATGTTTCATTGGTGGAAATTCATCAGATTTTACCCCATTCTGAACTTTAGTGATAAGAATATTCAACTGAACGATATCGACCTCCATGGAGGTCCTTCAGCCTTATCATTCAATCTTTCCAGAAGAAATTATTTTCTAATCAATTCATCCTACCCTTTTACCCACTCGAGAGGCTATGCACTCTCATACAAAAATCAAAGACAGAAAAAGATATATGGATGTACTCTTCCCAGGACTTGTGGAGGAAGGAAGATGCGAGGATACATTATTTAAGCAAAACAAATATTCTTGTCTTTGTTGGCAAAAGGTATGATTTGCTTCAAAATTGTTTGTGGTTATGTGGAAGGAAGATGCGAGGATCCTTTATCTAAGCAAAACAAATATTCTTGTCCTTGTTGGCAAAAGGTATGATTTGCTTCAAAATTGTTTGTGGTTATGTTTGATTGTCACTGCTTGTCTAGTGTCCGTACTCTGATATACAGAAAACGTCAAAACAGCAGTGTCGATTACATTTAGGAACTCTAGGTATTGTTAACTATACTTCCCTATACCAAAACTTGGTTCTGACTGAAAGTCGCATTCCCAATCAATAAATGAATGAAATAAAATACTGATCAGGCATAAAACGTTGGATTTTCTTTTAATGAATTGAATGTCCACAGTTTGGATTTGAAACGAGTTGTTGACAGTTGATGACAAATTTTTAATACAATTGACGCATGTTGAAATTGTTTTGATGATATTTAAATACATTTGATACTTCTTGAAATCAGCTTGAACTAAAACTGGAAAGGGTGTACACTCATAAACGTCGAAACACATTCCTTACCTTCCATGCCGTGCGGCAAGTACATCACCAGCCCTGTCTGTCGCACCCACTTCGCCTGTCCGCTGGACAGCAGCTGGTCGATGATGCACTGCGCCGTGTTAGCGAAGTCACCGAACTGCGCCTCCCAGATGACCAGCGCGTTCGGATTGGTCATCGAGTAGCCCAACTCGAAGCCGAGCACGCCGTACTCAGAGAGGGAGCTGTTGCAGACGGTGTAGGGCGCTTGGTCGGGATAGAGGTTGCACAGAGGTCTGTCGGGAAAAATGTTCGGTCATCGCGAAGATCTAATAATAACGATCGACCGTAGAGAGCAATGAATTGAAACCAACATAAAAGTGAGACACAACGAGTTTTGCCAACAGTCTAGATTACTAAATAGGGCTTGGTCGGGATAGAGGTTTCACAGGGGCCTGTGGGAGGGTCGAGAAACATGTTTAATATTCTGTCATCGCGAAGATCTAATAATATGTACTCTTTAAGATTCCCGCCCTAAAGAGATGTGGATTGAAACCAACATAAGAGTGATATGCAACGAGATTTGCCCACAGTGACGTAGTCATTATAGAAAGATGGAGGGAACGAAACGATGAAAACAAACAAACAGGAATCAAGTGATTATATATGGGCAAATGCCAAAACTTTCATGATTTCACATACAGCCAATCTCTCTTATGTTGGTTTCAATACTCTGTACAGAACAAGACGGCAAGGGCACTTCTAACTTGAAAGTTTTAGTGGAGTTATAGCATAATGTCCCAATATTTCCATTACTCTATCACTTCCGGTTCGACCGAAAGTAATAGGATAAACTCATGTGTGACTCAAATATAGTTTATGAAACCACGATATCTTACCTGTACGTTGCTTTGTCGACTGTCTGATGGTGCAACACGTGATGTCTATGAGAGAACGTGCCTCTCTCTACATCCTGTCCAGACAGTCTGACGTGGATTCCTTCTTTTAACAATGAACCGAAAGCCATTGCCTCTCCGAGTGCCCAATCGGCTACTCTGTTCTCCACCATTTCCATCCTCGATTTAAGAATACGCTCAATACCTAAAAATATAGAACAGGGAATGAGGACAAGTATTCATCAATATTTTCAGGAAAAACGGAAACAATTTTTGTTAATATATGTACACACCCTTGTGAATGATGAATTCAGCAGCATTTGGTGGGGGTGCGGAGAACCTCTTTCCTATGTGCAACAGAGTATCCTCGATGACCCCGGTGGGGTTCACTTTCAAGGGGTCCTTACCCTCGAAGAATCCTGACCAGGGGCTGTCGATCCAGTCCTTGTATTTGATATGAGTCTCTTGACGGGACCTTATGAAATCAATTATTCGAAGGTGAATAATTGAAGAAAAAAAGGATCCTTAAGACAGAATTTGTCATTATGTTCCTAATGGTTTTGCAAACATACTTCATCAAATAAATTCAATCTAGATAAATACAGCTCACAGATTCATTGAAAAAGCTAACGTTTCATGGTAGCCATCTTTCTACACATTCAAACGAGAGAGAAAAAACGAAACAACAAAAGTCATAAATATTAACCCAACACGTTTGTGTATGAATAGAGCCAGAGCTGGCACGAAGAATCTTAATTTACCATCATGTACGCAGCATGCTACTGAAAATGGAAAGTTAAACCAGGACTTCGAAAAAAGTAATGGATTAGTAGATATCAATGCTAATTCGATAGCCTGCGAGAAAAGCTGACCTCACCCTGATTTCCTCACGAGTTTATATCAAAGACATGGTTACTTATTTCAACATCACTTAATCTCTATCAATAATACTGACAGGAACTTTTCCATCAACACCTCAAACGTCCATATTCTCAGCAAGGAATCAACACAAATAGCATCTATTCGCGAAAGAAAATGAAACGTCGCCGCTCCTGACGGTAATAACTTCTGAGCGGTTTGTTTTGATGAATCACCAATAAGCACAAACAAAAAACAAATGTGAACCAATGGAAACTTAGTAAACAGGTCACATTCACAGCGTTCAAGAACTTCGATAGGTGTCGTACGCTTATTTTCTAGCGTGAATACTGTTCATTAGTTCTTTCATTTCATCAGAGTCACATAGCTGTTCGTGTAAATGATATATTCAAAATATCGATTACTCTGTCTTTGTCGCTAAGATATAAGGAAGCAATTGAAAAGTGAGCCCACCAGGAGTGGTTTACTTTATTCTCCTCTCATTCTTACCTCTCGAACGCCTCCTCGCAAATCTTGTCGTACTTCTCTTTGACGTCTTTCACCTCGTCCTCGCTGACGATCCCCTCAGAGATCAGCTGCTCCGAGTACTTGTCCAAGCACGGCTTGGTAGACTTGATCTTCCTGTACATCAGCGGCTGCGTGAACATCGGCTCGTCGATCTCGTTGTGGCCGTTCCTGCGGTAACAGACGAGATCGATGATGACGTCCTTGTGGAAGGTGGCGCGCCATTCGGCCGCCATGTTGCACACGTGAATGACGCTCTCCGGATCGTCTGCGTTCACGTGGAAGATGGGCGCGTTCACCACTCTTGCAACGTCTGAGGAAAGATGTAGCAACACCTCAGACTAATTGACGATAGGCACCGCGATGCATTCATGAATCGTTGAAAAGTGTAGCACGGATAAATGAATGAAATCGTGAACAGTGGGGATAAATCTACGGAATCATTGTCAGGGCGAATTGATATTCTGATATTCATTATCGATATAATGCCACCGAAGATCAACTGGAGATTTGTTTGCCTACGTCACCCATATATAACAAGCTTCATTAGAAAAACATGGGAAATCTATAGCTGTGGCGTTGGATATATCTATAAAGCATTCGGCCGTGTTTGGTACCAAGGACTCCTCCATGAACTACCATCATACGACTTACCACCTCAGCTATGCAATCTTTCATCGAGTTTTAGATCGCTCCATGTGGTGGTGGATGGAGTATCATCTAATACCATTTCATTCAATTACATGTCATTTTCATACTAACCTGTACAGTACGGTGAAGATCTTGAGAATCGAGGATCAGTCGTGAAACCAATTTGATTGTTGATGACAACATGGATGGTACCGTGGGTAGTATACGCTGGCAATTCTGACAAATGCATGGTTTCAAAAACGACGCCTTGACCAGCGAAGGCCGCGTCACCGTGAAGCAAAATAGACATAACCTAAAAGTCGATTGAAAAAGTAAGCTAAGCATAGTGCAGCTTGAAGAAAACTGGCCTTCTTTCCTTCGCCATCTCCTCTGTAGAACTGTTCAGCTCGGGTTTTTCCTTGAGCAACTGGATCAACAGTTTCCAAATGGGATGGATTAGCCACGACAGCCAGTCTGATGTTTTTGTTAGTCGTTCTATTCAATCTAAAATCAAACGATTTTTTGAAATATCATCAAAAATTTTACTGTTATTTTTTCTGTGAAATCATTATACAGTATATCTTTACCTTTCGATGTAGGTACCCAAATGGTATTTGACATCACCCGAACCTTCATCGGCGGCTTGAAGGCCAGCAAACTGCGTGAACAGCTGGTATAGAGGCTTGCGGCAAACATTGGCTAATACGTTGAGTTTACCGCGATGGGACATACCGATAACTACGCTTTCAACGCCCAATTCCGTCGATTTATCGATGACCGTCTTCATGGCGGGTATCATTATTTCACATCCTTCCAATCCGAAACGTTTCTCTGACGAATATTTCTTTGCCAAAAACGACTCGAACCTTCAAAATGAGTAGGATAATGCTAGATTCCATCAATCGTCAACAGTGACGACTGATGAACCCTGGCAGGGCTCAGTGGGCGAAACAGAAACTTGGAGATTTGATGAAGTCTGTTAATAACTTTGTTAATTCACTTTGTAACAAAATAGGAAATTACAAGGTGCAACTGCTTGGCCACTACTTAGATTATTCTTGAGTTAAGAGTAAAAAGATATACGGTTTGTGTCACCCGCCTATCGTCGGCTTACTGTCAAAACCTCGTAAGTATTTCCGAGCTAATTGTTCAAGACGGAAAAAACGTTTTCCATTAGGTACTTCGAACGATTCAGTTGCATTTTTCAAGGTTCTTCCTCCTTAGTAGAGGTACCTGCTTGATGAATGAAATCAACATTCTGGGAAGATTTACAAAAATAAATTTAATTTGACATTATTGGGACTAAATTGGTTTTCATCGATTACTCACAGTGTATGTAGCAAATCAGGGGTAGTTTCGAAACAATGAGAATCATCGGTTCAACAATAATGAACCGAAATATTTCAAACAATGTCTTCATTTGGAATGAACAGAATAAAATTATGCAAATATACATAACGGGGCTAATAGCATACATCTTCTCAAAAGCTCTAATCCTAGATAGATAATATACAGATCAAAACCTCATCTGTCCACATGAAAAATCAAAAAAGATTGTCCTTCGCATCACTGCAGTAATATTCCAGAAGGTTGACCAAATATTTCATCATGAACTTACTTTGGTTTCTGGCTTGAATTTCACTTTAAATAATGAATCAGGCAATAGAGATTTATGCTTTCTCAACAAACACAACTTAACCCTATCGTCACTTGCAGACTTAAGAATGTTTGAGTTCGAAATCTTTCCAAGTAGAGTTAGAAGGTTTAAATTATATCTAATAGATGACGCTACCAAAAACATCGACTTACGTTGATTTGGTGATGGGTGCACTGAATTTCGTAAATTGTGAAAATGTTAAAATCTAAAGAGTTCCCTCACTTGTGGATTCATTTACACTACTAAGCAAAGAATAATCGAATGAGAATTGAACTAACAAAGTTAATGAGTAAGTCTTATGGATATTTTGAACGAATCGATTATTTTGCCGGTTAAGGGGTTGACAGTTGACAATATGCTCACCCTGAAGCACGAGTCAAACGGGCCAAAATCAGCCTTTTCTGGTCTGACGTGAGGTCCATGACTCCTGGAGTTTCGAGTCTTTGTCTTATCCAGTTGCACTGGTCCAAACTGTTGATGAACATGTATTCCACACCGATATGTCTGCAATACGTCGATTCCAATCTGCGCAAAATTTCGCGCAGGGGTAGCGACTTTTCATTGCCTCCGATGAAAGTAGTTGATGGCAATTTGAAGATCCTGTCCATATCAGTATCCTCTATTACAAGTACAAATAGTTGAATGGTGGAAATATTCCATGACTTTCAAACTAACCAAGAAATACGTGTAGACATGTATTTATCGGTTCATCCATCTATTAAGCATTCATCACCCACATTTCAGCCATACTTTCTCACTAAAAATAGGAAGTGGTTGAGAATTATTGGTTGCACTATGTTAACAATAGGATATTACCTATTGTGTATTTTATAAATGGAATGCTGGTACAGTCTTCTTTCATGCTTTACTAGATGGATGCTTTATGAATGAGTATATTAGAATAAATGTACGAATCGATTCAGCTTGAAACATTCCATTTGACACTGAAGAAGAAGATTTATCAGTTTGAAGAGCTAATTTGGTATAACGAAGGATAGACAAATAATAGTTTAAAGTTCCTTTATATCAAGCGAGTTATTCCTTATTAAATATATTATTGTACAGTACAATTTAACAAATGAGTATAAAGTTATTTTAAAACAAAATTGTTTTATAGCTCTTGAGACAGATAGAAACTGAATATGAATTTTGAACAAAATAATGTCTAAACTAAACGTGGAAAATTTTATGGAAAAGTAATATTTAGCTGTAAAATATGACAGGTAGACTAGCTTTAGAACAATACAAAACTGTATTCTAAAAAAGTCATAAAAAGTATTCTTTGATTTTTTTGACGTTTTAATATATTTAGAGAACGGACAGCCTGATAAGAAGTGCCGGTCAGACATAACCACATACAAATAGATGAATAAAGATTTGTCAAACTGAGAACCAATTGGGGAAATAATAAGATGCAAGTTTGTGCTGTTCCTAACTTGTTAAAATACTGGGAATCCATTTACTTTATTCTAATTTCCATCAAATAGAGCAAAACTTAGGTAGAAACAAAAACATGAAACGACTAGCTAACTCAGCAAAATAAGTTGGGTTCGCTCAGTAAAAAAAATTCGTAACGGCATTCACATTCAAGATACAAGGTATTGAAAAAAATATGTTCTACCCTTGATTGTATACCCTAGTGTTTAACACATTCTTTTTACGATTAAGGCGAAACTATATGAAAGCATTGTTAAGAAATTTAGTATGGATATGTTTTGAAAGGGTTCGAACAGTGAGTAGTTTTGAACATAACTTTTTTGGGGTTAGATGTTTTAGTCCAAATTTTTTAACTTGAAAATCATTCAATTTTAGATCAAATAGATACTCTTGGTTAAACTCAATACTGTGTACCGTTTTCGGATTATTTGATTCGAACAAAAGTGTTGAATACGTTAAGGAACTTTACCTAAACTAGCTAGAAGTGACAACAATGAAAATGATGATTTTATTGACAAAAATGCTCCAGTAGTCCGAATGCATGCGATATTAGTGATGCCTTACCGAAGTTGTAGTCTTTGTGGACCAATTTCTGGGTCGTTATATCGTCTAGGTCCGCACAGTTGATTCCCAGAGGATCCAGCATGGCAATGCGGTGGCCACGGATCTAAAAATTACCCAACACCGCGTCTACCCATTACAGAAAACGAGGAAAAAGTACTAACGAGGTATAGATATGTGGCAAAAATTCCATACATATAGTGCCATTCATTGAGCTTGAGGTATGAAAAACAAAATGACGTTTTATCGGGTCTATGACACATTGCCAAATGGAACGAGTCTCTAGGAATGTACTTTCATAATATTATTAGAATACTCGCATGTAATATTCCATAACATGCAAAATAAAACTCATTTGATTATTATAGTTTTTAGTTGAAGTAAGCATTAGCCAGAACCCCATAAAAGCCAGTCAATTTGCCACTCTAATATTGATATATTTCACCTTGATCTCACAAGATTCAAGAAACAACTGAGAGAATTCTTGCTGAATTTCTATAGTATATTCCTTGAATATAAAAATAAGGAAATAGTAGTGCTGGTATTCATTTATGATACTTAAGTCATATCGAAATTGTACTTTTCCAGTCTGTGTCAAAATACTACCTATACATATATATCCATATATGTTGATATTGTTATATATCAACGTTATTGTTGTTTTCTTAAGATTGTTATTTTTTGAATAAAAGTTATGGAATATGTAGGTACTTTTAAAAAATAGTATAAGTTGGTGCAACCCATGTAAAGATAACAATTTTGTATCACTGTGTCGTTATCCTGTTATTGGAAGAACTATTTATAGTTCCTCTGTTGGATAACCTTGCTTTCTAAATAAATAAATACAAATTTCACAGAATCTCTCCATACACTAGAGGGTGCTAGAGGCAGGCGTGGGATCCTGGCATAGACCAAAAATATAACATTCTACTCTATAATACGATCGTTTGGTATACTATCTTGACCAATTCCGACTGATGTTTGTCCTAGACGCCGAGACCTCAGGCGGACACGACCTCACCTCGCTACTCCACTCTCTACTCACCTGATAACTCCTGATTATGGCCTGCACGGCCAGATGGTCGTCGATGGCCTTCTCGCTGATCTGCCCCACCCCTGATGTCATCGACCCCACCATGGGCAGCAGTGAGTTGGCCGACACCTCGTTCCTGCCGAGGGGCGCTAGGGAGGGCGGCGGTTGATAGCCGGGACCCCCTTGTGCTGAGTTTCGGAAAAAGGAGTCCCAAGACTGGAATCATACATGCGCAAATCAAAGGATCGCGGAGTGATAACTGGATGAGGGCTAACGTCGGGTGTATCGGGTAGACACGATGACGTCACGGTCATGCGGTCTTTAAACTTGTACCTATAACTGTACCTAACGAAGCCGTTTTTGAGATACTATATTTGAATGGCTTTCAAGATAATTTGGCTCATAAGAAATATGAATTGTACAGATATCTTTGGGTTCTAGAACTAGAAAAAAAAAAAGATGGCTGGTTACAAAGCACCGAAAAATTAGGGGGTCGATTTGAATAGCTCCATAAACTGTGGTTTGTTTCCATTTTCATTATGAAATTCGCGTTTTCCCAAACCAACACACATAGGAAAATATTCATAGTTATAATAATAATAATACACAAGTATTAATGTAAATATTATTCAAGAATACTAAAAAAAATAATGAGATGTATTGAGGATACCCATTCTCCTGCAATCTGGATACCAAAACTAGGAAAAGTACTTATTTTGATTGAATAACTTAAAATCACCAACGTGATAAAAGGAACCAAATTCATGAATTTTTCACTACAAAATGTGGTCAAATGTTATGATGATAATGTGTAATATGACTTTTATGAAAAAGTAAAAAAGGTCTGACTTATACCATATCATAACATGAGATTTTTACAAAACAAACAGAAACTATGTATTCATTGGAGAAGAAAAAAATGTATACACATTTATGCAACTATACTTTGATGTGCTGCAGGATCTATATATCTGTTAGTGAAAACGTTTACCTTAACCACTCAATATCTGTCATGCTTGAAATAACAGAGTCTTGTCATAATCCCATTGGATTTTTTTGTTTCAATTGGTTTAAACTGATACCTCTAGTTTAAATAAAAGGTAATACCTTAATAATTTCCTGAATGACATTATTTATCAAAACTTCAGAGCCGTGGGCGAGAAGTCTTGAATCAATTTCATGAGCAAAATTAAAGCAGCAAGCTGGAGTATGTCAATCGGCGAATGTTTCTAGGAAAAATAGCACCATGAGTTGTATTCCTATGATTATTTCATAATTGAGACAATAAACAAGCGCCTCGCGAGATTTGCGCACTCTGCATCCATCATTCTGACTTCTTTGATTGACGTTATAAACGTCAAAAATGTTATCGCTGAAACACGAGGTTGGTTGGTCATGTGTGAGTCAATTTGGCTTCTGTATTGGCAACGCAAGTCTGATAAATTTTAGTAAACAAAAAATATCACTGGAATGCAGGAGAGAGAATAATCCGTCAAAATGGTCGATTCTGATTGGTTCTGGAGAACAAGGGTGGAATAATCATTGGAGATTTTTTAAAATTATGCCATGACTTTATTTTGAAATAAATGGATATCCAAAATTCAAATTGTGCTTTCCTTCCACAATTCATATAGGTATATTTTCCTTTCGTTAGAATATCGGTGATGTAGCTGCCCGACAAATCAGCCGACTCAACTATTTTCAACAAAAAAATCACAGAAAAACTTCAAAAACTCAAATTGCAATGAAAGAATGAACACTCACAAACGATGTTGACCAGGAGAGACCTATATACAGCATGTAATATATGCTCTACGTTTAGCCTTCTTGAATCATCTATGAATATACTTAGTTCCTATGAAAATAATATAGACACTCACTGTGTGGACACTAGATGGATCAGCGAGCCAAGCATTGTACATATCTTCCACATATTGACCTGAACTGCCGCTCAGAAAAGGTTCTGCTGAGGCGGGTACTGTGTAGCTTCTAGCTTGCTCCAAGGCGAAATTTGGAGAGTTCTTGACTAGGAGCCAGGAGGCCAATCTATGGCCTGTAGGCCCGGCGGCCGTAGAAATGACTCTATGCATTTTTGGTTTCTGAAAAGATCGATTTTTAAAAACCAACTCACTTCTGCCCTACTGTTTTTGTGAAACTAATGCTGCCACAAGTTTATGAATACACTATATTGAAGAACAATATATTTTATAATAATTATTAAATAACAAATTTTAAACGTTTCCAAACATTCTTGTAAGTTCAATAATAGTTATTTAACCAACTAGTGTATTAATGAGGGCGATTAATGATCGAGATATTTTAACGTGCGAGCGAAGCGAGTGCGTTAATGTTCGAGATCATTAATCGCCTTTTAATATACAAGTTGGTTACAAAATTTTTCCGTCGACTATATTTCTCATATCTCCTGCAATGAAGAAAACTTGGTTCGCCAAATCATCATCCATCCGGAAACTGCTAAGAATCACCCAGTATAGCCTTGTTACTGACATTAGACACATTTGACATTTGTCGAAATGATCAACATAGGAAATAAATTCCTTGTGTTAGAAAACAGGGATTAATATCATGTCAGAAACTTGGAAAGGTGAACCCGTTAACGGAAAATCGTCGATGAAATCCATATTATCGATTTAAATGCAGATTCCGTAAGTTATAGCATATACAATGAATGCAAGCGGTGTATGTTTGGTTGCCTATAAAACAATCGTGTATTAATAGACAAATCGTTCATTAATAGGGGTCATTAATAAACGATTTCATATACATTAAACTTAGTCGTTAATACGAGGTCGACGGAAAAGACATTTATAGTGTAAATATCATATTATATGCATATAAGAAATATTGTAAATTTTATTGTGCAAAACCCACGTGCAACTTTAGTTTGTGGGTTTATTTACATATATCTACAACAAAACTTATAGTCTTGATAATAATGTTATAGTCTTTTGATAATTATTTGATAACTATATATACTTATATGAACTTATATATATATATATACAGAGAAGGGCACAAAAAATGGCCAGGCCTGTATCTTCTGAATCATTCTAGATCGGATTTCGAAAATTGGTGGGTAGCAAGTATTCTAAATTGCTCATTAATTGACGAACAAATTTTTGTTCTATCACTTCCGGATTCACCGGAAACGACTCTAACATTTGATTTTTGAATAGGACACCCTGTATTTTATTCCATAATCGGTTAGGGATTATTATGACGAATTCAACGATACCGGGTTTGATAGGGTTAATTCAAATGATTACGAAGATATTTGCGTTGCAGGTTCCCATTTGCTCAATAAGTGGGACAGAGAAAGAAGTTTCGATATTTTGAAGTCACACCCATTGAGCATATAGAAACTTAGAACGCGAATATCTTCGTAATCGTTTGAAATAACCCTATCAAATCTGGTATCGTTGAATTCGTTATGACAATTCCTAACCGATTATGGAATAAAATACAGGGTGTTCTATATAAAAATCAAAAGTTGGGGTCATTTCCGGTGAAACCGGAAGTGATAGAACAAAAATTGTTTTGTCAATTATTGAGCGATTTGGTATACTTGCTACCCACCAATTTTCAAAATCCGATCTCAAATGATTCAGAAGTTACAGCACTAGCCGTTTATTGTGCACTTCTCTGTATATGACCATTTTTTGGTAAATGAACATGTATACTTATTATGATGGGATTTTTACAAATTGTTTTTGATGAATCAAAAATCATTGCTCTGATCGATTTTTCACACGAGAAATACGGGTGTCCCTAGACCAGTGGGACAGTTAAATATCTTCTGAACCAATAGGAATTTTCAAAATATTATAATTTCACATCATATCGCATTATGAGTGCTAACTTCAGGAATGACTATATTTTATACGAGGGGCGCAAGAAAGGCTCACAAAATCGAACATCAATTTTTTCAAATGGAACACCCTGTATTCCACTGCATTTTCATATTCTCCTTGAAGAGCTGAGTTCAACGACCTAGCACACTTGGGGTCTAGCGGGAATGATTTCCGAGATATAGGGTGTGGAAAATCGAGATTTTTCATTTTTGGGAATTTTTTGTGTCGAAACTATTCATTATTGGTCAAAACGGCTTACATGTCCATGTCTTAACTTTTGATTTACTATTCACTCGTATTTAATTGAAACAAATACAGGGTGGTGTAGAATTAACAGTTTCAGTCAGAATTCTACACCACCGCCTGTATTTGTTTCAATTAAATACGAGTAAATAGTAAATCAAAAGTTAAGCCGTTTTGACCAATAATGAATAGTTTCGACACAAAAAATTCCCAAAATTGAAAAATCTCGATTTTCCACACCCTATATCTCGGAAATCATTTCCGCTAGACCCCAAGTGTGCTAGGTCGGCGAATTCAGCTCTTCAAGGAGAATATGAAAATGCAATGAAATACAGGGTGTTCCATTTGAAAAAATTGATGTTCGATTTTGTGAGCCTTTCTTGCGCACCTCGTATAAAATATAGTCATTCCTGAAGTTAGCATTCATAATGCGATATGATGTGAAATTATAATATTTTGAAAATTCCTATTGGTTCAGGAGATATTCAACTGTCCCACTGGTCTAGGGACACCCTGTATATTGAAAAATCTCACTCATTTCAAAGTTTTGGGGTATGCACCATCGGGGGCAGTCCGTTCCTGACTTTGTAGCAAAGTACTGGTAAACTCATATAGTTCTTGTGATAAATTTTCAATGAAAGACTATAAATTCGAGATAAAATCAAATAGTACATTATCTAGGGACGAGCGTAGGGATTTAAAAACACTTCACAGTTCAGATGTATATATACTATTGCATGTACGACCGGGCGTAAAGTGGCACCTTACCGCCCGTGGGCTACTTCACTACCGGCGTATGGGTAACTCGAAATAGTCATTCCTGTATGTACAATCAGCGTAAGCGTAATATATCAATCAACGGTACAATTCAGGACATTTATGTTTCAGTTGTAATGGTTCCTTTTATCTAAAATTACTGATAAATGAGTGCAAATGAAATGGTCTACTCCTGTCTACTCCTTATTCAAAAACTTTTGGATTGGTAGACGTTGAAGTGAAAATATCGAAAAAAAGGTAGGTATAATCTATTTCTAATATTTCTATAAAACCTCATATCTGTGCCACAGACGCGGACAACGGCTACAATTTTCCAAAACACTTTAACTAATGGAAATATAGTTGCAATAATAAAAAATTGCCCTTTTTCACTTGGCTAATTGCAGTCGGGCAAACTAAAATGTCAATATTAATGGAAATTGTTGTTTATTCTATATATTGTTCTAAACCAAACACATTTTACACTTTTGTTGCATCCATATCATGTTATTTTTTTAATAAAAACATTGAAGATGAATTTCTAAATTTATCTTCTATTGCAAAGAAATTTACTTCAAATCCCTAGGGCTTTAAAGTACTTATCAAAACTGTAGCGTTTTAAAGTACCACTTTTTCCCCCTCAAGGGCGTGAAATAGGCTTTTATGGATCATAGCATGTAGGCAACATTTTATGCATGAACCATTGAACCAGTATAATTATTGGATAATATTTTCATCCTTGTTGATCCTTGTTATTGTTATGTAACAAGAAGTTGGCATATTATTTTAGGCATTGACATGAATGATTGAACTTCAACTATTTACCTATGAATAATGTGTAGATATGTAGTATTGAAACCAAATTGAAACCATAAACAAACTACACTCTAATTGAAACGAAAATTCGAGGGGGTATAATCACATATCACGTGGGAAGTTTGGTGTAGGTATACCAGTGTACAGGCTCTAGGAAATTAGGGTTTGAAGAACTTCCTGACTTTGAGATACTTTGAGGAAGTTTGGGGAAGTTCAAAGAAGCTCGAGAAAGCACGGGGAAGTTCTAGGAAGTTTGGGAAAATCAGAAGATCCAGAAAGTTTCTGGAAGTTTTTACCCATGGGAAGTTTCTCGGGAAGTTTGGTGTAATGAGTACAGGTTTATGGTCCGCGATTACCTAAAGATCTTGGTGATTACCCCCGCGCAAAAATTACTTACTCTGATTTTTGTTCACCGTTTTAAAAGGGCCTATACTATAATGATAGACACAGCAAACTTTACTGAACGAAGTTGCCCTAGGTAGGCGTTGCGCAACTATTTGAAACATCGTGATTTTTACGGATTTTTGTTCGTTATCAATGTTATCATCGTTATCAACACGATAATATCCTTCTTGCTTCTTGGCAATACAATCATACTAATCATAGATAATTGATAATTTATACAAATCCAATGTTGTGAATCTAGGCATTTGGCATTTCTATCTTGGCATTTCATGGGCATTCTTGGCCTTGACATCTCAGTCTGTGGCCTTGACAATCCGCATTAATTCCGCAATCTTGCCAACTTCTCCAACTAGGTTGGCAATATTGCAGTAGTGTGGTTTGGTTGAGTTTTTTCATATATCTACTACTCATATATGAAGCATAGCTGTCCCTAAAGCGGGACCAACTTCTGTCTCTATAGGTATCTCTGCTATAGGCAACGAAATTGACCAATAGGCGTGGATGCCGACGTAGGGAAACAATAATACGAAACTTGGGTTTTCCATCCTCCACTTTCCGTCCGTATAGATTCAAAATGTACCTCTCATTTTGGTCCCATTTGAGATTTAAGCTGTGTTGATATTACGCCAAGATAGTAGAGTCACGTTGAGAGAACGCTTCATTTCAGGTCAGATTGAATTCATGCGTTTTGACAACTGACTTCTGTGTTTTGGGCCCGTTTATGAATTCGTGCAATCAGAAACCACAGAACTAATATATATTATAATTATTATAATATATGAGTTCTGTGTCAGAAACACAGAGTAACATACGATCGTGCATACGACTGACATACGACATACGCCAACTTTCATATTTTTTGAAATATGAAAGTTATTTGTAATTGCGCAACCGCAAACCGCAACGCCTAACTTCGTTCAGTAAAGTTGTTAGCTGTGTGGCTGTGTGTGTTTGGTTACTTTATATTTTTAAAAAGGTGAACAAAAATCAAGGTGAGTAATGTTGGTTTCGAATATATTTTTTGTAAGTAGTTGAATTTTATTTTCAATCATTCATGATAAATATGCCCTTCTTGTTACATAATATATAGGGTTTACCTTGAGAATTTGATTCTTTTTTATCGATTAGGCACCTTCATCGCTAATTATAAGAAAATTGAGATTTTCTTTCAATTGACGTGATAATACTTTTGAAATGCATGCATTTTTCTGATTCTTAAGATACCTATTTTATTTTTTTATGTAACGAGCCACTTGCAATTTTATCAAATAGTCTGACAGCTGCCAGATTTTGAGGTAAAATTAGAACGGTGTGGCGCGTGACCTATCCAATAATTAAAAACTAGAATAGCCTCGAGAACAGCTATCCAAACTTGAAAAAAATGTTTCCATGATTTGGGTCATTTGATTTCATTTCATGCTCTGTACAGATACCTCCTATACCAAAACAGGGAATGCATATTGCATATTGAAAATTGCATATTATTCAAATCATGATGAAAATACATATATCCACCTTTATTCAAATGAAACGTTTGTTGTAATCCTCTTCTAGAAATATAAACAGGAGTAGATAAGTACCTATTTCGAGTTTTGTTACTTACATACATGTGCATTTATGTATTTCATTATTTTTACCTTATTCAATGTCAAGGACAAAAATTATTATGACTGTATTATGTTTATTCTGTATTAAATCCGAGAAATCTATATTGTTATTTTGAAATTGATCAAATTCCTGTAACCTTGTTATTTTATTGCATTGAATCCAAATATTAAGTATACAGGGTGATCCACGGTGGATGGCCTATTAGAAGTATCTAGAGAACGAAAAGATCATATATGTATTATCATACTTGGGGACTAGCAAAAATGATTACAGAGATATAGGGTGTTCAATGTTCAAAATCGAGATTTTTCAATTTTAGGATTTCTTTCTGTAGAAACTATTCATTATCGATTACATTGAAGTTGACTCAATGGACCATAACATCAAAGTTCATAACAAACAAGAAAATGTGTCTAGATTGACAAGTAATTTTTTGTGTATGTTTTGTGTATTTGATAGATGACATTTGTCACTTGTTTGTCAAAAAATAATTTTTATCCACCATGTTTATCTTTCGAATCAAGTAGTCTGACGGTTTGTTTACTTCATACTCGCGCCATTTGCTTAAAACTATGATAGTTTTTCGATACAAAAAAGAAACATCTTAAGAAAAATGTTTATCTGGGGGTTCAAAAAACCAAAATTTAAAAATGTTTTTTAAAATTATTGGGGCCTAAAACCCTTATGAACCTAGCAAGGTATGTCACCCATTTTCCAATAGTGATGGAACTTCTTTTATTTATAAGTTTATTGTATTTTAGCCTGATGATGACTCCTAGGAGTCGAAACATGTAGCACGTATTACTTTATCAAAATTTACTTGGAGTGAGACTTTGAGTTTGTTCTCTTAATTATCGTCTTGATTTCTCCTATTCATCATTTGACTATGTGAGTTTCCTCATGAATCACCCTGTATATTACCTAGCCTGCTGCAGCAATAGTTGATTCAACCATGTAAAACTCGTTAATGAAAAATGATGTCAGTGAAATGCATCTGCAAGATTAATGGTCCATTGTGATTTCGTTGATAACTTTATGATATTGAAGTATTTATGTCGTTGAATCATCGTTCAACCAATACTGTTCCAGTGATATCTTTGAAAAATGGATAATAATACTCATTGTATACTCATTGTACCGTAAAATATTCCTTGGGTAAAAATTATGTCTGGAATGGTTTCTGGAGATGTAGGGTGGTTTACAGATTCTAGCTTTACAACCTATAATAGAATAGCTATTCTTAGTCAAAATCTAAAAAAAGTAGATTGGAAACATGCAAACAAAATTTCGAAAAATTTGGTGCATTTTAGTTTTTGTCATTATTGGTTCAGAGGCGCAAAGGTGCTGATTTTGGGAAGGTTGCGTTCGGCCCAATGGGCTTATATCACAAAAAAAAATTATTTCATTATTCGATAGAACTCACCCAAACCATCCCAAACTAGCTCACCACCGCAAACCGTTTCTTGCTGTGAGCTCCCTACGTTTTATAAAAAATTATTGAAATCCCCGATTTTTCGGACCTCTGAAAACGAGGTGATGATGTGACGTCAAAACCCTAATACTGAAACAAGACTATTCCAGACAGAGATGAATGATATATGATTTCTGACAGAATGAATTAGCGCGAGATCACAGTTGAAAGAATTAATATATCAGTTGCCTCAGTCTCCGTCGGGTGTTTGGTATTTTCTTTTAACTATGGCGAGATGAGTTTTCTACGTCATAAGAGGGTCCGTTTTCAGAAGGTACTATTATTTATGTCTAAAATTAAAACATTCCAGTTAATTTTTCGATCGAATTATGTCGTCAATCATTATTTATGTATAAAAGGATCATTATAAACATGGTTTGAGTTAAAAGTTCTACTAAGGTGTACACGCCCATTTTCGATTTACCCAATTTTCGATTGGCCCAATTTTCGATTTGCCCGATTTTCGATTCGCCCACCATCTCCGAATATACCTGAACGATGCGTTGTTGCCAAGTCTGAATGAAGAATCATTCTGGGCTTATCATTATTAAATAACTAAATTTTTTGATACACATGATATGTATGTATGGTACATATTTCGATTTCCCCAATTTTCGATTCGCCCAATTTTCGATTCGCCCAATTTTCGATTCGCCCACCATCTCCGAATATACCCGAACGATGCGTTGTTGCCAAGTCTGAATGAAGAATCATTCTGGGGTTATCATTATTGAATAATCAAATTTTTTGATACACATGATATGTATGTATGGTACATATTTCGATTTGCCCAATTTTCGATTCGCCCAATTTTCGATTCGCCCACCATCTCCGAATATACCCGAACGATGCGTTGTTGCCAAATCTGAATGAAGAATCATTCTGGGCTTATCATTATTAAATAATTAAATTTTTTAATACACATACTATGAATGTATGGTACATATTTCGATTTCCCCAATTTTCGATTTCCCCAATTTTCGATTGACCCGAATTTCGATCTCCCGAATTTTGACGTAATATAAGACAGGAAAATATTCTTTTCTAGTCTAGTCTAGTCTACCTAACCTATACCTAACCTACCTAACCTTCGGCCGAACCAAGAATTGGGTGAATCGAAAATTGGGCGATTCGAAAATTGGGCGAATCGAAAATTGGGTCAAACGAGACGTTCCCCTGATTTAGAATATATTTTTCGAAAACGTAGCAAAATATAAAATCAACTTTTTCGAATTAAAGAAAAATCCTTTGTACATGTTCTGTTGATTATTTATCGAGCTATCCTACAAATACATGTGAATGAATCATGGTGAATCATCGACCTCATACCTCATCAATGACTGTTATCTACCTCTTCATCATTCAAATTCCACCATTCTCTAGAGATAAAATAATAGTGGTTCAAACTGGATTATACTACTATTCCAATTAATTCTGTCGTTATCACTATTTGCAACTGAAATGCATAAAATGGAATTGGAATAAAGGTAATAATTGGAGCATCTGTCATGTGACAATATTTCTATATGTTCTCAGATTTTTCATCGATATGAGGTATGATTTCTGAATTACGGATGAATAATTCTGAAATGGACTTTGTTTGGATGTCATCCAATACATTATTTTTGATTTGTTATTCAACTCTTCAACTTAAAATAGCATCAGCTGAGATATCCTATTAGTGTTTCATGTTTAGAACAGTCTTTTTAATTTGAATTTTAAACAAGAGACACATTATTCTTCAACCAATAAAAATGCTCAAGAGATGTTTACAATATCACAGCTTATATTTTTATTAAAACTTGCAAACTGAACGGAGAGTTGTTGTTTAAATATTCGGAATAACCTTGTAGTTTTATTAACCTCCTCGTTTTTGAAATATAGGGCGATTTTTTTTTCAATTTTTGAGCACCTCCTGTATCTTGTTACATTGGAACCCTTCGATAACAGTGGCGTGCTCATTTTATTTCCAATAACGCAGATATTGAACCCAGAGATTTTTTTTCAAATGTTCAATTTAGATTTTTTCAAGCTTATTCATTACATTCCTTGTTGATTCCAATGCTTTTATTCAAAATTTCATCTTGGCTGGACTTACAAAAAACATCTTATATGTCTATAACTCAGATATACAGGGTGTTTCAAAAAAGCCTGACCCCCTTGCTAGGGTAGGTAGAACACTGAAAAATAAGTTGGGTTTGCTCAGTGAAACTACTTGCAACATTGTAATGAAATTTTGTATGGTTGTTTCTTGAAATCTGACACATTGCATGAATTTGTTTTTATATCTGACTCTCATAGAGGGTGCTAGTTACACGGTTCGTACCGAGTAGGTTAGAACATAACTTTTTTGAGGTTAGATTTTTCAATCCAAATATGATATGAACTTGAACATCATTCAATTATACACCAAAAAGGTACTCTTGGTGAAAGTCGATACTATGTTCCGTTTTCGGAATACATATTTCGATTAGAAAATAATGGGGTAATAGCTGATGCTGGTATAAAATGAATTTTATTGAGTTCAATTACCTATTTATTCAGATTCAAAAACAATAAAATTATTCTTGTGCTGAAGTTATTGATGGAACAAAGAATCATGAGTAATAAATTGAGAGATATTTGACTAGAAACATGAAATAATGAATCAGTTAGAATAAGTGTTCAAAACGTCATACGTTTCGACGAATACACGATTCTATATTCTTTTCTTAGGGATTTATTATTCTTCCCCCTGTTTAACCACAAATTAATCAATCAACTACCAAAGTGACGATATAAGGTAATTCAACTGCAACAACATTTATTAGACTTTTTATTGATGTGTATTCATTTTGAAACAAATACATTGAATTTCTCGGACGAAAGGCTGAACCCAATAACTGGAATTTTATTCAAAATTATCAAATTTATCCGTAAAGTTGAAAAACATTTTTTTTTGCTTTATCTATTCACAGTTAATTACAATATTTAATTACCATTTAGTGAATTGCAAGAAAAATGTGCAGTACAACTGCCTGAGCAAAACAAGAAGGGGGTTTTTATGGTTTTTTCCAATTTATTTTGTTCCTCCAAAAACGCGAGACTCCCCACACTGATCACGTCTGAACAGCTCCCCCAACCTCTTGAGTACCTTCAGCGAGATGACTTATATAAAGGGCATAGCCCTAGGTCTAGGAGATAGGTATCTGTGACGAACACCTCGCATATCCACTCACATTCCCTGGCCAACATCAGCCACCTCTGCGCGAAGCGGAGGGACGCCCAGGCACACCTGCAGATGTACCAATACCTCTTTCAAATTAATGTGTTTGATATATGTGTTGTACTTAAAATAAACAAATAATAAATGACTTCAATACGTCTCACGACTGCGAGGTCGTGGGTTCGATTCCCAGCCAGAGCAGTATTTTATTTACGAATTAAATATTGTAAAGTTTCGGAGCATGGGCTGGGGATAGTCCTGCACGATTCGCTGTTGCGTTCCAATTAACAGTGCTGCTCCTGAAGTGGCGCATGGAGTTAGTATAACTTAAAAATCGTTCTTTCCAGTAACCAAAAATGCATAGAGCCCTTTCTACGGCCGCCGGGCCTACAGGCCACAGATTGGCCTCCTGGCTGCTAGTCAAGAACTCCCCAAATTTCGCTTTGGAGCAAGCTAGAAGCTACAATGTACCTGCCTCAGCTGAACCTTTTCTGAGCGGCAGTTCAGGCCAATATGTGGAAGATATGTACAATGCTTGGCTCGCCGATCCATCTAGTGTCCACACAGTGAGTATATTTTTTTCATAGGAATTAGGAATAAAACCTATCATCTAGTAAAATCCAGGGTCAAATCTAACAAATACTGCGACTATTCAAAGATACTCCTCATCATATCTGATTCTTCAGTTGTGCGTTGTGTTCTCCGTTATCTGCAGTAAGTATGTAGACCCGAAAATTCATTTCATATATTGATAATCAGGAATATTCTTGCACTTGTTTTACAGAAATAGAGAATGGGTAATTAAGTCAAATTTTATGTGGCTGTTCGTCATGCGTTTTCCCGCGTTTTCCCGCGTTTTTATATTATGAAATATCGTGAATTTCAATAGTTTTTTAAAAAATGAGGAAGAAACGATTCAATATAATGAAATGATAATGATAAGATGAATAAAATATAATTTTCATTGAAACAAGCCCATTGAAGAAATTGATTCGAATCAGCTGATTCGTCGTGCAGCTACAAAACCGATATTCAAACGACAATTTGAATTTTGAATTCATATATTTATAGCTCAAATATTGATTGACTTCTAAATTCCCTAGTCGAACATGTTCACATGTATTCTGAATATTTCATCAGGATTTTTTCGTTCTTTAATTTCAAACTTGCTCAATGTAGAGATAAACCACATTCGTATTGTTCATTGAATGGATTTTGATCTGTGATGACACAGTCATGACATTTAACAATTTTAGTTTTGTCATTTTGAGTGTCATTGCTATTATCGCTAAATTTGTAGTGAAAATAGGTCATCATGAATTTGGTTTCTTTCGTCATGCTGATGTTTTTGAGATTTTCAATCAAAATGAGCACCTTCCCGAGTTTCGGCATCAAGATTGCTCGAGATTTCGCCACCAGCTGCTTTTTGTCCATATTTTTCAATGCTGGTAAGTGGATTTTGCTGCAATGAGTGATGATATATTACAATCTTTGAGTATTATTCAAAATAGCATACCTTTTTCTTCTCTTTCTCGTCGGCTTAGCCATTATTCTCACTATATCTCCTTATTGATTTTAATACTTTTGTGGCGAGAAATGAAAATGATTATAATAATCATAAGTTTTCTCATATGTATGTTGGTCTGGGAAAACACAAACTTGATAATGAGAATTAAAACAAACCACAGTTCATCCAAGCTATTCGAATCAACCAGTGATCTGACAATATACATATATCTACAATATCCGCTATAGTTTCACCGTTCTGTACAAAGCATTGAAGCATCTGCAACAGAAAAAATTATGTTTTTACTTAATCATCGGCTGCTGGCTCCTTGTTTACCTCCTCTCGTTTGTCGAATTCATTGGTTAGTTTTCCACATCTGTCGTTAGGCATTCACCCTTTTTATTCCATCACTATACAGGCTGTAACATAAGTACGTTGAAATATTCAAGCGAACACAAAAATTAAATTTCAACTTTATACTTACTTTTTTTCTTGAAAGGTTCTCAGTAATACGTCACTTGAATATTTAAACATACTTATGTTACACCCTGTATACTAAATATCTGTACAATTCATATTTCTTGTGAGCCGAATTGTCTTTAAAACATTTCGAAATAAATATCTTCGAAACGACTTAGTTATTCCACATAACGGAAGTGGCAGTGAACGTCACACCCTTCTATCATTGATTGGACAAATTGCGATTGACCAAATATTCCCATCTTATTCGACTTCCACAGAAATAGGACAAGTCAGACAAAGTGGGAGGTTGATGTCACTGCTAATGCCTGTATGTGAATGAGACTATGGTAAGACAGACACAGACACCCTGTATAAAGAGCGTGAGATGTGTTGCAATTTAGGTCCTTAACGACACAGTGGAGTGCCAATAATTCATTGTCAGTCCACTCGCTCACTATCACTCCGCGATCGTTTGATTTGCACATGTATGATTCCAGTCTTGGGACTCCTTTTTCCGAAACTCAGCACAAGGGGGTCCCGGCTATCAACCGCCGCCCTCCCTAGCCCCCCTCGGCAGGAACGAGGTGCCGGCCAGCTCGCTACTGCCCATGGTGGGGTCGATGACATCAGGGGTGGGCCAGATCAGCGAGAAGGCCATCGACGACCATCTGGCCGTGCAGGCCATCATCAGGAGTTATCAGGTGAGTGCAGAGTGGAGTGGCGAGGTGTGGTCGTGTCCGTCAGAGGTCTCGGCTTCTAGGACAAACATCAGTCGGAATTGGTCGAGATAGTATACCACACGATCGTATCATAGAGTAGAATGGACTATTTGTTGGTCTATGTAAGGATTCCACGCCCGCCTCTAGTGTCTAAGTACGGATATTCTGTGAAATTTGTTATTTTTTGCATTGTTCCAGGATATTGACACTATCTCTCAAAATTACTCAGCAAGAGCTAAATATGCTAATAAAGTAAAAACCCCTTCAGCAAATAAAACAGTCGGTACCAAATGCTTGGCGTTTCTAGGACAACTTCTTCATTCCACAACTGTAATTCTGAACCCTATTATAGAAACAAAATAAAGTAATTTTTACTGAGCAATCAGAGTACACTTATACATGCATTTTTCAATTGACCCTAAATCCATCAACAAAAAAAAAATCAATTTCTAGTCATATTATGCCTAATCAATTATATGTTCCTGTACTTTTTATAATTATTATTATTATTGTTGATGTAACAGTTTTCATACTATCATACCATTTATATTCTAAATTATATTTATTATCATTTTCATGTTTACATAAATTATCTTCTCTATTATATTATATCATATTTCATTCTATAAATTATATACTATTTTTGGAGTAGATTTACTGTTCACTATGTATTATACTATGATCTCTCACTCATAGATGAATGTGAGTTCACCACGGACAGCGAAAGCTTTGTGGTTTCTCTTTTTTTGTTCATTTGTGTCAGACTAATACGTATAATATTTGTAAAACTGTTAATCTACTGTAATTGATGCAAAATGAATTAAGAAATATTAAATATCAATATTATATCGTGAATGAAAACTAAATTAGTATTATAATTTTCTAATTGCTCCATATATCATTCATTATTAATTACACATTTATTCTGGTGTACCTTTTAATGAACACATATCCATTAAAAATACAACTATATGGCTTTTCAATACTTAGTTCACATTAAATTTGGAAAAAAACTGATATAGAACCACTGTTCATACCTAACTCTAAGTAGGCGACACCCTTCTTTGTAGAGAGGCATTACGAACGCCAAAGTTGATACACTCCTCTCGTAAGGGTACCTGGCGTGATTCCATACATCTACATACAGTCTGTTGATCTTTCTACTGTTCAACTTAATAATTTGACAAAAGCTGTTTTTTGTATGAAGAAGTATTCTGGAATGAAAGGAATGAAAATTTCAATGTTAGTGAAAACTTATCTTGAAGATCTCCATAATCTGGGAAGGCGTTCACAGAGTGATGTAGTAAATCTAAAGTGAAGTGTACTACAAGTGAATCAGCAATACTTGCAAAAACAGGTTCTTTTTAAGGGGTACTTTAAATCCCTATTTTCAGGGAAAAAAGTGGTACTATTATTCACTCAAGCATTGTAATTAAGGAAATAGAAAAGGATAGAAGTTCAGCTGTCTACTAATACCATCCAGTGACTCTACTTTGAATGTTTGCTTAACTGTACTTTCCGAATGATGTTTGTCCTAGAATTTTTTGGGTATGATATGAATTAATTTCACTTTCAGCTTCGTTTTGTTTCATTGATCATCATGATTATGCTTATTGATGTTTGAAATTATGAGTAAAGCATATTATGTAGTTAATCAACAGTGCATATCATTGGAACATAGGATAGTTGGTTGCCAATTCCACATAAACTCATGAATGAACCAATTATCATAATCATTATTTTATTTGGTCATCATTTTGTTGATCAAATTTCAACTGATTTCTTTGAAATAAAAACTGTTTTACTGATTAATAGTTATAAAAATACTCGTTACCCTAATAAAAAAAGGATGTCATTGTGAAGTGAAGATGATCTAAATATAAGTTTCAGTTGAAAATTGATGAATTGCGTCTAGATAATTATTTTGTTTCTCATATTCGAACATAATATCAGAGGAAATGTCTTCTATTGCATTGCATCGTCATAAAAGCATGGGGGTAGAAATCAGAAAATCATTAGGTTCAACTTTGGGTCTGTACATTTCCAATTCATATTTTGTGAATATTTCGAATATACTTGCATTAATATTGATCAAGTCAGGTAATCCTATTGTATTTCTGCATTTTGGAGAAGAACAGAATGCAATTTTATTTGATAAGTTCAATTATTTTCAATTGGACAAATATCTATAAAATCTTGTTTGAACTATCTACATTCATAATTATGCAATCAATGATTTACTCAGATAAAAAAGAAGGTATTATGATATCCTCTAGGTTAGTTCAAGTGAAGAGAGTAATAGACTATTCTGATAAGGGCAAAATCAATCCAAATTATATCCATAAAATGTTTCAAATCTCAAGATATACTTTTTTGAGATTACTCCAGATTCAATACATTCATACGTCCGAAGTTATTGATGACAATGTATTCATTTTTGAAATGGATTATTTGTGGAAAAAAACGTGCTTACAATAAACCTCCTTGAGAATGACAAGGCGTCTTGAAAATGATTTCATTGGAGAGGTTCAGTTATCGTTGATAGAGTAAATTGCTTTCTTTATCTCTCCTTGTTTTCAAGGTTCCAACGAAAAATGAGAATAAATAGAGAAGAAGACCATTCTAACCTTTTTCTATATGTAGCTTGGATTATGCTTCTTCTCCATTTCCTCTAATTTTTTGTGTAATAACCCTGGTGTAATCAACACAAAATTCATCATATTTCACGTTGAAAACCTGAAGACAATGACGAAAGTGGTAGACATTTTTCTCTCAAAGCTAGCTGAACTCCTCTATTATTTTGTCTACCTGGACTCTCGATTTGAACTATACTGTAGTGAAAATTCTAAGGAAATATGCGGTAAAACTGCATTTATCATGTGTTTTTTTTTGAAAAATTTTTTTTGGTACTTACGTATTTTTGTCTGAAAAACACGGATTTGATAATGAAAATGTGAACAAACCACTATTTATCGAGATATTTCTAGAAAAAGTTCGAAATTTCGCCTTCTTTTTCTCCTTGCTCTTCTTATTTTGTCATCGGACACTTTATATATTCAATTACACATTTTTGTATAGAAAATTCAACAGGAAATATGATTTTTATGGCGAGTTCTTCAAATTTATTGAACAAGCATACCAGATGACGGCCATTTGATCAATAGTTAATCCAGATACGAGATGTCAAATATCAACAGATTGCTTTTGAATGACATTGCACACGCCATTATTTTGAATGATATTCTTCTTTTCACTAAATATGGATATATCACAAGAAAATCATATTTCTAGTTGACTCATATAATAGAAAATTGTGATATAAATAAATTGTCCAATGATAAAAAAAGAAGGGCAAATTATTCTAAATGCGATCCAGAAGACAGGTGGAAAAGAAGGTGAAATTCGTAACTTTATGGTGAAATATTTTAATAAATGATGGTTTGTTCACATTTTCATTATCAAATTCGTGTTTTTCAGACAAAAATACGTGAGTACCAAAAAAAAAAATTCGAAAAAAAAACCCCATCGCATGATGAATGCAGTTTCACCTAATATGCTAATAGTGGATATTGCCAATATTATTTTGTCTATACGCAAAACGTTAATTTTTGCATTCCCGTGTGCATTTTTACTGATTCGCCTTTTGAGATTGTCGGCTTCTTGTCTTAGGCTCGAGGCCACTTTATCGCTAAACTGGACCCGTTGGGTATCATGTATTCGGACCGCTCTAGCACCATAACTCAACAAGCAGGCTCTCCTCCCGACGTTATAACCCGTCAGCACAAACTAGGTACGACCCTACTATGTATAACTCGAATAAAAAAAGTGGGTCGTTCAGTTTGAAACATTCTTTATATTACAATGTGTATATTGATAATTTGCTCTATTCCGACAGAGATAGTTCAACAAATGGGTTTATTATGTTGTTGAAATACATTTCTCGGCATATTTTTTGTCTGAAATCAATTGGTTTTTATGAGGAGTACCTATGAACTAAGAACGTTCAAATGTAGATTTCTATTACAAAATATTGTTTTCCAAAAGAAGCCTTTCTTACCTACTCCTTATTAGCCATTTTTCCTCGAAGTTAACCACACAAACCGGATCAGCATTAAGTTAACCAGTCAATTTTTCTCGAAGTGTATTCCAAACTATGACGTAATAGTTAACCAATCACACTAACCAGCTCACTGAGGTACCTAGTTCACGGAGTAGTTAAGGCTCTTGATTGGGCTCTTGTTGTTATAATCTGAGGTTATAATTGATAAGAAAATATAATCATACTTGTTGAAGAGATGAATATGAACTCATAGGGAGTATTTTTCAATGAGAGATCTCGTGTTATTATTGATGAAAATGAATATTTGATTCATTGCAAGTATGTAGCGACTTATTGCTCCATTTTTCCTGAATTCGAAGTAGGTAAGCACCTAGTTCCTATCTACGATATATTTTTGTTACAGATGATGAATTTCTCATCCAATATGTTAGTATTTCTTCCAAAACCAAACAATAAACAAAAACAGCTGGTGAACTGACATCTGTCAAGCTTCACAAGTAAACCATGACGTTATGATAAAGTTACCGTGACGTCATCATTAAGTTAACCTGGTTTGTCTGGTTTGGTTCGAGGGATAATGACTTTTAAGTAGTGAAGTGTTACTTTCCTATCATGGTTGCTTTCTTTCTTTTTATGGACCAATAGCCATCAGACCCTGAATAATAATTAATGATATTAATAGTCAGGGTCAGGGAATCAAACTGTTTGCCTTGATCACAATTCACGTCATGACGTGTCAGGTGTTAGTCGTTACAATTTATTCCAGCTAATAATTTTTCACATGAATCCCCTGCAATGCAACTGATGAGTCAGACAACGAGTTAGCAACACTTTCATACTGATTGAGATCTGAGCCTGCTTCCTGCTAAAAACGTTGATCTCCCTATATATTTATTTTTCCTTTATGTATGTGGTAAACCGAAAATTGAAAATGGGCCTGTTCCAGGAGAATCCTCAAAAATGGATAGTTTGGCTGAGAATGAATGTATTCAGTACTTTTGGAAAGCACTTGTCATGAACAGGTCAACACTCATTTCATTCATCAAAACTGTACACTCGTCTTCAGTGAACATGTCGCACATGGACGGTGTATGCTCTCTAAATCACTGCTGCAATAAGAGCGCTTACACCGTCCAACCGCGTCAGGTTTTCTGAAGACGACTGTACAGTGTATGTCTAGATGTCATGAATACGGTACTCCTCAAATAAAGTTGATTTTTTTTTATGGAATAGAGCATATTGTTATTTCCCTTCATTAGATAGAATAACATTTAACTCAGGCTTTTATGGGGTTCTGGCTAATGCTTACTCAAGAATAAATCATAATCAACATGTATTTTGGTTTAGCATGTGAGTAGTTGCTTGCTGTATCTGGTGGTGGTGTCATAACAAATCGAGTTGATTTATTAACTATTTGAACTAACATCACATATTAGTAATTTCCAGTCAGTGGTTGTTTTAGCATGATGAAGGCCTTGGGGATATTTTTCTGTTTAACAAGTGTATTATTGAAATTTTTCTTTTCAAATAATCACATAGGTAATAATTATCAATAGGTACTAACTATGAAACAAAAAACAGTCGTTAAAAATTGTTGCAGAAAAGTACCCTGTGTAGGCCTGTATTGAATAATATAAGAGAAAAGACTTTCAATCAAGGAGTACACACATCTTAGTCGTACTGTGTCTTTCTTGATTCTAGTTCTGCTAAAACGAGGTATCAAATTAGTTCGATATCAGTTCTATAATAGTTGGTTAGGCATTAGTTCTACCTGCTTGCACAAATAGTATACAGGTTTAATGTATTAGGATTCTTTGTTGTATTCTCATGCATCCGTGGTTTCTGTAAATCACGTAAATCTACTAGCTACTTTTTTATGCATACCTGTTTAAAAGTGCTGTTAAATTTTTTGTAAAACTCATTTGAAAATGTTTGGGTCATGAGTGGGTATGCTTGAAATAATGATATTGGAATAATTCTCAAGTTGCCACGTTGCCGGTTCTATGTGAACGAGACTTACAGTTAGTGTATCACTCAGACCTGACTGTTCTTCGACAACCTGTATTGTCCGAAATGTCCGAAGGAATTAATGATTTACTCATGGTTTTCGGTATCAGATATGATATTTTGTGGACTTCAAGGACCGCTACAATGACTAGGGGAAATCAATGTGTTGTATCAGTTGGTTTCAAGTTCGGAATAGATCCAGCAACGTAGAAACTTTGACTTTATTTCAAAATATCAATACAGTGATAAAACTTCCGATTCACAAAGTTGATGCCGACTCGAGCAAATCGGACTGGTTATGACTTTTTCCTCATTTTCGGCAATGGGTAGAAGAGGTGTTGGCTAATTTTTAGATCCGTGGCCACCATATTGCCAAGCTGGACCCTCTGGGAATCAACAGTGCCGACCTAGACGATCAAACGCCTCAGGAGTTGGTCTATAAACACTACAACTTCGGTAAGGCATCACTAATATCGCATGCATACGGTCCAACCGAACGTTTTTTCCATTTAAATCATTATTTTCGTTGCTGTAACTTCTAGCTAGTTTTAGCATAGTTTCAATGACTTTGAATACAGTTTTGCTAGTCTATCTGCCATTTTTAACAGCTAAATATTACTTTATTATAAAATCAACAAATTACTACCCGATATATTATTACAATTTTGTGGGCTTTATTCCGAAACGGAAAACCTAGTACGTGTGGTATCATATTATCTGTTCATTGAAGAAAATATGAAAGCATTGTTTATGCAATGATAAAATGATGAAATAGCTCGATTTATCAATGATGTTTTGATTTGAGTAGGAACTGAAAACTCATCAGTGCTGCGATGAAAGATTATATAATATTAATCCTAAAATATTATATGAATGTAACATTAAAGAAAAATATGCCAGATGGATGACTAAAATTAAAACAAAAAGGATAACTTCACATCTGAAATGAGGAACAGGAAGGTAAGACCCAATTTGGATCTTGGATGGCTTCTTACATGAAATAATTTTTCCAAAACCAATTTCGATCTTGCACTATGATCTTATGACAATTATGGCATTAGCGGTCTAGTTAGTAATTTATGTTGATGCAGTGAACAGACAATATTGAACTTCGCCTACTAAGTTTTCATTGAGAATGACAATGCAGGATACCATATTTTTTCGGTAGCCTTATTCAGAAGAAAACTAATTCAGAGCATCTTGCTAATATATTGCACCAGAAATCTTTTAGCAAAATTTGAATATTAGGAATTCAATTGATGAACGGAAATACATCAACAGTTCTTGATAATTGGTAATTAGTAATTGTAATTTAAACATCTATAACGGCATTTTAGGTAAAATTGGTATTTTTCCATTAGACTCACTCGTAATGACAATATTTGAATCCTAAGAATCATATTGGTATGTGAACAAGAACGAAATAGTTAGTAGTTAGATTAGGTGATTAGGTCCCAAGGTAAGTTTAAAATGTGATGAATCGTTTTCATATAACAACATTTATCAGTATAGACAGCTATCTCCTAATTACATTTGATTTCAAAGCTTTTTCTCAGAATTTGACAAAGCATGAAGTTTTCTAATAGCATTTGAGAAATTAACTTTGGATTAGTGGCGACTTGTTGACATTTTTATTTTCAAAATTCATTTTTAGATTCTATCTACCTCAAAAACCCTATAAAAAAGTGTCGTACATTTATTTCCAAATGGGACATTACAATAATGTTTCCAACAATTTAGAGAAGGAGAATTCATTGAAGTTATTCATATCAAATTTAATTCAAATTTCACTTCCATTTAATAAAGGAATAACAGGATTTGGTTGTTGAAAATGTAATCATAATTCAATGTTGTATTTTGTGTACCTACTGTTATTAGCTGTTGTATTTGTCTACTGAAATAATATTTTTGCTCGTTCTGAAAATCATCTAACAAATGTCATAAAGTCAGTGAAAACTGTGCTTGTTTTCTATTTTGTTTTCATTTGTTATTATTTGCTTGTTGTTTCTCTCAACCTAGACAATCCGTCCAGAACCTATTCAGAGGAACTGAAAAGGCAAGTGAAGCAGTTCATGCAACGTAAGATATATTTTTATTTTTACTTTTTTTTGTAGTTAGTAGTACAACCGAATTTCAACATGGTTAGAAAGGTAAACAAAATAATTTTCGCAGTTTACTCTTACTAACTCGCTTGATATAAATAAACTTTGAACTATTATTTGTTTTTCTTCTGCTGTACAAATTAGCTTTTCCAACTGATTAATCTTCTTCTTCTTCAGTGTCAAATGAAATGTTTCAAGCTGAATCGATTCGTGCATTTCTTCTTATACAGGCTGACTGAAGAAAGAAAAAACGCCCCAAACCTTAGCGCCGGTATTTAGTATCAAAATTTGAAAAACAAAAAAATCAAATGAAATGACCCATCAGACACTACAAGGTGACAATAACAATTTCTCCTTCCAATTTCAACTCTAACGACAGCGATTGTCAACTTTTTTTTTTCAATTCACATTATACAGTGTGTCCCGCTTCTCATGAATACACCCTAATTTCTCAGTTATTAATGATGTGATTCTCTCAAAATTCTGGTGGTGATTGTATGTTAGAACAAGAAGAGTTAATAGTATCATTCACCATTGGTGTGTGAAACAGAAACAAAAAAGGTCTTTATTTGGAAAAATAATATTAGGGCTTATTTTAGATCACATTTTCATCGGATTCAGATTAAGCATCCCCAAAAACCACCCAAATTCATATTTTTAAGATCCCAAGAGCTAAAAAAAATATTTCAAAATCCTGGTTTTGATGACTACACTCTGAAATCTCGGTTATTAATGATGCGGTTTTCTTGAAATTTTGATGATGATTGTATGTTAAAAAAATGGCAAGGGGTAGTCATGAAGAGGAGGATTTTGATTTTTTCTTGAGATTTTGAAAATATGAATTGGGGGGTTTTTGGGGATGCTGATTCTGAATCCGATCAAAAAATCATTTAAAATAAGCCCTAATACCTTTTTCCCGAATAAAGGAATTTTTTGTACCTCTCAACATCGCACGTCAATCGTGAATGAAACTGTTCACCCAGATAAATACAATTACCACCAAAATTTCAAGAAAATTATCATTGATAACTGATGAAAAGTGGGACACATATATTTTTCTATTTTTTTTCTGATAAGATTTTTTTCTATGGTCCTCAATCGAGCAAACATCCAAGAAATCATTTATTTCTGAATGTTAAATCGTTAAATGAAACAGTATTCCATCACCAAAGAAAAGATTCATTTCTTCTCGATGGAGTATACATAATTTTCAACTAATATATTGAATAATACCCCAATATGTTTCAATAACAAATCCATTGAATATAAAAATGTAACGAAATTTTTAGGTCTATATATAGATGAACAACTATCGTGGACTCTACATATAGATCAATTGAGAAAAAAATTGAATCCTATTGCTGGTATTATATATAAAATTCGAAATTTCATTCCTGTTAAATACCTAAAGAGTATTTATTTCTGTCTTTTTTATTCAAATATACAATATCTAATATCTATTTGGGGAAGTACAAATATTTCACGTTTGAAGCCACTCATGAAATTACAAAATAAAACAATAAAGTGCATTTTTAATTTACCTTTTTTAGAATCAACTGCGAATCTATACAAACCTAAAGACTTGATGAATCTAGTTTCATTATATAAACTCAAAATTTGTTGTTTTATTCATTTTGTCAGGAAGGAATTGGAAAATATCGAATTTGAATTTTAATGAAGTTAATACGATTCACGCCCATGAAACAAGGCAATTCAATTTATTGATAGCAAATAATTATAAGTCAAATTTTGGTAAACAATCACTATTCCATGATGGAATAATTTTGTATAACTCCTTACCTAATGAGTTGAAAAATATAGAAGAAGCAGAAAAATTTAAAATGAAATTAAAGAAATATCTGCTCAGTAAACTTTAATAGTACTAATCATTCACAATTTGATTACTTGTAATGGATTATGATATTTTCATTTCATATTTTATTATAATTCTTTTTTTTTTTAGGAAAAACAATAATTTGTGCAATTATTATTGTTTCGATTTATTATGTTTTATATGTATGTTTTGTTGTGTATATCCCTATTATAAACAATAATGTTTCTTGGGGTAATAAAGACAATCAATCAAGTCAACTTGGCATTTCCATCATTGTATTCAGAAAAAAAAATCTCTTCAGAAAAAAAAGTTGACAGTCGCATTCATTAGAGTTGAATATGGAAAAAGAAACTGTTGTAGTATCTGATGAGTCATTCCTTTTTGTTTTTCAAAATCGGATGATAAATACCGACGCTGTGGCTTGGGACGTTTTGTATCAGTCAGCCTGTATAATCGTTCATTAGCATCCATCTAGTACTGCATGAAAGAAGATTGTATGTACCAGCATTCCATTTATAAAATACTTCATCTTTCCTATTAGAATTGTACTTAGGTGATATTGTATTGTTTACATAGTGCCCCTAGTAATTCTTAACCACTCCCTATTTCCAGTCAGAAGGTATGGCTGAAACAGTGGGTGGGGGGTATCTGTCACTAATGAATGCTTAGTAGATGGATGAATTAAATTCATACCTACACGTATTTCTTGGTGTTACTTGGTTCGTTTAATTCGAAAGCCATGGGATATTTCCACCATTCAACTATTTGTACTTGTAATAGAGGATACTGATATGGACAGGATTTTCAAATTGCCATCAACTACTTTCATCGGAGGCAAAGAAAAGTCGCTGCCCCTGCGCGAAATTTTGCGCAGACTGGAATTGACGTATTGCAGACATATCGGTGTGGAATTCATGTTCATCAACAGTTTGGACCAGTGTAATTGGATAAGACAAAGACTCGAAACGCCAGGCGTGACGGACCTCACGTCGGACCAGAAGAGGCTGATTCTGGCCCGTTTGACTCGTGCTACAGGGTGAGCATTTTATGAACTACCAATGAAGATCAGTGTGTTGTATTTCGTGCAAGATTATTTAATCAAATTACTCGTAGCAGAGCGCTTTCGACTGTTGAGTCATCATCATTGCATTCTCGGCAGGTTAACAAGGAAATTTGTCCATAAAAATATCTCTGGTCCAGTTGAAATATATCGACATTATGATTCGAAATTAGCGTCAGATTTCCCATGAACCAAACTATAATGAAAATAATAATTAAATCAGGTATAAATTAACAAAGTTATTCGTTGGAAAAGCCTGTTAACGTGAGCGAGACCGTGTTTTGGATCGCCAGGGCTCATCAGTCGCATCTGGTCTGTTGACGATTGATGGCATCTTTCATTATCGTTATTATTTTGTAGGTTCGAGTCGTTCTTGGCAAGGAAATATTCGTCAGAAAAACGTTTCGGATTAGAAGGTTGTGAAATGCTGATACCCGCTATGAAGACAGTCATCGATAAATCGACGGAATTGGGAGTGGAAAGTATAGTCATGGGTATGCCCCATCGTGGTAGACTCAACGTATTGGCCAATGTTTGCCGCAAACCTCTACACCAGTTGTTCACGCAATTTGCTGGTCTTCAAGCTGCTGATGATGGTTCGGGTGATGTCAAATACCATTTGGGTACCTACATCGAGAGGTAAAGATATACCATATAATGACTCCACGAGAGAAAATGTAAAATGTCTGATCATCCAAGAAATCGTTTGATTTTAGGTTGAATAGAACGACTAACAAAAACATCAGACTGGCTGTCGTAGCTAATCCATCCCATTTGGAAACTGTAGATCCAGTTGCTCAAGGTAAAACTCGTGCCGAACAGTTCTACAGAGGAGACGGCGAAGGAAAAAAGGCTAGTTTCCTGCATGTTGCACTATGCTTAGCTAACTTTATCAATGGACTTTTAGGTTATGTCTATTTTGCTTCACGGTGACGCGGCATTCGCTGGTCAAGGCGTCGTTTTCGAAACCATGCATCTGTCAGAATTGCCAGCGTATACTACTCACGGTACCATCCACATTGTCGTCAACAATCAAATTGGTTTCACGACTGATCCTCGTTTCTCAAGATCTTCACCGTACTGTACAGGTTAGTTTGAAAATGACATATAATTGAGTAGAAAATAAGATATTTTGAGGTCTGTAACAACACAGTGTAATTGAGGAGCTTGCGTGCTAAGTTCTTGGTTTCATGTTGATTTTGCATCTTCAGCTTCATTGCTATCGACTACTGAATTCGGTTCAGAACCGTCTATAATCGTGTTAAAATTACTTTCAAAAAGTAAGTTTTGGAGCAAAACCTGCCATATCCACGTTTTGTCTTCATAATGAGCCAGCAGTATTGATATGTCAGTTACATTCTATTTCTTTATACTTTTTCCATAAGCATGTGCGTTATTTAAAAGTTCACAGATTCATTTTGATAATAATTCCATCCTCAATATGAATCTTGAAAATGAAAATATTTATTTCATCATAGACGCCCACAAATAATGTTTATCTGTAGAGACCAGGTACTGGGGAGTTTTTACCATTTTCCCAACATTTTTCCGAAATGGATAAAGCCGGTTTTGCACGTAAGCTCCTAAATTATTTTGTGAGGTACCTCACAAAAATAATGAACATGAATTATTTAAAGATGAACGTGGTGACACCGCAAAATTTCGTAGTAGACGAGCAATTAAAACAAGATTTCATACAACGATATAATTGTTGGTTTTTCGAATTTGGAATCTCGCAAAAAGGTGATGTAAGACTTCTATAAGAAACATTAAACAACTTTAACTAAATGCACATTAATTTGTGTTAGCTGTGTTCATATTGGTTTACGTACATGATTGACCATTTTTAAGCTCCGAAATATACCCAAAAACTATTTCTCGTGTAATCTTCACTAAATCGTGAGTTGAAAAAATGAACTAGAAACGGAAAACGAAACCCTAGCTCGAAATCATATATGATAGGTAATAACGAAAAATAACTGATATAATAAAGACAATACAAGAGAAATCATAAAGCTGCTGTAGAATGAATGTAATTGATACATGATTGCGAACTATAGGGTATAATAATACATTGAATTTCGGAGGTCAGTTGAGGCGGCAAAAATTGAACAGCCTACTGGCGATAAATTTGTAAATCCGCCACTGTGCTAGTTGATTTATTAATGCACATCCACACATGAATATCTCGAACTATTAGATGTATAGAATATATCTGGAAAGAATATCAATTATCTGGCATGAATGCATCGCGGTGCCTATCGTCATTTAGTCTGAGGTGTTGCTACATCTTTCCTCAGACGTCGCCAGAGTGGTGAACGCGCCCATCTTCCACGTGAACGCCGACGATCCGGAGAGCGTCATCCACGTGTGCAACATGGCGGCCGAATGGCGCGCCACCTTCCATAAGGACGTCGTCATCGATCTCGTTTCGTACCGCAGGAACGGCCACAACGAGATCGACGAGCCGATGTTCACGCAGCCGTTGATGTACAGGAAGATCAAGTCGATCAAGCCGTGCTTGGACAAGTACTCGGAGCAGCTGATCTCTGAGGGGATCGTCAGCGAGGACGAGGTGAAGGACGTCAGGGAGAAGTACGACAAGATTTGCGAGGAGGCGTTTGAGAGGTGAGAATGAGAGGAGAATAAAGTGGGCAACTGTTGGTGGTCTCACTTCTCAAATGCTTTATCATTGGTGAATGTTTCAACATCTCAGGGATCCGTGAAAACTGGGTTTTGCGCTACCGAAAGATGGCTTCAATGAAGCATTAACATTTTTAGTGAATCTATAGGCTGTGTTTATCTAGATTGATTTTAACTAATTAAATATCATCAGAAACAATGATTAATTATCACATTTGCCAATTATTCACCTTCACTTTATTGATTCGATAAGGTCCCGTCAAGAGACTCACATCAAATACAAGGACTGGATCGACAGCCCCTGGTCAGGATTCTTCGAGGGTAAGGACCCCTTGAAAGTGAACCCCACCGGGGTCATCGAGGATACTCTGTTGCATATAGGAAAGAGGTTCTCTGCACCTCCACCGAATGCTGCTGAATTCATCATTCACAAAGGTGTGTACAAATCAATCAGAAAGCTCAATGAATAATTTCTTTCAACTCGATATCGGATATATTAACAAAAACTATTTCCGTTTTTCTTGAAAATTTTGATGAATACTTGTCTTCATTCCCTGTTCTTTATTTTTAGGTATTGAGCGTATTCTGAAATCTAGAATGGAAATGGTGGAGAGCAGAGTAGCCGATTGGGCACTCGGAGAGGCAATGGCTTTCGGTTCATTGTTGAAAGAAGGAATCCACGTCAGACTGTCTGGACAGGACGTGGAGAGAGGCACCTTCTCCCATAGACATCACGTGTTGCACCATCAGACTGTCGACAAAGCAACGTACAGGTAAGAAATCGTTATTTCATTAACTGTATCTGAGTGTAAGACTCACGCAAGAGTATTTCGTATTACTTTCGGTTGAAACGGAAGTGACAGAGTATTGAAAATATTTTGTGCTATAACTGCACTAAAATTTCAAAGTGATGTCTGTTTTAATTCCATATATATGTAGGGTGTAGAGTTAGGAGAGAGCTGTAGTCAATGGGATCCTTACTGTAGCGCTATTCGGTCAGAGACTACTGATACCTACCGGATATCTCATGCGCCAGATTTTTTATGAAGGTGATTTACTTCACCTACTCCTACAAACTGAGTTTGTGAGGGGCCTGGGTAGCGACAGTGAAAAAAGGCACAGGAGGTGCCTACAGTAGTAGGAGCGCCCTTGCTGTCTCCAACATGAGAGAGGAAATACATCAATATGGCTGTGTGTGAAATTAAGATTGGTTTGGCATTTGTCCACCATCAGCTGATTCCTCTTCGTTCCCTCTCTCCGGTTTGTTGTTTTCATAGGTTGTTTCCCTCGACAATTCTCTAGTTGAAATGTGACTGGGCAGAACTCGTTGCATGTCACTGTTATGTTATTCGTCTCTGTCAAACTGGTAAAGTACATATTATTAGATGTACGTGGTGACCGACATACCCCTGTGTAACCTCTACCTTGACCAAGCCCCCTACACCGAGTGCAACAGCTTCCTCTCCGAGTACGGCGTGCTCGGCTTCGAGTTGGGCTACTCGATGACCAATCCGAACGCTCTGGTCATATGGGAGGCGCAGTCGGCGATCGTCTAGTTATCTCTATTTATCTAGACTGTGGGCATAACTGGTGTCTCACTTTTATGTTGGTTTCAATTAATTTCTCTCTAGGGTCGATCGTTATTATCAGATCTTCGTGATGACCGAATATTTTTCTCGACAGACCTCTGTGCAACCTCTACCCCGACCAAGCGCCCTACACCGTCTGCAACAGCTCCCTCTCTGAGTACGGCGTGCTCGGCTTCGAGTTGGGCTACTCGATGACCAATCCGAACGCGCTGGTCATCTGGGAGGCGCAGTTCGGTGACTTCGCCAACACGGCACAGTGCATCATCGATCAGCTGCTGTCCAGCGGACAGGCGAAGTGGGTGCGACAGACAGGGCTGGTGATGTATTTGCCGCACGGCATGGAAGGTAAGGAATGTGTTTCGACGTTAATGAGTGTACACCCTTTCCAGTTTTAGTTCAAGCTGATTTCAACAAGTATCAATTGTATTTCAAATCATTCAATTCAGTTTCAAGAAGTATCAAATGTATTTCAATATCATTAATTCAATTTCAACATGCGTCAATTGTATTAAAAATTTGTCATCGACTGTCAACAACTCGTATCAAATTCAAACTATGGACGTTCAATTCTTCAAAAGAAAACCCAACGTTTTATGCCTGATTATCCTTTTCGCCTTCAAAATCGACACGGTGTCCGGCTTGGGATTCACCACGGCCTGCGTCCGGAAATGCCTACTTTGATTATTTAAATTAACAAAATGACCAATTTTCATGAGAGCAATGAAGCCAGACATTTTATTCAGTATTTTATTTTATTCATTTATTTATTGAAAATGCCACTTCCAGTCAGAAACAAGTTTTGGTATAGGGAAGTATAGTTAACAATACCTAGAGTTCCTAAATGTACTTGACACTGCTGTTTTGACGTTTTTTGACGGACACTAGACAAGCCACAAACAATTTTGAAGCAAATCATATGTTTTGCCAACAAGGACAAGAATATGTTCTTTGCTTAGATAAAGGATCCTCGCATCTTCTTCCACAAGTCCTGGAAAGAGTACATCCATATATCTTTCTCTGTCTTTGACTCTCCTCGAGTGGGTAAAAGGGTAGGATAAATTGATTAGAAAATTATTTTTTCTCGAAATATTGAATGATAAGGCTGAAGGACCTCAATGGAGGTCGATATCGTTCAGTTGAATATTTTTTTATCACAAAAGTTCAGAATGGGGTAAAATCTGATGAATTTCCACCAATGAAACATTCTTGTATGGAACAATTTCACTTATACAAGAGTGGTAGGTAATAAGTAATTAATAAATTAACATGAATCATACTCATATAGAGCAACATTTTTACTAATATTATGCAATTTGTTATTCAAATCTTCCATTCGGTTTTTCAAATGCGAAAGTTTTTTATAGTATTCTTCATCGAAACTATGAATTTTGCTCAAAATTGCCTGGATATTTGCTTGTTCAATTTTCTTGTATTTCTCTAAAGATATTTGCTGATTTTGTTTCAAATCTGAAATAATTTTTAGGTAATTGATCTGAAATTTGCTAACTCTAAATCTTTTTGCTTCAACTTATTTTTCAACTCTCTATTTTTTTCTTCCATTCGTTTCCTGAATTCCTCAATCTCTTCCACTCGTAAACCTTGGATTTTTGAATATTCCTGCTCTGAAAATTCGGTTCTCAAGTATTTTTCTTTCAAAATATGTTCGAAATGAATTTCATTATCTGCAAGTTTTTCGTTTCGTGTTGGTGATAAATTGAATTCCATACTCGCTCAGTTGATAAATTGTGGGTTCGGCTCTTTCTCTCAATACGATCCTATATGCTTCAACATCAAATCTTCCTTTCTGAAGTGCACCTAATAAAAATGCGTTGAAAAATGTTCTATATCCTACCTCTCATCAACAAATTTGAATACCTCGCAAATTTTGTGGCCCTAACCTATATTCCATGACGACCGCATCATATTCTGTTTCCATTTTTGTAGAATTACGTTATCCGATGGGAATTCGAATAGAGTGAATTGATTTCCCGTGTTCTCACAATTGGAAACTGCACAAACTTGCATCTTTCTCCTAATTCTCTCAATTTGTCAAACCTTTGATATTTATGTCATGTACGTCCGTGTACTGCCAGTTCCCGCTTTTTCCATCAATTTATTTGTGGTTATATCTGATTGTCAGTGTTTGTCATAGTGTCTGTAATCTGTCAAAACAGCATTGTCAAGTACATTTAGGAACTCCTAACAATGCCTAACTATACTCATAAATAATAACATAATATTTTATTACATTAAATATCAAATTTTCCCAAATAATATTGGAGAACAAAAAATCTCCTAGTTATGAGATCTAGTGCAGTGAATACAACGACTATTACTTTCACAGGCCAAGGTCCTGAGCACTCGAGCGCTCGCCTCGAACGTTTCCTGCAAATGTCCTCCGACGACCCTGACTACTTCCCCCCCGAATCCGACGACTTCGCGGTGCGTCAGCTGCACGACATCAACTGGATAGTGGCGAATTGCACCACCCCTGCCAACCTGTTCCACATTCTGCGCCGCCAGATAGCGCTGCCGTTCCGCAAGCCGCTCATCCTGATGACGCCGAAGAGTCTGCTGCGCCATCCGGAGGCCAGGAGCTCCTTCGACGACATGATCGATGGTAAGACGTTCGTTTTTGTCAAGGATTTAATGGTATTAAAAGTGTTTATTGAAATGGGAATCCTGATACACAAGTTGATAATAACATTTATTGATCCCAAGAAACATACAATGTTTATAGAGGGAAACAAATAAAAATAGAATGAAATCAAATATGCAATACAATGAAAGATAAACAGTTCAATCAGAATTAATTGATACAACGAGAGAGTTACATTGATAAAATATAATTCTTCAGTCCACACTTGAATTTTGTGACGAATCTAATAGATTTTTTTCTGTGACGGGAAAAAAGTTTGGCATTTCATCTCTGTTGGCAGGTTATACAATGTCACTTTTCCTAAATTACTTTTTTCCCGGATATATATCACATATATAAACACTGTTGATGGCTTTTGTTGTGCCATAGTTGCGAAAAATGAGTCAATAATACCGTCTCCGAGAAAGAACTGCAAGTCCTTTAATCTTCCATTCGACTTCGCGGTTACGTATATTACTAAACAACCACTAAATTCGCAATTTTTTGAAATCAAATCACACAATCAGACTGACAGAAGTGACATCAGATATTTGATTACTTCAAGAGAATGATAAAGCCTACAACGCAGGTGTCCCTACTGTTAAAAACTTAAAATTTCACGTCGATAATTTTCAGATTTCAAAATAATGTAATATCTTCTCAATATTGATTCGTCCTTTCTTCTGTCACATAAAAAAATAGTGTATTATACACGGAAAAAATATTAGATTTTAGCTCACGGTTTTTTGTCTCTTGATGAAATCTCTGAAAGAATGCTTCTGTAGTCCTGTGGAATTGGTCCTTATAAGTTTTTTTAATGTACTCTGTCAGCATTTCCTTCATATCCGAAGACTCCATCGAATCACTAACATGGATGTTGAAATGTCTTAAAAGTTGTATGATCTCGCCTTCGCTCAACTGCTCCATAATATCACGTCGGGGTCACCAAATTATTGTGGATACAATTGATATAAATTATGAGACTTTGATGATGTATCAATATTATAAAAATGTCACATCAATGTCAGACTATCAAATCATAAGATACCAAGTATATAACATAACTAGTCACCATAAGTATACTCTGGTCAGTTCACTTTGTGTATCTTCTGTTCGGTTCGTATGGACTGGATGGTTTTCTCCGATTGAGTGGCAAGTATCAAATACTGCTTCTCTGATCTGCAACAGAACATCACATATCAATCGAAGTACATTCATATCAGAAAATAAATATCATTAGATGAATCACATGGATGTTGAATCTGAGACATACCTGAATAATATATTCAACGTCCGTAACTGGATTGCTACATATCCACTTTCTTTCCGAATGGTGTTTTTTCCAGTAGGCATCTTCCACATTTTCAATTACGTACGCGTGTTATATTAAGGACCTGGAAGGCCAAACGATGTGCTGCTCGGATCTAAAACTAAGGATCAATTTCAAATTTGAATCGTGAGACCTACATAGAATATTGGATATTGTTTTCAACATTCGTAACTGGAACGCGATATATTTTTGTAATTCATCGACTATCTCAATGAAGACGAGGCAGGCAGATAAACAACAATTTTCTCTGCAATGAAGAACACTGTATATACCTAACCCACCATGCGTCTACCTCCTTTGCAGAGAGGGTTTATGAACGCCGAGTTGATACTCTCCCCTCGTAAGGGTACCTGTCGTGTTTCCATAGAGACATAAAGGTGAATATCTGTCTATCTGTTTCCTTGAGAATCTGGTAAGGATATCAATATATCGCCTTCCGTACGAATATAAGGATCTGAATTCTGGAAAGTATACTCTCGTCAGTTCTCTTTGCGGATCTTCTGTCGGTTCGTCTTGATTAGGTGGTTTTCTCCGATTGAGTGGCAAGTATCAAACACTGCTTTTCGGATCTGCAACTAAACATCACATATTAATCGAAGTACATTTAACTGAGACGTACCTGAATGATATTGTCATCGTCCGTAACTGGATTGCTACATATTCGCTTTCTTTCCCAATAGTGGTTTTTCCAGCAGGCATCTTCCACATTTCCAATTACGTGGGTTATATTAAGGACATTGAAGGCCACACAATGATGTACTGCTCGGATCTAAAACTAGGGATCAATTTCAAATTTGAATCGGGAGACCTACATAGAATATAAATCTATGCAAAGTCTGGATATTGTTTTCAACATTCGTAACTGGAACGCGATATATTTTTGTAATTCATCAATTCATCAACTATCTCAATGAAGACGAGGCAGGCAGATAAACAACAATTTTCTCTGCAATGAAGAACACTGTATATACCTAACCCACCATGCGCCTACCTCCTTTGCAGAGAGGGTTTATAAACGCCGAGTTGATACTCTCCCCTCGTAAGGGTACCTGTCGTGTTTCCATAGAGACATAAAGGTGAATATCTGTCTATCTGTTTCCTTGAGAATCTGGAAAGGATATCAATATATCGCCTTCCGTACGAATATAAGGATCTGAATTCTGTATAGTATACTCTGGTCAGGTGTCTTTGCGGATCTTCTGTTCGGTTCGTCATGACTGGGTGGTTTTCTCCGATTGAGTGGCAAGCATCGAACACTTTGCTTCTCAGATCTGCAAATGAACATAACATCAAATATCGAAGTCCATAAAAATTAATACTGATTTTCATGAGAGGCGGAACATGGATGTTGAATCTGAAACATGCCTGAATAATATTTCCAATATTCGTAACTGGAACGCGATATATTTTTGTAATTCATCAATTCATCAGCTATCTCAATGAACACGATGCAGGCAGATAGACAAAACTTTTCTCTGCAAAACTGCAAAAATAATCTTTCATTTCCACTCATGAAGCAACGTTGTCAAGTCACTTACGAAATCGTGACGTCAGGTTTTACTCGTGGTAAATTTTTAGCTGTTTGAAAATTACCGTGGCATTATTGTTGATCTCAGCACCTTAAAGTCTGATAAAGAATTCTAAAAATATATGAAATTGAAAGTTATTTGAGTGATGATTCTATTTAAGATATGAAAAAAATTAGTCAACTCGCCTATTTTATTTTTGTGTATGGTTCCATGGCTGTTAACAATCAGTGTATATCTCTGAATATAACTCCTCTTGGCCATTGTGTGTACTTCCAGTATATATCTACCGTTCCTGCAAATTTCAGAATCCTAACTAAACAAATACGAAAGATACAGGGATGCTTCCATTAAAAGTGAGACACACTGTGCAATGTTCATCTTGAGTCAATCCTGATGTTCATATCTCTTCATCTGAAGATTCATCTTCAAAATGAGCCTGAGATTTTAAAAATCGGTTGGGAAGGAAAAAAGTTATGACTGCAAAACCTAAAAGTTAATATTTTGATATCACTCTGTAAGTAAAAGGGATAATAAGACGATTCGAAAAATGTCTCAAGGTAATCTGCTGTCAAAGTTGAAAAAAAAAGTTCTCGTTCATTTGGCATCCTTTTTTTCACAGTTTTAGAAGAAGTACGATATAACGATATACATATAAAATACCATAGGAAATTATACAATTAGTACAGGGTATTTCGAGACGAATTTTCAATCTGAGTATATGGATAATAATAAGAGTTTGACGAATCGTGTGTAACCATTTCTTCGAAAATTTCTCTGTGAAAATTGGCAGTTGCGATACCTAGCCTAGCACAGTCAGCGATACGGATTGACAAATTTTGTTCGGGTTTGTTCTAATCGCCTACATTTCTCACAAAAAATATGTATATGTATATGAAAATGAATCAAAGGAGTACCTACTCTAAGATTTCTAGATGTTTCGAGTGGTATCGGCTCAACATACCTATCAGATTATACTATCACAGCGGCTGATGTTTTTTTTTAATGGGGCACCCTGTTCTCAATTATATTTTCGAATGCACTATCAAAATTGCTACACAACTGTTTTTTGTTTTCTATATTTCATTCCAAGGTTGCAAAGTTATTCAACTTTTTCGTTGAAAAACTGATTTTGTACAGTTTGAACACTCTGTCAATGATAGACGGAAAGACTTGACGAAATTGAAGATGCCAGAACTTCATTATACCTAACGGAACACCCTGTATTTTTTACGTTAACGGTTCCAGATCCAAATTACCTTCAATTTTCATGAAGTATGTCCTATACCTGAATATTGCCGTTTTCTAAATAGATATTGATACGATAAAATCTATATTTTTCGAAAACTGACAAAGATTACCTCAATAAAGTATACAGGGTGTTATTTCAGTATGTGGCCAAACTTCAAGACTTGGTTTTTCGAGTGATTACAAGTCGAAAAGTTTATGTAAACCTGATTTAAAAAAAATCGCATTTCAATTTTGTTGAAATATTGCAGTGGTATTTATTTCGTAGTAGTAAGGTACTAAATTAAGCCATCACAAGATTTACAAAAAACCTATTGAAAAAAAGTTTCATATTGTGTATCTTTATTATTTATTATGCATTTTTGGAACTATGGTCTTATGAACTTTTTGTCTTAGAATCAGCAAAACAATAACCCCTCGAAGTTTGGCTACATACTTAATAACACCCTTCATATGCTTGGAATCAGAAGAATGAGCTCTACCGATTAGAAAAATGAAATACAGGGTGTCTATTTAAAAAATGATTTTTCATTTTGGAAAAAGCAAGGGCGTACCATATTTTTTTAGAAAAATCTCCAGTATACATTCCACACGGACGCCACTGGTTATAAGAAAACGATTTTTTCTTGAAATTTCAACGCCCTATAGCTCTAAAGTTTACAGTTTTAGGGAATATGTTCATATAATCTTTTCTTATTGAAATATAGTGAACCATATCCTTTATGTTTAGCCATCAATTGAATTACTCCCTGTTCATGGCTATCAGTACCTAAGTATACATGCTTATTAAAATTTTGAATTTCCATACGATGTGTTGTGGTATACCAAATTTCGAATCGATTTGTATATCTATAAATAAGACTTTACAAAATAGCGACTGTTTTTGCAACTCATTTCAATGTACCTATTTTCAGTACCTCTGTATATAAGTTAACAAAGCAGATTATTTAATTCTAAATGAACACGAGATTTCAAAATCTCAATGAAATGCATTGAATATCCATCTATTTCTATGTATATAACAAGTGACACAGACTCTTGGTAGGTATACCCCCTTTTCCTCCTTTGTTTTTCTCGACTTTCCTGGAAATGACATGAACTTTCGATTTTTAAATAGAATAGAATGGTAGATTTTGGGAGAAAAACAACTGCTTTCCTAACTTATGCCACGCAGAACATTGAATTACATCCTCCCGAAATCTATGCATCGACTCGTATAAACGAATACTGAAACAAGTGATTCTTTCCTGAATGCCTATTGATTTGGATTTAGCCATGCCACGCTAGACACCTACACACCGGTTTCGAGCTCTTTGACTCTCATCAGTGCAGGGCAGTCTCCAGCCAGCAGTCCTAAGACCGCCGACTAAGCGTAGCCTAGCCACACAAAAATCAAGTCGGCATTTTATTCCATAATCGGTTAGGGATTATCATAACGAATTCAACAATACCGGGTTTGATAGGATTATTTTGAACGAGTACGAAGATATTTGCATTCCAAAGGTCCATTTCCAATATCTAAACCTCTTTCTCTGTCACACGCATTGAGCATAATATGGGACTTTTGAACGTGATTATTTTCGTAATCATTTGAAATAACCCTATCACACCCGGTATCGTTGATTTCGTTATAATACCTAACCGATTATGGAATAAAATATAGGGTGTTCCATTCCATAGGTTAAAGAGTAAGATTTGTTTTATACTGAACTTTCGCCTAATAGCGACCGAAAGATGAAAAAAAAATCCTGAAATGGTACCATTTAGTGATTCTATTCGATGTCCCAAATTTCAGAAATATAGCTAGAAAAACAAAGGAGAACTGGGGGTATACCATGTGACTGTGTCGCTCGCTATAAGTGAAGGAACCGAATTTCAATTTTTTTCCTCGTTACAAGGAAACATTCCGAATCAAAATAACAACCACGTGATGAATACCTCCATATTCATATACAAAAAACTTACCATCTTGAAAAAATACAACTTTCACACACTCAAATGAAAATACACAAATCACAAAACCGAATATGAACTGATTTTCCACTCTTGAATAATTCGAGTTCTTTTTTATATCACTTGAATCGACCGTACCCGTCGGTATCTAGAACGAGACTGCTGATTGGTTCGATTAATCATTCTAATGACAAATTAGTTACGTCATCCTTTCAACCGATTAATTCCCGAACAAGTATGACTAAATCCGATAACGATAGTAGGTACGTATACGAGGTGGGGTGAGAAAACAATAATATAATATTAATATACAGTGTCACCGTTGAAGTCCGCATCATATGGGATTTTATTATTAATTAGTTTGTGCAAATCAGGATTTCATGGATAGTTTTTACTTTGGAAATACTTTGAAAATGAAATTCATGATTTGTTTTTTCACTCGCTGTCGAATCAGACATTTTCTGTCAGAAAATATAATACATATAGGGAAAATCCGACAACATCCCACGAATTTAGTTCATATCAGATTATTATTTCGAAGACTAAATTGAAATGAAAAATCGACCTATTTTAACCTATTTTAATTACGATTTTATCACTTTTTATTCTGGAAATAATGCGGTGAAATGAATTTAGTATACAGTGTCACCAACAATCTAGGATTATTCATGAACCGTTTTCGTATGCTTCCGTTCGCTTTCGTTCTCCTGAATAATTTGTGAAAATGATGGAACAAAAATTTTCGATTTACAAAAAATAATTGAAACACTACAGGGTGAAAAATGAAAACGTACAAAGTAAATTAAAAGGTCTTCCGTTAGTAGACTTTTTTTTTTCGACAATAATATATTAAAAATCATATTCATATACATTTTTCGAGTTTGGTCTATACTGTGGATCGTGTTTACACCCCTACTTCCGTTTCTTTTTGATGTTCAATGGCTCGAAATTCGTTGCCTTCAATATCACCACCGTATACACGAAGAAAACTATATTGTTGATTTCACAAATCACCCTTACACCTACACTAAATACATGTTTGCACTATTCGCAGAAATCGTGAAAGTATTTTCTGTGGTAGTAGTATAATTTAACAGCCATAACACAGATCACACAACTCTCAGATACACTCTCGATAGTAATATATTTTTTTTAATTTCATTCTCAAGTGATTTTCCGAAAAATAGACTATCTAGGAAGAAGGTTCATTCAGGCAGAGTTAGTTAGATTGTTTAGAAAAAGTAGGCTTCCTATGCCGAGAAGATATTTTCCTTCCTTATATTTAAGATATATTATACATTTATGCTGAGAGAGGTTAGATTATTTAGAAAAAGAAGTATCCTTTCTTATGCAGTAAGGATATTTTTCATATTTTCATTATAATATCTAAACATTAGTCTGAGTTAGGTTAGACATTTTTAGAAATAGTAGTCTTAATTAAAACCGCCATGGAAACGAAACAAAACTGAGCGAGAGGACGTTATATGTCCCTGTCTCTTCCGCGATACATCAGAGGGAAATCCAATCCTCATATAGGTCGTGGAATTGTCATTCTTTAACTCTCTTTGGCGCTAAAAATCAAAACTCACCTGCGAAAATATTCATTCAAATGCATTTGCATGTCATTCCTACTGACGGAAAATGACGAAAATAATGGACTGAACGATTTAGCCCATGTTCGGCATCATTTCAAATAAGATCACGGATCGATTCATAGTCTGACTATGGTCTGAAAGAATTAAGACACATTGACCATGGTCCAAATTGAATGAGACAATTTTCAATTGTGATAACTTGATATTGTTAAATATTTATTGACCTATGTACATTTATTTATTTTTTATCCTTACTACAAGGTTAACTTCGTAAGGTTTTTCCCAGTTTATTCAAATTACCTTTATGTTTATTCCAATGTATATTTTGTAAACGTTTTTGAATAAACTTATATTATTATTATTTATTATTAATATGGCTGCATGATTAACAAAGATAGGTATTGTTTCACCAATCATTAGCTGATGGCTGCCTCTTCCACGATTCTCTTGGCACCATGCTTGGATTTAACATTCAAGATAGCTAATTGCTGATCGTCTAGTAGTCACATGAGGGCTGGCATTTTGTCTCACTTTCATGTTGATTCAAATCCTTCCAAAGACAGTTCATTCGACAAATGACACTCAACATGACAGTAACTGAGTAACTGCTGCCAACGAATAGCAGAAAATGTCAATGTCTATGAATACAAGATCAAAACAAGTCATTGACGTTGTTATACTTCATAAAAAAATCTTTTTATGTTATCAGGTACCGAGTTCCAAAGAATTATTCCTGACGGTGGCCCTGCCAGTCAAAATCCCCAAGGAGTACAGAAATTGCTGTTTTGCAGCGGCAAAGTCTATTATGACATCTTGAAGGAGATTAGAGATAAAGGCTTGGAGTCCAAGATCGCATTGACTCGTGTTGAACAGGTAAATAATTCTAGAAATCTCTTGAAAATAAATAATTCTACAGTTTCAATGAGATATTTATTTTATATTTTTTTAGCTCACTCCTTTCCCTATGGATTTGATCAAGAAAGAATGCGCGAAATATCCCAACGCCAATATTGCCTGGTTGCAAGAAGAACACAAAAACCAGGGTCCTTGGACATATGTGCAGCCAAGATTTGAAACCATTTTGTCTGGTCAACGAGATATTCGGTGAGTGAACACAAATTTCCGTACAAAAACAGTTGTGAATGGAAGATATGAATTTTCTCTTTCCACATCATTTGTGATCATACTACAAAATAATTGAAAAATAATGTGCCTCCAATTTTCATCAACTGATTTGCTGATGAATTTTTTTAGCGCATCAGATAAACAAACAGGAAATTGGTTTGGTAGTTTGTTCGGTGGTAAAAAATCGCAACCTCCATCAAAGGAACAAACTGAGGCACCTGATACTAGAGTTGTCAGGTGAGAGAAAAAACATATCTTCGATATTCTGCCTCTTTTATATAACTTCGTCTGATATTTTTATTTATTTTGCAATTAAACTTTTTTTCACTGGTAATAAATAGCGAGATAGCGAGAAATAACTGAATTAATATCATCAATATTGCTGAGGGACCAAAATTATATTCCTGGCTTTAGCTGAGAGATATAAGATCTTGATATTATTTGCTATACGAAGGCGTGAATTTCGATGCTAGCGCGTTAATGTTAGAGATCATTAATCGCCATATTTTTGGTTACAACAATTTTTCCGTCGACTATATTTTTTCCTCTGCAATGAAGAATATCCTGATTCGCAAATTCATCATTCAGGCAAGAAACTACTAACAATCACCCAGTAGCCATTAAAGTCAACTTGGCACTGACATTTGACATTTGTCGAAATTATCAACATGGAAAAAATTCCTTTTGTGTTGAGAAAAGGAATCGAAATCGGTTCAGAAATGTTAAACAAGCTAACACGTTAACGTGAGATCTTCAATGAAATCGTTATTTTCGCTTTAAATGCAGATTCCGCAAATCATAAACCAACTGTGAAACGACACGGTGTATGTTTGGTTGCCTATACCATAATCGTTCGTTTATAGAGAAATTTATTGTTAACGATCAATTTCGTATTCATTAATGAAAGTTGTTGATACAAAGTCGACGGAAAACATTTTGAGTGTACTTCTTAGATTTCCTTATAAATCTAGTGGTTGATTTAAGAAAGAACCTTTCAAATCAATCACTACATAGTATTATATTCAGAAGCCTACGACTCGTTCAGATTGGTACAGTAACGGACATAGTTACTAAAACCACTGAAGATATAATGCAGGCAGTGTGTACAATTATTGTACATAAAAAGGGCATTTGTTTTTCAAAAATTCGACAACCAAGCCCCAGATGAAGCATATTTATCAGAAAGGTAGGTCAATATTCTATTTTATTCCAATTATTATAAAATTCTCTCAGGCAGTGCTGAAGCTTGCCGAATGTGAGTTTTATCTTAATGGACTGGTACTTCATTCAGTGATATCTTCGTAGATCAAAAAAATTTATGTAGGTTCTAAGTAGTGTTGAAAATATTCTAGCACCCTATATTTTAGTCAAGAATAAAATGACAATATAATTTCAAACACTAAACAACATTCTTCTTGAGTATTAGTATAGTATTTCTTTTTTTTTGCAGTTATATTGGAAGAGCTGTTGCTGCCAGTACAGCAACAGGTAGCAAGAATCAACACCTCAAAGAACTGGCCAATCTCGCAGAGGAAGCCTTAAGGCTATAAAAACACTCAGTACATTTTATTAAATCATTACCTTGAATTTATCTCAGTTATGTGATAGGAGTACTAAAATTTACATAGTCTTTATCGGAAAAATTAAAATATTTTTATCGTAGTACGCACCATTTATGAATGCCAATGCACTGATCAATCAAAATATGTAAGTATTGTATATAGTACTTTTATGTAGGGATACATGAATAGCAAAAGAGCTGGGTGATGTCTGCTTTACTGATTCGAAAAGTATTGATGTAGTTGGAAGTAAAAGTTTCACAGCATTGTTTCTATAAGTTCTCTTCTTGGGAGTAGAAACGGAAGCACCTGTTTCTTTGTGTTTGGTCAATATTTTTCGTCTGAAAGGAGGCTGTCGTGGGGCTGAATCATCAAGATTCCCTAAACGCGTTTATGATGTATTATTTATTTGTTATTGTTGGAGCACGAGAAACTCTGAACTCTGCAATATCGGGTTGAAGTGTTTCTCGTGGATTACTGAGTAACTGTCTTATTTATTTATTGTATGATCGTGAGGAACATAAATAAAAGTTTTATCCAATATATCTTTTCATTTTGATTCCATTGAACTTTCAGGTCACGGTGCGGATTGAAATAAAAAAAATCCATGAAGTCATGGAATGTTATGACATTCCAGTACCAAGTCCTAAATTAAAGTAATAATTCGAATAATTTGATAATTGCTTATGATAATTTTTCACTTACATTGGCATATTTCCAATAATCGAAAAAAGGTTATATGAAGAAATAATAATAGCAGACCTTCATAAGCATATATTCCTATACCATACACGAGGTTGATAAACAAATTAGTTGGCAAACCGTCAGAAATTAGATGGAGCAGTGTTTTCGCACATTATCAGTACAGTGTAGCCAAGTTGCAAGATTTTCGAAACTTGGCAAGAAATCACAAATAAGATTCACTATCATAGCAAATCAAAATTGATGCTATCATTTGAGAGTCCGCTCCATTCGAGAGCAAAAATCATCACGGTTGTAGCAAAGCCATATTAGTGTTTCTTAGTCCGGTAAAATGCAAATATAGAAGTGTTTCAGCAGGGGAAAATCATTTAATGATAAAAAACAAGATATTGAGGAAAATACACCTTCTCCTTTTATTACAGAAAGCGTCAATTGTATTTCAGAATAGTCGATTGAATTTGTAATTATAAAATCAAAAAAGTAAATAATTATATCCTATTCACATATTTACCTGGGCATTGACTAAATTATGTGGTTATATTGAAGTTTTATCTCAATAGAAATTAAATTCAATAACCTGCTTAGGGTACCTTCTTTCTATTAAACATTTTCCAGTTCATAGAATAGCCCAATTTGAATCCAAATGTGGTGTCAAAATATCTGACTGATGAAATACTGTCTTTCATTCAGTGACATGACATTTATTGCCACATTCAATGGTGCATCTGAAATTTTCATGAAAATATAATATATTCCTTGTCAACTGAGCATTTATTTTTCATTTAACATAAAAAAAATCTCGATCAGAGAAAAATAAAAAAAAACATGCCATTTGCAAAAGAGTTGTCAGTCATTGACATCACAGTCGGAAAATATTATCAAAGCCTACTCATAGTATCAGATGATTCATTCCATTTACTTTTTCGTTTTCCAAATTTGGATAATCATTAGCAGCGCTATGGCGTGGGGCGTTTTTGTCAGTCAATCTTATACTTTATCCCGATTTCTGTAGTATACGATTTATTTGTGATACCATAGTTATTTGTTTAACTAGGCAGCAAAGTAGCTATGAATTCAGCCTCGGCAGTCAATCTACTTTGCTGCCGAGTTGAACATATAATTTTTTCTCCGATTGGCCATAATGATATAGGAGGATATTGTAATAGCAAATTATTTCAATTCCCACAATCTCTTTATTTTTCCTGTAGTGTTCAATTAAATTCAAATTTGATAGAAATCGCAGTTGTCCATGATAATTATAGTTTGACAATTCATGAAAATTCTGACAGTTGTGCGAAAAAGTATCGGTATATTCAAATTATTATAAAATGGACAGTGATACCGACCTGGAAGTACTTACACCTCCAGAAATAAGGGAGGTGGCAAAAAATATAGAGTTAAATTTGTTGCCAGAGAAGTCTCGAATGAAATATGAAGGAAATTATAAACGATTTATTTATTATTAATTTTGCTGATACATATCAATCAGCAAAGTAACCACTTTGCTGCCTAGGCAGGAAAAGTAATACTTTGCTGATTGATATGTGTCAGCAAAATTAATATTTGCTGCCAATGGGAGGAAAAATATTTTATACATACCTGTAAAGAATATCCAAAACCCATTCACAATTGGTTATCAGTCGATCTTAATTTTTTTCTCAAGTAAGTATAAGTGACGATTTTTTTAATGAATCCATTTCCTCATCATTTTTAAGTTATCCGAGGTCATATTTTAATTTGGCAAACATCTTCCTAATAAAATTGCTACAACGATAGAAAAATCAAATTTATACTTGATGATGAGAAGCAACTATACCTAACAGTTGGAGAAACATTCCAGAGTTTACTAATTCGATTTGAAGAACATTTTCCCCCCCTCATCCTAAGAGTTGATTAATCATGATAAATAATTTCAAATTCCATAGTGTACGATTTATTTGTGACTCTGAATTTTTCATACATTCTAAGACAGGTGATCTCAATTTTGATTTCACGTAAGTATACTGAAGATTACATATCGTGAGCTGCCAGAATATGTTTTAATATTATATGTTTCCCTATTTTAGTGCGATCCAGACCAATTCACGGATCAAACGTTTATCTCACTGATCAAGTCAGCCTGCGATATGATCTCCTTGGTATTCTCTGTCACTTTGACGTGCCTCATGCCCTTATTTATAGAATCGTATCTCGGGATATTATCCTCCACTGACATCCTGCTGTTAGCTTCCTCCACCGCCGCCACTGCTCTCTTGCAAACGACGTCGTCCTCGCACTCCATGTTGAATTTCAGGTTCGTTATGTCGCCGACGAAGATTTTTCTGTCGCACATTTCGATTTCGAAGCGGTTCAGAAGACTGACTGGTATCAGCTCGATTTCGTAGCCCAAGTTCGACAGACATCCTGAAGAAATAACCAGGCAGGGGATTGGGTAAGTGGAGGTATAAAAAAAATTCCACCACTAGCTATAGAACCTACCATTATTGGTGAAGGTGCATTTATCATGGGATAAGTTTTTTTTTTCGAAAAACTTTTTTTGGTACTTACGTATTCTTGTCTGGAAAACACGAATTTTATAATGAAAATGTGAACAAACCACTATTTATCGAGATATTTCAAGAAAAAGTTTGAAATTTCGTCTTTTTTTCCCCTTGTGTTGGATGCATTTACAGCTACATGCTTTTCTTATTTTGTCATTGGATACTTTATATACTCATGATGTACTTCAATGACACATTTTTATATAGGAAATTCAACAAGAAATATGATTTTTATGGCGAGTTTTTCATATTTAGTGAACAAGCATACCAGATGGCGGCCATTTAATCAATAGTCAATCCAAATACGAGATGTCAAATGTCAACAGATTGCTTTTGAATGACATTACACACGCCATTATTTCAAATGATATTCTTCCTTCTTTTTACTAAATATGGATAAATCACATGAACATATCATATTTCTAGTTGACTCATATAATAGGAAAAAATGTATCGTACATTGTGTTATATATAAATTGTCCAATGATGAAAAAAGAAGGGCAAATTGTTCTAAATGCGATCCAGAAGACAGGCGGAAAAGAAGGTGAAATTTGTTACTTTATAGTGGAATATCTTGATAAATAATGGTTTGTTCACATTTTCATTATCAAATTCATGTTTTCAGACAAAAATACGTAAGTATACATGCATTTTTACCCCATTATTCACTACTTTTCAAGCATAAAATGTGTGTTTTTCAAGCGAGGTAGTTCTTGTCATTTCATGAACTACTAGACTATAAAGACATAACTGAATTCACTGTTCTGATGCGAGATCCGCAGGATCCGTGGAATAAAGTAATTTATGAAAAGTGACATTTTATAACCTATCAACAGATATTTCAAACTTTTTTTCCCGTCACAGGAAAAAAAAACATATTGTTGTAGTCGTTCTGAGCTATGCACGTATCTACAGTACATATTTTTTAATTTTATTTTTATCTTTTCGTGCTTACCAATAGCTACTATTATACAGGGTATCTCAAAACTCAACGTCATCCTTTGAATGGCTGATAGTCCAGTTCACGACTGACCGGAATATCACACTATGACCTTAGTAAAATATTGATTGTTTTGGAGATACTGGCATTTTATGAATGATCAGTATCTCGAGAGCAACAGGTACAATCAATATATCAACGACTGAACTAAAAAAGACCATTCAATTTTGCACAAAAAAGGTCCTCTTGTTGACGCACGTTCTTCGAGGAAAAAAGGAAAAACATGACCAAACTGCAAATTTAAATGTTGCTGAGTACTTCATTAAATTACTGGAAAACCATAATATATAACATTCTGAAAATTTGGCTCTATTTCAGTCACATGACATACTAAATGTTTCCATCATAATTAGCTATAGGTACAAAGGCTCAAGTGAAGAATTTATGCATATATTTAAACGAAGTGATTCCAGACATATGTTCATAGAAACTTTCTGTCCTAAATTGAGCCAAGGAACCACCTCCTTCAATGTGTACATGAGATTTAGGTACACCCTGTGTATATGTGACCTATAGCCTAATCAGAAGAAACATATCTTATGAAATGACACAATATGTTTTCTAAAAATAGCAAAAGACGATGAAAAAGTTTCTATACAACGAGAGAAATGTTCCATAAATGAGAAATATTTTCTTCTTTTTTTATCGCTTGGAGCGCACAAAAGGTAATTCCTATAATCGCCGACAAACATATAGATAGATATTTATGACTCATATTACGATATGAGATAGGAAATTCTTCTAGATTATAGTTTTAATTACCGCAGTGGTTTAGGATGTTTGGGACCCACCAACCTTATCTATTGCCTATAGTAAACAGATATTTAAGTAATTATTTCAGACACGAGCATTCAGAAAAAAAGAAATTGACTTACTCAACAAACCCCGCAGTCTTTGAATTCTGTGATCTATTACGCCATGAGCTTCGTAAGGGCCATATTTAATTTTCAAGAAATTCGCCATATTTGTCAAAGAAATGTCTAAAATGAGAACGGACATATGCTTCTTGACATCTGGACATAATATCGAATTCTTAATAATGTCGACGAAAATACAGAGTGACCCAAAATTCGCAGGCGGATTTAACGACTAACAAAGAGAAAAAAAACTAGCGTGCCCTAAGTTTTTCCATATATGGTACTGATTTCTGAAATTATAAACAAGGAATAATAATTTCGAAATGATTCAGAGGTGTATCAAACAGCAGGGTGGAGCTAGGTAAAAAAAATATTGCCCCACCGTCTCAATTTGATGTGGACTTTATAGCAAGTTATACTAAAAATAGAAGCTCGAGGTGTTTGGAATGCATATTTTTATGATGATCAGTGGATAATATGTGATGGTATGCTGGAATTCCAATAATCAGATATATTTGAACACAAATATGAGGTTGTAATAATGGCATGTTAGTGTTGATTTTTTTTTTCAATGTTGATATAATAACCATGTACCATATATCTGAGAATATTCCTTATCAATACTTATACCCAATCAAGGGGTTCAAACTTGAACGATGGAAACTTATTTTTATAGACCTCAATGGCAGATTCGTGATGAGGTTTTCTCAATTCAGAATTTCTTTCCACGTCCTGTATGATGAATATCAATTTATCATACATCCAAAAACAAATGCCCAGATGACAGTGGTTATGTCAACAAATTCTGATTCTCAGATTTCAGTTCTTTATAGTTTTAGTTATATTATAGGGAGATGAAAATTGTGTGTATCATGAAGAATAGCTGAAAGAATAACTGGACTTCAGGTTACTGATGAGATCCACCTTTCTGATGAGGATCTGATATCCGAAATGAGCTTTACTCGAGTGAAGTCATATAACCTATTTGTGAGAGATATAATTCCCATATCACTGATACGAATGATTTTTTTTTTGGAAGTTCCAAGCTCATCAAGATAGGAGTTCATACAAGGATACTTCTATACATTCCAATTTTCATTTTAATACTGAACATATCGGTAAGTTATATTTTTATATCATAATACATCATATTATTCTATTCGATTTGAGAGATGATGTCAATTCCCAATTCCAGAGGATTTTGATTTTTCATGCACTCTTTTTGGATATTGAACAGATATAATTCAATGTTCGACGTGGCAGATAGCTGTTTTCTGTTGAATATTCAGAATGGTATGTGCATTTCTTTATATGAAGGAGAATACAAACTCTCTACTACAGAAGATTTTGTTTTCAAATTCTTATCGTGTGTGTTCAATAGATATAATTCAATGTTCGTCGTGGCATATAGCCAGGAAAGTAGTTCTTTTCTGTTGAATAAACCGAGAGAGAATTAATATTTTCATCACATGGATCTTTATATATATACAGGGTGTTCACCGACGTATAGCTGGAAAGGGGTGATAGTTGAGAACATTTCGAAAATATTTTACCATATATATACTATTGTACAAAGTGTTTCATATTTAGAGGTATCATCGATCTTTCAAACATTTCATCTGATTAAATCTCTTTTTTCTTAGAAAGGTGAATACGAATTTCATCGATACTGAACACGAAATGGGATGAAATGTGATGAAAATATTTTTTGGCTCGTTACAATTCAAAAAATGATTTTTGTAACATCCAATTTTGAATTTATAAGCTATGATTTCTCGAAAAGTGTAACACTTTGTATAATAGTATATATGGTCTTGGTTCAAAATCACATAACCTACCACCTCCTGCCGTATATACGTTGGTGAACCGTACCCATTGAATAAATTCACAGAAAATCATGTGAATTCTATTTCTTCTCATATGAAAACCACCATTAAGCTACAGTCCGACTGAAAGGATCGCAACCTGTATAAATCTACAAATCAGATATTTACAAAAGTCGGACTGTGCCAAACAGCTGTTGAATACTACAATAAAACCGTACTAAATATAAATTCTAGGCCCTGGTCCTCCCCCACTCACAAAAATCCTGGCAATTATTTGAAATATCGCGACAGTATTTTGCGAGACTTTCAGTGCTTTTATATAAAAAAAATGCCATACCAGCGTCCATCATTTTGGACATGGAGGGCCGAAGGCAACAAGAAAAAAGTAAGTAGATAGCTGGAAAATAAATTAGGCATCGTATATAGGAGACAAGTAGTCGGTTCATTCAGTTTTTGGATCACTTTCAAAATGCTGTGCAGTATTTTATTGTATAATATAGCTAAAAATAATTTGGCTACGAATTCGCCTGTTGATCCAATATCTACATATTATATTCACTGAATTTCTTGTAAAGTAACTGTTCCCATGTCATTATGTCAAGAAGTTTACTGTTCCAAAAAAGATAAGTTTGAACCCCCGGTTTTAGTCCTGAAACGTCACAAGATCAATAATGTATATTGAAGAGTTTAGCAGTGCTCATGTTTGAATTTCTACCTAGTACTTTTAATTGCATCTGGAATCATTGAACCCCATATACATTAATTGAGTTTTTCAAAAACAGACATTTTTTCTGTGACGGGAAAAAAGTTTGGCATTTCATCTCTGTTGGCAGGTTATAAAATGTCACTTCTCATAAATTACTTTTTTCCCGTGGGACACTGTTGATGGCTTTTGTTGTGCTATAGTTCCGAAAAATGAGTCAATAATACCGTCTCCTAGAAAGAACTGCAAGTCCTTTTATCTTCCAATAGACTTCGCGGTTACGTATATATATTACTAAACAACCACTAAATTCGCAATTTTTTGAAATCAAATCACAGAATTAGACTGACAGAAGTGACATCAGATATTTGATTACTTCAAAAGAATGATAAAGATGCCTACAACGCAGGTGTCCCTACTGTTAAAAACTTGAAATTTCATGTCGATAATTTTCAGATTTCAAAATAATGTAATATCTTCCCAATATTGATTCGTCCTTTCTTCTGTCACAGAAAAAAATAGTGTATTATACACGGGAAAAATATTAGATTTTAGCTCACGGTTTTTTGTCTCTCTCCGCTTCGCGTCGGGAGACAACACAATCTGGAGCTAAAATCTACTACTTTTTTCCCTTGTATAATAAATAACTATTTTTAAGCTGTCTCTGTTGTCTATAAGTACAAACAAAAATGTGGTTAGAAGTAATTTGTGGAATGTTTTTCTTTTGTAAAATAAAAATTTATCATGTACGTCTGCATCATGCAAAACTAATACTAACTTAATACTTTAATCTTGATGTGATTATAGCATGGGCACTCGATAAGAACAATTTTGGAGCGCTTAGAGTATGTACCCTTTATAATATACAGGGTAGGGTGTATCTGAATAACACCGAAAAAATTCAAGGGGTTTTTCCTTGTGACATTCTAGCAAATAAAGTTCATATAAACATGTGTTGCTCCGTTTTTGAGATACAGGATGTTGAAGTTGGAAGAATTAATTGTTTTCATTTATAGCCCCCTTGTATTATAAGCTTTCATGGTGCCGAAATTCAGCATGGATGGAGACTGAGAAAGCCCCAAAATTTCAAAATGATTCTAATTGGGGTTATTTAGTAATCTCAATGGAAGTCTTGAAAACGCCTACATTAAAATTTGGAGTTAAATCGAATTTTTATTGTTTCCTCAAAAACTAAGCTAGATAGCAAGTTAGGCCGCATGTTTAAATGAACTTTATTTCCTAAAATATCACAAGGAATCACCGCTTAAATTTTTTCGGTGTTATTTAGATACACCCTGTATGATCAGCAATAATGATGAAGTAGTTACGTTTTATATTTAAACCTACCTATAAATAAAACAAGTTATTTTGACACCCTGTAGAATCGTTGGAGAATGTTTCTTTCTAAATAAATCTCTGGCTGAAGCGATATCAGTATACATAATTAAATAACGAATGATCTCAAAATAGATCGATAGACTTTCTGGATAAAAAGTCGGGTTTTATTGAAATGTATTTTTAAAATGAATCCCACTAACATTCAGCATTCATAATGAATTTAAGCTTTCATGCGAAACGAATTTTTTTGTACAAAAAACTAATCATCTCATACCATAAAGTATGCTTTAGGCTTTCCAGAAATATGTTTTCCTAATATATTGGGTGTTTCCGGAATTTGATTTGATTTAAAATTATTATTGAACGTCTTCCAGCTTCCAGACAATTATTTTAGAGGATGATGACTGTTATTTCGGTTTGTTTTTAGTTCCACTGTATTTATTGCTCCAATTTGGGAACCACCCTGAATATTTACACAAAAAGTTCTGAGAAACTGCAAATGCGTTATAATGTAAACGAATGATTACTTAGGTACAACCTTGTTTAAAATAAGATGCATTCGACTGAATGAAAACCCGATCCAAATGCTATTTCTGTAGCATCGCATGACAGAAGTGGTAGCTTCACCTCCTAAAATCTCGCAGCTTCCTACAGATCATACTTCACACTCCAGTTGCTAATTGTGCCATGTATGAAACCTGTTGACTTGTCCTAACAAACATCTAGCCACCCGCGAAGACATTTCAAAACAATCGCCGCAGCCGATCTAATTATAAATGCAAATCTCAAAGTGTGCCTTGCCCTGTCGAGTATTTTCATTTTTTGTTGCATCACGAATTAGTTGTGTTATTGTGGTCGGTGTAAGTGGCAGTCAAAGAGCCCATGGGAAAGGCACATGAGCTGGTGTTGAGTTTGCGAAGAAGCTCCCCCCATGAGCAGTGGGGGTTCAGTTTGGTCGGGGGGTCGGATGTCAAAACCCCTTTGATTGTCACCAAAGTGAGTTATTGGCTCCAAGAAAACACGACACAACATAATTAATGGTGAATCAATCAATCAACTTTATTATTCTCAAGAAACATTTGTTTATAGCAGGGAACATGGTGAATATATAAATATATTTGACAAAGTAGAGAAGACAGTAAAATGAGACTCACACTCAAAAAGAAATATTTTTTTTAAGTTCAACTGAAAATGATTCTTAATTGGCTTAGCTGTTAGGTACCCAATGGAAAACTATAGTAATTGTACGAGAAAACTATAAACATGAGATAAGATGTCAATATTATAGGAGTAGATGTTTCTTGAATTCCTTCTTCAATTTTTCAATCCTATTGATCAGCTTCAAGTTATTTGGTAGTGAATTGTATTGTATCATTCCATTATGATAGATGGATTTTTTACCAATATCTGATTTAATTTTCTTGACAGAAAAATGATCTGCTTTTCTAGTTGTATAGTTGTGGTGGCTACTATCAATTTGGAAAACCAAATTTGAATGCTTTTGACAATGATTAACTGAATGAATGAACGATATTAATTTGAATTTATATAGTGAATCTATATCAAATAACTCTTCTTCTGTAAAAGTTCATAGTAGGTTCCAGATGATTTAGTCTATATATATTTGACCTGTGTAACCGATTAACCCCCCCCCCCTTTGCATCTTCATTGTTATTCGTTGTTCCGGTCCACCCAGTATATACTTGGCATATACCTACAATTACTTATTACACATCAACCTTATTCACGAACCCCACAAGTACACATCAGTGATGAGAAAGTATATAGGAATATCATTTATTTTTTGGTCCCCTGATATAACTTCAACCACCTCGCCCTGTATGCAGAATGTTTCGAATTTTGATCGGTATCATTTTAGGCGAGATAAAATAAGATGTTCGCCTTAGAAATATTATTTGCCTTTTTCCATTGTCACCCTGTACCCATATAAGCTTGCATGATGCCAAAATTCAGTGTGGTCGAAGACTGACAGATTATCAAAATCTCCAAATTATACTCAATATAATCATTGAGTGATCTCTATGGATATCTTGAATGAACCTACATTTGAGTTGGGTCTTCATTTTTCTTTCTTTAAAACTATAATCTAGTTATGAATAAACCTATGGAACTAGAAAGTTGTATCTTATATTGGTACATCGAAAAATAACAATTGATCAGAATGATTTTTACCTTAAATATCAATCAGGCATCCCTCTGGAGTGCCACTAAACGAGTTTAACGAAAATCAACTAAGGAGTCTTTGAACTACTATTAATAAAAAACAATTTTTTTAACTTCGCCATCTTGTACCCAAAATCTTCAAAACATACAAGTTTCTATTGCCTTTCAAATTTTTATAATTTTTTCGTGTGTAAAGTGATTCACTGAGTATAAATGCAGTTTTACAATACAAATAAACTATAAATATATCGTTTCAGCTTTGAGTTTGCTTGATATATTACGAAACTCAGACCGCACTAAAAAAAAATACATTTCTGGCACAACGTTGTGTTTCTACAGAGTGATTTATGTTGCGTGCATGTCATTCAATTTTATTTTTAATCTTAATGCAGGGATATAACTTCTAAATCGCCTGTTTTCGAAAGAAATCCAAGATAAAAATTCAATTTCTCACAACCTCATACAAAATATCCTACTGATAAAGGTACACGATATATGTATATAATATATTTTTCGAGCTGGCTCACCCCTATAAGTAGTAATACAAAATTTGGGGTTGTGAATTATAGTTCAATTGACATTTTTTGACATATCTACTTTCTTTGCCGTACTACCGGTTTGATCGGAAATCGCCACAACTTTCGATTTTTAAATGGAAGACCCAGTATTTTATACGATAATAGGTTATAGGGATTATCATTTCGAATTAAACGAAATTTTTTCATATTACATTTACATTTTTCTTGCATCACATCTACTTTTGCATACATTAGGAATTTGATATTCAGATTCACAATACTCGAATTATATTTGGAAATAATAAACAAGCTAGCTCATACCTAATAGGAGATCTAAGATGAAAAGAGCTATCCCAATTGTCAGTAAGGTCGAGTGCTATTTTAGGCCACCAAACCCCATCAACAACTCTCCGTCTGCTGTCAACTCTGGAACAACTCGAAAGCTTCGAATATGAATTATCCCTATTCGATTACAAACATATTTTGCAACATACACTCAAATATGTCCCATTGATTGTTTTGACAGGTAGGTTTCGGATCCCCTGTAGAGGGCGTTCTGCATCGCGGGGACATCATCACCAAAGTGGGCAACTATGATGCTAGGGACATCCGCCATCAGGATGCCCAGAACTTATTCAAGAATGCTGGCGATAACATACGAATAGTTGTCCAAAGGTATGTGCAATATTTTTTCAAATTGTATAGGTATCGGTTGGGCCAGATCTTATGATTCATCAGCACCCTGTATCTACGTTTGATGACAGAATGCCATGGTCAAATTATTCAATTATGACAATCAGAAATTCATTGCTGGCATATGATTCCTGGTTATTCCACTCATTCCTGAGTGAGAACCATTTACAGTTCATACTAGAGTCACTGGATGGCATTATAGTTAGATATAAGAGTTCAGACACAGCTGAACTTCTGTTATTTTCTATATTACAATGGTTTGAGTGAATAAAAGAATAAGACATATTCTGCTCTTTGTCTTTTCAATTTCCCTAGTAGCGCCTGATTGTCAGATACGTTTTTAGAGGTTAGATTTTCTGTCAAACCAATCATTGTCGTAGATGGAAAATAGAAATAGGGTATAAACACCCAATTCCATTCATATAGTGATACACTTTTCACAGAACAATATTTATAAAAATGGAAAGAATTCATGTAACAACATTTCAATATGACAAAATAATAGACACATATGGATAATGAAATATATTTTCTTTGTATAATTTTAAACCAATCAGAACGTTCAATTGAGTTAAGCTACCTTGTGTAATTTCGAATATACGTGGATATACCTACAGTAACTCCGCCAATCAGAAATTTAGAATTATTTCCATAGTAACCGATTCATATTTTATTACATAAAAACAAAGAACTACTTGAAAAATTATCGCATCGAATACAATTCGTACTTCAAACTATTCATGGTTATAGGTATATCTCAGGGTTCCATTTGAAAAAAATCGAATAGTACACCCTGTAGACCTCTTGTTCCGAGCACCTTGTATTTTCTGATGTAGCGAAAAAAACTCTATCGAAAATCATTTTAGATGATATTTAAAATTTTGCAATCGGTTAAAAAATGACTGAGCTAGAGGGAGGGGGACATTTATGGTGAATCACCCTGTACATTCCTTTCGTTTCCAGAGAGGGCACCCCTCGTCACACGAGCGCCGGTTCGTCGCGCACCAGCTCGCACAACTACAGCCCCCTGTCTGTCTCGCCGCACCTCTCGCCCAAGGGGGGCTACTCCCCCTCGCCCAAGGGGGGCTACTCCCCTTCGCCGGGGTACAGCCCCGCGGGGTCCGCCCTCACGCCCTGCTTCGCCTCGCCGCTCACGCCCATCGACAACGACTACTTCGACAGCTACGAGTACGATCCCAAGGACCGGAGTCGGGACGGTCAGGAGGACGTTCACGTGACCAAGCAGGTGAGCGTTGAGCAAGGTTAGTAGAAGAGATAGGTTGTTTCGTTAGATGCGTCATCGAGAGTGCCAGACATATTGTTTACATTGAATCTCGTATAGGTTTTACTAGAGTTCCTAAATGTACTTGACACTGCTTTTTTGACGTTTTTTGTATATTAGAGTACGGACACTATGACAAGCACTGACAATCAGAAATAACCACAAATAAATTGATGGAAAAAGCGGAAACTGACAGTACACGGACATACATTACATAAATTTCAAAGGTTTGACAAATCGAGAGAATTAGGAGAAAGATGCAAGTTTGTGCAGTTTCCAACTGTGAGAACACGGAAAATCAATTCACTCTACTCGAATTCGGATCGGGGTAAACCAAATAATTGACTGGCTAGGTGTCTTTTTGGTAGTAAAAAATGTCAATTTCAATACCGTAACTTTTTTAGTGCTTGTGGAAAAAATTGTTAAACAAATTTTATGTACCCCCTTCAAGGGGCTGTATCTTGACATGAAATTTCTACCCCCTTAAATGTTTCACACTCATTTAGTTACACCCTGTATTATTAATTCTATTGATTTACTGATATATAAAAGATGAAGACAATATATTAATATCACTGGCTTCGAGATATATCTCTACATAATCGCCATAATAAGTGATCAGGGTTGGGCATATCAAACACAACAAACAAGGTCTTGAAATTCTCGATTTGAAATGGGCACTCTGGATGACGCTATCCCGCGCTGAAGTTACGAGACAACCTATCTCTTCTAATAACCTTGAATTCAGAGTGAGTAGATTAAATAGAGTGGAGACAATAGACCTAAACATGGCTGCCGATTGCGGGATGTCGTTCGTGGTCAAGTCACTGAATAGCTGAAAATTGGAAGGGTATCTCACATGCAGTAATGAATTTGCGCCTTCGAAGTGCCCACCTGATGTTAGGATTAGATATTTGTTGTTTTCATTTCCCATCTAAATAATCTGAGACGTACGAGTCCCAAAAGACGGATTCTAATAGTCAATATCCTAGGTACCGACGTATCGAGTCTCATGTCTGATTGTTGGATGGATGTTTTGTGTCCAAAGAGCGAAAAACGGAGACAAAGCGTTGACAAAGTGAAATAGAATGCTTAGAACTGACTGGAGAAAACAAGATAGGTGGATGTACCTCCATATTAAAGGTCTGACCAAATAGAAAGTGCATCACTTTGTCCTTTTCAAGGCGTGAATTGTGTTTTCTCTACCAAGGTAGCCTTCGTCATTTGAAGAACTATTAGTTTATAAAGACATAGCCACCTTTATAAATAATCCGAATTCACTGTTCTGATGCGAGATTCGCCGAAATGGCACTCGAATCTAGTAGGTATTTATCAATAACGCAGGGTATAACATGAAGTTCTAGTCATGTTGTAGCCATCTAGTGCCATATGCTGTCATGGTCATGACTACACAAGAAGTGGTTTCATAGTGACAGTAGGTCCATATTTCAGTTTCACGGAACTATAATGATTGAAATACACTGCCACGTGACTTTCGCTACATGTCAAAAGTTACATTTTTTCAAATAAATGCCTGAAAAAAGACTCATTTGTTTGAATTTCAAAGAAGTTTACGGAGAAAAGTTGTTTCAATTGTAATTTTACATATGTGCCTCGAATTTGAACGTTTTTGATATTTTCTCAATTTCTACGAAATATCTGTAATATTGAAAAAATGAACTGATGATTCTAGTAGCTTAATCATGCTACTAACTTTCAATCACTAATTATCGACAAAAATATGATTTTCTTTAGAAAATTATAATCCAACCTTCAAATTTTTGTTGTTTGATGCAAAGTTGATGTAAAGTCACGTGACTCCGACCGAGTAGGCGATTTTTCATCTTTCTTGAAGCAAAACTTGACGCCCACGTCGAATATCAGAATAAATTATTATTGAAAGTTTTTTCCATATGATGCCAAATTATGAATGACTCTGTATACTGTCTGTATATTGGTGGTAGTGGTGAACAAATATACGCCTTGATAGATAGAATCTTATTTCAGAAAGTTGATGTTCGATGCTATAGCTGATGACCCAGATAGCACAAGTACATCTTATGGATATACTATGGATATCCATCATGGATATTGTGGATGTCCATAAGATATCCGAAAAAGGCTCTGGTATAACCTATGGACGTCCATAGGATGTGACAGTGTGACCTTATTGGATGTCTTGAAGATATTCATTATGGACATCCATAAGATATCAACTATGGATATGAATGAGATAGTTTACCCTATATATAGAAAGAATCACAATAATTGGGAAGCACTCACGTCTCACTGCGTTCGAATAATGTAGTTGTCAGTTCTTATGCACCATCAATTTTGGACGAATTCGTAAGAATCACTTCCAAATTCACTTCAAATTAATTACAAATATGAGAACATATTGACATCATTTGATCACTCCAAGGTTGGTAGAATCGATGATCTATAAATCGCGCTGTTCGCGTTGAAAACCGAATTAATTATAATAGCAGATACTGCATCACAATGTGTGCTATCTTTTGGAAGATCCACGCACAAGTGTTACTTTTGTGGACCTCCTTTTATTTATTTATCATTTCATTCATTGTATATACTTGATTTGAAATTTCTAGGTATTGATCTTTTGTCTCTGTATCTTATGGATATCCTATGGACGTATTCAAGACTTTCGTTTTGGATATCTCAATTACATCCGCAATCGGATATCTTATGGATGTACATTTTATGTCCACGGATATCCCGCCTTGAATAGGACTTGGAATGGATATCCATAAGATATCCTGTGTTAACTGGGGATTCACTACGAGTTTAGTATCTGTGAGGAAATTTGTTGATTTATCTGAAATCATTCCGAACTTTTCATCAAGAAACAATATTCAGACTCGTATTTTCAACACCCTATATCTCGAAAACGACGCGTTCAAAAGTTTATGTTTATGTAAACTTTGTTATTATTTCAACGAGTACAAACATAGTGTTGACTTTTTGTTTTACAAACCAGACCACTCAGTATAATAATGACATCAACTCCCCCCTTGGCAACTCAAAAGTTGAAATTGAGTAGATTTCGACTTTGTGTCTACTCTTATTTTAACTCGCAGTTATTTCAGGAATATGAATAACCGAAAATTTTCAGAATTTCATAAAGTAGATTCTTCCAAAAATTCTGCATTATTGCCAGAATCAAGAAGCATCCCACTATCTTCACAAGCGTCATATAGGTGATTCTCCAGATTTTAAGAAAACCAGAAATTTGAAAATTAGCAATGGGAAAGTGATTTTTTTTTTTGGTGTACTGGGTTACCTGATTCTCAAAATCACCCTGCATCTAGTAAAGGGGGAATGCCACAAAAAGTAAGTTTCGAGAAAAACGCATTTCAAAGTTTAAAACCTCCTTACTTTTTGGAAGTTGAAGGAAACTGAAATCAAACCACCTGGATTCATTTGATGGAGTATAATGAGCAATAAAGTTGAACAACTAGAAATGAAAATCATATTTGATTGGAAAAATCATCGAATACAAAAAATAATTCCAATGATTCAAGGGAAAAATGGGGATTGTCCAAATAAATTGTCAAAAAATTGGAATGTTCACTCGCAATTATCTGCTCTGGTACATTTCTCCATTCTTGCCTGACTACCTAATGAGCAGTAAGTTGTCATATAGTACAGCTAGCATCTCTATAATTTGATTAATTTTCTATAAATTCTATGCGATATGAATAGGAATCATCATGTAGCAATATCATTATTATCTTATTCCCATCACTCAGACGTAAGTTCTCGACAAGCCCAGTCAACACACCTTTTTGTCTTCAACCTCGAAATATGTTGAACAACTCTTTACCAACACTCGATCATACTTAGAACGGCAAAGCTTTGGAATTGTTTGCCTAACATAGTATTCCCAAGAACTTATAATCCCCAAAAGTTGAAAAAAATCCCAATACCCACCTCCTCCCCCTATCCTCCCTAGGTACCCACAATGTTACGTGAACATTATAGGGATTCCCTTTGGTACTCTTCAAGAGATGGAAAAAAGGTGGCCGTATCTCTTTTTTTTCTTCTTATATTTTGTTTGCCTGAGAATTCACTTTGACCTTTTGACAGTGTGAAAACAACCTATTAAAATCACAATGGAATCTGTATTCAAGCATGCACTAAGCTTGGACGTTCCCCATCCCCTTTCTCCACCTTTTTGAAGTGGACATTCCGCGTTTTTTCCATGTGAACGTATTTTCGAACGAGCATATCAGCTGACTATGCTACGTTATGACTACTATATTGTGACATTCCCCCTTTTCCCCCTGTGGTCTTCATTTTCAACACAGAAAATGACAATAGTACTCCATTAAATAATGCTATACAACTGATCTATGTTCACCTAGTCGCCACTTTTTTAAAAAAAGACTGCGTATTTCGTGCTCAAAGTGGGGACATATTTTTCGCTCAGATTTCGATAAGTTTCGGATTTTCAGTCGACCATCGAAAGCATAAAGTTGTGTGTGAGAAAAAGTTAAAAATATGCTTTTCGCCAGGAATTACGCCAGTGATCATTTTGAGATTCAACAAGATGAGACGGCCATGATGTGGGTAAGAATAACTCGAGTACATATTCGTATAGCTCAATAAATTACCCAGAAAAATAAACATGATCTCATATCTGATATATGTCAGAAATTGATATGATGATTCAAATTATTCAGATAATTCAAATTACTATCAGTTATGCTTTTAACCTCACAATCAATTATTATTAATCGTCCCTTCTCATTACACTACTTTTTCCCCAGTTCTTTGTCTCAACCTCGTATAATGAATATTTCATCAATTGGTATTGCGGCGAAACTCAATTAATCTCAGGGGGTAGTTATATGGGTCCACACTGTATATGTGGTTTCTGGGTAAGAAAAAACTCGCTAAGTCGGACAGACCAAGTTTTAATTCCACCCAATCGTAGCGTCTTAAACTGACAGAGGAAACCAAATACAACATTTTTTCCCACGATATGATCCGAATACAATTGACAAATAAGTAGCAAAGATAATCGAGTCCAGTAAACTATAAGCAATAAATTTTAATGACGTAACTCACCTGACAGATCAGGCACACTGTTGCTGAAATAATTATATTTCAGAACACAAAGATTCTGTGCAGTCAATGGCAAACACTTTCGAAATTGGGGAAAACTGCACTGAACACTCCCAAGAGCCACAACGTTCGAAATTTTTACTTTATTATAAAAACGGGAGCTCGCTTCTTTCGGTATTCAACAAAAACTAGAAACAACTAATTAATTTTGAAACGAGGATTCGGACACAGGGGAGTACCCGCGGGGATAAGGATAAAGTATGAAATGCTATACAATTTGGGTGATTATTTCGAGAAATGACTGGAATATAGCAATCTCGTATTGGTTTCGCTACAGTATCTATAAGTAATTTCAATTTTCGTGGATGCCATATCACTTTGAATGCAATGAAAAACTCGAGTAAATCTACTTTAATTAATCAACGCAACCTAAATAAAGTGAAATACCAAATCTCTACTTGAGAAATATTTTAAGTGCAATGATATTTTGGCGCAAATCATTTTCCATTTGTCATAACTATATATAAAATATTTATAGAATCGAGGAGAGAAAACCTCCAAAAAAATTATAGAAACGAATATTTCACAAGGTGGTATTCGATTATTCGATGGACAGTTGAATTGCATTTTATTGAAAAATGTTCAAAATGATTCTATAAAAATACGAGACGCTTTAGTCTCATGTGTCACCCAGTATAATGCAGCTAAACATCTACGCTGAAATAATATATACTTTGATGTTTACCGAACACGAATTTAGATCCTCGTTAAATTATTATTTATACCGCCTATGCTTTCGAAATTTATATCAGATTTCTCAACACTGGTTTTCAATGGAAAGGAACATATAGATAATATACTCTTGACCTAAGCAATTGGCAACATACGAGAAAATGTAATGTATGACCTACATTTACATGAAATGTAATTTCAGAGCAAACATCACTCTGGAATTGGGTTGTTATAAATATAATCCAGTATGAAAACTTCATCAAAATCGAAACTCTGAATTGAATCAAATGATATAGAATATATCATTCCACAGTCTCTATTTTAATTTCAACTTTAGATTCCCATAGCTATATCAACCAAATGAAGATGATAGTTGTTTACAAAAGACACAGTTATGTATTTGAATTTTCCCTGATAAATTTGGATTTGCAGTTTTCCTTTTCCTGTTGTGAGCCAAGGGCGGGAAGTTTGAATCACCCTGTACATGACTAATGATATTTTTTCTGAACACCCACTTGAGATTTACTGAATATCCTTGGCTGCTCATTGATATAAACTGATGATTATTTTGAGACATTCTAAAACAGTCAGTGACTGACGTAAGGTCTGACGATATAAATGTTTATTGATCATCAGTATAGACACTATTTACCAAATTCCTACTTTATTTAACATTTTGAAATAACCCATGGCTAGCTTTTCCATGCGAATCGACAATGAATCAACATTCAAAATCTTGTTAGAAGGACGAACTACTATAAAAACATCATTTACATATTCACTTTCAAGCTAAATTTTTCTCGAACTCCGTTTCGTATATTTTGAAGGACCCTGGTAGAGACGTTATAAATATCCAGGTTTCGAACTACATCTTTCCTGACTGTCGCTATTGCTCGTTACAAAACAGCTTCGTTAATAAACTAATTTACTATTAGTGCCCTCATCAGTCAATCATCTATAATAGAGATTGTGAACTACACCTCAATGCAGTGCCAAATTGCATAAAAGTACCATCCAATGTAAACACGGAAATCGCCTACACTAAATCACGAAATGAAGAGCAAAAGATGTCAATCGAAATATTTATATGTACAAAAAATTAGAATACCTTATACATAATCATCTGAAATTCATTGTGAAGTGGTATGCTGGTAATAATACAATAACTGATCAATATGATGAATATTATATTATGAACATGAATATATATAAAAATATATATGTTATAATAGATGTGAGAGGGTAGTCGTTGCTGACTAGTTAGAGGTAAAACTAGGGGAATGCAGCAAAGTGAAAAGAGTACTTTAAAGTTTGTCCAAGCTTTCGGAATATTATATTTCCATCATCAGGGAACTACAACAATTTTCCATTAGGTCACATTAATTGTAGCAAGAGAAAAATGTTTTTTACTTACATCTTTGTTGAGGTTGGTTCACATTAATGTTGATAATGATAAAATTGTATAAGACGATAATGACATAGTTGATAAGACGAACAAATACATACAATTGTGATTGATCCTGTTTTTTGTTCGTCTTATCAACTATGTCATTATCGTCTTATACAATTTTATCATTATCAACATTAATGTGAACCAACCTCAACAAAGATGTAAGTAGAAAACATTTTTCTCTTGTTACAATTAATGTGACCTAATGTAAAATTGTTGTAGTTCCCTGATGATGGAAATATAATATTCCGAAAGCTTGGACAAACTTTAAAGAGTACTCTTTTCACTTTGCTGCATTCCCCAATAAACCTAGATTTACCTATGTTATAATATATACAGGGTGTCCCTAGACCAGTGGGACAGTTGAATATCTCCTGAACCAATAGGAATTTTCGAAATATTATGATTCCACATCATATCGCATTATGAGTGCTAACTTCAGGAATGACTATATTTTATACGAGGGGCGCAAGAAAGGCTCACAAAATCGAACATCAATTTTTTCAAATGGAACACCCTGTATTTCATTGTATTTTCATATTCTCCTTGATGAGCTGAGTTCAACGACCTAGCACACTTGGGGTCTAGCGGGAATGATTTCCGAGATATAGGGTGTGGAAAATCGAGATTCTTCATTTCTGGGAATTTTTTGTGTCGAAACTATTCATTATTGATCAAAACGGAATACATGTCCAGATCTTAACTTTTGATTTACTATTTACTCGTATTTAATTGAAACAAATACAGGGTGGTGTAGAATTTTCAGTTTCAGTCAGAATTCTACACCACCCTGTATTTGTTTCAATTAAATACGAGTAAATAGTAATTCAAAAGTTAAGATCTGGACATGTAATCCATTTTGACCAATAATGAATAGTTTTGACACAAAAAATTCCCCAAAAATGAAAAATCTCGATTTTCCACACCCTATATCTCGGAAATCATTCCCGCTAGACCCCAAGTGTGCTAGGTCGTTAAATTAAGCTCATCAAGGAGAATATGAAAATGCAATGAAATACAGGGTGTTCCATTAGAAAAAATTGATGTTCGATTTTGTGAGCCTTTCTTGCGCCCCTCGTATAAAATATAGTCATTCCTGAAGTTAGCACTCATAATGCGATATGATGTGGAATCATAATATTTTGAAAATTCCTATTGGTTTAGGAGATATTCAACTGTCCCACTGGTCTAGGGACACACTGTATAAAGAAAATTGAGAATTCGCATTCGCATTATGTGATGAAAATATCAATTCTTTCTCGGTTTATTCAACAGAAAACAACTACTTTCCTGGCTATATGCCACGACGAACATTGAATTATATCTATCGAACACACACGATAAGAGTTTGAGAACAAAATCTTCTGAAATTGAGAATTTGCATTCTCGTTCAGACAAAAATATGTATATGCATATAATATCATTCTGAATATTCAACTATCTTTTTTGCATGAAGAAGTATCAATAATTTTTTTTTTCGAATCATGAAATGCATTGAAATATTCACTTCCAGTTTGAAGGCATTCATGATGGATGACCTTGAACGAAAAATGTTTCGTCTGTGGTGAATATTTTATTTGGAAGTACCAGATTCCCTCCGTAACAAGTTTCTAAATACACCACTATCCAAAAAATCTTCATATTTATTATTATAATGACTCTAAAAATCTGTCCCCAAAAAATCTGATCACCCTAACATAAACCGTTTATGTCCGATGGTGTACAATACAAAATGAATATAGTAGTAAAACAGGAAATTAAATTGATTAGCTATACACAGGCTGTGATAAATAAGAATACTATATTAGAAACCAAGATGGTAAAATACGGTGACAAAATCGTTTTTGTTTTTTTTTTTCGATTTACTCGAACGTTACTTGTTTTTTTTTTACTTAAATCTATGTCTGTTTCTATTTGTGAAGTTCTTACATCACGTTACATTAATTGTCTCGTTCTCTAAATATTTGGTTTACATGCATTATATTAGTTTATAGATATTAATCGAGTGTATTATGTTTGGTCCATATTGATTCGTCCAGTGGTATTACAAACTTTTAGAAACCATCGAAAATGTATGTTTCATTTGGTTATAATTGTTATCATTGTCCTGTTATAGTGCTGTCAACATCGTTTGTTTTCATCTGTGTTTTTAGCCCTACCGTACCACCCCTTTGGTACTGCCAGGTGCTAAGGTGAAGCGCGAAGGAGGACCCACAGAAACTTACCTTCGTCATCATCCAAATCCTTCTGTTAGAGCACCACCCCATCATCTAGACCCTGACCTATATGTCCGACAAAAGGTACATTTTTATAAATATCAACTGAAAATTGAGTTTTCCAAGATTCTGATTGGAACGAAATGCAAATATATCCGAACCACCCCAACAATAATAATTTGAATTGACTCGCCCCTTACTTGATGTAAATCCATGGCAAACTTCACAAACGATAGAATTTCCACAAAAATCTCTTTCGCTAACACAGTAGCTTGACCAGGTGAAATATTGGTGCAATGAACTAAACTAACCTTGGCTTGCTCAACTTTTATATATCCTACTTTCCCAACCTGAAGGATTAGAATTACCTGTGAACAAGTTCGATAAACCTTCATTTACGGAAAACAGGCACAATATCTACATTAAAATACGGTGTACCGGATTAACTTGAAAGGGTTGATAGCAAATACAAATTACCTACTAAGAAAACAAATTCAACAGTGGTGAACTATTAGTTGATCGTTAAGTGAAATGTTAGAATTTTTGAGTTTGTTGATTTCTAATGATTCAAAATGATCGACTTTCATTCCTTTATTTTCTACGTGTAGAATTCCGAAATCATAATCAAAACTATGGTTTTCTTTTAATATATGGTTGGCGTATGTTGAATTTGTTTTCTTTTTGAACAAATTCATCTTATGATCATGAATGCGCTGATTAAACGTACGACCTGTCTGACCGATATATATATATCTTAGGACAAGGTCCACAGTTGAGTTTGAATACCCCTGATTTTTCCAATTTAGAAGTTATGTCTTTTTTATTTTTTCCGTCGACCTCGTATTAACGACTGAGTTTAATGTATATGAAATCGTTCATTAATGACCCCTATTAATGAACGATTTGTCTATTAATGCACGATTGTTTTATAGGCAACCAAACATACACCGCGTGCATTCATTATTTATGCTATAACTTACGGAATCTGCATTTAAATCGAAAATATGGATTTCATCGAAGATTTTTCGTTAACGGGTACGCCTTTCCAAGTTTCTGACACGATTTCAGTCCCTGTTTTCTAACACAAGGAATTTTATTTTCTATGTTGATCATTACGACAAATGTCAAATGTTACTAATGTCAGTAACAAGGCTACTGGATGATTCTTAGCGATTTTTCGGATGAATGATGAATTCGCGAACCAAGTGTTCTTCATTGAAGGAGAAATGAGAAATATAGTCGACGAAAAAATTTTGTAACCAACTTGTATATTAAAAGGCTATTAATGATCTCGAACATTAACACGCTCGCTTCGTTCGCACATTTAAATATCTCGATCATTAATCGCCCTCATTAATACACTAGTTGGTTAAATAACTATTTCCGTCGACCTCGTATTAACGACTAAGTATAATGTATATGAAATCGTTCATTAATGACCCCTATTAATGAACGATTTGTCTATTAATACACGATTGTTTTATAGGCAACCAAACATACACCGCGTGCATTCATTGTATATGCTATAACTTACGGAATCTGCATTTAAATCGAAAATATGGGTTTCATCGACGATTTTCCGTTAACGGGTTCGCCTTTCCAAGTTTCTGAAACGATATTAATCCCTGTTTTCTAACACAAGGAATTTATTTCCTATGTTGATCATTTCGACAAATGTCAAATGTGTCTAATGTCAGTAACAAGGCTACTGGGTGATTCTTAGCAGTTTCCGGATGGATGATGAATTGGCGAACCAAGTTTTCTTCATAGCAGGAGAAATGAGAAATATAATCGACGGAAAAATTTTGTAACCAACTCGTATATTAAAAGGCGATTAATGATCTCAAACATTAACGCACTCGCTTCGCTCGCACGTTAAAATATCTCGATCATTAATCGCCCTCATTAATACACTAGTTGGTTAAATAACTATTGATGTCCTGTTTATGTAGAAATTAAGCCAATTTTCCAGTTGATGATCCGAAATATGTTAAAGTTCTATAATTTTGATTATTATTTTTGATGGTAGGATAAACTTCTTGAATAGCTTTATTATGGAGTTTTTTAGAAATAATACTGTCTATCAAATTACCGTTGAATCCGTTGATGACTGCAATCTGTTTTATGATATTGAGTTCTTTATTGTTAGTTTAGTTCATTGTACCAGTATTCCACCTGATGAAGCTACTGTGTTAGCGAAACATGTCGTGTGATTGTCGAAATCTTATCGCTTGTGAACTTTTAACAATAATAATTTGGGTGTTACTCAAATTGGAGACATGATAACACAATAAATCGTAAGAAAAAAATTTCAACTATTATTGAACGTCCGGCAACATTGCAAAAGTCATTGATACTCTCGGTGATTTTGACCTCGCCTAGAGCAAACGCCCGAGTTCAGCTGTTAACATATAATAAATATTCATAATCATCTATCAGTTGAAAATGTACCCTCATCTTATCACCAATTTAATGAATTTTTCATTAAATTTTTGATTCTTATGTATTTGTTTCAATACCATTAAGATAATTCGTGATTGAAACTATAACTTTTGCATCTTAATTTAAAAAAAACATTCTAAACACGGCAGTAAAATTAATATCTTGAATCAAGCTGGCATTCTGTTCAAATCAATATGTTATGTTAAAAAATATTGAACAACACGTTGGCATATAATTCACTAAGCACGATTCGAAAAACAAATGAAAAAATAACTGCCGGATGTTTTCATTACCCTGAGCTATTATTGTTCATTTGAATATCGATTATAAAAAGTTCCTTCAGAACGCCCTATATTTATGTATATTTTTCTCGTGAAATGAAGTGCGTTCATATACGCTAGGTCCATAGAGTTTATAAACCAAAATAGATTGTATTGACCTTAATGTTATTTTTGGCCAAAGTGTATTACGTTTCATTAGTAGAGGAATTCTTGACAGCAATTTGCACACATTAACATTGAGGATTAGTTCTGGAATGAAATGCAAAACACAAGAAGAGATGCCGACATTGACCTGTGTTAGAAATTGTATGAAAAATAAATGTTTCAAACCACTGACTCATTATAAATACCGATCGATCAGTTTTCATCACAATGTGGCGAATGAGTAATAGTATTATTGCATTTCCGTTGAATGCATTATCAATGACTATTCCACTCTTGATCTCGAGAACCAATCAGTTCTGTATTCTAGCGATATTTTTTTGTTTATTAAATTTTACTTGCTCTACCAATACAGAAGCCGAATTGACCCACACGTGACCAACAAACCTCGTTTATCAGCGATACAATTTTGACATCGTGTCTATAAGTACCTACTTTATTTCATTTACTTATAATTCGCGTTAGTGAGATATTTTGTACGAAAGGCGAGACAATTTTATTCTGACTGGACGTTTCATGTGTAATTTAAAAAGTTTGCATATTTGTTGACGGTCTGACACAACAATACTAGAATTCAAATTCCTTTTCAAAGTAATCTTCTTCAATCACTCAAGTTATTGTGACTGATATAATTACCAGATGATGTAGCGCAATTGATAGGGTTGTTGCGCGAAGATACGAAGGTCGATGGTTCGAGCCCCGCGGCGACGATATCTTTTTTTTTTTAATTATTTCATGTCACATAAATTCAATTCATTTTGTTTGAATTGGATAGCAATTTTATACACTCTTCTGAGAGCAACTATCTCCAAGATAATAAAAAAATACTGTCTATCAAAATTGTACATTCCACTTTGTGAATAACTATAAGTACGTAGTTAATTTCAAAAAAATTGGATTCTGTATTTCATTACTATCATTATGTTTCCTATTTCTTATATGTATTGTCTCATTCAATCATGAAATATTCATAGGAATACAACTCGTGATACTATTTTTCATGGAAATATTCGTCGATTGACATACTCCAGCTTGCTCATGACATTGATCCAAAACTACTTGCCTACGGCTCGTAGTTTTGATAACAATGTCATTTACGGAATTACTAGGCAACAAGCTGTCGTAACGATCACCGAATATTTCCGGCAAAATATTATATATGAACAATTTTTGATTTGTCGATTTTGAAAATTTATAGGTGGCATCTTCAGTTCTAGACAGCATTTCCACTGGTGATCCGAATAAACAGGTTACTATTTTGTGTTTTTGAATGAATAATTCATTTGAAATAAAGCCTCGTGGAACTGGCAAGCATTAAAAACTAAACTTTTTGCATATCAACACCAATAATAAGACGCAGTCAACACTAACTTTGTTTTATAACATTGCCTATCATGCAAATTTTCTCAGTTTTCCTTATTCAGTGTTCTGGTTGGTGCTAATCCAAATTCAAAGAATATATCGTGGTCTTGATATACGCACTAATCTAATTTTTTTTTCAGTTAGTTCACAAGCAGTTCAACTCTCCAATCAGTCTATACAGTGAGCCAAATGTAGTAGATACTATTCAGAAACAAACTGGGTTGAAACCGTAAGTACCAAAAGCTAAACAGATATCCATACGATATACATAATATTTTTCTGATCCGGGAGATTGCGCACAACCTGTATAGAATCTGGTATACAGTGTTATTTGCTATTTTTGACTCCCTTAGCCCTCTTTTTGAAATATCTTTCGGAATAATTTGCATCACAGCACTTATTTTTGTTAATAATGTTTCAACTTTCAAGCTTAGCTCAGTTGAACGTTCTGATTGGTTTAAAATCATATGAAGAAAATAATCATCTGAGGGTGCATTTTCAGACAGGTCCGTCGACATGTGAAATTCAATCCGGTGGAAAGCGAGACCTACAAGGCCCTTCAAGAGGAGGAGCTAGGTGACCATGTCCAAGAGGTGAACGTGCCTCCGCAAAGCAAGATATATGCGCCCAACAGGAACATCCCTGCCAAGGTAAACAATGTTGATTGAGTGCTAGATGGGCTCATTGGCTGGCATACCGCTTCGCAAGGTGTTAAGTACGTTTCGCTTTTTCCTATGAATGAATTCCTAGAGGTATAGCTTGCATGTTGTCATAATAATAACCTTTTACCAGGTTCGTTCGTTTGTATTTGTTCAAACTGCCGGACTCCAAATTTGTACTGCTCGTTTGTGTTTGTTCAACCTGCCAAACTTCATTATTTTCTAACACCATCTCTGTTTGCGTAGTGCGATGAACAGAAATAAACGTTAAAATGAATCAACTTCAGCCGGTTGAGCAAAAGTAATTTCATATTTACGTAATATGAAAGATATTGTGCCATTCCATAGATCACTGTTGATTGCCGACTTATTCATACTCTATGTAGTCGTAGTGACGACATATCAGCTTTTAACCAATTTCAGTAAACGTATTGTATGCATAAGGGGCGAATAAACTACGACCTCAAAGATCTTTTGTGCCCCATCTTCTGCTATACCTGATGAGGTTATTCTCCGTAGCTATGGCAATTATTCTAGTCCTATATCCCTTAGAAATTTCAGGATATGAGATGGTTTCAAGTACGGAAGCTCCTCCTCCTCCTCCTCCTCCTCCTCCTCTATTATGTGTGCTCCTATGTTTATTGTCCTTGGGTTCTGTAGGGTATGTATGTGGATAGAAGTTTCCTCCTCTTCCTCGCATAACCAGCAATCGTCTTCCTCTTTTAATCCGAGCTTCCTAAGATGTCCTTTCAACCGGCAGTGCGCTATAAAAAATTGTTCTAAAATTGTCATTCGGTTGCCCCCTTACGAGCAACCCTTCAGAAGTCTTCGAAAGTCTTGTGCGAGCAAAGAATGTCGGGGGCCTTACCTTTTAACGTGTGATCCCAAACACTTTCTTAGGCCATCAGAAAAAGTCTGCGTTCGTGGGACTCGAACCCACGATCGTTACCTCGACGTGAATCGATATTGAAGCATTGAAGCACTGAGGTACGCCGGCCCTTTTAAAACTAAACAAAGTTTATTTTAACTTAGGCTGACAAATATGCTGTTTTTGTGGTTATATGAACTTAGCCTGTCTGAGACCTCGAAGATTTTCCCAGATGTCTAATCTCTGTTAAGCTTCTTCTTCTCTAATTTTATCTGAAACAGTACTGATACTAATCCCGCAGAAGTGTTCTGGCACCACCAGGGTGTTTGCCCTTTCAAATGTTTGATGCTTACTGATGGTGTTATAATGATTAATAATTACTTAATAAAAAAAGTCAGTGGTTATTTTCCGTAGTAAACATAAGTTTGACATACCCATAATGAAATATAGGCATTTTTGCTGCATGAATAAATTAACATTATAATCCTTTGAACCTCCTAATAACTGTCAGGAATGCAGAAACTAATTTTTCGTTGTTGATAGATTAGATATGAGAAACAGTAAACAACTTGTGTATGTTTTCAATTGATCTATCCTGTCAATAAACATTCCGTTCCGAATGAGGTTGTGAATGTATTTGTTGATGTGTGTAAAAACCTTGTTAAACATATTCGTTTGTATGTCAATTGAAACTGCAAATCAAAGTTGCTTGGATTTCTGTTTGCTAAAAATAACGCCATTAACAAGAAAAATATCGCTGAAACGTTTGAATTTCATACTCGTGTTAGCCGGTTGATATCTGGAAACATACACTGACTTGTTTTTTCATAAATCTTGATATTCTCTTTGAATCAGAGGTTCCAAAGAAGAAAACAATATTTGACATCGGAATCAAGAGAAAAAAATGACACAGAATCATGTTATAGCCTCCTTTTCTCCTACGCTTTTCTAGCTATATTCCTGAAATTTTAAATAATAGAGGGAACTTTCTCAAATTTTAGGATAGGAAAGGGTTTCCCATTTAAAAGTCAAAAGTTGATGTAATTTCCAGGAAAACCGGGAAAGAATCCTAAAATTTAAGAAAGTGTCCTCTAGTGAACATATTCGATTTCCAAATTTCAGAAATATAGGATGATTCACTGTCATATTGCTGGCCAGTGTATATTGGAATTACGATTTTGGAATGTTACGTTTTTAAATAGTCTAAACTTGATTCATTTCCGGTCACCATAATACAAGGATATCATTAAAATTTTTGAATTTTTCGAATACGTTTACGACAGTTTGCATCTTCATGTAAGCAACTTTTTCCAGAAACCTGTTCTTGTTGTAAACCAGAATCCAGCACACTACAACTCGATCACTGGAGGAGATCCAGATATAATCCAACAATCTGGATCGTTCAAAAGGTTGATGTGGAGCGTTATGCCGGGCAGCAACTTCTAAAAAAATCTATTCCGAATATTTCCTTGGCAAAGTTCGACTATGAATTATTTTGTGATAAATATTTCACAGTCGCGCATCGTATCAAAAAAATCATTCGAAATCTCTCAAACTGATCAACGCTGATAAAAAATGTAAACACGTAAAGCCATCTATGACGAGCAATTAGCCAAAAGCGAACTATCTCTTCGATCACAGCTGGCCCTATAATAAGCCGCGGTGGGAGAAATGCAACACCGCATCGCCGTGATCCGTCCTACTCTCGACTATGGCAACATAGGCAAACATTGCTAACCTCGCTAACGTAACGTCAATTTCTGTCTTTGAGATAATTGAACTTTAATGGAAAAAATAGCAAGGAATAATGGATCAGGTCACAGGTCAGGTTTTATTCAGTTTCTTAAATAAAATAAACATAACCTCAATTCAAACTATTTTTGATGGACTTTCTCACACACACACAAACACCCTGTCACTTATAACTTGACCACTGGAATAGTCCTTACATTTTTCACTAGCTTTCAACAATATTTCACATTGACAACACATACATTAACTCTTGAAAATTAAACAAATCCATTTCCTTATTGCATTTACACGGCGTATAACGCGTGTATAAAATGGCCGACCAAGGGACTGTCGGACAGTGTTGCATGATTTCTCAACTCGGCTTTCTATATCGGAGGCTGTACTTCGATGAATTTGAGAGGTTAAAAAAATATATAGCTGATACTATGTGCTTGTGAAGAAAATCTCGTTATTTGCATGGGCAAGTAGAATTCGATGATTTCATCCATTTATTATATCTGTAAGAAATTTTGAGTTGTTTTGTTTTCGTTTCAGAGTTTATCATTGATCGAGTGTAATCTAGTCACATACCGTTATAATAGAGAATAAGTAAATTATTTATTTATATCACTACTATCTATCGTAAAATAATCGTAAAGTTTTCGAGATATTGTTTATGCTTATCATAAAATACAGGGTGATTCATTCATTAATGGATTAAAATTGAAACTTAACATGTTATTTAGTTAGCTAGAATGTTGAGAGTGTTCACTCTGTGTATTTTCCTTAGATGTTGGGAAGAGGATTGTTGAAATATTTACATTTGTGCATCTATATTTATATTTGAGTATATTGAGGGAAATATATTTATTTTATTCATATTCGGAGTTAATTGTCCTTCCTATTAACAGTCTTCTTATTTCTGAAGTTCCAGCCCCAATTTCATACAATTTTGCATCTCTTAGGTAACGTCCTGTAGAATAATCGTTTATATATCCGTTGCCCCCTAAAAAAACCATTTTGATGGATATGGGAATATAAAAATGATTACAGATAACATCACCTCAGAAAACTTGAATATCAGCTCATTTTTATTTACTATCATTTCTAACTACTCACCTAAAATTTGTATAGCATCCAATGCCATTCTAGTAGCATTTTCTGCACAGTAAAGAATGACACCTGCACAGTCTTTCCGGTTCACTTTTTTATTATCACAAGCTCTGGCAACGCTGTATAAATAACTCCTACATGCACTCATAGTGGTGTACATGTCTGCAAGTTTACCCTAAAAACTTACATGTTTAGGTAAAATATTCCTGATGAGTTGAGGCAGAAGATTAATTGAGGGATTTTCTTGATGTTATTCACCTGAATTAGTTGAAATTGTCCAATTTTCGAGTTGAATTGCTTCCGGACATGCGCATAAGAGAAGGCGATGTCACAACAAGCTTGCATAATTCCTAATGGACCAGCTGCCAATACTAAACGTTCTAAATCCAAACCACTCATGAGGACATAAACACCTGAAGAAAAACCACTTTAATATTACTTCAGAACAAAAAACTGATTAGTAATTATTTATTCTTGAACACCAATCTATCTATACATTAGTGTATCCAGCTTCAAGTGTTACTGCCCTAGTATTTTTTCTTTCAAAATTAAGAACTCAAACCTATCAGTCAGGTATTATATGAATCGAGTTTGATATAAACTACTCAACACTAATTTCGTCGCACACCAAAATGTCGCCCCTGTTATAATGTGAATAACTTTTTTCAGTTCGAAACAATTTGAATTTGGTTCACACTGTTCGATAGCCCAGTCCTTCAGCTATAATTTGGTACTTCATTGAAACATAAGGGTATTCACATAAAATCTCTACATGGTGTTTTCCGACACTGTGCAAAATTTCGGAATATTCAAAAGGCTCTCAAATGGTGAAAATAATTTTTTTCTCAACTTCGACAATAGAGGCATGAAGATGATCTCATTACCTCGAAATATTTCGCGAATTAACTTCCTATCTGTCTCATTTACAGAGTGATCTCAAAAAATCAACTTTTTGGTTTTGCAGCCATAACTTTTTTCCACGTCAACCGATTTTGGGAATCTCAGGCTCATTTTGAAGATAAAACTTCAGATGAAGAGATCTGGATATCAGAATTGACTCAAGATGGCTATCAAAGATCTAGAGTTTTCTTGAAAGTGACCCAAATCTGGAACGCACCCCGAATCTCGGTTGGGAGGAGAATTGAATGAAAATCAACTTGTTCTCGGAAAAACAATTCATTCTGGATGCTTCCATATTTTTCTCGCTCTCGTTACTCAAGAATGTGCGTGAGAAAACACAATTGAAACATGTTCTTGCAAAAACATCAGACCATTTCTCCTCTGTAATGCATGGCCCGTAACCAACGTTACAAGAATCACAGTAAGTGACTGACAAGTCAGGTTAGACGTCGTTTTCGAATCATAAACAGATTTTGATAGTTTCGATGCCGCATCTAACGCCCGACCAGTTGGAACTGATTCCACAAATGAGGGAACAAGGGCTATCTTCCCTCCAAATCGCGGATCTGCTAAACACGACAGTCCGATCCATTCAAAGGGCTCATCTCCGACACGAATTGTTTGGTTATTACTGTCGATTCGTTCGGCGCATTATTTTGACTAAAAACTTTACTTAATTGGCAAACTGTTTTCGTGAAACTTTCACCATTCTCGAAATTAGTTTTAACAATAAATAAACGTTGTTTGCTTGAATACTTCTCCATATTCTAAAATCGCATGTTATGTACGTGACAACTGTTAAAAAAATCACTTTATTGGAAAAATCAAAATCCGTTGCTCTTGTTGGTACACTATTTATGATGAGCCTCAGCTGGTCGGGTTTGTCAGTCACTCATTGTGATTCTTGTAACATTGGTTACGGCGGGCCATGCATTACAGAGGAGAAATGATGTAATGTTTTTGCGAGAACATGTTTCAATTGTGTTTTCTCACGCCCATTCTTGAGTACTGAGAGCGAGGAAAATATGGAAGCATCCAGAATGAATTGTTTTTACGAGAACAAGTTGATTTTCATTCAATTCTCCTCCCAACCGAGATTCGGAGGGCGTTCCAGATTTGGGTAACTTTGAAGAAAACTCTAGATCTTTGATAGCCATCTTGAGTCAATTCTGATATTCAGATCTCTTCATCTGAAGTTTTATCTTCAAAATGAGCTTAAGATTCCCAAAATCGGTTGACGTGGAAAAAAGTTATGGCTGCAAAACCAAAAAGTTGATTTTTTGAGATCACTCTGTAAATAAGAGAGATAGGAAGTTGATTAGCGAAATATCTCGAGGTAATGAGATCATCTTCATGCCTCTATTGTCGAAGTTGAGAAAAAAATTGTTTTCACCATTTGAGAGCCTTTTGAATATTCCGAAATTTTGCACAGTGTCGGAAAACACCATGTAGAGATTTTATGTGAATACCCTCATGTTTCAATGAAGTACCAGATTATAGCTGAAGGACTGGGCTATCGAACAGTGTGAACCGAATTCAAATTGTTCTAAACTGAAAAAAGTTATTCACATTATAACAGGGGCGACATTTTGGTGTGCGACGAAATTAGTGTTGAGTAGTTTATATCATTTCTGTGGTCAGAATAACAACAAAAATCGGGAAACTATTAGGCATAGTTTCCTAAAATTTTCTGTTAGATTTGTATTTATGCCTAATATAATTCCCTGATTTTTGTTATGTAATTTTGATAACAAGAAGACAATCAAACTCAGCGAGAGACACGGTATAGATATTTAAGTAAGAAATTGAGCTAGTAACTGATCAGATAATAATAATCTTTATTATTCCCAAGAAACATATACAGGCTGATTCACGGTGGATGGCACATTAGACGTTTCTGGTGAACCAGACAACGGATCATTTTGAAAATCCAATGGAGGGCATATTCGGACATTCTCTTGCCAACTGAAATATTTTTGACAATGCGGTGTTGCCGCTTCTATTAGAAAGCAGTAGCAACTTTGATTTTTCAAATGGAACACTCTGTATTTTATTGCATTTTTAGATTCTCCCTGAAGAGCTTATTTCATCGATGTATCACACTTGGGGTCTAGCGGAAATGATTACAGAGATATAGGGTGTGAAAAATCGACATTTTTCAACTTTAGAATTTTTTGTGTCGAAACTATTCATCATTGGTCAAAACGGCTCACATGTCCCTATCTGAACTTTTGATTAACTATCTACTGATATTTAATTGGGACATATACCGGGTGATTAAGATTCTGAATTCTGCACCACCCTGTATTTGTTTCAATTAAATTTCAGTAGATAGTTGATCAAAAGTTGAGATAGGGACATGTGAGCCGTTTTGACCAATAATGAATAGTTTCGACAAAAAAAAATTCCTAAAGTTGAAAAATGTCGATTTTTCACACCCTATATCTCTGTAATCATTTCCGCTAGACCCCAAGTATGATACATCGATGAAATCTGCTCTTTAGGGAGAATCTAAAAATGCAATAAAATACAGAGTGTTCCATTTGAAAAATCAAAGTTGCTACTGCTTTCTAATAGAAGCGGCAACACCGCATTGTCGAAAATATTTTAGTTGGCTAGAGAATGTCCGAATATGCCCTCCATTGAATTTTCAAAATGATCCGTTGTCTGGTTCACCAGAAACGTCTAATGTGTCATCCACCGTGAATCAGCCTGTATAGTAGGGAATATTATGAAAGAGCAACTAAAAAAAAATTAGATAATCAGATAACTATTTTTCATATACATAGTACATATAATGTTGTTTCTTCTAGAGACTGTTGAATATAAGTTCTTGAATTGATTAAGTATGATATAAGAGAATCAAAGACATAAGTATGAACGATGCTCTTCTGAAATATCAACAATTGTTCCTCCCTTGGCAGTCCCTGCTAGATTAACCCGTCGAGTTGAGGCTTCGCACCCCTTCGTGGTCACTTTGGAGACCTGCAGAACATCTCTTTCCAAAGACTCGTTCATCCAACGAACAGCGAGGCACATTGCCAAAGGAGGTGTTCCCCGAGGCATATAACCTCCAGAAATTCAAGAAGAACACCAATTCCTACCTTATTTCCCTTGGTTCTCACGATGTTCTCTGAACATTACAGGATATCCCTTTTCGTGGAAACCAGAACATAAAAAAAACAGGAGTTATAGTAAGTTTGCTCACTGGACACTGCAAACTCAAACACCACATGCTCAAAATCGGACACAAGATGCAGAGTGCCGTCTATGCATGGAGGAGAATGAAACGGCTAAACATTTTATGTAAATGCCCTGCAGCGGCCAGAATCAGATTTTCAACAACTTCTCAATTTGGCCAAGAGATTAGATATACTGGGAGAAATATAACCATAAATTGAGCCACAATAGGCCATTGGCCGCAGTGGAGAGCCTGACATGGGCCCACTCACGTTTAAACTTAACCTGGGTCGTATAGGCTGGGAGACCTCTCGATCACTGCGACCTAGAAGATCTATTGTGATTACCCCTATCTAGTTTGGTCCTCTAACCCTAAACTTCTGATGAAGCCTACAATTTTCCTGACGGTTGAATTTTCCACCTCAGCAGGGGTGAGATAGACCTGTTCTAGGTGGTTCAGCCTTTGGCGGACTAATACTTCACATGACCTAACCTAACCTAATCAATTGATTCTGATTGTATCATACCCTTATTCACGGTTCCTAGCACGTTTTCTTTGGGCACTTTGCAGTCCTCGAAGATTAGCTCTGATGTACTGGACCCTCTCATTCCGAGCTTATCCAGTTTTTGTCCCGTTTTGAATCCGTCATAACCCTTTTCTACTATGAAAGCCGTGATACCATGCTGAGGTTTCGACTTTGGATCTGTCCTGGCATACACCTAAAAATTAAGTTTTTTTAGTAATTTCTTTTTTCGGCAACTACCCGGCGCTTTTTTCATAGAGAAAGTAGCATTTTTCCGGCCTAGTTCGGAAAGTGAGTACTTTCTGTGCGGAAATTTGCACTCGATTTCGCGAATTGAATGGTAGATTTCAAAAAACCTAGCTGTGGCACCCCTCAGTCTAAGTCAAAACCACGGCACAGCGATTTATTTGCTACTCCAGTGATTATTGAATTCCACAAAACCATTACATAATATGCATGAACTTCAGCTTACGTCACCTAGTTGTTAACATTGCAGTATACGGATTGAACATTGAATCATTCATATACCAATGTACTTTACCATCCTTGGGGGTTTGTTTACTTTTGTGTCATAAGGGTGAGTGAAATAGTTATTAGTATACTAAACGCTATTGGTCATCGGAAAGAGGGAGTACCTATATCGTCGAAGCATGATATACACCCTATTTATTGTACTTCGTTGTCTTTGCAGAAGTAACTGTCACGAAATACCACTTTGCGACTGCGCATTGCTTGTTTGCAAAAAAAATATACTTACAACTAGAACATCAGCATCTGAACCATTGGTTATCCAAAATTTGGTGCCGTTGAGAACATAGTGGTCGTCTTTCTTCTCAGCTCTTAGTTTCATGGATACCACATCAGAACCTGATCCTGGCTCAGACATCGCCAGAGCTCCCATGTGTTCTCCTGTGCAAAGCTGAAAATATATTATTTATTCCCGTCAAACCTGATCCATCATCGATAAAGACAACCTGATCAGGGAAATATTGTTGAGGCAAACTTTATGAGAGAATTTCGGGGAACTAAAGAGGAAGACATAGACACAGATTAACAAGTTTGTTAATCTGTGACATGGAAGAGGACATTTTTTTGAGACTAGAGATATGTTCGAACAGTGGCGTGCTCAAGATTTTTTTCTGGGGGGGGGGGTTATCAGTTCAATCAATGAAGAATCAATAGTTTCATAGAAAAAAAACATTTTATTTTGAAAACACCCGGACTGCAGGCTTACAGCTGCTAGCAACATGAAAATAAACTGAATGATAAATATTAAATAAAAAATGTCTTAAGTAACAACAAAAAATCCATATAACATCGTCATACTAATTAAATTGAAATCTCACTTCGAAATAACAATGACGATAGTAATTACCTTATGAGATTCAATATGACTAATAACAACAGTATTCACATTCACAGAAGACATATCCTAGTATTCCTAATAATAATCGAGATATTATTTAATCCCAAATTATTTTGTGTCCCCTGCAACAGCGTAATGTCTATAGTTCGAAGAAATATAAGAAGAGAAGAATAAGACGAACCACATTGTCAACCTAACTTCCGAAGGTCAATATCGTCTGTCACCTCCATCTTCAAATCCTTATTGTTTTATCTAGTCAAGATGCGAATGTTCACAGATAATCTTCAGATTATCGGATTCTCCAGTTGGGTATTGTGTTCTCTGTTTAAAAAATGCATTCCTTCTTTTGATGAAAATGACAATCAGAAATGGTCATGCACTTGTCCCACAGAAATAGAAAATGTATAATAATAATAATTTCTTTATTTCCTCAAATTACTTCGCACACCAACAGCGTGGTAATACAAATAAAAAGAGTAAAACGTCAAAAAGTACGAAACATTGTTATACATATAACATATAGAATAAAAGATATATAGATAAAATGACAAATATAAATAAATGAAACTGGATATAGGTATAGAAACAACACATACACGTCATAAATAAAATTAACAAATATGTATAAATAAAAGTACAAATGGCAAATCACGAGAGAAACTCCTCTACAATGATATATAATGTAAGTAATTCCCTTTTATATAAACATATGGTACAGGATTACCGATAAAATTCATCTATACTGTAGCAGTTTTTTGACAGAAGAAGTTGTTTCAGTTTTGATTTAAAGATATGTAAATTTCCAGAATTTCTTATGTTATCGGGTAGTTTATTGAAAAGTTTGCAGCCCTGAAACTCAAAACTTCTTTGGTAAAGAGCTGTGCGATGTTGACTTGGTAATAACAAGTGGGCATTTCGGGTAGAATGATTATGATAGGCTCTATTAGTAGCTAATGTATTTCTATTCCGGTAGATATATGTGCAAGACGTAAGTCGAATCTAATATCATTGCATTGGATTGTTCACGGGTGATTACTACACGCGTTTTTCATGTTATTCAATACAGGGTGTAACTGAATAAGTGTAAAACATTTAAGGAGATGATTCCTCATCGAAAAAAAGATAGGATCTTTCATATAAAGAAACTTCATTGGAGCATCCCTTGTTAAGATACAGCCCCTTAAAGGGGGTACATAAAATTTGTATAACAATTTTTTTCACAAACACTGAAAAAGTTACAATATTGAAATTAACCTGACGTTTTGTACTACCAAAAAGACACTTAGCCAGTAATTTATTTGGTTTACCCCATGGTTGTAAGGGGTGAAAAACGCAACCCCTAAAATTTATTTCCAATGTAACTTTTTGTCTTATTATTTGTTTACCATTTAAAAATTTATTTCCGATAGCCTGTTTCATTCTAAACAAAAAATGTCTCTTGGGTTTTTTGCCCAAAATAAACCAGTAAGCAGCAAAACATTATTTTACGAACAACTACAGAGATACATCGTCATAAATGCGAAAATACGAAACTAATCTATCTAGTAGGTCGCTATTAGCGATAGTGTTAATTCATCGGTGATTCACGTATGTTTTTGAAACGGTCCCGAATTCTTTTGTTGTTTATTCATCAAAATAATTGGCGGAAAAATTACTGTTTTGTGAAATATTTTGTGTTGTGATCGGCGAAATAACAATGCCTTTCAAGTGTTGTGTTCCCTTTTGTTGGGGGAATTATGTGGGTGGTTCAAAAGTTCATGCTTTTAGTTTCCCGTTGGACGAGGAGCTATCGAAAATGTGGGTATATGCAATTCACCGTGAGGATTTTACTCCATCTAAGTTCAGTAGTAAACAGAGCTTAATTTATAATGATGAATTAATAATAGAAGACAATTACTCTCTCATAAAAAGTATAAGTAGAGGAAAAATAGAAAAGCTTTGATTGTGCAGTTAGTAACAAAATCATCTCTGAATTCGAGGAAATTTTCTTGAATGTTCATAATAAACGGGCATTTTTAATTCTCATTCTCAAATTTCTTTCTGAAAACGGTCATTTGCCTCGTGGCAATGAATGCAGAATTCATTTCAATGATCAAATTGCAACTATCATATTAACATGAACTACAAACACTCTACTTAAAAAAGTAAAACTACATTTATCATGATATTTATCATGAAGATATTTGACTAAAAAGTTCCAAATTTCACCTTCTTTTTCACCTGTCTTCTGGATGGCATTTAGAACAATTTCCCTTATTTTCTCATCATATTGGACAATTTATATATAATTCAACTATAAATATGATTTTCTTGAGATGAATCCATATTTGGTGAAAAAAAGGAGGAATATCATTCAAAATAATAGCGTGTGTAATGTCATTCGAAAGCAATCTATTGACATTTGACATCTCGTATTTTGATTGTCTATTGATTAAATGGTCGTCATCTGGAATGCTTGTTCACTTTATATGAAAAACTCGCCATAAAAATCATATTTCCTGTTGATTTTTTATATAAAAATTTCCCATCGAAGTACATCATTAGTATATAAAGTGTCCAATGACAAAATAAGAGCAAGTAGCTTCAAATTCTCCCAACACAAGGGGCGAAATTTCGAACTTTTTCTTGAAATATCTCAATAAATAGTGGTTTGTTCACATTTTCATTATAAAATTCGGTTTATCAGACAAAAATACGTGAGTACCGAAAAAATTTTTCAAAAAAAAAACCATCGCATGATAAATGCAGTTTTACCATTAAAAATTACGGTTTCAAGTGTAACGATCCACTTGGGTGAAAAATCCAACAACAGAAAATTGAAAACACTCACTGGTTATTTTTTCAGGTAATAGGAATTCTCCAAGATAAAAATAGGTAATTGTAACAAACGGCATGTCAATCAAAATAAAATACATTTTCCACAATTTTCTTTCGATCAATCTCACGATAAGTGCGGGCCCTGTATAAGTAGGTGTGAAGTTTACCTTCACCACAATTTTTGCCAATATATTTAATTCGAATGGGTTGCTGTAGGTGGATATTTGTGTTTTATCCTGGTTTTTGCTTTAAAACTTCGTTTTTCCATAATAAAATCGAATGGGGTGCGAAGAAGGGCTCAGTTGACGACTGGCATCCTTTTTTAACCGGAAGCCCTTCAAAAAACAGCAAAATCGGCTGGTTAGGCCTCACTAAGTGACGTCACCCACGGAGCATGCAGGCCTTGTTGTATCGGTGGTAACGACTCTACACCCCCATTTTGATCGTTCATTGACTGATGTATTCTTACTTTTGGTAAATACTTGTTTTTCTGTGATTCGTTTCCATTCCTGTGTATTTGATTCACGCAGAGGTTTGAATGTGCTCCATAGCTGAGAGCTATAGCCCCACAAGCCCTGGACAATTCTTCCATGATTATTACATGGTCCAAATATGTTCCACCAGTTCCTCCATATTCGGGATTGACAGTTATGCCTATGAAAAAAAGGTGATTAAACGGGGTATGTCGATAGTTTCTTCACTAAAATTTCATCTTAACATTATTAATACAAGCATAGATTAACGTTAACGACTCCCCTACAAGTATACCGGGTTTCTCGGAACCAATTTACCCTCCTGTATCTTTGTTGCTATTTTGCATACATATTTCAAATTTGGTACATCGATCTGATATCTGATTTCATGAGTGTATAATTTCTCTATAGTATCAGACCAAATATGACACTACCGGTTTGTCCGGAAGTGCATCCGTTTTTATTATTTCAAATACAAAGTACATTTTGTTCCTGGAAAATAAGATTTAGTATAGAGTTACTTTTCTAATGACATATTACAATGTTGCCATAATACAGGGAAAAAAGTTGCCTTCAAAAATCAAGACTCACCCTCTAAAAACACCCTATATATCTATAGCAGGAATGTAGAAGTGCATCAGAAAAATGTTTTTTATCAACATACATATGCATGCAGGAAATTTTCAATTTAATCAACTTAATACACATTTTGGGCCATTAGTTTATTTATCAAATTATATACAGTGTGACCCACTTCTAATGGAAACACCCCTGTATTTTACGTAATCGTTGGGTAAGGATCCTGAAAATTTGCTGGAGCGAGAGATATACCAAAAATGCACTCTATGACCAAGTGGGGTCATCTTAAGTGATATACACTGCTCGCCAACAGCCACGGAATCACCCTAATTTCCGGAAAATGATATTAGGAGTCAAAATAGGTCGAAAATCACTTCAGATTCGGAATCAGGACGCCCAATTCACTAACTATTCATATTTTCCCTGGGAAATTTTCAGTTCTGAAAAATTAAATTTTGTCGCATTTTTCACGGAAGCACCCCCGTATCTTACGTTATTGACTTTATCTATGGACTTTCCCTTCCTCCTGCAAATTTCAGAATCCTACCTCAATAATTACGTGAGATACGGGGGTGAGAAGTGAGACGAAATTTATTTTTTCTGAACTGAAAATTTTCTAGGATAACTATGAATAGTTAGTGACTTGGGCGTCCTGATTCCGAATCCGGAGTGATTTTCAACCTATTTTGACTCCTAATATCATATTCCGGAAATTGGGGTGGTTCCATGGCTATTGGCGAGCAGTGTATATCACTGAAGATGACCCCACGTGGTCATAGAGTGCATTTTTGGTATATCTCTCGCTACAGCAAATGTCCGGATCCTTACCCAACGATTACGTAAGATACAGGGGTTTTTCCATTAGAAGTGGGTCACACTGTATTTATTTTTCCATGTTCTATCACCTCCAGAAATCTCGGTACACATTTTTGACGCATCCTGTATAACACTCTATAAATATTTTCTCGGCATTTTAAGGTGAGAATCGAATCAATAATTAATTATTATTGATGCGATTCTCACATTTGAATGTGGAGCTGATCTGGAGTACGATATTTTTCAATGGAAAAGCAGTGTATATACTTTTTTGAAAAGATGAAAACATTAACCTACCCAATGTGCCCAAATCACCAAGTTTCCTCCAAAAAGACCTCAAGTTTTCGAAGACATTCTTCCTATCGATTTCTGTTGCTAAAGGTGCCAGCTCCCTTTGGGCAAAATTGAATATCGTGTCTCTCAACTGGAAATGAAATTAATATACATCTATTTATAAGGAGATTGAGATGAGTACAGAGATATCAGTAGTTTTTTTTATCTCTTGGAGCGCACGAAAGGTAATTCCTATAATATTCGTGGAACATATCGTGCGTATCTAGGAAGGATAGGAAGAGGAGGTAGCTGTTGGAATTCACTGATGCCCATTTTGTTTCATCAGTGTGTGTTTTTTTTTGCTGTCACAAAGGGTCAACAACTTTCAATTAGAATAAAATAACATACGCATTATAAAAGGTATATCGAAGTCTGGAACTTTTGGCACGATAATAAACTACACACTGTTTCAACACTAACTAAACCGATTTTTAACACCTCGACACGTGTTTCGCTAACTATGTTAGCATCTTCAGAAGATTAAAACTGCCAAGGTGTTTATAAATGATTGTGAAAACAAAACAGTTGAAGACAATCCGTGAAATATGCTGGGGTGTTTCATTCAAACAAATTGATAGTAACATAACTTTCTACTGAGAATTTCAACTGTTTTTTTCATAGACGTATTCAAAATCTTCAGAAAAAATTACAATATTGTTTATTCAACAACTGAAAATATCAAATTTCAAAGTATTCCTCAAGATCCTGATGTATTTACTTACTTGAATTGTTTTTTGTTTCTCTACTTTGTATATGAATGCTTGAGTTCCATTATTATTCTTAGAAAACAAATAATAATTCAACTTTTTTCGTAAAATTTATGATAATGAAAAAGTTGTCCAAACTATAAGAGCAAAGAATTTCAATAAAAAAACTATGTAGGAATATTGAGAAATAGGGAACATATATACATATCACACATGTTACGAACTGTGTTTGAATTCTATATAGAATAACAATTTATCAAATGTAGTAGATATATTTTGAAAACACCAGAAGTATAAAGTATATATAAAATCTTACCTGTATCTGATCATCAGTGAGTCCAAAAATATGCTCATCTATGGGATAATACTGAGACACATGACGACGTACCGAATAATCCAATTTAGAAAAACTCCTAAACAAATTGGTCAATCTGAAAGTCATTGTCACTGACGATCACATGCTACTATAATTTGAGGCTATGCTATGGATTCGGACGATCTTATCAAATGTGGGCTCTCTTCAATTACGATAATTCGTTGATTTATTACTTCAATATGCTTCAATCAAGCATTGTTTTCATTATGATAAACCCAAGTCCCAATTCAATACATCAACAGCGCTTAGTTGGTAATAAAGTAGGTAGAAGTACAGTTTGATTTGCATGGAATACATTCAGAGCAATAAAAGAGAATTTGTGTCACCTCTCACCAAAATCTTGCAATAGTTTCTTTCTCTCGGCACATGTGTAGGACGTAGATGTTTTCAATACACTCACAAAAACTGATATAAAATGAACTGATGAAAAGAAATTGGATCGACCCTTAGATAGATATGTACAATGTTTGATACACTCAATTCCATATTGACCGATTCCCGAAATATCTTGAACCACCCTGTATTTGTTCCAATTAAATGTCAGTAGATAGTAAATCAAAAGTTGGGATAGGGACATGAAAGCCGTTTTGACCGATAATGAATAGTTTCCACACAAACAAATCCTAAAGTTGAAAAATCCCGATTTTGAACACCCTATATCTCTGTAATCATTCTCGCTAGACCCCAAGTGTGATGCATTGATGAAATCAGCTCACAAAGGAGAATGCGAAAATGCAATGAAATACAGGGTGTCCCATAAGAAAAAGTATAACTTTGATACGCCACGCATTTCTCAGTCACCCTGTATGAATGGAAATAACTTGGAAGTGTGCTGCTTATGATCCTAGATCATCTCTGAAATTTTTGTTCATCTATCTCAAACAGTAAAGCCGTTATCTTACTTTGCCACACTAATGACTCACCCTGTAAGGTATACGTAATGGATTTTTGAAACTTTTGGAAGTTATATTACTCCTTTTGACAAACAGTTCCAAAGCTTGGCCGGCCTTCTATAGACAAGCAAGTTCTGGTAAAGAGTTGTTCGACATATTTCGAGTTGACGACGAAAGGATTATATGCATTGGGTTGGTCACAGTGTTTGTCATTACGGTCAAATCATAATAAAATATCGTGGATTTCAATAATTATTTGAAGAATGTACGGTGCTCAGAGGAGAAAACATCTTCACTGAAGCATGCCCATTATATTTGATTGAATGTAAAGGGCACACAACACCACACGACATTTATAATATTCAAGTTAAAAAAAACGATTTCATATATTTTCTATTCATTTCAAAATCGGAGTATAAAAATAAAACCTAAAAATAAACTTCACAAGCATACTTAATTATGAAAACATGCTATTTGTACAAAACTTATAAAAAGAAAATATCACAATGTGACCTTACGATTTTATCTCTTATGCGCATGATGTTATCATGAGGACACTATTTACAGTCAACAAATTAAATATTCAAAAGTTTGTTTCATCAAACCAGTCTTTTTATAGGATCTTGGAATGTTTTATCACACTGGGTCTGCCACACCAAATGCCGATATGAAAACATTGACCACTGTCACCAAGAAAATTCCTATGATAGTGAAATTGTTTATTTTATTGGCAAGGCATATTTCCTTCCTGTCTTTCACGTTGTATGTCGCGTTCCATATCAAACCAATTCCTATGGCAACCTGAAACAAAAACAAAAAAAAATTAAACTTTCCGTAAGCCCCTTTCAAAGAAAATGTATACAATGTAAAATAATTTTTCAAAAGGAATATTCTCAGATATATTATGAACATTGGAAAAAAATGGGAACATAAAGGTAACATTAAAAGGAATATTTTCAGATATATTATGAACATAAAAATATATATATATATATAAACAGGTGGTTGAAGAAAATTGTCATTGGGTTCAAAAGAAGCGCCACCATCGATAATACTATTACCCTTGTGAATTTCAAATTTTTTATCTCTTCAAATAAAAAACTACAGGCTGTTACATGTCTTCTGTGTCACCCGGTATATATATATGGAAATATGAATTCTTTCTCGGCATGTTCAACAGAAAACAACTACTTTCCTGGCTAAATGCCACGACGAACATTGGATATCATCTATTGAACACACAATGTATTTTTTTATACTTACCTATGGTCCAGTTTTTTTCAGGCTCATAATATACCTTTTCAAAACTCTGATACCCTATCAAGGGATTCAAACTTGAGCGATGGAAATTTGCGTTTACAGACCTCTAATCACAATTTGAATAGCTTTTATGCCAATACTTGTAGACAAAATATTTCTATGGAAATATCTTATTGCTTGTGGATATTTTCAAAAGTTCGAAGTGCATGAGTTCGACATATTCAACAGTATAACCTCTTCTGAATCGCCAATCAACATTCATTCAATGACATATATTTTGTATTAAAAAAATGAGGGATGTATAATCGCCAGTGTGGAATTTGAAACGTTCATCTTTTATAGTCATTATATTTTGTGTAGCTCTGTAGGTAATATAATGAATCTTCTTATTTGGGACTAAAACTATGTAGGTAAATATTTACTTTGGAAGATTTAACTCACCTTTCATTCAGGTCATATTAATATTTATACATAGGTATTCTCTTGTTTTTCTAACAGTAAGTGCCTATTATTCATTTACACAAACTATCGAATGACCAGAATACCATACATGTACTTTTACATTGAGAAGAATAAGGAAAAACCATGTATGGCAAGGATGAGGAAATTGATGAAAATGTAGATACCTACCTGTACAGCGGAATTTCCGCTGGATTATTATATGCAATGTGTACGCAATGCATAATTGACTTTTACTGACAATTCAGAGAATTGGAGTACTTCATTTCACTTTTAAATTCGCCGACATAAATGCTATCATTATCTAATTTTCAAGGTTTATTCAGAAAAGAGAAACAACCAGGCACGATATGATAAAAGTTCGTTAAATCCTGTTTGGTTTTAACTTGATTCATGGAATACCATAATTAATGAGAATGCGAAAATTGTTTTTATCAAATATGAAATGATTAATTCTTAGGAAAAAATAAACACAAATGTACCACATCCTTCACGCAATTGATTTTAGATATTTCCACCACACAACTCATTTTCATGGTTGATATAGAATTCGATAATTTACAAACGTCTATCATAAGCAAAATCTATGGCAGAATCTAGTTTGATTCAAATTCGTCGGCATATCCGAATGAATCATTAATATTCAATTGATTTTTTTCTTGACATGATTCAGTTTCACAATTTTGTCGACAAAATCCAAGATATAATCTCAAATACTATATTTTTATTGAATGATAATTGAAATTCTCATTTTAATTTGAATTTGTGAATATACTAAAATGATTGGGCGAAAAATCTTAGCAAGGAACCCAATGTTTTTTTTGCAAAAGCTCTGGAAAAATCCACAGTGATTATTCAAAATATCTAGAATCATTCGCAAAAATACAATTATTTCTAAGAGCCAACAATGTCTGAAAAAATCAAGGGTTTTATAAATACTGACCATAATAAAATCAGGGTATGATTTTCTGTGATATTTGAACAAATATTTATATTATTTCCAGGAATATTTGAATTTTGAACGCTAATCGATGACTGTCTGTAGGTTACAAGGAGGTGGAATATTCATTTCTATAGATTATTTTGGGATTTTCGCTGCTCGTTTCAATAAATGTAAATTCATTTCAATATATGTATAGCAAGGAGGAACCATATTATTTATCCCAGTCATTGTTAAAGTTGAGAAAATATAACATCTGATACCGAAAACCGCAAGTAAATCGATAAATTACCTAAGAAAATATATATTTTTTTAATTTTCAGTGAGAAATGTTGTCCTATGTATTATAATTATCACCCTAAATTATTGTTTAATTCTGAAACATGATTTGGAAAGATAGAATGAGTCAAAAACAGAGTCGTTTTACTGTCGAAATTTGACTAATTCATTTGAGTCACTTACAAAAGTCAAACTCATGCATAGATATATGAGACATACAATTAGCCAAATCTCAACAGCAAACTGGTGCTATAATGACATCTCTTTCAACGTTCATCAAAGAATGATAATTTCTTCTGTTTTGTTGAGCCCAGCTATTTTTCTGAATACAATGATGCAAGCCTTATTAAGAAATTGCTCGAGAAATTGTTTCGGAAAAAATTAAATTTATCGATATAGTCATGAATCACGAAGAAATCGCATTTTGTTCAATCAATATATTTTTGAGTTTCGTTCTTCAAAATCGTATATTAAATACTACCTACACTAAAAGGGTCTATATACTGTGGTAAATTGGAGCAGCTCTAGCAAAATACATTTGCCGCGCCGGTCGGTTCGAAGCATCTTGAAATAAAAAATTGCACGTACCTGTATAACCAGACTGAGAGTAATAAAAATAACACTGGCATAGTAATAAGGGTGTCTAGCATAACTCTCCAGAACATATCTCAGCTGGTTAGCGTTAGCGGAGAACAATGCCAAGTCCATCATCCCCTGAGCCAAAGTCTTCTTGTGCTGGTAAACATTGACATCAGGGATTTCCGCTTCTCCGATGGTACTCCCCGTCTCAGGATCGTACGTATATACGGGTCCCAGGAAATGGGACCTCTGTCTGTGGGGTCTCTGCAGGTGATCATCAATTTCTTCTGGGTACTCGTTATTGGGTTCCGTCACTTCGATTTCTGGATGCTTGGGTTCCTCGCCGTGATCCACATTGTCATTTTTCTCGCTGGGTGAAACAGGGTTCAGAACTAGAGGGTGGTTTTCAGTCATGGCTTTCAAATTGTTGTCCATTTTTGTCGGCTTCAGAACGCACTGCAGACTGACCGGGAGATGGCACGGTAATAGCACGAAACGAAAAAATGTATTCTAATATATGCGCGAGATTTTATTGTTCGATAAGCTGGTTCTGCATCAACTTATGCTTTTTCATTCGTCTGCGAATTCCCCAACCAGTGCTGGCACCGTCAGAGACTTTTCCCAATCGCGCGCTTCAGACGTATTTATATGATTCAAGGTTTTTACGAGTCGAAAATCGCTCGTATAACGGTAGACATCATTAGGAAGAAAGACAGGTTTTGGATCATTACCTACATGGAAAAATAAGATGATGGTAAGATATGAAAGACACCTACTCAGACATTTTTGGAGAAAAATTTACCGTTCGTAAATTAAGAAATAATTAGATGGTACTTTCGCGACCACCAGTGATATTTATCATCACTTTTAGTATACATACACAACGGTGGTTGTGTCTAAAAATACAGTTTCATTTATATTATTGTCACTCACAATAATACATAATTAAAGCACCTTCATTTGAATTATAAAATTTCTAGGAAACAAATTATTCAGCTGGATAAAGACCCATATGTATTATGTTTTTGAAATATGAGATTTTCATTTGAGGTGATTATATCTACATCACTATTTTACTTGGAAATTCCAAGATGAAATACATTATCAATGAAAAAACTTACCGATTTTTGTCCACTATTCAGCCTTGTAGAGTTTACCAACCTACTGAAAATTTGATGTGGGTACTGACAAATGGTAATACTTATGTTTATATTGGTTTCAATCGCCAGTATTTCATTATTCCTAACTTAACAACATAAAAAAAATAAAACTATTTTATTTAGTATTAATCAGTATTCATCAGTATCTGCAACATTGATTTATTTCCTCTTACAACAGGCACAATCTTACACACATACAATACAAATAAATTGATAAATTATATAAAATTTGTATACATCATTCACATTTTACATCAATATTTTAAGTTCAGGATAGTTAGCATTACTCCTGGAAATTCCTTAATTCAAAAGAAGGTTCGATTTTGATGGGAGAAAGTGAATTCTCTTCATAATTGCATCCAGTTTCTTATGCTATTACCATCTTTTGCACGATATCTCAGTTATCTTTGGAGATCTGTTATTTTGATTCAACGGTATTCAAATGACAATTGAAAAGTTGATGTTAACAGCTTCCACCCGTTAAGATTGTTCAACAGCCGTTAACTGTTCCATAACAACACGCGATGTTTGGATTTTTGTGTAGAATTACGAGATACGTATGGTTTGTTCTTTCCTCGGAGACAAATTGTAATCTTTCAGCGGGATTACGAAAAGTCTTGAACGATACACGGCCGATACGCAAATATCGGATTCGCTTTTGTTATAATCCTCGGCTGCGCCTCGGATTACAATATTCAACCTCATCCGTTATTTGCTGCATATCGGCCTTGCAACGTTAATAATAACTATAGCGGCGCATCAGACGATGTAGATACTTCGATGTATGTATACAGTGTGTCCAGTTTTCAATATCTCATTTTTGTTCGGAGATAGAGTGCTGCGGTCTCAACATTTACAAACATAATTTTCACAGTCCTTTGTGTTTTTGAGATTTCGCCCGGTATCGTGAGTTTCACAAAAAAGTAGCCAACGTTCAAGAAAACCGCAAAAATCTTTGAAAATAAGTGAGATATCTCGTAAGGACAACAAAAATGGGACAGACCGATAGCCCGTTTTATGCAGAATAGAATGACGTTAATTTCTCTCTGTAATATACTTTTACGCTTTTTTTTTAATGCGACTGTACCTATTTTTTGTGTTTTCTTAGTTAACTATTGTTGGGATTGTTTTTTCTCCTTTTCATGGAAAAATCAAATGAAATATTCCTTCAATTGGAACTTTTTTTAAATGAAAAATCGATAGCCCACTAATAAAATTCAATGTTTTAGTAATTTTGGAGCATTTTTGAAAATTTTATATTTATACATCATATTTCATTTTGATGGTAAAAAATAAGGAATTTAATTAGCGTATTAAATACAGGGTGTTCCATTTGAAAAATCATAAGTTTGAGTCGTATCTCCAAAACCATACCCCGAAAAAAAAAAGTGAGTGCGCCACTGGATTCTGCGCAAAATTCTGTATGGGATAAGATTTCAATTTGACATTTTCGCTGAAAAACTTCGTAGATATAGAGGGGGTTCAAAAAGAATAAATTTTCAAAATCGCCCTGTATCTCATAAACGCAAACAGTTATGCAAAATCTGATTAGGTCATCTTGAGTTTCACGAAAAAGTGGTACAGGACCGCGAAAACCGCAAGGTTCTATCTCGAAAGATAACTGAGATATCACGCAAAAGCATCTAAAACTGGACACACTGTACATGCAATCACGAAAAGAACGCCGTTTGTCCCATTTAAATCGACCTTCCTGAACGAATTCCGAGGTTCCGCCTTATTTTCGTCTAACTTTCATCTTTCATGAACTATTAACAACATGATAACAACGGCTATGCACATGTATATATTATATAATAGTTACCCCATCAGCCTAGAAATAGAACACTTCAATTTGATAACAAGGCCTTACACAGATTTTCATTGCATTATTTCTCCAAACTCATCAATATTTTATACCAGGATTCAGCATATTGGAAGAATACCAATTTAAGATGAAATTGACTTATTGACAAATTAAGGCCAGAATTCTGTTTTTAATAGATTGAGCAAACTACATGATCAATAAAAATCAATCAATAATTTGAAAATTATCTCCAAAAATTGTCAATTGTTTCTCATCTTGCCACAGTCACATAATATACCGGATGTTTCTCAAGAGTGGCTCACCCCTATAACTTCATTGTTTCTGCAGATGAAAAAATAAAATTCCTTGTCTAACAAAAGTACATTAACTGCATTTTTTGACATATTCAATTGTTTTCTGTCACTTCATGTTTGACTGAAAATAAACCTCACTTCCTTATTTTGAATGGAACACCTGGTATTTTTTTATTTATTTCAAGAGTAATCACATTGTGGGTACATGGGTTGTCACTTTTTGATATTCATCATCCTGTTTTCAATTTCTAATTTTAAATCTAGAGGTCTTTATGATCTAAACTCAATTTTTTCAAATGTAACCAAATATGGTGTTCTTAATCAAGGCTGGTTGACATGGTTACATTAGTCAAAAACTGATGACATTTATAAGGTCCTTGTTCATAAAAAATCCGATACTTGATAGTGTTTAATGAAATTCTAATAATTGAGTTCTTATTTCCATGGTTAAGATAATTTATACAGAGACATCTATTAGAATAAGATGTAACAAGAACCTCAAAATGTGATATTCAGTTGAAGGAAATCAAAAGCTTATCAGTGCAAACACCATATTGATTATAATTATCTCACACACAATCTATTGACATAAACGTTGAATAACATAACTCCTAACACTCTAGATTGAAAATTTGATAAACTTCAAAAAGTGGCAAATGGGGTGTCATTGTACTCATACTATGATTATCTATTGAAATAAGTGAAACTATACTGGGTGTTCCATTCAAAATAAGAAACAAAAAGAGTAATTTCCTGTCAAACCTAGAATGACATAAAATAAGTGAATGTGTAAAAAATGCATATTTATTCATTTACTGTTGGAGGAATTTGCCTACAGGATATGGGGCTGGTTCCCACTTGATACAGCTAGTATAGTAGTTTGATATAATAAATTATATTTTTGATATTTCAGAGTGACATTAATAGTTTTTTTTATTGACCATTCTCAATTGTATAACAAAATGCTATTACAGTTCATGACAACATCACCAATTGTCTTTATGAAGGGTGAACAATATTATATATGAAATTATACAACTGTCCTTACACACCCAATTTCATTTATCTGTACAAACAAAAAAGTTATAGGGGTGAGCCACTTTTGAGAAACTACTATGGTAGTAAATGTAGACTGCAGATCTCCTCCTCTACATTGAAAATTAATCTGATATATAGTATGAATAACTGATGAGGGGCTACCTGGAATGGTAATGATAAATAACCTAACTGAAGCTACAACAGCTATTTGTTTTTCGTGCAGTTTTATAAAAAGCTTTGGACTGTATGCTCAGTCCTTCTGATTTGGAAACCAAGTCATCCAGTTTTTCACCTCTTTCTAGAACTGCCTGAATTGTATTATGCTGAAACAAAATGAAATATATCATATATATCTTCCATCTATGCATATTTCCACATCAATCATATAGTGTGAGACCCACCAAAATTATTTTAGTTTCATCTAAATCTTCATGTATTTTTGTGAGAGCATCAGCCTCCCTGGGATTCTGGTACTTTGATAAATAAACATTGAGTTGTGGAAATGCCACTCTGTTTTCCTGAAGATCTGGCCATCCAGAAGAAGGAACTTTTTCTGCAAATTCGTCTAGGATTCTTGTTAACAAAGTGTGTGACACTCTAGAGGGGTACTCATGATCAGATATCACCACTCCAGCTAAGTTATCTGCCCGTACATATACATGACACAAATATTCTGAAATTATAAGAGACTTGAATGAGAATCAATGCACAAAGGATGCATCTTTACCTCCTTCCTTAACAGATTGCCTTGAAGCTGGAATTGTTCTTTCCACAATAGTTTTACAAAAGAATGACATAAACTCCTGAACTGAAGTTCTCTGGAAGAAACTGAAGCTCTGTAAATCATATGCAGATTTTAACCATGAAGCTGAGTTAGGACCTTTGTATAAAACACTGACACAGTATATTTTAACCATATTTTATTTATTAATAATATTTTTTATAAAGAAAATACCCCATACGCCAAGAAAAACAATCCACTTATAAAAATGACATCGGTTGTCTGATTCGGGTGACATGTTTTTTATTATCATGATATCATGTCAAGTCAGATTGTCAAAGTCTGCATCTTCTTTTTTTTTACGAATCCGATATTTGTGCCGGATAGTCTTCATAATTTCTGAATGTGTATACAAATGTCTCCTGCCAGTCATTCTAATAGTAGAGTAGCTTGCTGCCGTGTTGCGGAAAATCTCAAGGTCATCAGAATAACCTTGAGATTCACCGCAGTACAGCAGCAAGCGACTATTTGAACGACTGGCGAGAGACATTACATGTGCTTGGCAGAATTGTTGGCAGATGGTAGCATTGTAAAAATTTAAAATTGCAGTACAGTCGAATTCAATGGTCGAATTTGGTATGTCAAATTTCAAGGCCGGCCTTCCTGTTGTCATTTTGATGTCACTTATGACGTACCTGTCATTCGAATAATGGCTTCTTATTAACAAGGCGGTGGGTGGTCAAAAATTTCGTTTATTGTAGTCGCTGTGATAAATGTAATTAGATTTCACTAATACAGGCGTAATAGACCTAGAATTATCTCATTCTGGGCCTTTATGATCGCCAGGAATTGTGCTCATACGTTGTCTGAATCTTTAATCTCAAAGTTGTCAAGAAAGATAATGGCTTGGAAGTATTCTCTTCCAAATGGCTTATAATTGATATCTGCTGAGAATTTACGGATGCTGATGTATTATCTTAGCTGTAGGATGTGCCTGGAATCCAGCAGATTTTAGAGGACATCAAGTAAGGTAAGTGGCCATTATTGTTATATGAAAACCCATGTTGGAGCATATTTTAAACCCACAAATGTTATCATCAAATTAACATGAATGTTAAATGAATTCTATACCTGGTAGGTAATATATCCTTCTTGTAGGCCTTATTAGGTTGTCATGTTTCATTAGGGACATTAGGGTCCTGATTAATATCTTCCCTATACAATTGCTGTCATGAGAAGGCATAGGACCTCTGTCAAGAGATTATTGCTATTTGACGTCAGTTTATACTGTTGGGTTAAAACTAATGAATGATGAGTACTTCAAGGAACCTTATTACCTTCACTATTTTCATCTCATTATTCACTAATAATTATGGGGTTGCTTGAAAACATTTTTTAAGAGAAACATTTTATTTGACACTATATATTCCAAATGAATGAATATTTCAAGCTTATCAGTCACCAAATAAGTATGTGAGTAAAATTTATTTATCTAATCTGATAAATTCAAAATATAAGGAAATATGTTTACTTTTTAACCCTTAAACCCCCAAGCGGGGTCCTTCGAGGACCCCAAGTCCAAATATCCTACTGTCAATAGTTTATTTGAACACTCTGGCAACACCGCGGCTAGGTATGTGTTTGTTTTGGCGTTTGTGAGTATTATTTAGTATGCGACCACATTTCGCAGCGAGTGAATTGAAGTTACACGTGATTTAGGTGAGTGGGGTCCTGCCGTTACCCCGCACGGGTTTTTACGTTTCCCTTTTTTTTCTTCAGTATACTGTATATTTTTTCACTTCTTCATTTTTCAAAGATATTAAAATGAGTGATTCCCATAGAAAGCGACCCCTTACACGACGTGAGATAGAGGAAATAGCCAAGAATATGGATTTTGAGTCTGAAGCTGACTATGAGAGCGATACTTCTGGAGAAGACTGTTTAGATTCTATTTTTTATTTCATTCTCATAAATATCCGATAGAGTTTCATGTGATGTCTAAAGTATGATTTTGTTCTTCCCTACGCTTATTTAATTAATGAATTTGAAAAAAAATTATTAGAAATCATATATTCAGCTGGGGTCTCTGAAGGACCCCGCATGGGTGTTTACGTTGATTTCGATGGCATGGGAATTCAAGGGTTAATGGCATATTGATTGTCTACAAAGTACCCAAACTGGACTATCAACAGTTGGTTCCCAATTTTCTTCTACAATGTTTCTAAAATGCTTAGATGGTGCTTTATGTTGTGGTATGTTCATTTCAACAAGCACTCTTTACTAGAATATATTATTCAATTATTTGACCTACACAATGAAGTGAATGAACAATTTTCTCACACAATGTTTCTAAAATGTTTAGATGGTACTTTATGTTGTGGTATGTTCATTTTGACAAACACTCTTTCCTAGAATATATTCAATTATTTTGACTTACACAATGAAGTAAATGAATATTGTTTTCCAATTGAATCTGCAGGTACTTATTTATTGAATTGATATTTACTCAATAAAGTAGCCATAACCAGAAAATTGATGAGCATAAGCATCTCATTTGGTTTGAAATTCCCTTGATTTCTTACAATTCTGGCTAATTTGCAAATCAGCAGATATCATTTTAGAAAATTAATTGAATCCGAGATAAGATCTGTATTATAAAATATGGATTTAACAATTTCATAATACCCGAATAAATCAGTACCAATATATTCTATTTCAATAGGGGGAATTTCCTTGGAATTCCCTGGAGTTCCTTGGGTGATGTGCGTCATATTCCTGGTCTAGAAACATCTGAAATTCCTTGGAACTCCTTGGATTTCCGTGGAGTTCCTTGGATTTCCATGGATTTCCTTTGAATTCTTTGGCTGAACTGCTGTATAATTCTGGTGTACAAACAACTGGAATTCCTTGAATTTCCTTGGAATTCCTTGAATTTCCTAGGATTTCCTGGAATTCCTTATGTGCAATGCGACCCTGGTCTAGAAACATCTGAAATTCCTTGGATTTCCTTGAAACTCCTTGGATTTCCTTGGAACTCCTTGGATTTCCTTGGAACTCCTTGGATTTCCCTGGAGTTCCTTGGATTTCCTTTGAATTCTTAGGCTGAACTGCGGTATAATTCTGATGTACAAACAACTGGAATTCCTTGAATTTCCTTGGAATTCCTTGAATTTCCTTGGAATTCCTTGAATTTCTTTGGAATTCCTTGAATTTCCTGGAATTCCTTGGATGAAATGCGGTATATTCCTGGTCTAGAAACAACTGGAATTCCTTAGATTTTTCCTCTGAGTTCCTTGGAATATCTTTGGTGAAATGCGGTATATTCCTGATCTAGAAACAACTGGAATTCCATGGAATTCCTGAGATGTCCTTGGAGCTTCTTGGGTTTACCTGGAATTCTTTGGGTGATGTGCGATATAATTCGGTTTACAAACAACTGGAATTCCTTGGATGTCCTTGGAATTCCTTGGATTTCTTTGGAATTCCTTAAATTTCCTTGGATTTCCTTGGAATTCCTCAGAATTCCTTGTAATTCCTTGGATTTTCTTGGAATTCCTGTTATTTCATGGACGCCCTTTTCAATGTCTAAACTCCATGATTTTTGAGGTATGAAGATCATTTTTTTGATCACTATGCATATCATTAATAATAATAATAATAATAATACTAACTGAATAGATAATACAGGCAAATGGTAGTTTTACGTTGTAAAAATCCAATAGTCAATTTCATCACCGTTTCCCATGTTTTTTGAGGTGCTGAATTCGAATATGGAAATACTGATCCTATATACAGGCTGTCTGACAAAGAACGCACCAAGCGATAAAAATAATGCGCCGCTAATAACTATCCGATTTTGAAAAACAAAATATGTATAAAAATTTGACTTTCGCGCAAAATTAGCTGAAAAAAATGTATGCTCTCTTGTTTGTAGTTTTCAAACATTGTCATTTGTTTTCAATAAATCATTTTCTCAACATTATGATGCCAATTTTTATGATAATTAACGGACTCAACCTTCAATGACTCATTAGAAAATTTGATAAAAAGATCTATTTTCTGTGGACGGAGCATACATTTTCTTCAACTAATTTTGCACAAAAGTCAACTTTCTATACAATATACATCATTGTATTCAGAAAAAAAATCTCCCAGAAATAAAATTAAAAGATATACAATGGCATTTGAAAAAAAAATAAGTTGACAACCGCTCTCGTTAGAGTTGGAATTGAAAAGAAAATCGTTAGTGTCACCTTGTAGCATCTGATAAATCATTTTATTTGCGTTTTTGTTCTTCAAAATCGGATGGTTGATAGTTTCGCCATGGCTTGGGGCGTTTTTTGTCAGTCAGCCTGTATATCCATATGGATTGAAGCTGAACAGATTTGCTACAACTTTATTTCCATCAATTTTCATTCATTCATCAGTAATTTCCTCAAAACTCAAAATTCAACTTTTTGTAAGAATTGACACATTTTATGCTGTATCTATGGTACTGTTAGACCTACACTTCTTCAGTGGGACTCAAATTGCCGCTAATTTATTAGTAGTTTCTGGGGAGTATACGTGCCATAAATTTTAGAATGGGAGTGCAGCGATACTATTTATCGCTTCTTCGTTCGAATCCGAATACCAGCGCCTAGAGACAGGAGGTAACAAATATAATCAGTGCGGCAACGGGCAAGTGCGGGTACAGCGACTGAATTCTTGCTTCATACTACCACAGTTACTACGACTCGTGGCGTAGTTGACCGCATTTACTGTCGGGAAAAAGTTTTGACAAAATTATTTTCTAGAGTAATGGTTTCTTTTGGCCGAGTTAGATTGTGTTGTGTTTTGGGTTATCCTATTAGTTCAAAATCATTGAAGTACTTTCCTCCTCAAGTTGAAGAAAATCAGCACAATCCGGCAACATTGATATGACTGACACTGGATTACGCGAAGTCCCTACTACTATTCCATTTTATGACGCAAAAAAAATTGTTGTAAAATTGTTCTTATCCATCATTCGGTTGCCTCCTTACGAGCAACCCTCAGAAGTCTTCAAGAGACTTGTGCGAGCAAGGAATTTCGGGGGTCTTACCTTTTAACGTGTGATCCCAAACACTTTCTTAGGCCATCAGAAGAATTTCTGCGGTCGTGGTGGGAATTGAACGCACCTAGCGGCAATCCAAGGATAGAACATTGACGCTTTAACCACGAGGCTACGCCGGCTAACTACATATTATTGGAAATTATAAGCGAAAAAACAAAAAATGCTAAAGTTTCGCTGTTTTTTGCGAATATCTTAAAACACATCAGGAAATATTGTTGGACAACTCTAGATTCAGATTCAGCGCCCCGAAAACCGCAGGATACGGTAATAAAACCGTCTGTTGGATTTTTGCAAGGAGAGGGTTTATTTTGATACGGTTAGCCTGGCTTAACAATAATCCATGAATGTTAAATTTGAAATATATTTCAAACTCCGGGAATCAACTGGTTACTTCTGAAAAACTACACTTGTTGGTAACTCATCATTTCAATTCAGTGGAGTTTTTTCTCCAGAATTCTTTAAACATTTTCTGGCTCTCCACCTTCCGTTCTTCTTCCGTAGTTGGTATGAAGTAGTCCATTTTATTTTAGCTAGCGCAAATATTCCCGACAGGATGGCCAAAAAGGGGGACACGATACGCAGCATCAACGTGGCCGTAGTAGGCCTCTCGGGCGTGGAAAAAGACAAGGGCCATGCGGGGGTCGGCAAGTCCTGTTTCTGTAATCGCTTCATGCGTCCCCACGCAGAAGACTACAACGTAGACCACATCTCCGTCCTTAGTCAAACGGATTTCAGCGGACGAGTAGTCAATAATGACCACTTCTTGTACTGGGGAGACGTCATTCGGAGTTCGGAGGAAGGCATGGATTACCAGTTTAGCGTTATCGAGCAAACTGAGTTCATAGACGATGCGTCCTTTCAGCCATTCAAAGGGGGCAAGATGGAGCCCTACGTGAAGAGGTGCGCCGCAACGAAGATAACGTCCGCTGAGAAACTCATGTACATTTGTAAGAATCAGCTAGGGATCGAGAAAGAATACGAGCAGAGAGTTTTGCCTGATGGCAAGTTGAATGTAGACGGTTTTATATGTATCTTTGATGTCAGTATTGTGCCAAGTAGAAGTATAGAGAAACAAGTTGAGTTTGTCGCAGCTATTCTCAATAATCTCATAAAAACCAAAAAACCTATTGTGTTTATAACGACAAAAAATGACGACGCTAATGAAATCTATGTCCGCGAAGCTCACAAACTTATTTCTCGTAACGAATATAAAAATAATATCCCCATAGTTGAGTCATCGTCCCATGACAGTGTCAACATAGACATTGGCTTCATGCTGTTAGCCCAAATGATCGAGAAAACCAAGATACGCTCGAAAATCCCTTCATATGCCGAAGC